TGACAAGAAAAAGCTACCATCGCACCCGCATCGCGAAAAATCAGAGGGTGTGAGCCGCGCCATGAAACAAGGGTGTGGAATCGTTGATGATCTACCATGTAAAATATATACTTTCCGCCTTTGAAAGCGATTGGACCTCGCAGAATGAGATCGTCCATGCTCAAATAACAGAAAGCGTTTTGCAACAAAAAAAAAAGCGCGTCGCTCTTTCTCTCTATCCTTGCACCGTCAGATGAACCGTTGTTGGTAAACAATCGGTCTTGTCTGCAGGAAAAAGGTGGCAAGAGAAAAGTTTATTATCATACACGCCAAAGAGCAAAAAAAAGAACCTACGTCCTCATCAAGTCTAAACAGCAGCAGGGGTAACAACAAGGTGAGGCCTAGGAGCCTCCTGCGATCGCCCACTGTCACTTCCCTGAATGCTTGGTGGCAACACCGAGATGCCCTCATTGGGGTTCGAGACCACAGTTCCATCATCCCCCAAATGATGCGGATGATTCGGGCTCATATGCTCCATCGTACAATGGTCCAAATTTTTCATCCACGAGTCTTCGAGGATATCGCCAATCAAGACACGCTTATTAGGGTCCATCTCCAGGATGCGCGACATGATGGGTCGACTCTCGCGGGGCATCAACTTTAGTAGTCGTAGTTTCCCTGTACCATCCGGTTTGGCGAATGCTTGGAAGGAGGGGTCCTGCTCAGCCTTGGGGATGCGCCATGGGAACCGACGCAGAGTCATGCACAAAAAGATGATCCCAATCGACCACACATCTGCCAATCGGGGGTCGTGCTGGTCCGTCGTAAACAACTCTGGAGCAATATACGGGTCCGATCCCGACACGCCTAAGAAGCCCACAGAGAAGAAAAAAATCAAAGTACGGTTAGATCATGTCACCCAATCTGAAAACGCAATCAAGGTCTATAAGATCGCTCCAAGGGTTACCTTTGGCCATTTGGATTTTCTTTTCAAAGGGGAGCTGGTAGACCATAGAGCATCCAAAATCGATAATCTTGACAATGCCCCTCTCGTTCATCACACAGTTATCCAGTTTCATATCCCGATGCGCGACTCCCAGATCATGCAAGTACGCCAGACCGTCAACAATTCCTCTAAAGCAACATGCAATCTCCTCACGACCCATCAGACCGGACATGACAGCCGAGAACAACTCGTACTTTGCAAACTCCATCACCTCATAATAGTTGCCAGACTCCTTGACAATATCCAACGTCTCGATAATGTTGGGGTGGTGGAACGTTGATCCAAGACAGTACTCCGATGTGACCTTCTTGACATAGGATCGCTCAGTCTCGTTGGGGCGACGCTTCCTGAACTGCTTGATCGCAAACACCTTCTGATCCGACGACCTTGACAGGATACGGACCGTTCCACCTGCACCGCGACCTAGAACCTTGCCCAGCTTGCCATACTTCTTCTTCAGATCCGTCTCGATCGCGTTTCCGTGACCCAACGCACCACTTCGAGGTGAGTCCGAGCCATTGGCATGGCCCCACTCGCCCAAGATTCCAGATTTCCTACTCTTCAAGGCAGGTGGCGTATTCGGATCTGTGTGCCCAGAGGATACATGAGCACCGACAGGAGATATGTGCGGTGAGTTGTTACCGACGTTAAAAAACCGCTTGAGGTCGTGAAAGATGCCGTGACTGGTCTCTCTTGCCGACTTTCTGTGGGAGCTGTGGATCGAGTCGCCATCTCGATCCCGCATCTTGAAACTGCTGACACCAGACGATTGCCGAACTGGGATAGGGGTCATGGGAGTCGGTACCCTTGCCGTCACCGTCGCCTCGGCAACCGCTGCCTGAGAGACCGCGGGTCCAGGGGTGGAGGGAGCAGCCTTAGAAGATTGGTTGGTAAGGCGGTCAGTGAGCACTTGTCGTTGAAAGTCATCTGTGACCTGGCGCATATTCGTCGACTGTGGAGGAGGCTTTTTGGACGACTGTTTCTGCTGTGACTGCTGTTGTTTCTGCTGCTGTGGGGGTTGCTGCAAGTTGAAGGCTGGCTGCGGTGCCAGCAAGGGCTGCCTTCGCTGAGTCCACTCCTCGATTGACGAAGGGTCGTGGTGTTGGGCAGTCTGGCCGTGGCTAAGATGTGCATGGTGGCCAAAATCCTCATCGTCCGAGTTGTGCCTCGAGTTCTCCATAGATACTGGATGTGATATCAGCACATCTGTCGAATCTGAGTTGGTTCTTGAGAGATATGATCCGTGCAACATGTGTGATGGCGTAGGAAAGTTTTGCAGAGTGTAAGGCTGCGGTTGTGGATGGATATCCAAGTCCATAGGGGCTGCTGTACTAAGGACACTCTGCGCCGCCGCTGCTGGTGGTGGTGACGGCGTCTCTGTCGTACTGAGCTCCGAGCCAGATGTCTGTCCTCCTCCTTCATGACGAGCCTCCAGTAACCTAGTCGCGGCGTCCTCCATAACTTCGTCAATCTCGACCGGGCTCATCTCCGAGATCACTACTTTAGACCGCCTACCAGCACCCATCGACTGCGGCTCAATATTCGACAGATCCTGCTGTGGGCTCACCCCATTTGTGTCGACAGGGTTAGTACCTTCCATCTTGGCCATGGGCACTGTGGGTGAATAGGCGGGACCACCCGCTGCCTGGACAGAAGACTGACCAGAGTACTCTTGCCGCTGTTGCTCTGGAGCATCCGAGGTGTTGGCTGTAGCATTGCCGTCGTCTTCGTCAACATAACTCGAGGATTGCGCCAAGGGAGATATTGGGAGCGTTCGCTTGATGGGGACTGCCAATGCAGCGCCTGTTAAAGGGCGTTGTTCCGATCCAGCGCCTTGGACAGTAGATGGTGGGTGTGGCTGGACAGTGGTATTATCAAGGGTTTGCTCCGGAGCATATATAGTTGGCGGGGACGTCTCTTGAAAGTGCCGGATGTTGATATCAACAGGTACTGGCGGCGCGGGGTTGGCACTGACAAGATCGCTGTTGGGACTAGTGGAACTCGCTGGATCGTTGACAATGTTGTTGTCGTATCCTGGTGGCAAAGGAGGCGATACATTGACCGGTGATCCTGGACTCAGTGGTGTTGAAATATCTGGGTGAAGCGGATCGACGAAAGCAGTAGATGCGGGTGAGGGGAGTCGGAGGCTGGGTGGTGATACGGATCGGGGATCTGTGTGGCTCTCCATGTACCGTCGAAGAGTTGCGAAATCTGGGGTGTTGACTTCGGGGGTCGCGTGAGGGATGTCGTTGGCGTCCAAGGGGAGCAGACCGCTGCACTCCTCTGCATCGGGGATGACTGTCGTTTCTGATCCTGTGGGGGAGTGGATGGCCAACATGTGGCCCGGGATGGCAGAGGGAGGGGCACCTCTAGGAATACGCACACCCTCGGGCGTAATTGCGGACGAGTTGGAATTGTCTGCCATTGAGGGCTGTCTAGATAGCATCAAAATAGGAAGAGGATGTGCTTGTGTGAGGGATGGACGAGGAGACGACCAAAGGAGAAGGTAAAGAGAGAAAAGAGAGTCGATCTGAGATCGGCGTGTGTTTGTGTTGACCAATAACAATAACCTTCCATCGATCGGGCATGTTTGTTTTGTTGGTGTTTTGGGTCAAAGGATGAGTTGGGATGTGCTGGAATGCCAAACCGATTTGCACCTGTATCACGATCCAGACAAAGTTCGATGGGCAGTTGTCATAAAGTAATTTCCCACGTGTAGGTGATCCCCCTCACTCACGCCTCTTGACTGGTTGATGTCGTATCATCGTCATCAAGCGCACAGTTGCTGCAAGCTGTTGAAACCCAAAAAAAAAAAAAAAAAACGAAGCAAGTGCCAGCAAGTGCCAGCAAGGGCATGAAAGCAGAATGACAACGTTTACTCCTTTTCCGATTGAATTTTTTTTCTGGGTTCACATCCGATTGAAAAAAATCGCTCGGAGCATTTTTCCATTAGTGGGGGCACTATGGGGGAGGGCGTAAGAGAAGCTCTTTTGTGCAACATGATTCATGAGGTTGGGAAAATGGTTCCTGTAGGAAAACACTGCCTATACAACCGCTATGCCGCGATCCTACATGCTCTTTCTTGATACTATTCCTGCTTGTGTGTTGCCTTGACGAGTCGTTGAAGAGTAAAGGGAGAAAGGATAACGTTTGGTGGCGTATTTACCTTGTAGAGTAGGGCCAAAAAGGCAAAAAGGGTGAGGAGGTAAAAAAAAGTAAAGAACGATTTGTGAAGTCAACAAAGAGTAATGCAAGTGAACAATGGGGTGAATGGAATGAAAAGAGAATGTAGCGAGGACGGGGCTGAGGGTGAATGTTTGAAGGAAGGTGAATGTTTGAAGGAAAGTGAAATGGTGGCGAATGTCAAAGCAGTGGATTTGGGATGCAGAGACAATAAAAGAGAGGAAGAGAAGAGGTGAACAAGGCTTGCGGTGTGAGAAAGTATAGAGAAGGAGAGGACAAGAAAAAATGAGAGGGGAAGAAAAGATTAAAGAAAGAGAGGAAGCAAAGCTGAAGAGAGAAGAGGCAAACAGCAACAAGGGTAAGAATGACAAGGATTATGTATGCTCCATCCAGCAAGTCAGCAAGTCAGCCAGTCAGGTTGTTGCCTGACAGACCGATCAGTGCTATGACAACACACACACACAAAAGAAAGAAAGAAAGAAAGAAAGAAAGAAAAAAAGTGAAACCCCTCGGTTCAATTTTTTTTTCCTTGTCTGCTTTCTTCGTTTTCTTCACCGCGACAACCCACAACAGAGACACCTCGAAACACCAGCTGTTGTTTGTCGTGTTTGTCCTGCTGCTCTGTCCCGTCTCTCCTTTTCTTTCTTTCTTTTTTTCTTTTCCCCTTATCTCCCTCCACTTCTTTTTCTGTCATCATTTCACCCTTGTCGCATGCAAAACAGGATCATCACCCAGAGGGCCAATACAGAAAGAGATATTCTGTTGTTTATTCGTATTGCTGCAGGTGGTAATGGTTATACATGCGTGTTCCTTATCGTTTATCGGTAATGGTCTACTCGGATCCTGCATCCACAATATACCTACAAAACAAAAAACAAAAAAAAAGGCAACGGACCATCGTCAGAAATAGACATCGGTAATGAAATTCATATTTCTGCCAAGATATCAATCACCCTCTCCGCCTGCACCCATGGGCTGTTAAGGTGACTTCATATGTTAATTACATACCCTTTCCTGGAGATCAGACCCCGACTGCTGATCAGCACCGAATACTTGAGCACAAAGTTAGGCTCCAGCAATGACGCCGATGTCGCAGCCAAGTGTGGTTGCAACAGCGAAGCCAGAGTTGACCTTGGCAGAATGTCTAGAGGTTTGGGTCGTACATAGAAAATAAAGAGAGGCGGATCAGAGTTGATCCTCATAGGGGGGCCTGGCTGCGGCGCCACAAAAAAAACATAAACATGTAAAAAAACTACGTTTTCCTGCAACTGCATGCAATGTTTCTCACTTTGCACCCCTTTCTTTTCTTTACCGATTCTCCTCCCCAGAAAAAAATACAAATCATTTTTTTTTCAAGTACTTACCAGATGAATCCCCATGGGTCAAAAGCTCAATGCCCTCAGCCTTCGCATACTCAATCAACCCCTTGGGCAACACACAACAGTCCTGCAGATTAACCTGATTGATCTCTGGCACAACAGCCCCAATCTGAACCGCAGCGGCTTTTAAGATCTCCAGCTGCTGTTTCGAGAACTCGGACACACCCAATCGACCAATCCTGCCGGCCTGACGCAACCCAGAGAGTCGTTTCCAGATGGGGAGATACAACTTTTGGATATCCTCAGTAAATTGGTCGATCTCGGATGAGTCCAGGTCGTTCTCGTCGAATGTCTGGTTGGGGATAGCGAGGATGAAGTGGTCAATTTTGAGATTGCCGGAGGTTACTGATAATGCTGTTTCCAGGTGCTGGATGGCGTTGTGGAGGTGGTCGACAGAGAGGGGCTCAGAAGATCCATGGGGCGATAAGAAGAACAGCTTCACTAATTGGTTGTAGTAATGTATTGTTCAATGGATGAGAACTCAAGCAAGTCTTGGATTTGGAGGGCCTTAGCGCGTTTATGCATGACAATATGAGTAAACATGTGTTGTTTTACAGGCACTGGTCATTGTTACTTACCGGTGATCTCATATTTGGATCGATCATCCTCGAGGGGAGCTAGAGTTGAGTTGTCAGCAATGGTGATGGCACGGCCATGGACCTGTGCAGACTCGAGAGACCAGTTTAATGTGTGGTCGATCGCAGAGACAAGCTATGAAGGAGAAGATGATCATTTCGAAGTCAAGGACAGAAAAATAGTTAGTTCACTGTAAGTGACAGACGACAGTTTCCTGTTTGCCACCAAATTCAAAATGTCCACATCCAGTCGATCGATTCAACGCAATGCACACGCAATTCATACGAAGCCCAACAATAAGAAAAGAGGAAACAACTCTTTGCAGAAATGTGAGCCGATCGGGTTGTTGTTTCTATGGTTGCGCAGGTTGTCATCCTTATTGTTGTGGAGACAAAGCAACCCTCCTTCCTGCTCCATGTATTCCTGACCTCATCCTTGCTCCTGTACTTCCTGTCATGCTGTCATCCTGCTACCCTACCACCTTCACACAACACCCCATTCTTACCTCCTGGTTCGACTTCTTCGCCGTGGAATTCAACAACCCCGTCGTCCCCGTCACCATCGTATTCCCGGTAAAGAGCGTCAAATGCGAGAACACATCCTTGGAAAACGCAGCCGGCAGGACCCTGTCTCCGTTCTGGATCCCAATGCTGTGGTAGGCGGCTTTTCCATTAAAGTGGTGTTGTTCGTTGATGTAATAGGTGTTGTCTGAGGCTTGGACTGCTGTCATGGCTGGACTAGGAGAAGTATATGTTTTAGGCTGTAGAGGGAAAGTGGTTGACTGAAAAGTGAATGCGCAAAAAAAAAGAAAGAAGGAAAGAAGGAATGAGCAATGAGAACAACGAGAACAAAAGAACAAAAAGAAAGTCGTTTGTGTATGTGAATGAGTTTATGACTGGTGAGAAACTGTACAAGTGGTAGTGAACGTAGAAGGAAAGTGAAAGTGAAGAATATAGTTACGTGCTTGCCAAGGGAGTATTTATTCGAAGCGGTGACTCTTCTCTTTTCGTCGTCTCGTTGCAATCAAGCTGGGTGAGAGTGGGTACTGTGATCCTGGATCGATCTACCCGCCTTGTGCTCGCACACTACTTACATTACAAACCCCTGAACATGAACACAAACGACCAATCCCATCCACTTGTCAACCAACCAGCGGGCGGAATAGCTCAATTGCCCCCTACCTCTCCTTACTCTGCTCTCACACACCTTCGCATGGACAAGCAATTGCACACACAAATAGTTGGCATGTGCGTAGCTCTTCTCCCTTGCTGCCTGTCTACACAACAACAAGAACAACGAATGCCATCCAACGATTTGCATAGACGATGGTGTCATTCGGGAAATTTCGAGGCCATGCCTGCATCAAAGGGTACTCTCAGTGCACACCCTTATTCCGTACATCGTTGACACATCGCCCCTTCAATTGCTGTTGGACACGGGAGGATCGAGAGAGAGAGAGAGAGAGCAATCACCAATATTTCCGTCCTTGCCACATCGCCACTGCCGCTTTGACGTTATCAATGCACCTCTTCATGTCATTCATCTATTCCATGTGTGTTGCCAGAAGGATAAACAAGCATATCGTCCATACCACCATGCAATTAAAACAAAATAAACAAACAACAAGGAAATGGTGGCAAAGTCTACAGAAAGCACATCATCGATCTTATCCGATCCTCATTTCTTCGAAAATGTGTTCGTTCTCTCAGCACCATCTACTTACTTTTTGTTCTTTGTTGCATTTTCTGTTCTCACACTCCCCCTTACTCCCCCCCCCTCCCTTCCTTTTCCTTCTTTCCCTTTACCCGCTCATTGCCTCTCTTCCCGGAAAAAAAGTCGTTCTTTCTGCAGCACGCTACCGATCGATTTCTAGACAACACACATACAGGAGGATACACCATGGACCAACAACAACCATAGACACAATGCTCAACACATGCAAATAAGATCATTCTCACAAGTATGTGTGGTAAAACAATGTATTATTGAAGAAAAAATGCAATGGTGGAAGAAAAAAAAGGGGAGGGAAGAAAGGAAGACGCCTAACAAACTATACACATAAAACGAAGAAACCCACAAACTTAAGCCTGAGGAGCGTTCTTATCGTAGGCAGAATCGTGGACCTTCTGGGCACGACCTGAAGGATCAGCAGGGCAACCCCAATCGCCACGAGGGATCCAACGGACAACCGACTCTGTGCAAGCAGCCTGGGGGTACCACTGCTCAAAGACCTCACGGTACCAGTAAGCCTCCTTGGTCTGAGGGGTATCCTGGGGCCAGCGCTCGGCAGCCTTGGCAAACTCTTCGTCCGAGACCTTGACCAAAGCCGTATCCTTCAAAGAATCGATCCAGCCGTATCCAACACCGTCCGAGAACTGCTCCTTTTGGCGCCAGAGGATCGAGTCGGGCAAGTAGGGCTGAGCGGTAGGGTCGGCGGAGGTGTCGAAGGCCTTGCGGAGGATATGCTTCTCCATCTTGCCCTTGAAGGACATCTTCTCCTTGGGGTCGACGTTCATGGCGACCTCGAGGAAGGCCTTGTCCAAGAAGGGGACACGGGCCTCGACTCCCCAGGCCATGGTCGACTTGTTGGCACGGAGGCAGTCGGCGTAGTGGAGGTTCTTGACGCGGGAGACGGTCTCGGTGTGGAGGTCGTCGGCGGAGGGGGCGGCGTGGAAGTAGAGGTATCCTCCAAAGATCTCGTCGGCGCCCTCGCCGGAGAGGACCATCTTGACGCCCATGGCCTTGATCTTTCTGCTGAGCAAGTACATGGGGGTAGAAGCACGGATAGTAGTGACGTCGTAGGTCTCGAGGTGGTAGACAACATCGGCAATGGCGTCAAGACCGTCCTGGACAGTGAAGGTGTACTCGTGGTGGACGGTCTTCAAGAAGTCAGCAGCGACGCGGGCAGCAGCCAAATCGGGGGATCCCTCAAGACCGATCGAGAAGGAGTGGAGACGAGGCCAGGAGGCAACAGCAGACGAGTCAACATCATCGCCATCCTTGTTGAGGGGACCGGTACCGCTGATAATCTTCTGAGTCTCACGGGCAGCAATGGAAGCGATCAAGGAAGAATCCAAACCACCAGAGAGGAGGACACCGTAGGGGACCTCAGACATCAATCTCTTGCGGACAGCCTTCTCGAGCGACTCGCGGATGAGCTTGTAGTCGACAGGGTTGGAGGGGATCTTCTCGCCGTCCCACCAGGTGGGCTCAAAGTACCGGGTGGTCAAGCCAGTCTCGGAATCAAAGACGTGACCGGGGGGGAAGGCAATGATGCGATCGCACTCCTCGTTGAGGGCCTTGAGTTCCGAGGAGAAGTAGATAGTACCGGGCTGTTTGCTGTTCCAACCCTGGTAAAGAGTGGTGATACCGATGGGGTCGCGGGCAGCAACAATGCGGTTCTTCTTGGTGTCGAGGAGGATCCAGGAGAACATTCCGTCGAGGTGCTTCACAACATCAGCACCCATGGTCTTGTACTATTGCAGGTGATTAGTGTTTGGTTAGCCGCCTCTTCTTGTTCTTGTTTAGAAATATAAATGAACATATTACAAAGAGATAACAATGTGGATCCAGACAGTTCCAAGAGAAAGAGAGAAAGAAACGTACGAGGTGAAGGATGACCTCACAGTCGGACTGGGTCTTGAAATGGGTTCCCTCGGCGCACATCTTGCGGAGAGCGTTGTGGTTGTAGATCTCGCCGTTGACGGACAGGATCAAGGTCTCGTCGTCGTTGGTCAAGGGCTGAGCTCCCGACTCTATTAGTTATCAAAAGAATGCGATGGTCAGTCATCCGTCTAGAAAACAAGAAAAATTTCTGTTCAAAATCCAGGATTTTCTCCTCCCTCTATCACTGTGCTGATCTATTCCACACCTCCGGATACATTTTCCTCTTCTTCCTCCTCAACCCCGGTAGCAGTATTCTCGACTGTTGCGGCTGTATTGCGACCTGCTGTTTGTCGGAGGTGTGTGTATGTCATCTCATTTTTCAACTCCAGCCTGGAGATCGTCTCTGATAGCCAGTTTGACCTCCGGGTCGCCGTAATATTCCACGGAAGGTTCAGCGAACCTTTCTGGTTCCTCTTCCTCCTTTGTCCAATTGGGTCCACTGCTCGCCTGTCATGTCTATCTTCCTCTCCTTCCTTCCTTCCTTCCTTCCTTCGTTCTCCATCGTTCCTTTGCCTGCCAGTCACACATTCAGCGAGGGAAAAAAAAATTCGATCCGCCCTTTTGTCGTTTCGTCCTCGGGTCCAGTCAGTCCATATGTTATCATCGGTCAGACAGAGATAGATAATTCTCCGATCTTGGTCTCTGCTCTCTCTCTTTCCTCCTTCATTATGACCAAAGGTTAAAATGCACAAAGGAATAAAAGGGATGCAAGTGACTCACCAACACCGACAATGGCAAGACGCTCGTGGCAGAGAATGTGGTTGCCAGCAACAGTGCATCCGCTCCAATCGGGACCACGGTGACGGAGCCTATTTATCATACAGATCAGTTATCAAGTAAAAGGTTGAGGTTGTTGGTAAGTCAACTGCGTTGTCCTTCTTTTGCCTGTTGTATGTGAGTGTTATGGCGAGGGAAATCAAAAAGACGAGGCGATGGTTGGAAGAGAAAAGGCGAGTCTCAATAGATCGACGGTTTCGTCTAGAGTCGCTGTTCTTTTGATCCTCGATCCATGCGCGATGCTGCACTCGGGCTGGTTATCCGATCCTCCATTATCCACTTGCGATCCGTCCTTTGTCCGTAGATCTCGATGCGACTGTGTGTGCACCTCTGTTTCGGAAAAAGTTGTTCAGATCCCGAGAAAGTAGAAAGTCAACGTGATCGACAATCGCATGGGCATCAAGAGGAGCGAACGATAGAACCAAGGAGGAAAAGTAGACCGAGGAATGAGTGAAGTAGACTTACTTCTTGGAAAGAAAGAGGGCGCGCTGACGGAAGGCGTTGGCATCGCCGGGCAAGTTGTAGACTCCAAAGATACCGCACATGGTGATCTTATTGTATGTATTAGAGAGGAAAGGAGGGAAGAGGAGTCGACGAGGGAGAAGGGCGATGAACAAGAAGCGACAACGAAAGCCGTAGACAAGGGAAGGGGAGGGAGAGGAAGGTGAAGGAGAAGAAAAGAAAGAGGAGGACAAGAAGTATATATATAGCGGGTCAAAAAAAGAAAAAAGGGTTGAGTCAGGCGTGTAATGCGTTGGACGAAAGCTCTTTTATCTCTTGGGTTCTGTTTCGCCGATTGATTTCAATGATTGATCATTATTGATCTACCAGGTGGAAGAACATGTTGGTGGCTTTGCTTTGGCTGCATGACTCTTCGAAAAATGAATGGCCCAGAGGCCTCTTTTGAACAACACTTGTTTTTGATCCGCCGATTTGGCCGTTCTGACAACTACACTCACCGCCTTCCCTCTCAACACGGTTTCACGTCAAAGGAAAAGAAAAGGGCCCCAGTATGAAAAAAGCGGGATGGTACCGTTACCCAGGTACCGAGATGATGTAAACGAGGCCAAACGCTTCCCTTGGCCCACAGCCATTTCGACCATTACTCTGCGTTAGGAGGGGCACTAAGCAAAAAAAAGAGCGAGTCGGAGAAAAAAATAGAAGGCACCTACCCGCCGTTCTGTTGAATGCTGAGAGAGCCCTACTTTTCTATGACTCGATGACTTTTTTATGGTTGTGTCCCCTACCCCCTTCCTCCTCTTCCTCCTCCTCCTCCTGCCTCATTTATACTCTTTTGGCACTCTTCATTTCATTTCTGATCGGTTGTCCTGCTCCCTCCTTTCCGCAAGGACACGAAAAGTACACGAAGGGGGCGATGCGGGCAGTCAGGGAGGGAAAGAAAGAAAGAGAGTTGAACACCGACTCTTTCCTTCTTCTGTGTGTTCGTGGAGAAAAACAAATCCTAATTGCCCACTTGCTGTCGCGGTAGAGTAGATCAATCTGCTATTTAGCGTGGCCTTCTCACAGCTGCTTGACAGGTAGGCCTCAGGTTGGGAAACGAGGATGCACCGTCGATCTCTCCACTACCGCACTAGCGCTCTTCTCTTAGGACTGGTCATACCACACCCATACAGCGCGTTCTTGATCCACATTCTGTTCGTTCTCATGCCTGTGCCCTTGAACGACAATTTTTCCTTCCAAAGCAAAATATCGACCGATTCCCCATTACCTTCTCACCTACCCATGGATCTTGATCAATTGCACCTGCAATAATTGAATACGAACAACCATCTAACAAAAAAAAAAAATAGCCGCAGTATAGTTCTTAACTGAGCACATATCCAACCAATTAAGTAAAGAATACTGTCATGACTTTCGTACTTGATATTCTTCTTCTCCCTCTCCAGTCCTTTCTCGTCCACACAGACAACTGCACAGAGTCGATGATTTCGCGCACTGTATTGATCGGCCACCCTCCACGATTATGCCACTCACTCTTACCGAGAAAAGGTCACCACGTCGCCGTCTTAAAACAAACTCGAAAGCTGAGAGTCAAAACAACGATTGACCTTCAGCATGAAAGAGTGCATCGGGCTACGACTCCGATAGGGTGGTTCAAGTCGAGCCAAACAAGGAACCCTTAACCCTCCTACTCAACCATGGCTCAGCCAAAAACGCGCTCACATTCTATGGTTGCCACCAAGTATGCTCCAATAGACGCTGGTAAGATCTACTGTAGAATAGTTTCCCCCTCCTCCTCCACACTTCGACATACATTCACAGCCGTTATTATTCGCGTTGTTCGTAATTCAATTCCTTCGTCAGAACGGATAAGAATTTTATTCGTGTTGATGTTTTGTGTTGTTGAGGAGAAAAGTGTACGAGTTCGAAAAATTATCACCTTCTCCATCTCATTCAAACGACCGAACGAAAAAGAAAAGAAAGAGAGGCCCCTTCTGTCCAGATCCGAAATAGGTTGCCAAACAAGAAAAACGGAAAAGAGATAGTTCCCATGATCGCACCGAATGTCCCAAGAGTCGCGCACCCTTTAACGGTAGGACTTCTGGTATCTGTTGTCGTAGAAGAAAACAAAATATAGTTGTTAGTGACTTGTCGGTTTTGTTTGTGATCACAAGCACGCTCTTGCTTCCTTGCGTCAATTGCCCATAAAAAAAGAAAAAGGCATACCTGGCACGGGCACCGGCACCACCGAACTTCTTGGGCTCGCAGCGACGGGGATCGGCGACGAGGAGGGTACGGTCGTACTGGAGGAAGATCTGCTTGAGCTCGTTCTTGGAGGCCTCATCGACGTACTTCTGGTAGTAGGCAACGATGGCCTTGGCAAGAGCCTGACGGACAGCGTAGATCTGGGAAGTGTGTCCACCACCCTTGACACGGATGCGGATGTCAACGTTGGCAAACTTGTCAGAGCCGACACGGAGGATGGGCTCGTAGACCTTGAACTTCAAGACATCGGGCTCAACGAGCTCAATGGGGGAACCGTTGAGGCGGATGAGACCCTTACCGGCCTTGCAGTGAGCAACGGCGGTGGCGGTTTTCTATTAGTTGTTTGATGGGGGATAGGGGTTTTCGGTTAGCGTGACTGGCCACCTTGTTGTTTCCTTATTGTAGGCCTTGGTGCTTGTGTATGTTTGCGTTGGCGGTTGTCCAGGACGAATTGAGGTGGTTTGCTGAGGCAATGGGGCGTTGCTTGTATGTTACAGTCGTACGATCCAAGCAACCTTTATTCTGTTCCCCATCGTTCAATTGCCAAAGGTGTGTTGCCCTATCCTTCCTGGTGATAAGGAACAACGGCCGATTGAACGGTCCAGTCACTGGTGTGAAAGCTGTTGATATTGCCGAAGGAAACCGTTGGTGACTTGTTGCTGTTGTTGCAGAGGTCCGGCACTGATTCAGCCTTGGGCAGGTTGCCGTGGTGTGAAAGCAATAAAAGCTGATTGCGCTGATCGCCTGTTGTAGTTTGCCGAGAGTTCTGTTACGACAGAGCCGAGTCCCCGCATACAAAAGTCGCCATCCACAAGAAAAACGATCAAGAGGTCGGCCTCTGTTTGATCATAGTTTCTCCATGGCACTATGCTCTTCCCTTCTGCAACAACTGTTGCCTCCTCCTCGTTGTTGGAAAAGTTACTCGTAGTTGTTGTTGCTATCCCCGCTATGGTTGGTGAGGGGTTGTCTGTTTTTCCTGATCGCCTTGCTGTTTGTTGATTCCTGTTTGTAACGGCAGTGTGTATAGGTTCTCTGAGGACAGGATGAGAGACTTGCCTTGCGGCCGTAGCACTGAACACTCTTCGAGTCAGACATAATGAACTAGTTGCGTCAAAATAACGATCGAGAAGAAAGACGTCGGTCAGCAACTTGATGATCTCGCCTCGGTTGTCTGTTACGCCATCGCCCATGGTCCTGCCACTCGAATCGAACGTTTCATCCCTAGGAGTAACACTCATCCAGCATAACCCCCCCGCCTTGGAACCTCAAACATAATTTTCTTATCATCGATGGATGGTGTTCGATAAGTTTGTCGATGAATGGTCCTGTCTGTCGTCGGATACGCCGTTGGATGCATTAACGTGGTCTCCTTGGTACCCATGGATGTCTACCCTATGATAACAGTCATTCATAGGGTGCTCCGTCCATATGATTTCCCTCCAGCAGCCCCGATCGCCCTTTGGAACACAGGGTAATTTTTACCAAGTGGAATTGAAAGGGGGTTTCGCCATTCGCTGCCCGCCCACGCATATTAATTTCCACTGTGGCTTATATCTTCTTCCACTTTTCCCTTGGGCGTCTCTTCAAACGCATGCATTCCGTCACCATCACTCACACACTCAACTCGACAATGTTCCTCGCGACAAGAATACGGCCACTGGCGAGAACGATACCCAGGACGGTACTAGGAGTACAGAGGCCAGTATGGGCAACAGCAGCAGCACGCGGTTTCCAGGCGTCTGCGCATCGTTTCAACACGACTGGTCAAGACACCAACTCAACTGCCACAACCGCCGCGTCGTCGTCGTCGGAGGCGGAGAAGGAGACAACTACAGAAAAGACTGAAGAGATACCAGAAGAACCAGCAAGCGAGGGAGAGATCACAGCCAGAGCCTATGATTTCCGTATGTAACCCTTGCCTTCATCCTTCGTTGCATCGATATCGTATCAATTCCGCAGAGGTTACTTGCAAGCTGCAAGCTGCAACAAGTCTTCACACGGGTTCACGATAACGAAACACGAAAGCTCACGCAAACACTTGTCTTTAAACACATTGGAATTGATCAATTAGCATGGCTTTATAACGGATCGAGTCATTTGACAAGGATCTCACACTACCCTTACGCAAAGGCGCCCAAGGTGTGGGCACTTCTCGGATGGGTTCCTCAGTCGATCCAGTACGCGATCTGTAAATCTGCATGCGAACGCATGCTCCGCAACAACACCTCGCCCGAGTACTTTCCCGATCAGTTCCTCCAAGGAGGTGAGTGCCTTTTCCGGTGTACATTTGCAACTAGATATGTGCGGCGCAAATTAAGATGACAGGTGTAACTTACAATTCTTTATTGATACGTGTGACGACATAGCTGGATTGGCGATCCACAAGTTGTTACCCCTCCTCTCGACAAACGTAAACAGGGGCGCCCTTGCCGACATGATGACACAGGAACTCTACGATCGCTACGAATCAGAACTTCGGCGTCAGGAGGAACTTAAATCGGATGTGTCAATTAAACTGGCGTCGGTCCATGATGGCATGATCAAGGATGTCTGGGTCCTGCTGGGACCCAAGTTGAAGAGTGGGACGTCAAGGGGGTTCATCCGGTGGAGGTGGCAGTCTCTCACGGTTGCCCTCCGTGCTGCGACTGATCAGATGTCGTCCCGGGATCAGGTTGCGCATATGATGATGGAAGGCGTTCAATTCAAAGTCGACGTTGAGTGTAAGGTCTTTTTTCTTTGGTTTTGTTATTCTTTGCACGTGCAGCTTTGTCAGTGATCTGAGGCATCATTGTACTAACAAACATTTGCACCTTTCTTCTGCTCTTTTGAACAATGAAAAAAAAATAGTTGATGCGACGATCGATTACACGATCCACTCAAACATCCTAAACAACGACGTCGTCTCAGACTTTACACGTCGCCCGCTCCTAGTCCGGTTCGAAACACCCTTCTTTGAACCCGCAGAACAGATGGTAGCCTCTCGAAGCATGTCACGGCCCCACGAGGCACCTATTGATTGGAACTGGCGCGTCTCGGATATCGACTACCTGCTGGAACAGGATTTCATCGAGAAAAGGATTAAAGAGGATATCCAGGATGAGGAGCATGCCCAGCGCGAAATGGAGACGTAGTTTTTTTCTTCTTTGTCGCTGTTGTACTGTACTCCGATAACCTTTTCGATATTGATGATTTTTCCATCTGTACAACTATTATGAACTTGAAAAAAGTAGAAGTAAAAAATCTTGTAGACGATTCTTTGTACTTGCATATGCGTGGTTGTTATTATGGTATTATGATTACTAGTTCTATGTATTTGTATGTACAAAGCTTACACCATCTCCATCTTCTCGGCAGCTTCAGCCAAAGCCTCATCAAGGTCCAAATCAACCACCGTGGCACCTGCACCAACTGCAGCACCCGTCACGACAGCGGCATCCGCCGAATCACCCGCAGGAGCAATAGGAGCAGCAGGGGTGGCAGGTGGAGCTGGAGCAGTGTTGGGCATCATGAACGCAGTGACCACAGCGCCCAGAACACCAAGTGCAACAACACCGAACAACCCATTCCGATAACTCTTCATCACCTCCTCCACCGGCGTCCCCACCGTCACAGCCACAGAGTTCTCGGAGATCAAGGTGACGATGACGAGTCCAAGAGGGGCACCCAGTTGCATACCGGTTGAGTACAGGGCTCCAACGACGCCTTGGTCTTCGTTCTGGGCGTCCTTGAGTGCTGTGATCTGTGCAGGGAGAACGGAGGTGCCGAGGCCGATGACGTGGACCAGTAGGCCTAGGAAGGGAAGCGTCCAGTACGAGGTTGTGCTCTTCACGAACGCAAACATCAGCGCGGCCACACACCGAAACGCGAATCCGGTCAGGATAAACGGCTTCAACCTATACTTTGGCAGCACCTTCCCCAACACCGTAAACGCCACCACCGCAAACAAACTATGCGCCAAGAACGCCAACGCCGTCTGCATAGATGTATACCCCATCACATTCTGGAAAATCAACGTAGAAAAGTACGTAAAGCCCTGGAACTGTCCCTGGAGGAACAAGATCGCAACGAATGCAGAAGAAAAGTTTTGGAGACGCCAGATTCGGAAGGGCATGATGGGGTTCTTGACGAGACGGAGTTCGATCCAGAAGAAGGCTACGAGGAGGACGAGACCGGCGATGAGGACGGGGAGGGTTTGGACAGATGCCCAGCCGGTTGCAGAGCCTGTTGAGATATAATAGATGATGCAGATCATACTCGACGTTGCTGTCATGGCACCGGCGACATCAATCTTGGCCGTCACCACCTTGGGGGGCGCCACAGGGATGGCCAGGTACCCAACTACGAACAAAAGGAAGGAGAATATACTCGAGAACCGAAAGATCCACTCCCATCCCACGGACGAAATAAACGCACCCGCCAACAACAAACCCACAACCGCTCCCGCAGCACCAAAGCCTCCAAACACCGAAAGCGCGCGGGTTCGTTTAGGACCGGCAGGGAATGTGGTAGTGATGAGGCCGAGGGCGGTGGGAACAGACATGGCGGCGCCGATGCCCTGGAGAGCACGGGTGATACAGAACATTGCGGGGGAGGTCGAGAAGGAGATGACTAGGGACCAGACACCGAACCAGATCTGACCGGCGAGGAAGACGCGGCGGTGGCCGTACACGTCTCCAATGCGACCTGACAGCAGCAGGAATCTAGTTGGGTGAGGATGTAGTGGAGGAGTTGTTCTGGGTAAGCCTTTTGTGCAACACTCAAGAGCATAAATGAACAATGGATTGAGAACGTGGTTGAAGATGATTTAACTTACCCTCCGAAGGTGACGACGTAGGCAGAGATGATCCATTGAGTTGAGTAGCTGTCGAACCCGAGGGCCTTGGAGATGTCGACCAGCGCCACCGTCATCGACGATCCGTTCACTATTGGCATACAGATAAGAAAAGTGGAGAATCGACAGTTAGAAAATGCTGCATCCCTCCTCGATCGATCCAAATACATACCAAACGCCATCAACAACAACAAAAAAAACATACTGATGTCGATGAATTGGGCCATGGAGACAACAAACAACATCAAAGGGGCCATCTTTTCCTGAAAAGCCGATAGCTTCGTCTGCTGCTTCTCGTCAACTTGTATCCGCTCTTCGTCAACTTCTTGCTTTTGTGGTTGCTGTGGGGTATGTTGGTGGATGGCGTCGACCTCTGTCTTCATGTTGAAGGAGGGGGTGGGAGATTGGGCTTCTGCGTCTAAAGTATGCTCTGAATGACTATTGCTTGACATTTTTGAGGTTTACTGCTTCTTGAGCGAGTGTTTGTTGGAGAGTGAAGAATGGGAGAATAGAGAGTGAAGAATGGGAGAATAGAGAGTGAGAGAATGGAGAGTAAGAGAATGGAAAGGAGATTCCGCCTGTATTTAAGCATTTTCAAAACAGATCGACATACCGCAGCTCTCGACTTCTACCTCTCGTTTTCTTTTCTTCTGTCCCATCAACATCCGTCATCGTCATCTTCTCTTTGTGTTCTGCCGGGACCCCATTTCACCAGTAACAATATGAACAAAGGAGAGCAAGCTACAGATGAAGGATAAACACTTTCTTGCTTACTTTGGATAAAGTTTTTCTCGCTGTGATGCTCCGCATTCAAAATGTCATTTTTTGTCCACCTGTTGCAGGGCAAAATAAATCTCGCATCTCCAACCGCTCCAATTGAGCTTTCGCTGAACGAACCACTTGAGAATACAGGATTCAAGGGCCTTTCATTTTTACACTATGTTAAGTTTGTGTGCTTAAGAAAGACTCGGACTTTGGATGACTGGATCCACTGGAGATTTGGTACATTGAGAGAATCTGCTGTACATGGATATCTATCCCGTCTTGGCCGGTCCTACTCATGCGCCTCTTCTTTGTCTCACATCATCGATGACAACTACCACACCACAAATGCTACAGGCGCTTATGATGAGCCGTTGCTGAAGCACAACTCCCAGTTCTGATTAATCGACAAAATGGAGTGGTTATAATGGATATACCCCTCGGCATCATTCACCCTTTGTCCCTATCCTTCATTCACCTACATAGTCATATTAAACCGAAACAGTCGGTCCCATCAGCAAAGGCACAAGCATAAAGTCATGCACGTTCTGCGAATGTGTTTTTTTTTTCTGACCAGAGCACTGGGCAATGGTGGAAGGAGATCGGTTTTTATTAAGACAGACGTAAAGAAACAATTTACTTCTTCTTGTTGGCCTCCTCCTCCTCCTTGGCCTTGCGGCGGGCCTCGCGGATGCCGTGAAGACGGGCAACGGAGCGAGCCTTGCGGTGCTGCTCGTAAGCAGAGTTGTTCTTCTCGGCCTCGGTGATCTTGCGAGCCTTCTCCTTGGTGTAGACCTGGGTGACGGGGTGGACGGCACCGGTCAACTGAGTGGCGGCAGAGAGCTCGGTAGCAGCAGAGTCACCAGCCTTGACCTTACCGGCCTTGCGGGGGAAGACAATCAACTTGGCCTTGTAGGCCTTGAGGCGCTGAACGTTGAGCTGAAGAGACTCCTCGGACTTGTTGCGGCGACGGTGGTCAACAGAGACACCGATGGAGAGAGCCTCCTTGCGGCGGATACCAGCAGCCTATTTTATGTCGACTATAATTAGTAAAGGTCTTCGTTTGTCTGAGTGTGTACTTGTTCGCTACACTAACACAAGATTCCTGTTCCAAAGTGATCCAAGAAAATGTACCTTGAGCTCCTCGAGGGTGAAGCCACGACCAGCACGGAGCTTGGTGTTGTACTTGATGGTGGGGCAACGGACGGCGGGGCGGATCAAGCCATCAACGGGGCGAGGGGCAACGCGAGCAGCCTTCTGGACACGCGCAATACGGCGGGACTTCTTGCGACTAGCCTGGTCCAACCAGGTCTTGACGCGCGACTGCCAGTCCTTACGGAAATGCTATTAGGGAGATTGTTCGAAGGTCGTCTGTGATAAGTATCCGCTGTTCTGTGATAGCTGTTTTTTTCCTTTGTCGTGGTATTGGGTCGGTAAAGCCCAGAACTGAAAGTAACACCAGGTGGCAAAGCGGGAAGGACCGGAAAACGAACTTTTAACCACTGAACGAGTTGTTGTGCGCAACCAAAAGAAAGAGGAAGATAACCCTTCCTCTCCATTGCTCGCCTCGTGTTATGAATAATCGCAAGCTTTCCGTCCTATCTCTCTCTGCCGCTGATGATCTCCCTTTCTGAGTGCCTGCAATAGCGCCTTTCAGTTCTGACTGCTCGTAAATACACTGCCTGTCAATGTCTCGCCAGCTTGAAAAGAAAATACGCACCTCTCCGGGCAATTGGTTGTTGTGCTTCATGGTCTGTTGATTGGCGAGTTGTAGGTGTGGTTGGAACGTGAAGTGTGGAGTATCCAGATAATTGAAGGACGAGATGATGTTGCCAAGACAGTTGAAAGTTTCCAGTGTTGTAGAGTAGTTGGGAGTTGAGTTGTTGACGGGAAATATAGTGAAGGGAAAAGAGAAAACAACGTTGTAAGTATGTGGGCTACTCGCTCGGTTGGATTGAACCCTCTCCCGTCTTTTTTCATCGCGCCCTCCACACTTTGGAGTTCAACGATCCTAGTGTCAGTCCTCCTCCATCAACGAACAAACGATCGTGATCTCTGCTCTGACCATGATGTTGGGTTCATGCTGTAGTTGCTGCAGTAGAGCACTTCCTGATCCATGTAGCAACCTGTGGTTGTTGGCGTTGCCTTGACCTCCTCTGCTGAAGACAGAATCTCGAACAGGTTGTGTTCACACTTCCTCCTCGCAGATTCGCTCCAGACGGGGAAGACAAAGTCGGATGTTGCTATTGGCCCGCAATGGGTGCAAGGCTGTCGGGTAGATCTCTGGTTCCTCCTGATGTAAGTGATATCTCTTCCGTTTCCACCATCCTGTCCGTTCTTCCTCCACACTGTTACGTCAATCCTGCTCTACCCCGGCACTGCTTCACACAGCGTCCACCACAGGTTGTCTGTTACCACTCTCTCCTTCCCCTGTCATGGCCATGACCCATCAAAAGAGGTCCTCCTGTAACGTTGATGTTGGTATGTCCCGAATTACGATAATGACCGATACGAGGATATCGATGTCAACGGCGATGTGTCGATACGATCGATGGCGTATGGTGATGAGTGGTTGGATGGTTCATGGATACGTCTTCCACCCATGGATGTCTCCGCACATCCCTCAGAGACCCTTCCCGAATTTTAATTTTGAAGTCAGTACCAAGTGTTGGTGTTCAGAGAAAGGAGGTTCCAACTCTGCACCACCCAAATCCTCCTTTTGCCATCTCCCTCCTCTTCACCGTTTGACTCGTAAAAAAAATGAGCCAGCCATCAAAAAATTAAATGATCACGTGCGACTTTTCACTCCCCCCTTTGCTGCTGGTTCAGTGGCGTGCATGCAGCAACCACATGCTCCAGGATGTCCTTGTTCGAATCAGCACCCATATCAGATATGAGCAACAATCCACCCGCTCCTTCAACTCCTTCAATCACTAGTCTCCGTAATGATTTGTAACCACATAACGGACAAAGAAACCATGGAGTATCTCCCCCAATGGGCTTAGCAATTGGCAGACATAACCCTTCACTCGGCTCTACTTTTACTATCGTCAGGTTGCGAAAACGAAAGTGCGAATCGCAATTGAAAGTAAGCGTGCATGGAGAAAAGACAAAAAAATAGGCCCCTTGACCCTTCTCTCTTCTTTTGTCGACCGTGATGACCAAACAACACGTTGCTCCTCAATCCAAAATAATCACAACAACAGCCAAAAAAGAGTTCAAAAACAGAGCGATGCGACGCAACACCAACCGAAGCAACATCTTAACGGACAAGGAAGTAAAAAGGGGGGCTCACACGTCCACGTTCTTCATCCTCTGGCAACCATTCGTATATCGGCTAAATTTGCTTTTGAAGACGATTAATTTAGGTCGAATTGGATCCTGCTGGACTCTTTCTTCGCCTGTGTGTATGTGGACACCAAAAAAACAGACAGACATAGGGCATCAATGTCGCATAAGGCAAGACCCTTTTGACCTCATTTGCGAAAAGCCAAGGCTGAGGACAGGAGGTGGAACGAGCAAGAGCATGAAGGGCAAAAAAAGCAAAAAGACAGAGGAAACCGGAAAGATATTTTTTTTCTTCGTTTTTATTATGAGTCGATGGGACAGGCGTGAATGGTATAAGTTTATATGTTGCTAGATATTAAAGGCAATGAAAAGAGATATCTTACTTCTCCTCGTTCAAGGAGTTGGTGTTGTGGACATAGGGCTCCTCCTCGTTGGAGAGCTCCTCGAGGGTCTTGCCCTTAGTCTCGGGAATGAGGAAAGTAACAAGGAGACCGATGAGCATGAAGAGGGCAAAGATCTGGAGCAACTGGGGGATGAAGGCGTTGGAGCCACCGCGATCCTTGAGCTGGGAGAAACCGACCTGGGCAATGATGGCACCGAGCTTTCCGGAACCGGCAGCGATACCGTGACCGGTGGAGCGGTAGCGGGTGGGGAAGACCTCACCGGGGATGACAAAGGTGGTCGAGTTGGGGCCGAAGTTCTGGAAGAACTGGGTGGCGGCAAAGAGGAAGACAAAGAGGGCGACGGAGTAGTCCTTGATTTGGTGGTAGGCGAATCCGAGGACGCAGAAGAGGATGCAGGACATGACGAAACCGATGATCTGGATGCGGATACGGCCGAGGCGCTCGATGGTGAAGACAGTGACCCAGTAACCGGGGACGGCACCAAGGAGGACGATGATGATCTGGCCGACGGCGGCGTTCCAGCAGGTGGTCCAGTTGTCATTCTTGACACCGCCAAAGTTGATGGACGATAAGATGAACGAGTTGTTCAAACCGATACCGTAAAAGGCAACATCAAGAGCGAACCAGGCCATGGAGGTACCGAAAAGAACCTTGAAGTTCTCCCACTTGGCGAAGTAGGCGCAGAAGTCGGAGAAGGAGCCCTTGGCGGTGGCGGGGTTGGAAATGATGGCATCGGCAGCATCATCCTCGGACTGGAGGTGGTTGCGGTTCTCCTTGAGGACGGTGGCAACATCGCGCTCGGCCTTGTTGAGGTTGTTCTCGATATCCAAGACGTAACGGGGGGTCTCGGGGATGGTCAAACGGAAGTAGACGGCGACAAGGGCAGGCAAGCATCCGAAACCAATGAGGATACGCCAGACATAGTCGAGGTTTTGGACGTCAGTCTGAATGGAGGTCTTGAAGGCAGCGAGGAGGATGATGGCGACGATACCGGTGGTGAGGTAACCGAATCCCTGCATGGCAAAGACAGCGGCCATCATGGCACCGCGACGGTTGGTAGTGGCGAACTCGGAGGTGATGACGGCAGATAGAGGGTAGTCACCACCGATACCGACACCGACAATGAGACGCCAGACGATCAAAGCAGAGGGGAGCGAGAGGACATGACCGTTTCCAGAGAGAGCCTGACCGAGGGTAGCAACAATAATAATCATCAACTCGACACCGTACATGCGCTTGCGTCCCAAGCGATCGGCAAGGGCACCGAAAACGATCTGACCGATGAAGGTTCCAACAGAGGCGGCGACCTTGATACCAAGATCCAAATCAGAGGGGAGAGTACCACCGTAGTAGATCATGCCCAACATGGGGGTGACAAGGTTGATGGCGAACAAATCGTAGGCATCGGTGAAGAAACCAACACCGGCGACCAAACAGGCGCGGATGTGGAACCAGCCAAACTCGGCATTATCAATCTTGGAAAGTGCCTCGCGACGACGTTGGTTGAGCTCGTTGGCGTCCAACTTTGTGTTGTTGTAAGTGGACATGACTGTATGTGAGGGTGTGGTAGATGTGGTGAAGGAAGGAAGGATGAAGGATGAAAGAGGAGAGTGAGGAGGGATGAGAGAGAGGGGATGAAGTGAGAAGGAGGCGGAGGAGTAGTAGTTGATCGAGAAGAGGATGGGGAATAAAAAAAAGGTGCGGGAGGTGGTTGAGTATTTATACGATGAAAGATGGGATGAACTGTTTACTATTTTATCGATCAATTGAAAGACAAAGCAGATGCGTGCCACCAAGGTGCAATACGAGGTCGTGTTGTGACATATTGGGACTATAAGTGTCAACAGGGCATTATTATCTCTGTCAGAGAGTACCGCCAGAAGGCTAAAAGGCAAGAGGAAGGCAGGAGGGACTAAGAAATTGAGCCGAACAGCAACATCTAAACAAAGTGAGAGAGCTTTTGGCAATGAAGGTCATTCATTGGCTGGAGAGCGTAGGGTATGGACCAAGGAATTGTCAACGTGCTGGGAAGGATTGGCAGGAGCATCCATACTCGGTAAAGCGTTGGTGCGCAGAATCAACCACACAGAACGCAAGAAAATCAAAGAAAAGTGAGAACAGGACAGGGGCACGATGCAGTCGATGAGCCATAATATTGCATACATGAAAAATAGAATAACAGACAAGGCCAGATCTTTTTTTTTTCACCTGCTACTCTGCTGCACACGCTACTTTTTTTGCCATGTTGGCAGACAGGCAGGCAGGCGCAGAACAGGGGTGCGGGATTTATTTATTTCCCCCTGTCCTTGTCTCTGTGTTGTGTGTGGCTCTCAGTTCTCTCAGTTCCTGTACTCGCCAATTGGAGGGTGCACAGGGGGGCTGAAGCCCAATGAATGAAGACGCGTGGTGCTAGGACGCAGTTGATTGGCTGGACTAATCTTTTTCAAATAAGGTTCATCGCAAGAAGAAAAAAAAAGAAAAGAGAAAACGAGACACACTTCCATCTCGTCGTTCATAAACGTCTGTCCTTCTTCTCAACAGCCAGTCCCTCATCGCCATTCCCGTAAATTGGCATTAGGACTCTATGAGCACTACTTTGTTTTCTCTCTTTTGGGTCGATGGAACACAAAAGGTCACCCTCCTCCTTTGATGGAAATAGATCGTTCGGAAGGACCTTTCTTTTCTCAGGGGAAAGTGGTGGAGAATGAGGACAAAGGAACATGATGAGCAGGTAGAGGATATTACAAAGAAAAACGGGAAGACCAGACGACCAGATTCGACTGTCGACCCATTATGTCTCCAAATTCGACCCTTCCATCGATCCATCCTCCATTTGTTTTTCTTGGGAAGGTGGAAAAGAATATTGCAAAACATAAGAAAAAGACGCTACTGCATAACACATAATCAATCACCCTAGTGTCTGTTTCTCTCTACTCTACTATTGAGCAATGTAAGTAAGCAACAATGCAACCCGAGCAGCGAAGCGGCATGTTTTTTCATGTTTGCGCCTTGCATTAGGGTACGACACCATGTGTATCGGCAATCCCCTAAAGCCCAAGACCGTTTCATGTTTCTGTAGAACCAAACGTGGAGGAAGACGCATTCAGGAGAGGACGAACACAAGAGAAGAAATACGGTATTATCAGTAAAGGAAAGAACAAATGAAAAACAAAAACAACCGATAACTGGCAATCGAACTGTTTCTCCGGGCTTTTTTTCGGCGCCTTCATCCTTTTGCTGCAAACGGGTCAAGGTACAGGAAAAGGAAATCGCCTTGCAGGATGGACAGAAAGAGGTCCAAAAGCAATCAGGCGGTTTACAAAAATGGATGGAGTTGTCTTGTGTCAATGTGCTGTCTATGAATGAATGTTGGCCTATCCTTCCCTCCGCCTTCCCCCCACGTTGGGTCAAAGGGTCGTCCGCATTGGACTTTCCCAAGGGCTCACGGTCCTCCCATTTTCCGTCATATCTCTTTCATGTCTGTTGTTTCTTTGTGTTTTTAAAGTCCACACACTCAAATCATAAATCTTAAATGGACCGCAAACGAAGAACGTGCTACCCAATCCTCGAACTGAAAAGGAAGGCATGGTGTCCAACCCTCTTCACCTTCACACGAAAACGTGCTGGAAAGTTGTCTGCCCTAAGGTGCTTACGCCTAGAATAGACACTAGTCATATACAAACGCACACCAGCCTCCCAAACACAGAGAATTGAACATAATCAAACCAAACACAGCGAGAACAACGAGTGCATGGTTGGTTGGGTTGACAAATAGGGTATCATGGTGGGCCATGCGGTGAAGACTATTACTATTTTTGTTATGTTGCGATCTCTTTTGGATATTAAAAGTTTTTCGTTGGTGTTCATGGTTGTGTTGATGTCCAGCTGGGTCCCTTTGAGTTTCCTATAACGATCGAAAGGAATGAACGAATGGGATGAGCGCCGGCGAGAACCAAGCATAAGCAAACGAAGACGCAGCCTCCGAACAGTGAAGCTCCTTTTCCTAATGCGTATCCTCCCTGTACTCCACTCTTGCTCCTTCATCCTCCATCCTTCTGGGCGACGCCAGCGTAGCATCCGTAGTTCGCGGTCTGGATGAGCGTCTTGTCACAACGTGAGTCTAGGCTGTGGCGAATGAAGAAATAGAGAACGATTTACCGAGAAAATCAAGGCGCAAAAAAATTATAGGAAGAATAGTGTACAGGGGTGCCGAAATTGCAACAAAAGAAATGATGCAGTGTTGGAGAACAGGCGATAGGGATATGCTAAGCGACGAGTCCACGAGTTCTTTTTTCTCTCCCTTCGTTTCCCTAGGGGGTTGGATCCTCGAATGATATCCCTCGTTTTTTTGTCTTGCTTTTTGCCCTCGCTCATTTTCATTCTCGAATACTGAAGACCTACTGGTCCGCACCTAGATCTTGGAATTACTAATAAAGCCAAAAACAACCAGAGCGCGGATTGTAGAGATACATCCATCGTGCCCGATTGATAATGCGCTGTGGAGAGGAAGGCCGATGGACTCCATGGGCCAGCCTCTGCTGTACTCTTCTCTTGGCAATAACAACAAGAAGGTGTTCATTTCAGGAGGGAACAAATGAGCATCGAATCAGGTAATGAGAAGGCCAGATAAACATTATTTTCACTTTCTTGGTTCAGCACGAGGTGGAGTTAAAGGAGATGGACCAACCAATGTGGGTTTCTGCGACCATCCACTCACCTCCCCCATGCCCTAACTTGAACTTGTGTTTTTCCAAAAACGAATAAACATATACAACTCGACAGGTAGAAAGCACCAGAAAGGAAGAGAGGTGAGCAGCGGAGCACAGAGTGCACAGAAAAATAAACACCCGTCCGCTCGATGAAGCCGTAGAAGGGCTGGTGGGTGTTCGAGAGGTATGCCCGACCGGCCGCACGTGTAGGAGATCAAATTTCCACTCGTTCATCTGTGGACGCTCAAGGTGACACAAGGAATTTTTTTTGGAAAGAGAGGGTTGGGTGCTCACTTTGTCTGTTGAAAAGGAGAACGAGGATGTGGGTGGAGGAAGAAGAATGACAGGAGGAAGAGGACGCTCTGAATCAGATGCACAAGAGCGAAATGTATAGGAAAGACTGGCGATCGATTGCTATTCTACCCATATGATACATGCGTCATCTCGAGTATCTACTGTCGTCGCGGGGTTGCCTTCTTTGCTAGGACAACGGTAGCTATGAGAGTTGTCCTATGATAATCTAGCGTAGAAGGGAGTCTACTTCATGCTAAATGAAATGCAGGAGTGACATGGCTTAAAATAACGTTGATCATCTCCTGTGAAAGCTGTAGCACTCGCTCTACTCCGTCATTTCCTCTCCTTCTCGACACGCATGCTCTCCTCATAGACTGGAGCAGCATTGGTTGTGCCCTTGTTTCTTTATTAGCTTGAACATATGTTTTATCTTTCGTTTCACTTGTCTCCTGCCTCCTCACCTCTTCCCCACAAGACACTAATCGTTACTGCTCCAGCATCAACTGCCTACTATCGTCATACGACGCGAATGGCCACACATTGTGGACCCAGGATAGTACCTTGGATACCGACGTAGGGGCATCTTTGTCTTCTTGGCTTCGCTGGTCTTGGATGAGTGCTTTGAGTATACCAAAGAAGTGCTGTTCTTGTCATATCCTCGCAACTCTACATCCTTTTTTTCGTCTTCTCGTCAATTGTTTGACTTCTTGTTATGTCTGAGCCCCTTTCGTTGTCTTGGCGGCGTTCTTTTGTGTGAACAGGAAAAAAAGGAGTGCCTATCCTGATCCTGCCGAAAATGAACTACAGGCTCATAGTCTCGTGAGCGAAAAAAGAAAGGTGAGAAATGAAATGGACGGACAGTCCTTTTTTTACACTCTCAAACAAATGTCCTTTCCTCCACCTTTTTCTTCCAGCAGCATATTAAAAAGCGTTCATTCCCTACGTCCACGTTTTTTTTATTAGACTCCATCACCTTCTTTATGTGTCTCCATGTATCTGTAAGGAGAAAAGGAGAGGAGGTGGTGTGTCAATGTTAATGAGCTGGGACGAAGACGTGCAGGATAGACAAAAACGAGAGCCGTTGCTACAAGCCTAAACTGGACAGTGGGTGACCATGTCGGCGACCTTGTTCGCTCAATACACTGATCACTTGTTGCTATCGGCATGGATCGGTACTACTATCAAAATAAAAAGTACGACCCAATCCTTGAAAAAGCACTCTTGTAACAACTTTTTTCTCATATAAATGAGTGTCTCCCGCGCTTTTTGAAGTCTCCACATACCTTTACAACTCAAACCACATATCACTCTTCTTTCCACGTTCCATCCGTCTTCCTCTCTCACACCACCACACAACACACCCACATAATGACCCGCCTCTCAACCTGCATCGCCTTGGCTCTAGCCCTCGTCAGTTCCACCCTCGTCATGGCCCAAGACCCTATCGTCGCCCCTACCCTGCCCGTCGGCTGTATGATCGCCACCCCCCAGAAGCACCTCACACAAGGCCACCCAGAAGAGATTGAATTCCAGAACTGCAAGGGTATCGGAAACGTCTGGCTGCGCTACGGAAACGAGATGGACCTCGCTACCGACAAGACCCCTGCCTGTCCAAACGTCCAGTTCACGGGTGGTCGTGATACTTGTACTTTCACTGCTGATCGCCCAGGGTTGTTTGTTCTTTCGACGACTGATGGGAGTAATGTTGAGACGTTTAGTGGAGATTTTACGGTGGATCCTGCGCCTGTTGTTGAAGCCCATGGCCCGGCCGCGGCCCCTGTGGCCAAGGCTGTCAAGGGTGACACGGCTGGTCCTCATGTCCAAGGCCTCAAGGGTGTGACTCCCGGTATTGCTCCTCAGGCGAAGAAGATACCTGCTTCGGTGGTGCCCAAGACTGAGAGTTTGGGTGGAGCAACTCAAAAGGTGGAGCCTATGGGCGGTACCGAGAAGGGTGCAGCCGGATCTGCATTCGCCAAACGTGCTCTCTATGACATGGCCGGCTTCTTGGCCCTGTAGGAGGAGGTAGGAAGAGGGAGTGACTTTGTACCTACTACTGATTCACAGTTATCCAGCATTTTTATTTTCATGGCATATCTTACAAGAAACGATTGATCACCTTTTTGCGAAGACTGATGGGGGAGTTGATGGACCGTTGAAGGAGGTTTGACACGGTAAAGCTGATTTCAGTCCTTGTCGTGCAATGAAGGGATTGACACAGCCAGAGGGAAGAAATGAAAGGGCTCTGTGAGAGCAAGCCGTGCTAGATGCATGCAATGTTCGAAATCAAGGGGTGGTGTCAAAAAGCAAGCGACGTCGTCCTATTATCCTTGTTTATTCTGTTATCACAACAAACGTCGTTCACCATCATCCAACCTCGACCGTCAACATCTCTCTCTGAGCATCAGTACCAGCACGACCTGACCAACATCTTCGATTCAGGACATCACCCTAACTAACAGCACTACATCAATCAAGATGATGGCGTGATTGTCAGACCTGCCAGACAAACTACTCGCGCTCATAGCTGAGTACCTCTCAACCACATGCATAGACATCCACACCTGCAACCTCTTCAACCACACACTCTCCTCCTCCCTCATCTCTTACTTATAGCGGAACATCGATACCTTCCGTTTTTATCCAAAGGAGCCCAGGTTGTATATCGTCGGTCGCTTTGCATGGTTCAAAGGCGGCGTCAATTGACACGGGCACTGGCTAGATACGGTCGGTTCATCAGGACTCTTAGGAGCGTCTCTGCCAACTGACTGCCTTTCTTTGGTCCGACATATGTCCTCTTCTGGAATGCGTTGAGGTTGATGGGTATAATAACTACCGAAGGGAGGAAGCAGGGAGTGCGCTTCTTGGACAACAGACATCAGGGACGCTTCGGAAGCTCTCTCTGGCAAGACACATTCTTTGATGCAGGACAGAGGAGTCTAGACTTGATGAGGGTCATCATGTAGAACGTTGAGGAGCTTAGGTTGTATAATTGGAGCGGGAGCCACTTTGGTAAAGTAGGGACTGGTGACTAGTGCCAGTACATTGACACTGAGGACGTTCAGAACGTTCAGGATGAGTGCCCACGCTTGAGAGCAGCAACAGCGGTAATTATGACGGTATTAACGCTAGAGCCAACTTCGACATTAAGCACGGATCACAAGGACATTCTCCCAAACGTCAAGAAGTTGGTGTTAGAGTACTCGATCATTGAAGGATCTGGATTCGACAGATTATTTACCTGGATCCCAGCTTTGGAGAGCCTGGCGATATACGGATCTTCGACGTCCCATGTGTTCGACTTTACCCGGACTCTCCGCGACAGCTGCCCATTTGCTGACAGCCCTGAGCATCCCAAGCACAAACGACAACAAGAGCATGACCTCTCTCTCTGATCTTGCGTACCCTGTCATCCTTTGTACCAGTCTCCGGGGCTGGAAACCCTTCACCTTGTCGTCTGTCAAACCCGTCAACGGCAGGACCCTATGGCAGACATCACTCCTCCACCACGTTAACACTCTGGAGACACTCTACCTCGAAGGCTTTCAAACGAACACCGATGATAGTGACGCATTCATGGGACAAATACTGGACTCTTCCCCTAGACTAAAGCATCTCATTGTAGCCCATTCGCGGGCTTAGGGGATGACCTGGTCGAAGATTTTGGATGCATCGAACTGGGCCTGTCGAGATCTTGAGCTTTTTCGAGTTCCATTTATATACCTTGGGTATATGTCGACGACGGGGTGGAGCGAAATCAGTTCCAACTGCAGCTCTATGGCCAACTGGCACGACTAGCCAAACTGAAGGAACTATATTTAGCGAGATGGAGGACGACGAACTCATTCTTGACGAGGAGGATGGCCAACAGTAGCTGCAATATCATCAACCCATCGTCAGCGATAACATCCCTCCTCAATATTTCTTGGTCGGTGATCTTTACTCTCCCGAGATGACTACTCGAGAGCGGGATGGGCGTGCTGAAGGATCTGAAGCAGTTGAGACGTGTTGGGTTGAAAGGGCTGAAACCCCATGCGTTCTTGGAGAATGAGGAGGATCGAGTCTGGGTCAAGAAGAATTGGCCGCTGTTGCAGCAAGAGTACCGCAATAACTTTGGAAAGTGCTTCGGCGTTGGTGGCAGTTGAACCCCTAGGGTATTTTCTTTCGTAGGCACCACTTTGTTTTCATTAAACTGCGTTTCGAGTTTTCGCTTTGGCGTGTCGTAATTATTGGACAGCTACGAAACTATCAACTGCATTGGGCAGAGACTGATGCGGATGAAATAGAGGACGTATTCTTGCAATGGAGACGACTAGGGCTTATACGTATTGCCCATCCGATTTCTTTTATTCCTCATTCTTACGTTTGTTCTCCTTGTGGTTGTATCCCGCCAGCAACTACATGGAGGCCCTTGGATCGATATCACACGACTGTTCCTTTACATGCGTTTCATGCGTCAAATCAACCTCCACCACGAACGAGGATCATCCGTTCTATCCCCACTTTTTTCTTTTGTGCGTGTACATTTCATGGAATACCAAGATCATGAAGACAGTCCGTTAGGCCTTCCCTTTTGTTTGTATGGCCAAAACCTAAATATGCCATTATCGCTTTCCTCCGAGACGAGTATCAAGTATCTCATGACCGGGGTCCCTCATTTCGCTATTTATTTATCCTTCAGCTATTCTTGTCCTTGTTCACATTCTCATTCCCTTCATTTGCGAAGGAGATCAGCGACACAACTCTAGGTCATTCAGGACTTGGGCTATGAAAAGAAAAGAAAAACCCCTCTGCCCTGTCACCCAGTTGGAGTGGAACCGTAGCAGGCATACTGGACTGGATAAACCTTCTTCTTGATGCTTATGATATCCCTCTTCCATCTCTATCTCGATCTCCCTTCAAAATCCGGGCTCTCACGTCCAATCACTCATGGCTCGCACGTATTTTATGGACATTGGACCTCGGAACATTGTTCGTCGCGAAAGTCGACTCTTGAGCCACACGGCGTTCTCCTCCCAATTTTTGCATTGCCACTTCATCTGGTGCTAGAACTTTTCCATTCTTCCTTCGTGGTGGTGTAGTGATGGCGAGGAAGGAAAACGAGGTCGTCCAGAGTCGGAAAAAAAAACACACCCACTTGCGGCATGATGGAAGAATGTGTAGGTAATGGGTCTCAACCACACCGCCTCCTCTTTTCCCTTCCTTCTTTCACCCGGATGGTTTCTTATTTTATCCCCCTGTGTCAAACGACGGATGGAAGTTGTACCTGAGAATAATGTTGCCAGACAAAACTTTTTTCGTCATGCCTGTCTCTCCAGCCTTACCCCTGTTTTAATTCGCATGTTAAAAATAGAAAAATAAATGTCCAACCACACAAAACTAACCATTTTTGTCACACATGCTTTTCCTATAGTAACAATGACACGGACGAGGAAGGGGAAGGGAAAGCAAGGCTCTTTGTTTGACCAGGAGGCGTAAACCATACACAAAACCGAACAAACGCAACACGATTCATCCGCAAATCAGTGAAGCATAAACAGACTAAGCCCTCGGGAGTGGAGAAAGAAGAGAACGACGATTTGCGCACCTGTTGTGGAACAGCAGCCTTTTTTTCATTCGCACATTCAAGGCTATGACAACGAAGCATAGCCCTGGACGTTACATTGAGGGTAGGGGTTTGTGTCCAGCAGGTCAGCGATTGTCTATTTGGAGACATCACTCATTGTTCTTTTTCCGGCGCGACAATGACTTGGTGCTTCTCTTCATTCGCCCTTCTCTGGTGGCGTAAATGGCAGATGGCAATATGCATCGCAGGTTATTTGGCATACTCACAAATTGTCTAATGCATCGCCGTTTCAAAGAAGTGGGCGCACCGTCATGACCAGCTGGTCCCAAAATGTCCATGTATATCCATCCATCATTTCTATCCGGATAATACTTCTGGGCGGTGATACTTGTTTGCTCCGAGCCCTCCATGGATCTTAATGAGAGCGAGAGCGCTCTTCTCCTGCTGCGAGGGCGCGCAAACGATAACCATCCAAGGGAAGGATCTGGTTAAGACAAAAGAGCAGAGTGGAGGATTAAGAGACCGTAGGTGTGTATAATGCAAGACTGTCAGCTGAAGGTGCGCGAGAGACAGATGTAGCTGAACCTGACCTGTTTTTGTTTCTGGTTCCAGGAGTGTCCACCAGCCCTGGTGTTTCCCGATTAGGTATGTGCCTATGATGGTTTGCGTCTAGGATCTCCAATGTGAGTTTACAGTTTCTGATCGAACCGAATCACTAATGCGTGTACGATTGGGAAAGATGATGGAATATTTCAAAAAAAAAAACTTAACTGTCGCTGACCCCGTCCAACCTTTTGAGCATCCATCGTCATCTTCCTTCCTTCCGCTAAAGCCAGCTCTTATTTTCGGTTGAGCACTTTTTTACCCGAGACTCCTTGCTCCCCTCATGCATATCTTCCCCTTCCCCCACCATCTGCTTATCCTCTTGCTCATGGAGCAATTGTGCTTGATGGATGTTCTTCCTCATGTTCGACTTTTTTCATTTTACTTTTCGACATCCACGAGAATAGTAAATAAATGTGGCGGTTATTCTTTGAATGAAAAGTGATACATACCTTTTCCAACCCGCAACAACTAGGAAGGGCAAAGGACAAACTGCATGAGAGCTCCGCTCATTAGACCAGTTGGACACCTTTTCTCCTTTTCTTGTCTCTTCTGTGTCGGTCTTGTGCCGCCGTAAGTTTACAAATAGATTGAGCCCGCCCCTTATTTGTTCATGTCGGTGCGCAAAATAATGTTTGGTTTTGCCGGCTGGACAGATTCCTGCTCAATGTACCACACACAATATCTTTTCAAAAGGGGGGTACGAAAGGGTCCTGGGGAAGGGCGGGAGGAGTGTAAAGGTAAAGGGGTTTATGAGGGTAAACGAGTGCATTAACGAAAAGTAAGGGTGTTATGTGTGGTGGGCAGCGGGAAAAGACCAGGGAGAAAAAGTGGGCGTATTTTTGTTTGCTGTTGGTGATATTTTTAATTTTTTTTTTCGTTCTTCATCGTCAACAACAATCAGATGGACCTGAACGGGGGGAATTTGCAACAAAACTGGGTGAACTAAAGAGTTTCTCTTTGTTTGTTTACTTATCATTTCACGCTTAATCTCAATTGGTGAATACAGGAGTGGTTGAGTAGAAGCCATTCATTCGGCGAGGGTATCCATTCTCGTTCGATTAGAGTTGGGTTTTTTGCGCCTTTTTGTGTGGATATATGTGTTTAGTACATAGCTTCACACAATGGTTTAATTACCCCCCCCCCCCAAAAGGTGAGAAGAAATATAAAAAGGGCGGCCGTACACTCTCTTCTGCCATCCAACTCTTCTCCTTTTTTGTTCATTTCCATCCCTTTGGACACTCTTCACTCTCTCTCTTCCTAATTGAACCCAACCAACAGCACTCACAACAAACCCTCATCAACCTCAACAACCCCCAACTACCCTCAACTACCCCCAACTACAATAATGTACCTGAAACTCTCGGTCATCGCGGCACTGGTTGCCGTAGCCACCGCAGCACCCTCCACAACCACCACCGCCGCCGCCACCCCTTCATCCGTCGCTGCCCCTATCATCCCCCTCCCCCCCTTCAGCGGCACCCTCGTCGGGGCCTACCCTACCCAAGACAAAATCGCTCCCACCGACACCCCACTTGTGAAGCAATGGCTCGCAGAACTCAACCTCACCTCCGTTGCCACCTGGCCCGTCGTCCCCTTCACTGCCGGAGGCGATCCCCAGAACCCTAAAGCCATCCCGGAAGCGGCCTGTGATTGGACCGAGACCAACTGTATCAATAAGGATATCACGACTTGTCCATTGGGTGTTTGGGGCTTGACTTATGATGATGGCCCAACCGAGTTCAGTGGAAAGCTGTACGATTTCTTGGATACCACAGATCAGAAGGCGACCCTGTTTTATATTGGATCAAATGTTGTTGAGAACCCCGCCTTGGCTAGGAGGGCTTGTGGGGCAGGACATCAAATTGCTGTCCATACCTGGTCGCATAACCCATCGACTAGTTTGACGAACGAGCAGTTTATTGCTGAGATCAAGTATACCGAGATGGCGATTAAGGAACTCTGTGGATTCACTCCTCGTTACTTCCGCGTAAGTTTTTTTTCTTTTTTTCTTTTCTCCTCCTTTTTCTCCCTTCACTCCCCATCTATTCAACATGGATCCCCAATACTAATATCAAAAACCCCTCCATCCCATCTAACCACCCCACAAATAGCCCCCATACGGTGACATCGATGACCGTATCCGCGGCCTCCTCTGGGCCATGGGCTACACATCCGTCATCTGGGACTATGACACCAACGACTGGATGATGGCTCCCGGCGGAACCCGAACCATGGCTCAAGTCGACGCCGCCTTTGCCCAGTGGATCGCTGTCGCACCCACCGACAAGACTGGCCATGTGACCCTCGAACACGAGCTCTACGCCAACACCGTTGCCGCCGCGATTGAAAACCTCCCCAAGATCCAGGCCACCTGGAAGGCCATGCCTGTCTCGGCTTGCATCAACGATGCTCATCCTTACCACGAGACGAACATTACATTGGCCACTATGAATGGTGCCAAGGCTGGTATTAGCACTGGAAACACGACAGCGTCTGCTACGGTTTCTGTTGGCGGAGCGACGGCGACTAGCTCGGCTGGCTCTTCAACGGCCTCGGGAAGTGCCGATCATAGCACTAGCGCTGGAACTGTTTCGAATGTCGTTTCTTCTTCCGTCACCGTCATGGCCGCTGCTGCTGCCGTCGCTCTCGGCCAAATGCTCTTCTAAGCGATAGCATCTACCCCTCCCCCCCCTCCCCCCCCCAACTCCATTCTATAACAACAACAACACCCCCACCTCATTTCATGTCCACATCCTCAGATCTACAAAAATATCATAACATCTAGAATCATTTACACCCCTATACTCCTATTGAATAAAATCAAAAATTCTAAATACTGCCATTATCCCTTCGTCCGTCATTAGTCATTGACAGACTAGGATAAATAAACTATAGTTTCAATCTATAGAGGTTATGAGCTTTGCGGCGACGGTCTTGCAAGGGAAGGGGGGCGTCCGAGATGCTTAAGGTAATGCTTGCCGATGATAGCAATGTTGTGCGCACCCACCAAGTCTCGGTGAATCCACCGCCTGCATTTCACACACGCACAGGTTCTCATCGAGGGCTTAGCAAGTCTTGTCGTCTCACCCATGGAAACGCAGGTTGGGCACATTGTAGATGTAAGATATTCATCCACTAACGCTACCTTGTACCCAAGGGCCAAGCTCTATCAATTTTAAAAAGGACAAATGAATTAATATACTTGTGTATCCAGATCGCCATGGTATTGAAGGGACATACGATACTAGTAGATACGACCACCCGCACATCTTCTTTCTACTCTCTCCATTCTCATTATTACCTTCTGCTGTAGTCTGCGCAAGAACGTCGTGTGGACCGATGTAAGGTTGAACCCTGTCCGAAAAGTCGCGTTTCCCAACGCGAAGAGGACCCTACGCCCTCCCATTGGGTTACTCTTCAATGCTTCTTTCACAAGTCGGAGCACGCCTGCCACCGCCATGTCCATCTCTGACAACTTTGCCATTCTATGTTGGTATACGGCCTTCTTCCAGTCCGACGATGAGTAGAATCCATGAATGATCGGCTCCAACTCGAAATACTGCCGTTGCGCGGATTTGAGGGCGTCCTCTGAGTCGTATTTTGTTGAATGGAGCGCATTCTCAAGATCATGCATCGAAGGTAGAAAAGTTGCCCTGTTCTTGTCATCCGTCTTCCTCGTCCAAAGGCTCGCGTCGACATTATCTGCGGGACCGGCTGCTGGGTGTTGTCGCCTCCATTCCTGTTCCCATGCTCTGAAGGCGAGTGTTGGCTGATACAGTGATGCGCGCTTTACCAACAAGTTGACCACAGTTTTGTCATCGAGACGCACACAGAACGCACCGCTCACGACTTCGCCTGGATCGATGCCAATCACCGCCACCGACTCCAAGTCTTGACCGAATGCTTCAATTATCGACTGTCGGGTTGGGTACTGGTTCTCGATACGTCGTAGAAACTCCTTACGACCCGGCGCCTGCCGACTCTTGGTGAGGTCATAGGCCAAAAGTTGCAGCTGATGGCCGTCCGTGCGGATGAAATTGTTCAATGCATACCGAAAGGAAGACTGTGCGCCTTGGATGTGAGGAGGGGTCGGCAATAGTGGGGGGTTGGAAGGCGGCGGCACTGCAGATGCTGAGGACGACGACGACGATCCGGCCGAGATGGATGCATTGTGTCGGGTTCGGTAATAGTTAATTCGATCTGTCAGGTGTCGTGCAAGTGGTCCTTGGTCATAGATGGTGGGGTGGGCAGCCTTGAGTTCACTCATTGTAGCACTTCGTTTCCCGTATGTTGTTTGTTGTTTGTTTGCGAGCCGAACCGTATTTCGATCTCCAATGAAAAGCATCTTGATGAGGTTCCCGAATGACGTATTGACTTGTAGGTTGGCCCAGTCGTGGCTATGAGGGCTGCCGCTCCAAATCAATCCGACTTGACCTGCATCTCTTCCCCAAAGGATACGCATCAGTCCCTCCTCCCTAATGTCGATAAAGCTGTCTGTCATCTTGGACTGGGTACAGAAACGTGGTCGGTTTGCCGCTGGAAGTGCCATGAGATAGTTCCAGCATGATCGGATGTGTCCAGGCTGATAGACAATTTTTTTCGACTTTTTCCTGGGGTTCTCGTCATCGGCATCATCGTCTAGAATAGTACCGTCATCGTCTAGAGTAGTGCCGTCATCACCAGGTTTGTCTTCATCCTCCTGTTCGACTTTTGGAAGTAGGGCGGGATCGAACTCCAGCTTCTCCATCTATTTTATTGCAAAAAGAAAAAAAGACACAATATTAGAATATGCAATACACTCTCTCCAATTATCAATGGCGCTTCATCAACGAATTGGGCGATTAGTACCTTTGTGCGTATAGTCTGTGGGAGCTTCTTGTAATGCAACTTCATAGCCAAACAGATCTTGGGCGCCAGATCATCGATGACAACACCGAGGGGTATGCTGGATGGGTTAACAGCCTTGAATCCCGGATGGAACCCCTTGAAGGCCGCAAAAATCGACACTGCCTCCGCCTGTGCTTCCTTCGACTTTGGCTTGTTGGCTGTAGGTCCTAGTGCTTTTGTCGAATCTCGGAGAACAAACGACAACAGATTCCCAATAACAATCTCTGCCCAGTCTGAATCCAGAATATCCTCCAGAAAGGACGTCGGCGGCGAACTAGAGAGTAGCTCTCCAAGGATCCGCATTTCGAGCATCTTGTAGACAAAATGCTTGGCAGTATTGACGATAGACACAGCCATATCAAGTCTCTGAGCAACCATGTCGACGTTCGCCGGGGTGAGATCGGTAGCTCGTTTCAGGCACCCCTTGACTGATCCAGTGGTAAGTGTGACAGTGGCGAAAACAGACTTGAATGACTTCTTCAGAGCAGCATAACCAGGCCTGTCCTGGTGATAGTCAAGATGCTTCTTCTTCTTCTTTTTCTTGGCTACAGGGGCAGTGGCAGCTTGTTCGTTGGTGGTAGCGGGATCCTTTGGCTTGTATGGTCGAGGGGTTGATGGTTTCAGACCAGACAATTCTACGTCCTCGACGGGGCTGGCGTTCTCAAGGTTGACCGTTTGGGGTACGTATCGATCTGCTTGATCCGTCCGGGATCGGAATCTAGAAATAAACGCGCCAATGTTATGAAGAATAATATTAGTACAGAAGCAATAGAAGTCAATACAAGTGGCTGGATATAACTGAAGATGACGCTAAAAAGTACTTACTTTGTCCTCTGCCATTTCTGCCTTCTCCTTGACCGGGCGCGTGAGCCATGGCGCATTTCTTGTTTTCTACTCTTTTTGTAGAGTGGAGGTGCTTGGTCGATAATAGGTGTGGGCGCTGATGGTCCTGTATGTGATGTTTGGCTCCTTGAGAAACGCTCCCAGTTGGTCTTCGCCTTTTTCATCTCAACTTCCTGAATGATAGTCGTGACAAGGCTGTGGATATCGGGTGTGCTGGAAGTCGTTTCGGTCCCACCCATAGGTAAAGGATGCTCGGTGCACATCACGAACGCCTGAAGGGCATGATCGAACTGGCTGTCTTTTACGTTCTTCTGGTACTGAGTTATCCCGACCCTGTTCAAGGACCTTTTAGCGTGTTTCTTATACAGTTGCCTGTGTTTCCCATATTGGAGGTAGGACTCCTCTGCGATCTCCTGGAGCTTGTGGGCGCTGTCGTATACAATCTTCAAGTACTGAATGACGTGGTGTTTGAATTGTCCAAGTCGCTCCTGGTCGCTCAATCCGTCGAGTCCGTCCAATGTAAACGTCCGAACAATGTCAGCGTTCGACACCAAGCCATAGTAAGGAACGCCGTCGGTATAGTCGTTTGTTGTTAATATACCAAGAAGAAGAAGGTGGGCTGGAGTGGGGAGCTGGTGTCGATCCATAAGGTCCTGCTTCTGGAATGTTTTCCACTGACTGCCGACGGGAATAGTGATCGATGTAGAGGCCTCATAGACCAACAAGTCAGAGTCTTTGGTGATGATTCGTACATCCTCCGGCTTGACGGCATTATTGAGACAACGGGCAATACAGCAGTCGGCTTGGTGGGGGCAGCGACATATTGTCCACCCCAGATTCTGAAGAGCATCCAGCACTTGTCTCGCGGCATCGGGTGGTGCCCGATAAACAGACTTTAGGCGCCGGTATAGCCGTTTCGTCCCTTTGATCTTGTCTTCGTCGTAGTCCTCCATGAGTTTTCTCATCCGCGTTGTTAGATCACGGTCCCGTTTCTGATGGGCGTGCTCTTTCTCGACCGAACGGGGACCGTCGGCATGGATTGTTGTGCGCCCCTGTGAGACTTTTTTCGTGAGGATGTCGTGAATAACCTGGCCTATGTGGCCATAGTCCTATTGAAAACACAAAGCAATGAGATAGTATTAGGTATATTTCTTACAGCAGCTTTGTCTTTGCCGGTTGTATTTGAAAATCGAATGTACTTACAATGCCTTTGTTTTCGGTACGTGTTGTTGTGAGAGTACCATTGCTGTCGAGAAAGATCTGAGCTGGTCCTCCTTGCAGTAGGTGTTGGACCTGTGTCATAAGGGTTGTCGGAACCGAGCCAGGAGGGATCGCAACAAACACAGGACCGGTCGATGTACTTGTGCCTGAGGGAGCTCCCAATGTGAGGCGAGCATGTTTGATGGATGGACTCCCCGACTCGGTCCCCTCAGACCCAGATGGCGAATGTGGATGTTTTTGTTCGCCTGGTACGTTGGTAGCGACAGTTGTTTTTAGTGAGTAGTGCAGTCGGGCCTGCCTGGCTTCGATGCTGACGGTTCCGTAAAATGCACGCGAGTTCAACAGGGCGAAAAACATCGCCGGAAAGTCCACATGGCATGTTTTTTGGGTGAGATCTTCCTCGATTCCGTCGGAGGCCTCCTTGATCCATGAAGGAAGGACACTGATTCCCATTCTTGAACTATGTTAAGAAAAGTGTGAGAGCTAGTGTGAGTCTTCTTGCTTGATAAGTTGTGAAAGGGTATAATGAGTACTGTTCGCAATCACATCCAGCATCGGCCTTACAGAATGGCTGTTGTGGGTTGCTTCGAAAGGGTGTGGCGAAGATATATGTAAAGTAGTATGTAGGTGGATGTGGAGGAATAGGTGGATGTGGAGGAGAGTGTGAGATGTGAGGTGTGCTGAGGAGAGTGTGGTTAGAGAGGAAGAAAGAAAGAGGGAAGAAGGAAAATGGAAGCGGGATTTTATAGGAAAAGTGGGCAGTGGAAAGGACAAAGGCTTACATGTCGAGACCACTATCACTCAATCATCACACACAAGCGATATAATCTATACCATTCAGGAACAAATCGCCAAAACAAAAGCCCAAAAATAACCTGACATTTCCACGATAACTTGCTTCATGCATACCGTGGATGATGGTCACCATCACAAACACCTTTTGTCTCTTTCATATCTCCTTCATGTCTCTTTCATGTCTCTTTTTGGTTCTCTCATTGTCCCTCTCTTTTTTCTTTTTGCCTCTCTCTCTCCCTCTTTGTTTCCATATCATACAGCAAGAAACCATTTCCACAATAACCTGCTTCATGTATACCGTGGATGATGGTCACCATCACAAACACCTTTTGTTCTCTCATTGTCCCTTTCTTTTTTCCTTTTGCCTCTCTCTCTCTCTCTTTGTTTCCACACCATGCAGCATGAAGTCACCAAAACAATAACCCAAGAGTTTATTGTGGAAATGGCAGGGCTATGGTTTTGCTTCAAAAAAAAACAAAAAATAAGGCCTGTTTTATTCGCACCTTGGGTGATGGTCAACATCGCAAACCATATTCTCTTCTTTTCTTCTCTTTTTGGTACTCTCTTTGTCTCATTCCTTTCTCTTTTTGGTTCTTTCTTTATCTCTTTCATGTCTCGTTTTGCCTCTCTCATTGTACCTCTGCTTCTCTTGTTGGCCCTTTGAGCCCCTATTATCTCTCGCCCATATACAAAAGCACACACAGTAAACTAATAACGAACCTTAAGTCAACCACACATTTGCACACTCATCACTCTACACTCTCCTGGAACAATAGCGTCAACCATGTCCGCCTTTATCAAGCTGACTGAACTCGTCACGACGCCAATCTAGGCCAAGTCTGCAACGTCCGCAAATTTCTTTGAGCTCGAAACACTCCCCAACATCAACATCCACCATCAAGATGTCACCATCACCTCCCGATGTCAGCCCCCAATCAACAGACGGATCATTGACCAGATTGTGCTGCTCAAACGTGATGGGCGCACTGAGCGGGCGTATTCTGCCCGCCCTAGTCATTACTAACCATCCTTCGTCCCGCGACGCCAAGTATGCAACCTCTATCCGAACCCAAGGAGCGCGCCTAAAAAACTATCGCAGACCTCGAGGACACTTATGGTCATCGAGCTTGCGAGAGCAATCTTTGGTTCGTAAGTATCCCTTCCTCCGTCAGACTTTTTCAACTTTTTTCATTTATGAAGGGTAACCCTTGAACCGCTTTTTTCCAATTTTTTTGGTGTTGCGTCTTAAACGCAAAAGAGAGGGAAGAGAATACGGAACATGCCCATCCACTTTTTTTTGGGATACGACATCATTGTCATTGTCTAATGCTTCAATGACTGGGAGGCCTCAGAACTAATTGAGTTTTTTTCATTGCAGCATTCACTTAATGCGAATGATGAGGGAAGGGAAAAAAGGTGGATGCTGATGAGGGTCTCGGTGAAGTCTCTCATTTTTGCTTAAGAATAGGGGGGGTGAGCATTAGTGTTTTTTTTTGCAAATAAGGAGTTGAGGGTATCCTCCCGCTATTTCGTGTAAAAATTGTGGCCGATTTCGGCCCAAAAACGAAGGAAGGGATAACTGGTCACCCCTTTTTTACGTCTCTTTCAGGGGGTTCCTGAGAGGGCATGTGGGACACGCGTTCTCCCATCCCCCCATTCCGCATATTCTTACTCTTCACTACTAGCAAATGTAGTTTTCATGCAAAATGCGATGCCAGTGCTAAGAAAGAAAACGAGGAAAAACAACGATGAAAGGACGAGGAAAAAAGGACGATGGAAATGCGATGCAATTTACCAGGAAAATGTGATGAAATACGACGAAAAATGACCAACAACATGTCTATCATCCGTGTCCAGCAGCGGATCAAATCCCCCCTCCCCCTTTCAAGGGCAAGTCATTCCTTGCGGCATGCTTCTAAAAAAAAGCCTCTACCTGTCTCTGCTCTTTCTTGATCGCATACAAAATAAAATAGTGTCATTCATCCCTCGCGTTAACCCCCGATCGCCTTATTATTGGTAGTGAGTTATTTATTCTCAGTCAGAAAAGTCGCAAAGAATCGGAGCGTAGGTTTGTTTACAACGTTATACAATGCACGGGGAAGGAATAGTAAACAAGAGGGCAGAAAGAAAGCTGGAAGAAGTACAAGAAGACGCAAAGTGCTACAATGAAAAAGGAATCTTATTTTTAGGTGGTGCTAAACAGCAAGGTAAAGTGGTATTAGGGTGCGCTAGTGGTCATGGGCGAGAAAGGTGAAAACGTCAACCTCCCGGGATGAGGAGACGTTGCTCCTGACGCCACGATCGCTGCATACGACGGCGAGCCAGGGTCCTTGTACGCCAAAGCTCGTTTCGTTCCATTGGCGTCGGTGGTTGTGGAAAGAGCGGTGTTGATGGGCGATAATGGCGGCGGGACTGCCTTCTTGCCCAATGTGCCCGTGGCCTGCAGCTTCGCATTCAGCACTCGCAAAACCTGTTCCTCCGGAGATCGTCCTGTTGCTGTCGATGACGAGGTTCCATTCCGAGTGGCTGACTGCGCCGCATCTACTGTCACGGCTCCCCGGTTACCTCCCATCGGCACCAGAACCTTTTTGGGGCTGTGACAGCTGCCGGTCTCCTCCTTCTTGACCAACGCTGCATAGCTGAGAGTGGATGGTGCCTGTACTTGAGAGGTCAATGCTACTGCCTGAGCCGACGGTGCGGTCGCGGGTGACAGTGGGGGGTATTGCGAAACCGCCGGGGTCGTGACTGGGGCAGGCAAGACCAATTCGTGTTCCTTCGTCAGCTCAGCATCGCTCACAGGTCGGCCGCCGTCGTGGGAGGGCTCTTGGCCAGCAAGAGCATTGTCGTTGCTACCAGAGACAACGACCGCCACCCGTTCATCCGACCCATCTTGAACTGCTTCCTCCATTGCAACCTCCATCGGCGAGTCCGTCTTTGTTGTCGCCGTCGATTCTATCGTGGGTGTTGCCGTACTGGTCACTGCCGCGCTCGTGCTATCCGTGCTGGCTCTAAAGGCTTGAAGCTTCTTAACGAATGTGTCTTCGTCATCGTCCTCATCAGAGTAGCCATCGCTGAACCGACGGGGCGCATCAAACAAGGACAGCGACTCATCCTCACCCTCCCCAAACTGCCTTGGCGCATCAAAATCGCCTTCGCCCTCGCCCTCATCAAACTGCCTTGGAGCATCAAACAGCGACACACCCTCACCATCATCGGCCTCATCCTCATCCCAGTTCCGTTCCAGCGCCTCCTTGGATCCCAGTGATGCTGAAAACGACTTGTGAGTGCCATCCCCCGAGCCATCCTCCTCATCGTCATCAATCTCGCCATGGATATAGTCCCAGCTCGTCTTAGGTTTCCGGATCTCCTTGCCAGAGACGGTCAGCTTGTTATTGACCATGACTTTCATGCCGAGACCAATGCTGTTGCGGTTCCTAGGCTTGTTCGAGATCCCCTTGGCTTTGGCAGAGTTCAGGAAATCCAAGTTGTCGTCGCTGCTCTCGTCCTCCTCGCTGTCGGTTTCGCCTTCCTCCTCATCGTCGTCTTCATCCTCGTCGCTGCCCTTCTCATCAGCAGGGATCTGCATTTCCTCATCACCGTCGGCATCCTCGTCTCCTTCGGCAATCGTCCCGACGAGACTCCGGTCCGAGGAAGCGCCGAAAGGTCCATTCTTCTTCTTCTTGCTCTTTCCCTTGGACTTGCTCGACCTTTTCTTCTTCTTTGGCTTAGGGAGCTCAGCGGGCCCTCCAGCGTAGATACGAACATCGCGATCTGGGTCGTGCTGCATCGTCGTCAGCAATCCTTGCAGGCGGTTGGATTCTGGCGCGTCGTTATAAAATCCGCTGTCGATAATCCAGGTCACAACCCTGGAGACCCAGATGCGGACATTGACAACAGTATCCGTCGCCAATCGCTCAATCAGTATCACCAAGAAGTACTCCTCAAAGTCCTCGACCGTCATGCCCGAATCCAACAGCGACTGGATAATTTGGACTGCTACCACACGAGATCGGAATCCTCCTGTCGTGGCAAACTCAACAGTCTGTCGGACAACCTGGCTCTGGATGGTAGTCGTCCTGTCTGCATCGTCCTGATCTGGTACAGTGGCTGGGGGAGATGGTGCATTCGCAACAGCTGCCGATGCTTTTGTTATAGTAGATGCAAAGGTGGATGACGCTGATTCGAGGGCCTCTGCAAACGTCCCGCTCGGCATGGCCTCCAGGGTCGTGTCTGTGGGTCCGTTCAACTGTGCCGTCAGATCTTCCATTTCAACATCTTCGCCCTCGCCAAAGCAGCCCGGCACTGGTCCATCCTCCTCTTCCTGTTCAGAAACATCAGCAACCTCGGACGACAATGCCCTAGGATCATAGGGTCCAATGCGAGTACTGGCGTCCCAAAGTGCAGGGAAAGCCATAACTCCAGATTCGCGAATGGTTGAGACAGAGTCTGTGCACGCCCGTATACTCAACGGAATAAGAACCTCGACCAAGTCTTGGCCCTCTGCAATCTCACATAGTCCTGGAAGCTGTCCCGCCAAAGAGTCGCGCAGGCGCCAGTTGCTTGACTGTTCGAGTTCCAGCCATGCGGTGTTGAGATTCCTCAGAGCCTCAGAACGTTTCTTGGGTGAGAGACACGTGACGAACTCGACCACATGTCCGATCACGCCCTCCTTGACCTCGTCCTCCGCCACGAGACACTCTGAAAACGCCGTTGCCAAGTCTCGGTCGGCGAGTTCTGGTCCGAGAATCTTGGCCACCTCGTGAAGGGAGCATGCCAATGACCTCCTGATAGGGAATCTGAATGTTCCGGCAAGCTTCATATACACTGGCTTCATCTGAGGCCACTTTGACCGACCCGCAGTCAATACGACAGCTATAATCATACGTTTGCAAAACAATTGGCGGTTAGAATAAGAATTCTTGCTCATAGGCAATAACACGATGATCGCTCAAAGGAGAATGTCATACCTGGGAAGCTGAAGGCGCACATCACTGCCAGCTCATGCTCATTCATAGGCTGCTGACCCATGCTCAGGAAGTGGTTCAGGAGCGTGTCTGGGACATTGCCCTGTCCTAAGCCGTAAATGACCTCTCCAAGGACCTCCATTGCGGAGTTGCGCACATTCCTGCTGACATCCCCAGCATAAATGTCGTAAATCTCCTCGACTTTACTGATTCTCAGGTCCAGTGGCAAGGTGGAAGAAAAGGTTCCCAATATTGTGCAACACGCCCTGCGGATCTCCCAACTGTCGTCACGCACAAACAAATCGAACAGTGGAAGCATTTTGTTCACCACCACATCCTGATCCACGACCTTGCACAAAGTTCCCAGAGCCAGCACAATTTCCTAATGGTTGGGAGGATAATTAGGAATTAGTTCACGAGAAACAACTGTTAACAGCGCTGCATTAGCATCGGATGCGCTGCATGCGAAATATGTTAGGACGGATATGTACCTTGCGGACATAAAACTGCGAATGCGTCACAAGCTTCTCCAGTTTGGGCAGGACAAACTCGGTACAGCGCGCTTTTCCAAGGGCGTTCGCCAACGATGTCAGCAGCTATAGAAATCCATTACATCCATTAATTAGTCCAGTCCTTTGACAAAACAGCAAGACGCAGCATAGGGCAAAATGATATTGTTGCAGTATTGGACTTACAACAACAACTAGCATCTTGCCGAGCTCCGCCTCGCCATCCTGTTCCTCGTTGTTGTCCGCCGAGAATGGGTCGTGGGCATCCTCTTGTGCATGGGGAGAACCCTCGCCAGTCGCTTCATACAATCTCTCCAGTCCGTCGACAATACCATTCAAAATCTCCTTTTCTAGCAAGTCTTCTGAAATGTTTTCCGCCACAGTGACAACAGCCTGCCGCGTCTGGTGGGCGATTCCTGCATTTTGGTCGAGAAGAAGGTTGATAAAGATGGGTGTGAAGACGTTGTGAGGCAGAGTCGACGGATCAGCTAGCTCCTGAGTTGTGATGGTATCTTGACCCTGCACGGTGACAGAGAGTTCTGCTGGTGTCTCCTCATCAGTCCTGATTCTTGCGTGTTGGAAAAAATGAAGAACAATCTTGTCCAGTTGCGATGCCAAGACTTCACGAATAGAATCCTTTGCATCGGCCGAGAGTCCTTGAAGGACGGGAATGACAGTGGAAATGGCGTCGCTGATTTGCATCTGAGAGAGATACTGTAGAATATTGGCGGTCAAGCGCGACCTATAAAGCGATAATATTGGAGTGAAATGTGTTAGAAGGATCGTTCCTTTTAAGAACATGCTGTACGTGGCAATTGCCTTTATTCTACGCGCCAACTTACCGGTGAGCGTCGTATGTGCTTTCGAACTGGAGGCGGATCTGTTCAAAAAGAGGGATCTGCTCGTCAGCAAAGACCTTTTCCACATTCTCGCCAAACTCCAGATGTGCCCTTGGGGGAGCCGGATCTAAAATAACGCCATCAATCAAGAAAAAAGTAGGTTGGTTTTGTGTTTGTCAGAGATCGGAAGACCAAATTCATAAAGGTTGTCTGAACGTTACATGCGTCGAGATCAAGAGCACCTTTTCTTGTTATTTGGTGTCGTTTTGATGATAATCCTGTCGCAGCAATTAAATGTTTTACCTGCATTCTCGAGATTGGGGATGTCTCCGTCGAGGGGGTCGTATGTGTCATCCACTTCGGGAACAACCAGATAGTCGAGCCGTTCCTTGTCGTCCGGTTCTCCCAGTACCTCATGTACCTCCTGCTCCATCTGAGTGTCTTCCTCGTCTTCAAAGAAAAAGCCTAGATCTACTGACAAAGAAAGGGATCAAAATTTGGTCAGCCCACATGAGATAAAAAGGCCTAAGCGAAACCATATCCCATTCCATCGGTCCGAGCGGACAACCGACAGACAGCCCTTCCTGTTTGTTGCTTGGCAAAGACCCAATGTTCAAAATGTCGTCATGACTGGACCACTAGTCTTGTGCACAAACAAGTACGCTATTGCGTTGACCTTTCTCCTCTTTCCCCCTCTCCTTTTTTTGCTGCAAGGAACTATCGTCAATCATCCTGTCAACAACAGTAAACAATAATCCGTTTCCCGTTCCCTGTTCCTGTGACGATACGGATGATCTGTTGTCGAGAAGTGAACAACGGCGAGAATAACGAGCTGAGTGCTCTTTTCTTTCCTTTTCTTTTATGTTTGTTGACTCCTGTTTCCTCCGTGTTTGCGCCTGTTCCCAAACCCAACGCAGTGTCTTTGATGTCTTTTTTGTTTCTGTTTGCTCAAAACGCTCCTTTTTAGTTATTTTTTGTCCTTTTTTGTCCTTTTTGTCATTTTGATGTTGTGAATAGCCTTTCCCATCCGGGTGTTTCCTTATCCCGTCTGTTTGTTGTTGTTGTTGTTTGTTGTCGTAGTAGTCGTTATTGTGAATAATAGCATGTCCCAGGTTCTGCGTTATCTTTTCCTGTTTGTTTGTTGTAGGTGTAGCTGTCTGTTCGCCAGTCATATAAGGTTCCTTTTCTTCGCCTTGTCCTGTTGGCGTACTCCGTCTAGATAGTTTATCCTCATTCTCTCGTTGCCCTTGAAATATCAGTTTCCCGCTCAATTTTCTTTGTTGTATGTATCTTTTGTATTCCTGCCGGTCGGTCGGTATTGCGTAGTCTCTGTCTAGGTCTCCTCTGTCCCTTCCATCTGTTCTGTACAGTTGCAGACATAAAATAGAGATCGATCGATTCCATAATCGCTTTGCATGTGATGCCAACGAATCGTCATCGTCCTTATTTGTAGTGTTCTCCGTGCGACTGGATTGGATTGCAATGTGACTCCGCAAGGAACAGGACAGATGCATCAGCAGCTAGAGTGCAAGCTGTAGCTTGTTTGATGTGATCCAATGTCTGCTTCCTTCCCGTGTTGAGTCTCCAGTGATGTGTGGTGTGTTGTGCAGTAACAGGCATACTTCTGACGGCGAGAGGTGTTTTTCTGACGAGTTGCTTGTGGATGGATGTGAAGTAGTGGCTGTAAAAAGTCTACTTACCAGCCATGGGAGTATTGATTGGTGTTGTTGGGTTGGAGTTGTTGATTAGAACGGAAGTTGTAAGCGAGAGTAAGAAGAGTAAGGGTGTGTGTGTGTGTGTGTGTGTGTGTGTGATGCAAGTGTGAGCCGATGAAGGGGAGTGAAGAAGCAGTCAGCTTGTCAGTCGTTAAGAGGAGATGGAGTCGTGTGTGCGCGATGTTGTAAGTGGTCGTATAAGGTATTCGGGCGAAGGTGGGAAGGTTGGTAATGTAGGCAATGTAGAGGAAGAGAGAAAAGAGAAAAGAGAAAAGATCTTCTGTTTTCTTTGTTGTGTGATGGTGCGAAAGGGGGAGGGGGAGAGGGGAGGGGATGATGACAAAGGAAAAGGAAAGGGGATGTATGTGGTAAGAAAGAAAAGAGATGTAAAAAAGAAAAAGAAAAAGAGAAAAAGAAAAAGAAAAAAGAAGAAAGAGAAAGGAAAGACAGAGGCTGAGAGCAGGTCTTGACAAAGAGATATAGAGAAAAGAGAGATGGCCCACACACAGGCAGGTGGAATCAAGTCGGGTTGTGTGTGTGTGTGTGTGTGTGTGTGTGTGCGGGCTCAGATAGGGAATCAGTGCAAGTGGAAGTGGAGGGAGGGAAAGAAGGAAGGAAGGAAGGGCCGGACTACCAGATGAAGGTACGCTTGGTTGGTGTAGGCACTATAGGGTGCAAAATGAAGAGTTTAAAAGAACAGGTTTTGCACTATGGACGCGAAGAGGTGGAATGGAGTCAGGGATCAAACACAAGCACTCTGATGTCGAAGACGAAGGTGATGAATGAAAAGAATGAAAGAATGAAAGAGAGAGAGGCGCCCTTTCCTTTCTTTTCCTTTCTTTTCTCAGCCTGAGCAAATAAGAAGGTGCATGAGTGGCCAGGTCTCAGACTGATCGAAACCATCTCTCTCTCTCTCTCTCTCGAACGAACGAACGAACGAATAGACAGACAGACGGACGGGGTTTGACTGATTGCCTCTGTTGATGCTTGATGCTTGATGCTTGATGCTTTGCTCTTGTCGATGCTCGTTCCTGAACTTTACTTTTTTCTGCTTGCACACATACCTTACCATGTACATCTATAATCGTACCTTGCAACAGCTACTGAAAAGACCTGGCTACCCCTCCCACTCTCCTCTCCTCTCTGATCACAACATCCATTCGAGCCAGTTTAATGCTTCTTCTCTTCATCTCCTATTCGTGTCTGGTCGTGCGCGTCATTGGCTGACATCACTCCAACTCTTCTACTTCTTCATCCCCCTGACAAGCAAAATCCACTCCAAAGGGGAACAACTCGAGAAAGAACACCTCATGTCTACTTTCGCTACACTCCTCTTTCGACCTCCCTCCTACTTCTCCCTCCCTTTTCGTTTCTTCGAATCCTATTCCTCCGGTCCTCCTCCTCCCTTCTACACCCCATTGATCGACTCCACCTTACCGCACTCAAGGTACATCGCAGCAGGACCCCTTTATTTCGTGATGATTGCACAAAGACAATACGACACAATTGTTGCTCCTACTCCTCTTTCCTCCTGTACCCTTTCAACCTTTCATCTGGGCATGCCTTGTACTTCCTCAATCGTTTCATGCTGTTTTTATCTCTTCCACCAAGAAGGACCCACCCCATTGTCATCTACAGTGGTTTTATCTCGTCTCGCTCTACTCTTCCATCAATCTCCCCTTTCCAACCAAAAAAAAATAAAAAAATAGTGAAAAACAGAAAAATGGCGCCAGGGAGTGGGCTCAACAATAAAATAATTGTGTTCTCTTCTTTTTACTTTTGGGCCGGTGCACCACCACTTCCCCCTCCTTGCCTCATCTGCCAAACTTTACCCCCTATCTTTTTTTTTCGAACCACAAATTGGATTTACAGGGCTTGGGGGAGTTTGTCTGTTATTTATTTGTTGCGTTCTGTTGATATTTACATGTGGTAAACAAACAAACACCACCACCACCACCACCACCACCAACAACAACGATGACAACGGACCCTAATCTCGCAGCCAGGAGATTCGCAACCGACTCAACCAAACTCATTAATTCTTTCTTTGTGCGACATTAGTTCCCTTGACTCTTTCCGATTCGTTTTATTTCGACTGGCCATTTTTAAAGGGTATAAAATGGGTTGACCTGGGGCATTCCAATTGAATCCCTCTACCAAACCTACAACCACCTCCAAATCTACGACTGAGGCGACTTGTCACCTTCCACAACACCACCGCCAGGAACAGAAGGAGGAGGATATGACCCATCCATAGAACCTGGAATTTGGTCCGCCTGAGACTTGATAACAGCCTCCGCCAGAAAGCTCCGTTCCTTCAACCGACTCGTCACCCGATCAATCTGTTGAATATGCGCCCTCAACGAAACCGTCGACATCCTCCTATTCGACGTCGTCTCAGGAGGCGGGGGAGCCTTCACAGTCTCCTCAAATGGCGATCCTCCACCAGACATCGTATCCTCCGCATCGTCACCCATCTCAGAAGAAGTTGAGGTCTCCTGAAGGGCCCCATCAATAACAGCATGTACAATCCCCTCCCTCAACACCCCAATTTCAGCCTCAAAATCCGTCAACTTCCAAAGCGCCGACTGAATCTGCCCCACCGTCGCCTTGCGCTCACTATCCATACCCTGAAGGAGGTGCAAATTCTCCTTGTACATCGTGCGTTTGATACGATGACCTCCAAACTGTGCCCATAACTTTGACAACACCTCGCCTTCGGCTTCCTTTTGTTGTCTCCGTTCCTTGGTTGTCAGTACGTGGATGTTGGTGAGCGTCTGGTCCATCACATCAAGACTATTATGTATCACATAATAACAAATAACAAATAACAAATGAATCGGGGGATTAGGTGTGGAGTTTTTTTTTGCAACATTACATAAGATGTAGATTACAAAATATTAATTTCCGTGCATGTATGTCGGTGTTCTGGCTGTATTACCTTTGGAGCACATCCTGGACTTGCAGAATAAGATCTCGCACATGGTTGCTCGCATCCTCCATCGTGCCTTGGTACAGCTGTCGAAGCTTCTTCTCGCTCGATGCCACCTCCAAATCTACAACAAACGACAAACACGCGCGGCGTTAGAACTCAGCTATATCTAGGATACGTTTCATCATAACCATGTCTAGATGCAACAAGTAATGAATGACTTACCATGGGTGCCAGCAAAGTATTCCCTGACACGACCCCAAACACCGCCCTTACCACCACCATTACCCCCTTCGCCGCCCTCCCCCAAAAGCCTCTCCCTCTGCCCCTCCAACCGATCCAACTCCACCGTCAGATACACATTCCTGATCACCAACCCATCCACACACCCATTGGCCCTCGCCTGCAAGAACTGCAATTTCCGACTCGTTACCTTGGCCTGGTTATGAAACGACTCCAAGTGCTTCACCAGCAAAGACCGTGGCTCTTCCGGTAAACTCGAATGCTCCACAAGTACCTTCAGATCCACAACCGCAAGCTCAGCCCGCTTCAAGACCAACGGCAACGGCAACCTGCCCCCTTCAAACTGCAACCCATGAATCGACAATCCATACGGATCATCCTCCTCCCCTTCCTCTTCATCCACCGCATCACTCCTCCTCCCACTAGCCGAATCAGAAAGCGTGTTCTTGCCATTCCTCCTCGCAAACAGCAGCGCCTCTTTTATCTTTGTCCTCTTCTTCTTCTTGCCATCATTCATCTTCTTGACCAGCGCAGGGTTCAAGACATTCAACGAGTCCGCAATAAGCTCATACGACGCCGCTTGCTTGTTGACCAAATCCGCAAAATCCGGCACCTGCATCATCATCGACCCTATCCCTGTTGCAGGACACTCGAAAAAATGTGACGCTAACGGAAGTCGACACACAATCCTCGCATGCACCTCTGATCGAAACACAGCCAAACTCCTCGTCAAAGCTCCCACCAACAGCAACAGGATCAACAGCGCCAGGATCACAGAGAACAGCGGCCGGAGTATCATAAGCGTGCCCCAAATCAAGTCCCAGCAGTACGAGATGATTCCATGCAGTGCGTATCCGAGTTGTACGGTCACGTCTTGGCTCGTCAACGGCCGACTACCACCTCCTCCTCCTTTTTGTCCACCGTCTCTACCTCCACCTCCTCCGTTTTGTCCAGTCTCTCTACCTCCGCCTCGCTCCCGCTCCCATTCTCTGTCCTGTGATGAGTTCCAGAGCGAATATGATTGTTGTGAATGTTGTGAATGCAGAGAAGGTGCATCTCTAAAGGGTTCAGCGCTCTTTTTCCGCTTCCTGAGAGCAGTAAAGTCATACTCGTTTGAGGTCATACGGTTCGTGTGTTTTGGGTTGTTATTGTCGTTGCTGTCCTGCTGTTTGTATCGGTGAGTTGAGTTTGCGCCAAGCGTCAGTTGGTGGGTTGGTTGTGATGTGAAGAGAGGTGAGTCGAGTGAAGCAAAAGAGCAAGTGAGGAAGAGCGAGGAGGAACAATGAACAAGTGTGCGAGGAAAAAAAGGGGATGGTGTGCGAAAGTGTTCACGTTAAAAAACTCTCTCGCGCCAGTCATGTGATTGCTTCCATTGGACCTAACGATGAAATTACTACAAGAGCTTGCCAATGGTCCTCGTCATAGTCTCCCCTTCTTCGTTTGTTTGTTTGTGTAGGTTGAATGTGTTGGTTGTATTTGATTATCTATCGAACAATGAGTGGCAAAAAAAGATGTGGGAAAGAAAAGAGAAAAAGGGAGCAGCAAAATGATAAAAGAGGAAAACAAAGGCGTCTTTATGATCTTCTTTAAACCATAGAGTCGACAAGGGAATCACGCATATCCTCGACAATGGCAGAGGGGCCGTTATCCTGGAGCTTGAAGATACTCTCGATCACAGACAACTCTGTAGAGGTCGTGTCCAAACCAGCGAACGCACACCAGTCATTGACCAACAATCCGGCACCAATAACATCCGAACCACGGTTAACAGTACCAGCGACCACTATTTGTCATTTGTCAGTGGCATAAACAGGAATGTTAGAACGAATTCATAGAAAAATGAAGGGCATGTAAAAACAACGGCTTTATGCATCCAATTATCTTCGTGAAAATGGCGATTGCCATGCAAGAGTAGTTGCCACTTACAAGGAACCTGGAGCAATGATGACAACTCATCCTGATCCTGAATAGATGTGCGGGGGTGAACCTATACACAACATCGCAAAGAACAAAACCAAAGTAAGTATACATTCTTCACAAAAGGCCATCAACCTTTTTCATCTCACAAACGAACGTCTTAAACCCAAAACAAAACAACATCAAAAAAACAAACATACCAAACCACCCTGGTTGCTCAAGGCGCAGTAAGATCCAACGAGGACGTTATCGGCAATAGTCTGTCTGAAGACCTCGACCTTCAAGACGTCGGCAATAATCTCCTCAGTCTCGCGATCGATATCGGGGTGAACCAATGCGACGTAGTCGTTGCAGGCAATAACGTTACCCAAAGCCGAAAGTCTCTCCTCAACACGCTGAATGGCAACAGAGTCGGGAAGCGAGTTTCTCAAGTGCTGAAGTTCCTGATCTGTGGTGGTGGAGGGGACAAGGAGTCCGTGGCGGTTACCGACGCAGAGACGGCCGATGATGCGGGTGCCGGCAATGCTGGTGTGAATGACGGGGATCACATCCTTCAACTCGGCCTCAAAGACACTATTATATTTCAATACAGCAAGGCAATTGGGCAATTGTAAGGTCATTGTTCATTGAAAGAAGGGACACTTGGGGGTCCTGTGGCTACTCCCATTTCGACGACGACCTTCGACGATAACAATGTCATCGGTGTTGCTCGTACCTGTAAAAGTTCTCGGAACCTCCGACGGCGACCAGGCAGTAGCTGTTGGTGAGCATGGCGAAGACGCCAACCTCGTTATTGTTTTCGAATTGAGCACCTACGCAACATCAAGATACAAAAGCGAGTTGAAGGGAAACGAAAAGTCCAGAAAAAAACCAACGTATTAGTCATCGTGCATCGCAAATACGCTGATGAACTGTCTCCTGATGTTTTGATTGCGTTCGTGAGTCGGTGGCGACGGCGAGTTGGTCGTGGAGGTTGTTTCTTGCTGTATTGGCCGTATCCTTCTCAGTGGTTCCGAGAGGTAGTTGCCGGTTAAAGGGGCGTAGTAAAAAAAAACTGCTGTATCTGTCGTGCGTCCTTTGTGTTGGGTTGTCGTCTTGCTGCGGATGACCCATGGCCAAGGCTCAGTCTTCTGCTTTGTAAGAATCGCAAGTTCGTCCAACGATCAGTGCAAGCTGGCAGTCCTGCCTGGTCCCGTTGCTGTCAAGGTGCAGTAAGAGGAAGAAAGAAGGGGGCACCTACGGACAGCCATTGTGATTGAGGTATGTGAGTATAGGGGGTTGGCGAGGGAAGAAGTGAAGAGAAAGAAGCGTGGGATTGATGGCGATGCTCTCTTTTTCTTGTGGTCTTTTTTCTTTGTGGACACTTTTTCTGCGTGCAACACACACAAAAAAAAAAGAAAAAAAAGAGTGTGGCTTAGCATGTTGTTCTGTCGCGAGCCGCAGCTGGACAAAGTCACGATTTCACAAAGTTGGTGGCGATGACTACGTACTCTTTTATCAATAGTCGCCAACCATTGTCGAACCCTTTTGAACAACCTGACAACCACTCTTTTCAGCTACGTTGCAAAGTACACAATCTCCGCGTTCCTCAACAACGCTTTAAACGCAAAATTCTTCACGCAATAGAAACACCTCCTCGTCGTTTCCCACCGAACTGGATCTCTTGCGCGAACAGCCGGCTTGACGATCCGAGGAATAGGAGATTGCCTAAACCGAGTATGTCATACAGAAAACAATAATCATCGCTAATATTTTTTTTGATAAACTTTTTTCAAGTATGAAAACAAATGCCTACCGTCCGCATCTTACTGGTCGATTGCTCATCACAGAAGCCTTACCCTTCCTCTTGTCGCGTCCAATATCCTGCTCCAATACCCTTGCGCTCTCATAGCAGCATGTGTCGCCTCCGAGACTTTTCTTCTCCGCTCTTGTTCTCAGAATCCGAGTCGAATTTTCTCTCAGCATCGTCTTCATCTCTGTGGTCGTCCTAAAAAGAAGAAAAACACCAAATAAAGAAAGAACCCCAAATTGTAATAAACCATCCATTATCGCAACTCACATTAACATCAACAAAACAGCAGGCAAAATTCCTCCTTACCTGTTCAAACTTGCGTTGGTGGCGCACCTTGCCCAAGATATACTTGGCAACTTGAACTCATAACATTCAATATCGAAACGCCGATTATTATCCCACCTTGTGATCTCTCCCTTTCCCATATTCTGGCGTAATCGTCACCGAGATCGATTCCGTCAACGAGAAGGCGCGTTGACAATCCATGGCTCTCCTTCTGGACGGGCTGCATCTAGAACGATAACGGCATGGTCGAGGGTGTGATCAGTCTCACGGATGTGTTCAAGATCCTCAGCGCACATACCGATAGCTAGGCGAGTTTAACCAGTTGTTTGGACTCCACAGGTTCTTTGTACCGAAGAAGAGTCTTTCTCTCTGCTGACCTCATCCATCGCTTTTTGTATAGACTTGTTTTTGTTCCAAAAATAAATAAAAAATAAACGATCGAAAAAAAGCCTTTCAGTGGTGGGCTATATGCTTCGACTCCAAAAATATCGTCACCTTGATGACCAAGACCCAAAAAGCGCTAGGGGGGGTTTTTTTAATGATTGGTTTGTTTTATGGTGATGGGTGTCGCATGTCGCATCCATCGACCCTTTGTTGCCACCGTTGCCACCAATGAACACGCCGCTTTGCAATGGTGGCAACAAGGCAAGCAAAAATGATCGAGGCACTTTCCTGATCAGGGTTTTACTGACATATTTCTCCACACAAACCTCAGCCAGACACATGCGGACAGCATGTACAAGAGTCTAGTCCTAGTCGTCGCAAAAGCCGTAAAAGTCGTCGTCTTCATCCTCTTGCACTACGCCTTCTTCCGCTTCGTTGTCCTGTGCTTCATCCTTCTGAACCCGTTGTAAGTTTGCAGCGCATCTTCTCTTGCTTGGACTAAAAAAAGTGACGCTACCCAGAGGTCGCGGCTCCCGCTCTGGTGTGCGTCGATCAGCGGTTCTTGCTTCCTCCTCGTGGTTCAACTCTTGCTCCTCTATTCGTTCCGTCAAGTCAAGCAAGTGTTTCTATATCACTCCAAGTACCAGTCTTCTATTCATTAGTCGAGAATTGATCATGCGAATATTTGAACAAGCGTAAGAATTCCATACCACATAAGCCAACAGAACGCTCAAAGTGTTTCCGCGAAGGAATAGTTTCCAGGAAGCAGACGAGTCTGGGAGACGCAGCATATGCTTGGTGGTGAGGTCCGACACAAACACATCTCCATTGTACTTCAGTGCAAATAAGACCGCCGACAGACCTATTTCGAAGCCATGAAGCTATTAGTTTTTTGACATCGAACTGTCACAAACAAAATAAATAAAAAATGGCGAATTCCCCTAGTCATCATGTCGTTACGATGGACATCAAGCGCAAGGACGTCCTAATCCTCCAGTGGTATTCCAATTTTGCTCCTTTAAATATAGCATCATGGCCTAGTTGACCCGCAGATTCTTTCGGTACTGCACTTCAACCTGCTCCTCCGATGCGTCGTCCACTTTGAACTCGGAGTTGTTGAGCTCATGCTCCTCAGCCCTACACTGTAAGTCCAGTTTCATTCCGTAAGTCGCCGAACCTGCGTCCACATCGTATTCCTGCTGCATGAGCAACCGCTGCCGCCGTGTAGCCTTAGATGTCAGCTCTCCTCTGAAAAATATAGTGAGACACGGCCGTACACATGTTAATGTCATTGCAGATAGAAATTGGAGATTCACGTCATCTGGTTGTTGCGAGTGCTCCTAGGACGTACGACTACACCTCCACCAGCTCGCCCTCGCTCATCGCCTTGGACGGCTTCTCAAGACAACTAAAGGATAATATGAGTATTAGTATTATGGCATAGGTTGCGAAATATCCATAATTAAAAGACCAAATGGAGTACTAACATGTGGCGCACGGCGTCAAGAATCCTCCGCTTCAATGGGCTGGTAGCCACTCCCTTCATGCGAGCCGAAGTTTCGACTCCCAATGCTGCCTCTACCACGTCCGTTAGCTTTTCCGTCCCGCCTGCCTCGAACGCTTCTTGAGGCGGGATCAAGATCTCTCATAATTGCTCGCTGGGATTACTGATGTGCGGTTGCAAACACTGGGTCTTGATCAGGTCCAGTGTCTCCTCGCCGAATATGTCTCGGGCACCGCTCATCCTAGCATTAACGATACCGGAAATCGCGACACTATGACAGAGAAAGAACCCTGTTAATATAAGTATCTATAAAAACAATAATGAAAGTACGCAAGGAATAGGATTGGAAATGTGACCTTACAACACTTCTTTCTCAACAACTTTTGTCATGGGCGCACTGTTCTGGACCTGTTTTTCAATATACTTGCATAGCATCTTGTGAAGACTGGCCAATCCGTTTGGCCACTCCTCATCTAAGGCCACGTCCCTACCTTTGATCTAGACAATGAGAGAAAAATAAAGGGTATAATTAAACAGCTGTAGCTTTCCAGTGCGTCGCCTTGGCTTCCAATGTAGACACATGGCATTTGCTCCCAGCAAAATAATGTACCTTCTCCAAGAGTTGCTGGACAACTGACCGCTATGGCTCTGCGATAACCGAGTTTTTGCGTTTCGAGCCCCTCTTAGCGGTCGCCGGAGATGCTACAGGGGTTACACTTGGAAGAGGGATTCTGCTGTTGGTGGAAGTTGTGGCTCTGGTCGCTGCGGCTGCTGCGAACGTTTGAGTTGCGCCATCACCAAGGAGGTTGATGCCACTGACCATGACTTGTTGACTCCTAGTGATTCCGGCAACTTCTACTCGGCGTTGCTGTCTTGCAATGACTGCTTCCAACGATATCTTCTCGTCCTCTTTCCGTTTTTGAAATTACCCTAACTCCCATTTGCGAAACTCTATTGTCTATTAGAGTAGAATGTGGTTTGTTAATCACTAATCAGTCAGATCAATCAACTAATTCGTCAGATCATTGCAGCGCGAAACACAGCGAACTGACTAACTTGGAGGCATCTTAAGCTGCCTCTGATTGCACTCCTTGTAGGGATTTCAGCAACGCATCGTGTGCAGCATTCCTATTCGTTGCGCCCATAGTTGCGTAGCCATGCCTGTCGCACGTCCCTGGTATGCCAGGAATGAAACGCTCTGGGACACCTTCTCCACAGCGTCCGCTTTTGCCACCATTCCTTATCTTCTCTTCATCACTCGCTGCTGCCACAACTCTCACATCCTTTCATCTTTACAGATCATCAGAGGTATGTATGGAGTCCAATAATTATTTTTTTTGCCAGCAAGAAATTCATGGCTGGGGACTCACCACTGCTGACAGTCATTCAGATTGTTCGCTATGGATTAAAGAGCTTAGCGTTGTGGAGTCGGATGAAAAGGGATATTATCCCTGTCTTGTCAGCCTGTGCGGAGCCGGGATTGCTAGGTTTCGCACTGGTGACCCCCACAATGTTTGGACCACATGAGTCAATGCAGTCCTTCAGCAGAGGAATAGCATCTGACAGGGGAATCGTTTCTTGCGGGGAAATTCACGTGATTATCCAATAAACAATACTGACATCCTAGGACCATTTTACATACTAGATTGCCACTGCAAGAAGACACACTCAAGACAGTCGCCAATGGACTTTCGAATCCCCAGTATTTTCAAGAAAATCGACCAATCACGTCGCTGCATACTGCGTTTCTTGTGGAAAGGGGCCATCAGACGAGGGATTGGAGCGTGAGTGGACATCAGTTGTTTTGCCGAGGCTAAAGGAGAGCGGAGCGGTATAACAGTGTTCCAAGAGGCCGCTACATGGCTGGAGAAGAACTGGGGGTTTCAGACCTTGACATGCCATCAGCCCTCGAGGAAGCGTATTTCCATGGTGGATTTCCTTAACGGCGCATTGGTTATATGCTGTCAAATGTCAAGGATTGAAACTCCCTAATGGAAGTCGCAGACGACGGCCAGGAAGGGTGAACGGTTGGAGCAGGACGTGGACATCCAGATGCGCAAACTCCTGGGCACAGTTAAGATTGATCATCGAGCGATCACATTGGATCACTCCAGCCGTACCCTCGCGAGACTTCCAGGCATTCGGTTCGTATATGTCTTCCGTTGTTCTCAGCGATGCTCATTTGCTTGCATTTAACTTTAATTTAATATTTTATTTGTTTTGTATTTTTTAGATCCTTTACCTACTGCCAAGCACCACCTTGTCGTCCGCAAGCGTCACGCCGTCCATCTCCGGCGCTAGTGCTACCAAGAAGAATACTACGGGATCTGAGGGTATTTGAATTTATTCCTTGTCAGGAATGTGTGCTCTCTTCTCGTTAAAACAACCCTCTCGGCTGATTCTATTCCTCTTCGACTTGAACGAAAGTTTACACAACGAAGAGGGCACGGACGACCAAGGCTCGTACGATGTGTCTTTGAAGCAACTTGGGGCTTGTCCTTTTCCTCTCAATGTCCGCTCACACTTGTATCCGTCCTTGTCCAATAATGGTGCTTCCTGCGTTTGCTCGTGCGCACACCAGCCCGTTCTTCGGGCTCGTGGACTTCGTTTTCAAAAAGGTATGTGGCCCATCCAGTCCAACCCTCGGCGCATTTAGTAACTCTCGTGTGGCCTCGGATGCTAATACCTGCGCCATTCGTTGTAGACCTGGAACCGGGACGTCTGCCTCCCAAGCCTGCCGCCGGGACTCTCTCACACTCACCAAGAAATGTTTCTTGCTGCACGGTATCTCCTTCAAGAACCAGGCGATATCACCAAGAAGAAGGAAGTCGTGTAAGTAGTCACCCAAACCCCTCGCCATTCAAGCCTTTCCCTCCAAGCCACTGGGCATCACAACGATTTGCACTATACTCACGTTAATACTACATGTACATACACGCCTAGTCTCATCGTGAGCAGAACCGTCAACACGCTCTCGCCAACAGGACCTCGGTTCACCATTTCGCCAACGATTGTGTCCGAGTCTCGATTGCGATGCCTTTTATACACCTCCCCAGCAATCAACGAACTACGTGACGACTGTTGTCTATCTTGTATCCCGATGCTGATGACCTTGCCGCTATGTGTGTCGAATCACTACAAAGCACAGTTTTCCGGTCCCTGTCCCAGTGTACTTTTGCCCGACCACCATTAGGTAGAATGTGAGGGAGATCTACAGTACATGAAATTGTGACTGAAAAATCTTAATTTTTGTGACAAGGTCCATAGCAATGATAGCAATGTTGCTCCAGGGTCACTCCGGGATCGTAAGCGGCTGTAGTAAGCCATTTTCCTTTGTGGTTCCGTCTTTATCAATGTCACGATCTTTAATAAACCTATCACCCTCGCTATTGTCAGATTAGCGTCCGCACCCCTTTTGTCACCAAGGAGGGGTACATTCATTTTTTTTGCTATTATACACTCGCACTGGTAACACACCCACACACGATCGACGCATTGACCTTACTCTTTTTTTTTCTTGCTCTCTTGTCTACTGCAATACTGACAGTGGCCAGATTGTTATGGGTCTTTATGGCTGCGTAAGAAGAAGATGGCGTCCAATCGATAGTATGCTATTATTATTATTCTTAGCCTTTGCTATATGCTTTTCGGTTGTCTCCCGCACAAGGCATTCATTCACTTCGTTCATTTGTTCGTCCGAAACTTTATTATGGGCCTATCTGATGCAGGACGTTCTCAAGACCGTGAAGAACTTTCTTGAGCTTGCCAAACGAGAGTCCTACGACTATACAATCTTCTTCCAAGTGGCCAAGGTACTATTGAAGAGGAAGTAATGAAAATGAGGAAAACTCGTACCACTCCGCAACGTTATGACTGCCAAGAATATGGCGAACATTATTCAGGGCCATCTTTTCAATCAGGAGCGTCCAGATTATCTGCAGCCAGTTGGCAGTAACGGTTCCCTTCCCTGGAAAGCCAAACGCGAGGATGGACCCAGCTCCAGCTCCAGATCCAGCTCCAGCAGCGCCGCAACCACCGCCACCTTTTCTACCGCTTCCTCAAGTATCACCAACGGAACTAAAAGGCACCACAAGAGGACGGCGACTACCTCGAGTGCGGATTGATGGCGGTGTGGAGAGTCGCTCATGACTTAGTTCCTTAGTGCTGGTATTGCGCAGTGGATGCTATGATGAGTTGCTTCGGTGACGTAATTATAGCGTCCATTGTCGGCCAGTGATGTAGATGGGGATCTGCCTTTTGAGTAATACTTTGGTGGCGTTCTTGTGATACCATTTCGTTAGTGTAGAAAATGATAATAAAATAATTCGGAACCGAGCTGTTCGCTCGGGGTGCTTTCTTTTATACACACGTTTTCCAATCTTGATCCATACTTTTGATGATGACTTCTGATAATCGTCATTGAAAGCGAGGGTCCACTACTACATTGACACACTCTCGACCTCCTTTGTACCCCAATCGACTATACGGCTAGATCCATTGCTCCCCTCGAGTCGTAGTTCCGCTGGTCCACCCATCTCGTCTAGAAACGACTCTGTGCCCAGCCAACTTATCGACAACGGCGTGAAACAAGGTGCACGGGCGACCGAGCGGTCGAGATAACAAAGCGCGCACCCAGGGGGGTCTACTTTATTGTTAGTACTCCTTCCTTTTATTCTCCTCGGCTTGTCTGTCCTATCCTTGACACTTTGCGCCCTCCTGATGCCATAGAGATCCACTTTTCGCCCTGCCGACGTTTCCGCCAGACCTCCGCTGTTGCAGCCCAACACCCGACCACAGGCCGATCTATCGTCTAACGGCGGACTGCGGTGTAACTGTCAACATATATTATGGATTAGCCGGTGCCCAGGGGTCTACTTTACTGTTAGCACCCCCTCTCTTTATTCTCATCCCCTTTTTTTATTTTATTTTGTTTATTCTATCGATCTCACATATGCGAACTCCTTGGTCCTCTCCCAGTTCATTCTTACGGATATAGTCCTAGCTCCACTGCCCATTTGTTTAGACTAGATCCCCCACAGATAATCTTTGTTTACATCATCGCACCAGCAAGATTGACTTCTGCTTCGCCTCCATTAACTGCGCCTCCAATCTTTCTGCGCAAGTTGAATACCCCTCATTCCTTGTAGGGCCCTAACCCCTTGTATAAAACGGCATCTTTTCTTCGTCTTGTCCACTTATCCCTATCACTCTTTCCTCTCTCGTCTCTTTCTTGCTCCCCTTGCTTGTTCCTTTTCTCATACTCTCTTGCTCTTACACTATCATATCGCATCTTCTTGTAGCCACATCAGCATTTCCCTCAACATCTCCGTCACGCCCGTCACGCTCTTCATCTTTCTGACTAGGATGTCCCAGACATGTCCCCTCGATCTACCAGAGATTCGCTCAATAATTGCCAGCAATATTGGCCTCAATGACCTCACGTCCTGTGTGCGTGTGAGCCAGGATTGGAAGGATTTATTTACACCACCACTCTACAAGTCTGTCGTGTTGTCCAAACATGGTCCCAGCATGGAAACTGTCAAGAGAAACAAGCACCTGATAAAAAGTCTGAAGGTTCAGGGTTCTCTCCGTGGAAACCAATCGTGGACATCTGGACAAAACAATATAGTTACTAGCATCATGGCCAACTCGACTCCGGCTGCTTTGGACTTGAGTGAAGACTCGCTCGGAAACTACGGAGCTCAAGCACTGGCTGAGGCACTCAAGACCAACTCGACTCTGACCACTTTAAACCTGCGCTTCAACTCGATCGGAGAGTACGGAGCTCGGGCGCTGGCTGAGGCACTCAAGATCAATTCGACTCTGACCACTTTGGACTTGAGTGGCTGCTCGATCGACGTCTGCGGAGTTCGTGCACTGGCTGAGGGACTCAAAATCAACTCGACTCTGACTGCTTTAACCTTGAGGTACAACATGCTCGGATCTAGCGCAGCTCAGGCGCTGGCTGAGGCACTCAAGATCAACTCGACTCTGACCACTTTGGACTTGACCGACAACTCGATCGGCGACAACGGATCTCATGCGCTGGCTGAGGCACTCAAGATCAACTCGACTCTGGCCACTTTGGACTTGGGTGGCAACCGGATCAGAGAAAACGGAGCTCAGGCGCTGGCTGAAGCTCTTAAGACCAACTCGACTCTGACTGCTTTGGACTTGACCAACAACTCGATCATTGACGACGGAATTCAGGCGCTGACTGAGGCACTCAAGGTCAACTCGACTCTGACCACTTTGGAATTGGGCTACAACCTGATCGGAACCTACGGAGCTCAGGCGCTGGCTGAGGCACTCAAGACCAACTCGACTCTGAGTGCTTTAAACCTGCGCTTCAACTGGATCGGGGACAACGGAGCTCAAGCACTGGCTGAGGCACTCAAGGCCAACTCGTCTCTGGCCACTTTGGACTTGGGCCGCAACCGGATCAGAGAAAACGGAGCTCAGGCGCTGGCTGAGGCACTCAAGACCAACTCGACTCTGACCACTTTAAACCTGCGCTTCAACTCGACCGGAGACTACGGAGCTCATGCGCTGGCTGAGACACTCAAGACCAACTCGACTTTGACCACTTTGGACCTAAGCGAAAACTCGCTCGGAGAAAACGGACCTCAGGCGCTGGCTGAGGCACTTAAGACCAACTCAACTGTGTGCATTTTAGGCTTAAAAACTGATGTCGCCTCAATAGTCAAACCCCTCAACCGATGTACTCTATAGTGGTCACAAATTGTACAAGTATGTTGAACCGCTATCTTCTATGGCCTTTAACTCAAAAACGGCATTGGCTTCCAGATCTTTCTAGTAGACCATTCACGTCCAAAATACAACATAACATCTCTCTTATCTCTGTCCTTCTTGATGAAGTTCATGGTGACAATCAGACAAGAGTATTTGTATAACAGCAATCACGTAAGCTAACCATTGTAATATTTCGTGCGTAACAATTCTACCAATCACCGCCAACTTTCCCAAACAGAAATGTACCATAGTTTTTCGCATAGATCTCTCCTGAGTGTACATCTCCATTACCAGATCGCATCCTTCGCATCGAAATTAAGGGGAGTAATTCTTGACGATGATACTCCAAAACTTGTTCTTACTATGTTGTATCTTTGTGGTGAAATGCAGATAAGAGACTAGTTTTTAAAAAATCGCATCTTGCTTGGTGCCTATTTATATTGTATCTCTCTTGCAAATTCGTATCGTATACGTCAACTCGAATGGTACACAGTTCGTTGACAGAGAGTTGGATATTTTAAAAAACCATTTCCGTGTGCCGTGTACGTGAAAAATCGCCCTAGGCCTCAGTAAACTTGTATGAGATTGCCATATCTACTGGTGCAATTGAAACAATTGCTGTATCATTCATACTGATTTTTTTAGAAAGGCCTACTATGGATCATTTGTACAGTTTTGTAACCGTGATTATTATTTGTATATCAAATTCGTGAGTTGACTCCTTTTGCCTTGATGAGAGCTTGCATCCGTTCAGGCATACTCCGAATCAGATTGCGGCAAAACTCCATTGGTGTTTCTTCTTCCTAGATCCCCCTCACTCGTTTCCACAGGCCTAGCATGCCTTTAGGAATGGACCCGTGCTCGCAAAGCACTTTTTTAAGTGTTGTCACAAATGCTCTATTGGACTGAGGTCTGACGAATTGGAAGGCTATGTGAGTAGTCTTTCTGTCGCCTCCGTCAACTTAATGGAGGCAAAGTAGGACTTGATTGCCTTGGCGGTGCGCTTGAGATCAATATCTTGTTACAAGATAAAATACTCTGGATCGATGTTGTACCAGTCGAAGGTATTCAACAGCTCGTCTTGAAGAATGCGAATATACAAGAACAATGGTGTGGTGATGTAAATGGAGATCTGTCCTTTGAGTGTTATTTTGGTGGCGTTCTTGCGACCACCATTTCGTAGTGTAGAAAATGATAATAACATAATGAACCAAACAGTTGGCTCAGGGCGCATCTTTTCTCTTATTCTTTTTGATCCACTCTTTTGATTGTTATTTTGACCAGCAAGGCCCACTTGATCACCTTTCGACAGGTATTGCCACCGATGGCGTATCCTAGCCATGTGTCCGTTTCCTTCTCAGCCAGCATTGAAAGCAGAATCTCTCTGCCACCCCTGCGCATTGTCAACAACGAACACAATGCGTATTGGGTAGCACAAGGAAGCCCACCACCGACCGGCTCATCCATCCTACCCTTGACAATATTGCACCACCACTGAACTCATAGAGATCCCTTTTTCGCCCTGCCCACGTTTCCACTAGTTATCAATCCGACCACCACCATTGGTACTGGCCGATCTATCGTCTAACGGCTTACTACGGTGCAACTGTCAACCTATATTTTGGAATAGCCGGTGTCGAGGGGTCTACTTTACTGTTAGTACCCCCTCCCTTTATTCTCATCCCCTTTTTTATTTTATTTTATTTTGTTTATTCTATCGATCCCACATATGCGAACTCCTTGGTCCTCTCCTAGTTCATCCTCACGGATATAGCCACAGTTAGTTTTTGTTTAGACTAGATCCCCCAAAGACAGTCTTGTTAACGTCATTGCAATAGCACATGGTTAACGCCACTTATTTTCCAGACCCTTCTATTGCCACTTCATTCTTTGAGAGACTTCTGCTGACTAATCCAGGCACATTTTCTCCTAGAAAACTCTAGCAACAACAGTGGTCAACCTGGTACCATACACATATAAATTCATAGTCAGCACCGTAGATAGTTCCATCAGTTCATAAATCAAGTCTTTATTAAACACAACATCCCACAATCACGTCTCTGACCGCAAGAGCTTCGGAAGCGTGGGTCCATTTCTGAAGGCATGCTTGACCTGTGGAAACGAGTGAGGGGGATCTAAGAAGAGGAAACATCAATGGAGTTTTGCCGCAATCTGACTCGGAGTATGCCTGAACGGATGCAAGCTCTCATCAAGGCAAAAAGAGTCAACTCACGAATTTGATATGCAAATAATAATCATGGTTACAAAACTGTACAAATGACCCATGGTAGGCCTTTCTAAAAAAAATCAGTATGAATGATACAACAATTGTTTCAATTGCACCAACAATGGCATACACGTTTATTGAGATCTATAAAAATCTGGTTGTTAATGCCATTCTTGTGCCAGAGCTTAAGGGGTTGAGCATGGAGCTACATCAGTTGTATAAAATGAACACAGTTGGGTTGGTCCTATGTGCCTCAGCCAGCGCCAGAGCTCCTCTGTCAGTAATCGAGTTGTGATACAACTCCAAAGTGGTCAGAGTCGAGTTGATCTTGAGTGCCTCAGCCAGCGCCAGAACTTCGTTGTCACTGAACGAGTTGTTGGACAAGTCCAAAGTGGTCAGAGTCGAGTTGATCTTGAGTGCCTCAGCCAGCGCCAGAGCTCCGTCGTATCCGATCCGGCTGCTGTTCAAGCCCAAAGTGACCAGAGTCGAGTTGATCGTGAGTGCCTCGGCCAGCGCCAGAACTTCGTTGCCACTGAACGAGTTGTCGGAAAAGTCCAAAGTGGTCAGAGTCGAGTTGATCTTGAGTGCCTCAGCCAGTGCACGAGCCCCGTTGTCACCGATCGAGTTGGAACTCAAGTCCAAAGTGGTCAGAATCGAGTTGGTCTTGAGTGCCACAGCCAACGCATGAGCTCCGTTGGATCCGATCCGGTTGTGTCTCAAGTTCAAAGTGGTCAGAGTCGAGTTAATCTTGAGTGCCTCAGCCAGCGCCTGAGCTCCATTGGGTTCGATCTGGCTGTACAACAAGTCCAAAGTGGTCAGAGTCGAGTTGATCTTGAGTCCCTCAGCCAGCGCCTGAGCTTCACTGTCTCCGATCTGGAACAAGTGCAAAGTGGTCAGAGTCGAGTTGATCTTGAGCGCATCAGACAGCGCCTGAGCTCCCCTGTCATTGATCGAGTTGTAACGCAAGTTCAAAGTGGTCAGAGTCGAGTTGACCTTGAGCGCCTCAGCCAGTGCATGAGCTCCATTGTCACCGATCAAGTTGTTGACCAAGTGCAAAGTGGTCAGAGTCGAGTTGATCTTGAGTCCCTCAGCCAGTGCATGAGCTCCATTGTCACCGATCCCGTTGCAGCCCAAGTCCAAAGTGGCCAGAGTCGAGTTGATCTTGAGTCCCTCAGCCAGCGCCAGAGCTTCGTTGTCATGGATCATGTTATCGGACAAGTTCAAAGCAGTCAGAGTTGAGTTGATCTTGAGTGCCTCAGCCAGTGCACGAGCCCCGTTGTCACCGATCGAGTTGTAACTCAAGTTCAAAGTGGTCAGAATCGAGTTGGTCTTGAGTGCCTCAGACAGCGCCTGAACTCCATTGGATCCGATCCGGTTGATGCTCAAGTCCAAAGTGGTCAGAATCGAGTTGGTCTTGAGTGCCTCAGACAGCGCCTGAGCTCCATTGGATTCGATCCGGTTGTTACGCAAGATCAAAGTGGTCAGAGTCGAGTTGGTCAGGATGCTAGACGTTGACGATAGGTTTCTATATTTAGAGCCCTCGACCTTCAGGGTTTTTATAAGGTGCTTGTTTCTCTTGACAGTTTTCATGCTGGGACCATGTTTCGACAACACGACAGACTTGTAAAGTGGAGGTGTAAACAAGTCCCTCCAATCCTGGCTCACACGCACACAGGACGTGAGGTCGTTGAGGCCAAGATTGCTGGCAATTATGGAGCGAATCTCAGGTAGATCGAGGGGACATGTCTGGAACATCTTAGTCAGAAAAGATGAGGAGTGTGACAGGCGTAATGGGGATGTTGAGGGTAGTGATGATGTGGTCGCAAGAAGGTGCGATATGATAGTGTAAGAGCAAGAGAGTATGAGCAAAGGAACAAGCAAGGGGAGCAAGAAAGAGATGAGAGAGGAAAGAATGATAGAGATAAATGGACGAGGCGAAGAAAAGGTACCTTTTTATACAAGGGTGAGGTATTTAATAGTGGCAAAAAGCAGAATCGACAATGGACGCCATAATTACGTCACCGAAGCGACCCATGATAGCATCCACTGCGCACTACAAGCACTAAGGAACTAAGTCCCGAACGACTCTCCACGCCGCCATCCGCACTCGTGGTAGTCGCCGTCCACTTGCGATGCCCTTTAGTTCCGCTGGTGGTACTTGAGGATGCGGTAGAAAAGGTGGCGGTGGTCGCGGCGCTGCTGGAGCTGAACCTGGAGATGGAGCTGGGTCCATCATCGCGTTTGGTTTTCCAGGGAAGGAAACCGTTACTGACAACTGGCTGCAGATAATCTGTACGTTCCTGATTGAGAAGATAGTCCTGAATGATGTTCGCTTTATTCTTGGTAGCTATTAATATAACTTCGTGGGGTGGTGTGAGTTTTCCTCATTTTCATTAATACCTCTTCAATAGTACCTTGGCCACTTGGAAGAAGATTGTATGTGGTGAATATCAGTGTAGATGAAGAGAAGTAACAAGTAAAGAAGTTTTTTTATTATTATGCCCTTGTCCCTGATGCTTGTCCCCACTCAGGGACTATAAATGCTACTCAGGGACAAGCTTATAATAATAGAAGTAACTTCTTCACAGATCATTTTTTCCTTCATTATATCCGGCAACGTTTCACACTTCAACGTGAGTACAATCGCCTCTTTTGTTGACACGGGATATGTCAGACCTTGCTGATGCATCTGATCCAGCAGCTGTGCGTGCTCGGACGTCAACCTAGGCATAATCACGAGATCGAGTCTCTTGAGTCCAAGGTAAGTCCATTCCGACCCCCGAGGGAAAACTCTGCCGAGGCAAGATGACCCCGCTCTACGCAGACCTTCAACTTTGAACACTTGACATAGACCTAGTTGAGCTTCTTGGAGCAGACAACATTAAGACAGAACCTGAGATGCTCTAGCATCTAACAAACCTCGGCAACACCAACCAGCATCCTGTCGTATACTTCGCACATATCCAGTCGAACCGCCCTCGTCATGTAAGCAATGACTCTGTCGATCCTGGACTGCTCGTATTCCTGATAAGGTTCCAAAATCGCCACGCCCCGGATTGTAGAGTCAACATTGAGGGGATAGGCTTCTTCGTCGTCCCAGAACTCGCTTAAACAATTTCCAAACCCAGTAACTGCCACACGCTCTTCAAGCTTGGAAATGCCTCCAGTGCTTCTTGAATCGGTTGAAAATAGTATGCCCACATGACACCAATGACTGTTGTAACATTCGGGAATCGGATGCGGCCATCGACGACGGTCTCCAAGTCCTCAACCCACAATGTCAGTGGTGATTGGTGCTTAAGATAGTCCCACTCCTTGGACACCTCGGTCTAAGCCCCATACACTTCTCGGATCGACAGCTGCTTCAGTGCTGGAAACGCCTCAATGACCGATGGGAACTGCTCCAACGAAATATCATCCTTGAACTCCAGTCGCTTTAGAGCCACTTGAGTATATCCATGATGCACCTGTGGATCGTACCCGGAATCTCTGAATGCACGAACGACGAAACATGAGGAAACCGAGTCTTGAGGTCGCAAAGCAAGAAATCGTCAGACTACCGTCCAATCTGCAAATCCCTCAATAGCGGCAACCTCTGCAGCGCCACACCAGAAATACGTCGTCTCGGTTGTAAGAGCTTGCGCATTCTCCGCATTGATGATATCCCTTCGTCCATGAAACTCGAGTCGTCGCAAGACACATCAACGCCAGTCGCCACTGCGCCGCTTCCGATAAACACTTCCATCGGGATCCAAGTTTCGAAAGACCTCGAGGTCGAACTCATACTTCCAGGGCTGAACACCGACCAGCAACGGAATCCCTTCATGCAAGTCCGGGAGGTCCTCATCGTTGTCATGTAAGATCTCGTCCATGGACCGACCAAACTCCAGCGACGCCAAATTATTCAGCCCAACCAGGAGCGCGCCCTGCAAGACACTGTCTCGATCCACAGTCAGATGACGAATATGACGTGCGTGGTCGGCAAGACGAGTCCTGATCCGTCTGATCCGCGGGTGTATTTTCGAGACTCGACGACTCGACCGTGGGCTCAACTCTCTTCACTTCTATCAAGGGACAGTACGGGATCGGTCCAGATATAGTCGCATTCTGTGATGGTGGTGTCGAGAAAGTCGATGGTCCAGAACCAGAAGGGATCTTTCCAGGCCAGATGAGAGTGTTCCAGAAACAGGGTGTGTGGACTTGATGCCAGAGACGGAAGACGGGGATGCAGGCAAGGCAGGATTCGGGTTCGAGAGAAGAGCCATGTAAGCCAGGAATTTTGGAGTCTCGACCATGGTGTGTTGATCCTCTGAGCCCGAGGCGAGGATAGAGAAGAGACTAGTGATAGTAAGTTCGAGAAGGGTTGAAGTAAAGTGAAGAGCGGCGTCTGAGGGAAAAGATGGCAGTAAAGAAGTAGGCGGAAGATGATAAAGGGATTGAAGGTGAAAAAGGTGATGGAGGAAGAAAAGAAGGAGGAAGTAAAGAGGGTCAGAAAGTCAAATCAGATCACTGGTTGAGATAAAAGAAGACAATGAGTCGCATGCACGCCACCAAAATTAACTGCGTGTCTGTTTGCTTAGTCCGGAAGGGGCTCAACTGAAAAAGGTGAGAGGACGTCAATGACCAACATCATTTTAATTATTTCCGCCCGTCAGCGAGAAATACTGTACCCCTAACGCAATCCAGGCGCGCCCCAAAGGCAAATCCAAACCCAATCTTCTGCAAATCCCTTATCACTCCTAACTCAGCCAGCCCCGACGCCAATGTCATCTCAAGACCTTCTGGGATATCCTCCTCTTCCGTTGTAAAGACCACCTTCTTGGGTGCAATGCGCTGACTTAGATACAACCCTTCCAATTTTCGGAGTCGTCCTAGTCGTACATAGACCTGGCGTTGGATTTCGCACGAGAACAGCTGGAGATCCATGAAATCCTGTTCTTCCTCTGTCAACCCCATGTTCTCGCTCAGACGCCAGGTGTTCAGACGTGACTCTTGTCCCCCGCGAGACGCGAAGGACACTCACGACATCCATCTCTAGATTCTTGATCCCGAGACAGGTCCACTCTGTGCTGCCAATAATATCGTCCGCAAGGATATCATAACCACTTGCGCGACACTCTTTCAACAGGAGGCAACCGACAAAGAGTTCGACCAGCTCACGGAAACATCTCTCTCACAGGTCTAATCGGGCATACTCGAGGTTTGTGCACACCCTCCCGAGCTCCCTCAACATCCTGCGTCCGATCTAATCCACAGCCAGACGAACCAAGAAGTCCATCTGACAAAACACTCTGTCGATCCTGTTTGATGCCGTCCAGATATTGTAGGCGACAATTGTCTTGATCACACACGGCCTTGGGATGTGGTGCACGCTCTGGACCTCAAACTCTTCCTCGTCTTCCTCCGTTTCGCTGAGTTTCGGCTTCTCCAATCGTATCTCGAGATGACCCATCGCTGGAAACGCCCTGAGGAGTCTTTGGAGGGCCAGGTTGCTGGGTGGGAAGACCGTGAAGTTAAGGGTTCTGGCGTTGGGGAGCTTGACTCGACATTGAACAAACCCAGACGGGTCGTCGACAGATATGGTTGTCAGCATAGGGTGGATGAGTTTCTCCCATAGGGCAGCCTCGGGGATCTCCTCCTTGGTAATGTTGCATCTAGGGATCGAGAAGGAGTGGAGCCCAGGGAAGGTGACAATATTGACCCGCGTCTGTGTAGCCGAGATGAAAACCAAGTTCTGGAGGTTGGGATGTGGATGAGCGAGGGGCGTCTCTGGGTCGAACTGTGAGTACTCCGAGTGGACAAAGGAATTTAGGTTCGGGAACTCAGTCGCGAGACGGAGAAAAAGAAAATCGTCTGCATTATGTCCGATCTCCAGGATGGCGCCTTTCCTCACACACCAGCCAAAGATGGACACAAGGCAGGAGAGAAAAAAAAACATGTGCGTACACGGCGCGTGGTTGGCGACACACTAATAGAGGAAAATACAAAAGTAACAGAAACTCTCACCCAACCCTTGTGGCATCCACACAAGTACCCAAGCACCCAAAACTAATAAAAAAAAGTCGTCGTTATGTATATTCACATTGATTGTCCTGAACAATACTAGCCTTAAGCGTTGGCCGCAGTTGGTGAGGCAGACTTGACATCCTGTTGCTCTTTCTGCTCTTGATGCTGCTGCTGCTGCTGTTCAGCCTGGAGCTTAGCCTGGGCCTCAACCTCCAGGATCTGCAGCCTCTGGATCTCGTCGCCCTTCATCCTTGTCCAGACATAATCCTGTGCAACAACACCAACCGCCAAACGGATACAATCAACCATCCTATCTTCGACCCACTCGTTTTCCTCATAGGGGATCAACAACCAATGTGCAGGCAAGCTCTGCGAGCACGACTCAAACTCCAACTTGTGTGTGGGGTCCTGCAAGACAATTACATACGAGATAAACATATCCTTCTCCAGCGTCTTCTCCTCCGAGGAAGCAGGCTTGGTGTATCCGTGACGGGGCACACGGCAGGGTTGGATCGCCATAAAGACTGGGCAGTTCGAGGCCAGGGTGACGGGATTCCTGTCGGCACCAGACTGGTGCTTCTCGGCATCGTAATGTGTCTTGATCAAGTGCTCAATGTTGGCCTTGGCCAGTTTAACGGCCTGTTCGTAACCCTCACAAGCGTTCAATTGACGGTCCTCTGGTTGCACATCCTCGTTCTGGTTGGTTCCTGCTCCCTGGTGGACAATCACATCGCCGCCCTCGGTCTGCTCCATGACTTTTGAGAATGCTCTGTAGACCAGACCCTCGACACCGACATATCCTACCATATCGTGAGCCAGCCAGATCTCGACCACCTCGTGCTCGGCTATTGGGGGGGCAATCACATCCAGCACTGTCGTCATCGAGCTCAGTGTCAGCGACTTCAGATCATTACCTAGTTGTAGGTCACAAGTGGATTCATATCGGTCGTTAGCCATTTGGAAAATTCATTGACGTATCAAGTCCTCCTTGGTTAATAGGATATGGTTATATGTCCTGTTCCGTACAATAAAGCCCTCCTCCCTTGGCCACTCGTCACATGCACATGCAGACCATCATCAACCACAAAAGGTTTGACGATGTAATGAACAAAACGCAACAATGTAAAAAAACAGACGCCAAAGCATAACTAAACAGAGCAATAAACGACAAAAGAACATACCAATCTTGCCAATATTCTCGGCGTTAACAAAACCCTTGACGCGCTCCTCCAAGTTCTTGGTCGCCTGGCTCTCCATAGTAGCCTTAACCGAACTCTGCACAACCGTCTGCGTATTTTTCACGGCCTCAGAAGCAGTCGACCACAGACTACCCAACCACGACGACCTCGAGTCGACCTGTGCCTGCTGTTGCTGTTGCTGCTGAGGCGCTGCATGCTGTTGCTGTTGCTGCAAGTACTTGGAAGGAAGAGCAGCGGTAGAGTTGAAGGACGACTTGCCCTGGGAGCCAGGAGGGGTGGCCTTGGCGGTGGTGTCGACGGGGGTGGAGGCAGACTGGGTGATTTCGTCCAGAAAGTCGAGGACGGACTGTTCGTCCTGGTTGTCTGCTCCTCCTCCTGAGGCGGCTCCTGTTGCTGGGAGACCAGAGGCCGAGGAGGCAGAGGCAGTCCTGTCGCGTGAGGCGGTTGCTCCGGTTTGGTCGGTGCCAGTGGACGGGGTGGTGTTTGCGTCGCCGTCGAGGGAGTCGAGGAACTGCAGAACATCGTCCTTTGAAGATGACATTTGTTTCGTGTTTGTTGAGAGGGAGTGGGTGTTATTGGAGGTGTGATGTAACAAGAAGAGAGAGGATGATGACACGAAGGTAGAAAGGAAGAGCAACGTACGGCACTCGTGGAATAAAAGAAACTCAAAGGGGACAAGTGGGGTTCGTGACTGGGAAGAGGGGCGTGTGGGTGGGACTTTTGTGCTGACTGTCAGCCCACTGCTCTCACTTCTTCCATTCGCTCGCCTGGAAGAAGGTACGACAGGCGCAATTCTGTGTGGCTTAGGAGTGGAAGCAATTGAACACGCTCTATGCATCGAATCAATACTTTACTTTACTTGCGCTGCTTGGCTCAATATCTAACTGAACATCTTGCTGTAAGCAGCCTTCTCCTTCTTCTTGAACGCAGTCTGCTTCGATGCAATCACATTCAACAAGCTAGTAAAAGTAGCATCGCCAGGCGCAATCTCAAGTCCGCGCTGAGCAATCTTCTTTGCGTCCTCAAACTCGCTCAGTCCCAAGTATGCCTGTGCAAGACGGTATGTCACCTTCACATGGTCATCCTGAATCTCCAACGCCTAAAAACAAGTATTTCATTCGGTAAACAAAACAGAGTAGTATCAGTAATATGAACAATTGACGTCTAACACCAAATAACAACCACTGCCAAATATCACAACGAAATGAAGAGTTACCTGGAGGCAGGCCTCGGCGGCCTTTCCGTTCTCGTTGAGCTTCAAGTAAGCGGCAGCCAAGTTTGACAACAGGGCCAGGTGCAAGGGTCCAGCCTCCTGGAGCTGCTCGGGGGTAGCGCCCGCCAAATCCTTCAACAGATCAGCACCATCCTTGTATGCCTGTGCGGCAGGTCCGTTCTCGCCAGCCTTGAACGATGCGTTTCCCTGATCTTTCTTCTTCTTGGCCAATGTCAACTTGGCCGATGGGTTGTCAGCGGACTAACAGTTCATAAGTTCATATAAACAAGTCGTTTTGGTATCCAGAACAGGTTTAGTGTCTAGAACAGGTCGTAGGGGATGCCATTTCGAAACACTGGATCAGTTGAAGAGCGTTGTTACCTCCTGGAAGCCGAGCAACTCGACCTCGAACTTGAGAGTAGAGTTTCCGGGGATCTTGGGTGGGCTTCCCTGAGCGCCGTATGCTATTGGCCATGAACAAAGTACCAACGACGCCTGCGGTCAATACTTGGATTCTCCTCAATAACGACGTCGTGTGTAGGTCAGCTAAAGATATCCATGATTCTGATGCATACCGTATTCAGGAGCACAGACCAGCTCGGCCAACTCTCCAATCTTCATGGTGGCAACACCCTCGTCCCATCCCTTGATGACCTGGCCTATTAATAATTGAGCAATACAATGCAAAACGTCAGATATGAACACAATACGCAAAGGTCGTGGATTAGTTGCGTAGCATGCTAATATGGACTTGTGAAAGATAAAGGTTTCATGCTTACCGACGCCGAGCTTGAAGTTGAAGGGAGAGTTGCGGTCGCGGGAGGAATCGAACTTGTCGCCGTTGGTGAAGAGGGTACCAACGTAGTGGACTAGTGCGACCAATTGGAGTGAGTAATAAACGCAGTAACGTGTTAATTCTCTCTGTTGTCCTGTTTCACTCCTGCTTCGATCTTACTCGTGTCGTGTCTTTCCTCTTCAAGGACATAGAGTAAGCCTGAAAAAAGCATCAGGTCTGCGGCGTTATGTCGGCGTCGCGGAAAAGCGATCCGCGTGTGAAATGTACCGTTGACGTTAGACTTGATGGTGGGCGAATCGCCCGATCCCTCCTTGAGGATCTTCTTCCAGAGGAGGCCGTCGACGATGGGCAAGTAATCTTCAGGGATGGTCACGTCGGTCATGGCTGTCGTATATGTGGTGGTTGATGGATGTTTAGTAGAAAAGAAAAGAATGCGAGAGCGGGCGATCGCCCTCCTTTCTTATCTCTTCGAAGAAAGGAATTCTGGAGTGTTCCAATCAATGGACAGTCACATTCGCCCTTTCATTTCGCTGATCAAAGAACATTCAGGAACAAGAAACAAGACGCGTTTGTTGGAAGGAAGGACGCGTCAAAATTGTCAGGCACCATCACCTAGACACTCCTCACCCTCAGCTAGACATTCGTGTCTCTGCTTCTACTACATCTAGGTATCAATGGGTACTCTATACTGATCAATACGTCCTGTTCTCTAGAAATAATCTCCACCTCGAAAACTCTCACCATCATTCACCATTTTTCGAGTCCACATTTCAAATGAAAGAAAAATGTACCACAACATCCACCTCGAACGAGACAGGGGTCAAGTGGCTAAACCATTCCTACATCACTACCACTCCCTCCACCCGTATTAACATAGACACACTCGTCCGCTCTTTCATCCCTTCACTCAGTTTCATCGGTTCACCCAAATACGGGAAGTAATCCTCTTTGTTCACCTCCACCATACTGCTACCTTTTCACTTCTTTTGCGCTTTCTTTGTCCCCGCTCAAAAAAGTACAAATGCGGTTCACATTCAACCATCACAACCCACACCCCCCATACTCATACCATACAACACACCACCCGATCCCAAGCGTACTCGTTCCTTCTTCCATTCCCGCATTGAGCAATCCTTTGAACATTGTTGCCTCAAAACGGCGAAAGATTTCGCCAAAAGGTAAATTGAACGAAACCATATGAACAGGGAGGGTGGAGTAGAAGGACAAAGTTAAGGCAGGGTATAAGAACCGAACGCTTTTTTTCTTTCTTGACCTTTTTGTCTTCTTTCCGTCCTCTTTTGTTAAGCAATTTACCTTCTTTATTTTGACCACTACACCCTTTAACACTTGCAAACAATACTTCCAAATGAAGTTGCCTGCGTGGACCAAGAAGGTCTTTGCACCTGTCTTTTCCACCTCTACCTCTACCTCTACCTCTGACACACCTCCCACCGCCGCATTCACATCATTCACCCCCTCTACTACCAACGGCGACCTCTCAAAATCCAAGGGATCAATCCAATCCTACCTCTCCTTCTCCACACTCCCCGCCGTCAAAAAGCGCATCCACTTTCACGACGTATCCGAAACCAATACCAACGCCAATCCCACCTCGACAAGCAGTTTGATGAACGCCCTTTTCTTTAGCCACATCCGCGATCCTCGCACCACCGCCTCTTCTTCCGAGATGAGCAAGCCCTCTGGCCAACTCCAGGATTCCGAGCCAGCACTCGTGGTGGATATACAAAAGAGTAACAAGAACGACACCAACGACGACGGTGAAGGAGATGACGAGAGCTACCACGATTTGGACTCACCTGTGACAACAACCATCTACTACCACCCACCATCACCCAGAGAATCCCCTGAAACCTCACCCTTTCCTTCGCCCACGTCTGACACAGTAAACGGCCCCCTCACTGCAAAATCCGACCATAAACTGTGGTGCCTCCGCCACCACATCGGTCTTCTCCCCTCTGCCAGCGCCTCGTCCCCAGAGTTCCACCACCTCCGACAACATTACCATCATCTCCACCATCACCACATGTACCACGACAAGGACTGTGAGTTTGCACGTCGTTCTGCAGTTGAGCCCGGTCAGCGTCATGCTACTGCCCAGCATCGCAAGAAGCAGGAAGAAGGTCTGTCCCCTATGTCTCCTTTGCCATCAACGTCCTCGGTACCTAAGATCAAGTCTGTTATGGCTTCAGTCCTACCTTACTGTCCTCCGACACGCTTTGAGGTCCGTCGTTCGTCTGCCAACTATTCCCTCGAGGCATTGAAGAACGAGAAGAGGAACAACTGTCGGTCATCCTCCCGAGCCTCAGTCTCTACCAGTGCCAGTACAAGTCGCAACAGCAGCACCAGCAACCTCATTAGCAGCAGCCCCCGTCGCCATGTGCACTCTGAAGAAACCATCCGAGAACTCCGCGAGTCCATCAAATGCATGAGCCACTTTGGATTTGCTCCCTTCTCCTCGCCCTTGTCATCAGCCTCCAAGAAATCAGTGTCTTCCAAGGTTCAGATCGCTCCCAAAGCAGCTCCAACTGTCGCTGTCTCAAACAGTGGTGCCCTTACAACAAGAACTACGGTCACAGCCCCTGCTAGTCGTGTGCGTCCACCTGGCCCTCGCAACTCACCCTTGGCTTCAAGGTCCATCAAAGTATCTACCCCTGACGCCGCGGCTACAACTACCACTACCACGACCGTTACGACCACAACAACCGCACCTGTGAGCGCAAATATCAACGGCTATGAGCAGTTAATCCAAAAAGTCGATACCCTCGCCCGCGAAGTCGAGATCATGAAACAACAACGCCCTTACACCCTTACTTCCACTGCCGTGGCCACCACTAACAACAACAACAACACCGGTAGCAGTGTCGCCGCCAATTCGGATACTCCTATTCAAGCATTCCGCACAATAACCTCCAGGAGGAACCCGTCAACAGTGTCCCTCCCACTTCCAACCATCATGGAGAACTCTAGTCTCAGGCAACTCGCCACCAAAAACAACAGTGCATCCCTCTCATCTTCTTTCCTCCCCGTTTCTTCTTCAGCCAACAATAGCAATACCACTCCTACCCCCACGCCACTAGCACCAGCCGTTCGAAAAAATTCAGGAAACAATAAGCCATTGACGCATCGCAGCAGAAGCAACAACAGCATGACTCGTCTCCAGAACTTGCCCCCTCCACCCAGCGAACGACCACCTTCTCCACCATCACTCTCATCTTCCTCTTCTTCTTCTTCTTCGTCACTCTCCTCTTCACCCTCCCAACGAGACAACACTCCACAGCGCCAAAACTCACACCCTTCACTCCCTCCTTCAAGAATCCCTATCCCCCTCCCACGCCCAAACTCGGAATTTAGACGCGCATCCTCCTTATTGTTCCCTTCACCTTCCACAATTCCTACACACACCGCCGTCGCCACGACCACCACTACTTGTATCAACACCAGCCCTGCGAATAATGTCAACTCACGATTAATGACGACCACCGCCACCACTGCTACGACTCCAGATAACGACAATATCATGCCTCTTTCCTCTACAGCTGAGCCTAGCAGCTCAGTGACTACTTCCATCGCCACCACCCATTCTGACGACGCGACATCAATTGCTCCTCCTCTCACGAGTAACGACGACAACGACCATAACGACGATATAACCAAGAAACAACAAACCCAAGAACAGCAAGGTCGGGAGAAAGACAAAACGCCTACAGAAGCCATGTTTCTCTCACGAACAAGATCTCTTCCACTCACACCTCCAACCATCCCTCCACCACCACCACCACCACCACCACAATCATATCTCACCAATACTTCACCCGCAGCGCAGACGATGACTGGCCTGACAGGACCACCAAGACGCCCGCCGAGACCTCCACAGCTGGGCGGTATGGATATGAAAGAGATTCTGGCTTTGATGGATTCTAGACTTGGTGCTCTGCCTAGTGTCCCCCGCCGTTGGTCCTGAACGTTGAGGTTGGGGTGCTAGAGCTGGTGCTTCCCCTTGCACGAGTATTTTCACGTATATAATCTATCAATAGACAGACAACAACCATAGATCATTTCAACCTTCACAAAGCACCAAAAGTAAAAAACGTAACGAGCAGGGGGGTTTTTTTTAATTACACTTCATATTCACTTTCGACGAAAAAAAAGCAAAAAAAAAAAAAAAAACTTGTGCTTTTTTTTTAGGCTGGCAGAGTTTCCCCCTAATCATCGCGAAGAACATCCCGGATCAGATCCTGGATATTTTGATGCCCTCCACTCCCACTTCCAGAACTGGAAGACATAGGAACGGCAATATCATGACTCTGCAAACTGGCCGCACTCAACGTAGGCGAATCGGCAGTCGCGTAGGCACTTGAACTAGAATGCACAGTTCCGTACACCGAACTCCTCGCTCCTCCTCCTCCATCCGCTACAGAAGCGGAGGTGGCGCCGGGGGATCCGCGCGCGGAGAGGAACGCTTGACTGGGAGATGTGATTGCTGAGGCGCCGGACCCTCCGGATACGGGGAGGTAGTACAGTTCTGGCGATTCTCCTCCGGCGACAACGGGGGAGGTGGCTGCAAAGGCAGCGTCGTCCTCGTTATCGAGTTCTTGTTTGAGTGACATCTGTTGGTTCAGTGCATAGGCGGTAGTGGCGGATGCAGGTGCCTGGGGTGAGGAGGACCTGGGGACCAGTGGAAAACCGAGCATGGAGTCGTCCTGGCTGACGACAGAGAGGCGGTTGGCGAGATCGTATTGCTGTTTCAGGGCGTCGCTTGTTGTCGCTGGGATCGGGAATGGCAACAGGGTCGAGTCACCTCCAGCGGCAGCAGAAGAGGAGCCAGCGGCACCGGCGGCGGCATAGGAGGTGTTTAAGTCCCATCCATACGAATCAGATACATCAACTGGAGGGTGAACGGGTGGGTACTGGTGCAAACTAGGCATCGACCTATCATCCGAACTATGACGCCCAGCCGCACCAGCATACACAGCGCCAGCGCCAGCACCCGCAAGAGCACCGCCAGTACCGGGACCAAACGACGAAGCACCATCATAATAATAATCATCCTTACTACCCAACTCAACGCTAGCCGCCTGTTCCTCTCTCATCCGTCTTCTCCTACGGGTCACGACCAATCCAAAGACAATCAACGCCAACGCAGCAACTCCTCCGACAGCACCCAAGGCTGCAGCCGGGACGTTCGTGTTACCTCCACTCTTGTTGGTAGAGCTGTTACCGCCAGGGGAGGGAGGGAGACCGGGGAGTTGCGAGTTGTCGGTTGGGACGATGGTTCCGTTAGTAGGTAGACTGGAAGACGTCAGGACTGTGGGGAGGGCTGTGGGTGTGACGACGATCACAGTCGTGACAGAGATGAAAGTTGAGGTTCCAGAGATGACCGTCGGTACCAGAGTGTATGTGGTCGTGTAGACGGGCGAGTACGACGTTGTCGTTGCGGTGGTAGGAGGCTGCTGGGTCGGAGGGTTAGTTACAGTAGGCGGAACCTCAGTCGGCACCGTTGTAGTCGTAGTCGGAGGCTGCTGAGTAGGAGGCTGAGTTGGCGGCACGGTAGGTTCCTTGGTAGTCGTCGTCGTAGGCTTGGGTGGTGCAGGGGTAACAGTAAGCGCATCGCACGACTCCCAATACGGCAGAATATGCGCAAGATGCGCAAGATCATACATCTGTCCAGTGAACTGGACATACATCTTATCCCCGGAACATTTCCCCAACGCACTCTCCGGGATCGTCCAACTATCCCCGTTACTGATAGACATGGACGCAACAGTACCGGAGCCGGACGAACAGTAGACGTTGGCGGTGATGGAGTAGACGTCCTGCAGACGGGGCCACCAGCTGTTACCGGAGAGTTCTAGGCGGACGGTGTTACCGACTTGGTAGGATCCTGAGGGGGAGGAGCATGAGAGGGAGGCGTGGGCGGTTTGGAGGAGGGTTGTGGTGGAGAGAAGGGTGAGTGCTACTGCCGAGGAGAGCAGGCGGCTTTTGGTGTTGGTTCTTCTTGTCATTCTTGCTATTATTGTCGGATGTAGAGGAGTGTGGGGTATTAGGTTGGTAGGGGGAGGAACAGTCGATAGGGAAATTAGGGTATGCAGGAAGACTGCTGTTGTTGGGGCTGTTCGGTTTAAGATAAGCACGAGCCGAAGGGAGGAAGGAGGATAGATGGTCGATTTGGAGGAGAAAGTGAGTGGTCGTAAGAGGACGAGGAGAGAGAGAAAAGTGTGGAGGCGGAAAGGATGGAGGAAGAATGAAGAATGGAGGAGGAGGGGGAAGAGTGGTGAGGACGGAAAGCGACAAAAGAGAAAAGAGAAGAGAGAGAGAGAGAGAGAGAGAGAGAGAAAAGGAAATGGGAAGAGAAGGTGACGACCGTTAGGGAGGGGAAGGGAATTGATGGTGTCTAATTGGACCTCGATGTAGAAGAGACCATCAAAAATATCAGGGACGAGTCTTCAGGGCGGTGCGGGCCAACTGGAGTCAGGGGGGGGGGGCTCTTTCTTTTCTTTCATTCATTTGCGTGCTACTGAATGACTCGAAAGGAGGCATGTTGGTATTTATCCACACAACTGTGTGCGGCGGCTCTCTTTCTCTCTCTCTCTTGTGGTTGTGGCCACCTTTTTCACCTCGTGCTAGTTCCATGATGAAATGCTCCTTCCTCCTTGTTGTTCCTCGTACTTTGCAACTGTTGGCCAGGTCGACAAAATATGCCTTCTCTTTGAATCAATGACACAATCCTTGGAAGCATGAACCCCTGGACATCCTCTTCCTTCTTTCTTTGTTGTTCATTGTGGTTGTTTATGTGTTGTTGTCGTTGTTGTTTATGTTGTGCATCGATTGATATTCATATCCTCGCTAATGTCGATTGTTATTGCATTGTTTTTCGACCGATCAAAGTAAATACCAGGACTCCAGTCGTAATAATTGATCCTGTGCCCCTCTCCTTCCTCTTTCCTATCCTCACGCTTCCAATAATGCATGTGTTTTTTTTCATTGTCCCCTCGGCAGATTTTTTTCATGCGAGGTGCTCATTAAAAAAAAAAAGGTCCTGCCCTTCTTTACCTAGCATCTGGTTGTGTATGCTGTATACATATCGTAGAGGACCGTTCTTCCTCTTCTTCGTGCACTTGAGAGCCCCTATTTTTGATTAGTGTTTTTTTTCCTCGTGCTTGCATCCTTGTCCATAACAAAGCGGCCTCAAACGAACCTTGAGCCTTTTTTTTTGGTTTTGTGTGCACATCATCACCGAGACCATCGTAAACTAACAGACACAGTGGAGGAGAGTGTCTTTGGGTGCTGAAGGGGATGAAAGGCATAGAGGTCTCATGCAAGGCAACAGGAAGGTAGGCGGCGAATGTTCAAGGTCCAAAAAAAAAAAAAAAAAAAAAAAAAAAAAAAACGATTGAACAACAATTTTTTACGGACATGAATGACCGTTTGACTAGTGCCTGGAATGATATCAAGGAATGAGGAATGATTACACTCACACAGAAGTGGGGGAGAACGGGGAGGAAAGAAAAACAACCTGCCGCTCGTTCTTTCACGCTTCGTTGAGAAGAATATGAAATTATATGAAACTTTACAACAATCAACAAAGACCAAAAGAAAAAGTGCCATGGAAAGACTTGTTCATCCTCCCTTGTCCTTTCTCATCTTTCACGCAACAAAACCATGCACAGAGTACTATTCAGCACGTACCATATTGGTACCTCTCACCAAGTACGCCTCCCTTCCTCTCCTCTCTCCTCTCCTATACTAAACCCCATGAATGTCCAATCCCCTCTGCCTGCCCCACGCACAAGGGTTCCCAGATCTTCAGTTCTAAAGAATTTTTTACAACTTTGTATACATGGCCACGGACCTCACCCAGTTTACAACTCCACAATAGACGTCTCGAAACAACCTTCGTTCACGCTCTTGTTCATATGGACGTTCAAGATTACACCCCCTCTATTGCTCACAAAAGACAATGGGTTGTTGGTCCTCTGGAACCAGGTTCTGGACGTATTCAGAGACATCCTCTCCTTTCCACGTGTGGACCGACAATCATGACCAAGTACATGTTCGTAACGCAACAAAGACAACATTGAGTGCTGCATGATAAGGGTACATTAGGAATAATCAGGCGTAATTAAAATAACAAACTACTACAGTACTACTTAGGAGGAATCTCCTTCATAGGGATCCCTCCTCCTGCGGCATCACCGCTTTCAGAGTGTCCCATCTCGGGCAAGATCGCCTGTGGTGCCCGACCGGTCCCCGACGAATTCGTCAACGTCGTCGACGAAAGCTCGTTGGGTGCAGAGTTCAAGTAAGACGAGCTGGGCGTCGGTGGTGACAGTGCTCCAGCGGCATTGCTAGAAACTGGAGGTGGTGGAGGGTAGTATCCACCTGCGCTTCCTGCACCTGTTGCTGATGACACGGGTGAAGCGGAAGAGTAAGGGTCGTGAGATTCTTGGTAGGGGGTTCTTGCGCCTTGACTACCGGCGTAATAGCTCTGCTTGTCATTCCTGTATCCGTATCCTCCAGCAGCCGCAGCACCAGCAGCACCAGCAGCACCAGGAGCACCCTGGTATCCTCCACCGCCTCCAGCGTGCTGTGCGTAGTAAGGGTTATAAAAATCATCCTGCTGCTGTTGGCCGTATCCGTCCTGGTCGTTATAGTATCCACCATGTCCATGCTGCTGCTGCTGGCCATATCCACCACCTCCGTAGGAATCATCTCCATAATGACCACCATGCGAGGGCTGAGGGGTCTTGGGTTGAGGCTTATTAAACCCGGCACCAACAGCACCAGCCGCCGCAATGCCTCCCCCAATAGCAGCCGCATGATGGCTCCCGGGGGACCGAGGATCATCGTCATCCATCGACGACGACATTTTCGAGAACTGGTTGTTGTTCTGGTTCGACCAGGGCATGATGGCACTCTCCATCCGTCTCTTCCTCTGACGGCGCAAATGGAACATGATCCCCACCGCCATCAGTGCCAAGAGAACCACCGCGACAATAGCAACAACCACAACAATAAACGTCTTTGGTCGGCCGTCGCTCTCGGACTCGTCCTTGTTCCCAGAAGTAGGGCTCGGAGAGAGACTTGACGAAGTCGTGGTCGTGGACTTGGGTTTACCGGTAGTCGAGTCTGTTGGGGTAGGCGTCGGGATGGTGGCGGCGGTAGTGGTGATATTGGGCGATGGGATCGGGATGACAGGATACGGTTGCGGAACGATGGTAATGTCGGCACACTTGGCGGGTCCAAAGTCATGGGGGATGGGGAAAATACCATCATCGGTATATTTGCCCGAGTATGAGAAATAGAACTTGTTCGTGACACAGACGCCATCGGTTCCTGTAGGGGTCGTAACGTTGCCGACAGAGGGGATGATGTAGTTGTAGCCCGTCACGTTGGCCTTTGGAATCGTGACGGTATCGAGGATGTTGCCGGCGACGGTACAGACGAGTGTGGCGGTCAGGCTGTTGACCTGTGCGACAAAGGGGCCTCCAGTAGCCGAAGCTGTGATGGCGAGAGACACAGGGTCGCCGGCCTTGAAGGTTTGTCCTGAGTTGGGGCTCGAGCAGAGGATGTCTGCTTGGGCGATAGAAGCAATGGACGCCAGGCAGGTGGCTGTTGCCAGTAGACTCTTCATCCACGACGCTGGTGCTCGCATTTTTTTATTGTTGTGTTGGTTGTTGCGAGGAGGTGAAAGGGGTGTCCAGCAACGGCTCGTTGTTGTTGCTTTGTCGTAATGTGAACTGGGGAAGTTGGTGGAGGTGCGAGAGAGAGAGAAATTAAAAGTGATTGGCGTTGGATAGGATGGTTGGTTGTCCCTGAAAATAAATATTGTCGTTGAGTGTGTGTGGAGGAGTGTGTTTAGGTAAGAGGGAGGGTCTGTGACAGAAGGGGCAGGAGAACAAAAGAGTCAGGAGGGTATGTGGGTATTTGTCGTAACGAAGAGTTGTGTGGAGTATATGAAGGTGATCCCCTTCGTGAGAGAGAGAAGGAATGGAATGAGAAGGAGGAAGGAAGGGAAGGACGGGTGATGAGGAAAGGAAAGGACGGAGAAAAGGAGGGAAGGGGATAAAGAGAGAAAAGGGAAGAAGGAAAAAGGAATTAGCTAAACGAACTAAACAAAGAGAACAGCTGAACAACGACGCCCGATGATGGACCCGAATACCCAACCGAAGGACAAGCAAGACCTTATTTTTATTTCCAGGCACCCTTCCTTGTTCCCGTGATAAAACCCAGCCAGTCATCATCACCATCACCATCACCTCTCCTCATCAACATCGCTCTCCTTGATATCACCCCTCCTTTCGCTTGAATATTTCCCTTGGTAGACTCATCGTCCCCTTTCACACCCTATATACCCTTTCTATATACATACCCTCGTGCTTATCCCCTCCTCCCCTTGTTCGTTGCATGGTCCAACTAGCCTCCCAATATATTCACAACCAGCAAAGCGCATCGATCAAACACCCATTTGATTGCAACAGAAATGAGCTGACACAACAACCTTGGCCCTCACTCTCCTTCGCTGGGCTCACATTTTTTATGTTTTTCACACTTTCCCTCCCTCCCTTTTCCTTCCCTCCCTATTAACTTTTCGGCACTAATTTGAACCAGCTTTGCTTAATTTCGTATGACGACAACGACAACTACGGACAAAAGGTCGGGTCGGTGAGCGGGGTGAAATCATGGCCGGAGGAATGGCTGTAGTCTTTTTTTTCTTTCTTTCTTTCTTCCTTCCTTCCTTCTTTCCTTCCTTCTTCACTGTCCAACATCCTTAGACCAGGTTCTTTACAATTCCGACAAATGACCCCCCCTTTTTCATCAAGCAGGGTGAGGAAAGGAATTTTGTTATTTTTGTTTTTTTTTGTTTTTTTGTGATGTCTTTGTTTACTGTACCTTGTTGCTTGCTTTTTTGCTTTTTGTACCCGTCGCGTTGCATAAATAGCGCGAACAGTGTATGGCGAGACAAAAACAAGGCAGCAGCAAACCAAACACAAAAAAAGCTTGTGTCTCCGTTTCTCTCATCCTTCCTTTACGCCCACTCAACAGCCACAATCCTTCAAAAAGTGAAAACAGAAATAACGAACAGTAGCACCCATCTTCATTCCTTCGAGCCTGTATAAAAAAGAATGGTGTATTACGTTAAAAAATATATCATCCTATTTCTTGGCAAACGTTGAACGTGAAAAGCAATAAAGGCTCATCGCCAACATCCACCTTTCCTCTCTTCCTTTTCACTATTTTTTACTTTTCTTCTTTCTCCCTTCTACCCCCCATCAATCGTCGGTATCAATCAACCGGCTAAGGACACGAAACACATCCGTCAGAGAAACAACACCCACAGCACACCCACTATCATTCACAACCCACATCCTATGGGCCTTGGTCGCCTGCAGCTTCGACAACGTATATCCAAACGTCGACTTTGCATTCACATCCAGCACAGGGTACTGGTCCTATTTGGTAGAACGGTATGTAAATAAAGGGGGTAGAGGGTTGAAGGGAGAGGTAGAGAAAGTGACAAAAATCAAACACAGAAAAATTAGTGTGATTGACATTAGGCTGGAATGAGTTTCTACGTGCATGCTAGCACACACAACACCATACACCATACACACGTTCTCATTTCTCCCTTGAAATAATACCCCAGTCATGAAACACAATAATGCAAAAAGAATCATACCTCCCCACTTTCGACGCCCTGGGAGAGACGGATCTTGCACACTAGCTGGAAGCATGTAATCCACAACCATGATGTTCTCAAATTCTTCATAATATGCTATCACATACAAATAGACAAGAGACAAACATAGGGCGTTAGATGTTTGCAGACAGGTCTGGAACAAAAAAGGGCTGAGCAAAGAACATTCCCAACAGTGGAGTCAACACGATGTCCTCTCTCTCTCTCTACCCCTCTCATTGGACAAAGTACCTTGATGTCGGTCATGCTGATGTTTCCGAGGAGAACCCCTTGCTCGTCCAGCACAGCAAGCGACGATACGCTATTAGTGCCTGAATGAAGCAAAATGAAATGAAAGGTAAAAAATTAATTAGTTTGTCAGTTATCTCTTCCTCTGATCATTTCAAACAACACGCGCACATGTGAATCGACTGGCATAGGTGGTGGACATACTCATGCTGATAAGGGCATCGAGGACTTTTTCATCGCCATTGACCGAGAGCACCCTGCCGTTCGAAAGACCGCACTGTTGGAGACTCTTTTGCATCACAGGCTGGAGTTGAGGGTATTCGCTCAGCTATTCCATCCCGATGGTAGTGACAAGAGAGAAAAGACGACGTTGTTAATGTATGCTCATCTAGCGAGCTTGGCCCTGACACAAGGCAGGCGAGCAAGCACATGTATGGTACGTACATGACGCATGAGATAGTCCAGAGTAGACGACTGGGACAAGATGCCCTTCATGTTTCCCTCTGCATCCATAACCGCGACTATCATAATATGAATGCATAATGTTATCGTCAGTACATTAGCCTCGTCCAAAACGCATCCATGCTAAGTCAAAGAGACAACACCACGTCGTCATAGCAAAGTAATAAGTCCAAAGAAGAAACTCACCTCGGTGGATGCCTGTGCCAAAGTCATGTACAACAGCACCCAATCTCGTCTCTTCCAGCACCGTGCAAAATGGATCCTTGCCCGACAAATCTACTCGTGGTATTCATGTAAACCAATAGCAAGATAAATAGGTCATTAGTGATCAGTGATCGTTGCTGTTCATCATCCTAGTGATGAATTACAATGTGTCCTTGATGCCCCCCTCCAGACACCATATAGGGACCCATTTTCATGCATGCTGCCTGTGGTCCTTGTACCTCCGTGAGCTAAAACAAAGGTGCAGAAATCGTGTACGCCAACAAACCCGTTTATTTTCTCACACCTTGCATCACTCAAAATACAAGTTTCTTGAACACTCGTCAGAGTGTCCCCGTATTTTTTTCCACGCACTCCTACTTTCTCTTTCTCTCTCCTCTCTCCTCTCTACGAACCTTTATCTCGTCTACCTACCAACTCATTAACAAAGACAGCCCAACGTGCTAGCCCACAAAACAACAGATACCCCTCTTGCGAATAACCTGAATGGCATCCCCTTTCACTTTCACGCTATCTGTCTTCACAACTTCCTTATCGATCACCACTTTAGCACCAGCACCAACCGATTACCACCATCGTCCTCACACCCCTTCCTCCCGGACCCTAATCCCGAATGATTGTAACATCCATTTCCCACTTCCTCATCCCTTCCACGACTTTCATTCATGCGCGCGCCAAGGTGCAATAATTACCTGAAGCAAGTTTGACGGGGACGTTCTGGGACCGGCTAGTCCGCTGAATAAGGTCCCGCATCTCCAAGGACTGGTCCTCAAGCGGCACATCCATCTTCTTGAGGAGTAACAACAGGTACGTCATCAAGTCGCCGTAATCAAACATCCCCACGTACAACTTCTTGACGCTGTCGTATACCGGTGCCGATGTGATTCCGTTCTTCAGCAGGACCTAAGTCGAAAGATTCATATCATAGTGATTGTTAGATAAGCGAGGGCTGGGGGTGTTCATTTGTGTAGGGCCATGGTTTCTTCTTCCTTTTCCTCTTCCATGACATCATGCCTCAAAACAACCTGCTGGTTGTGCGTGCGGTGTCCTGAAGAAAAAAAAGGTCATATAATCGAGTTTCACTCGTCTTTGTCCATCCCACATGCCTGCAAACAAACGTCTGGTCTTTGCCGCACTCCAAAGCACCCACGTCCTTCCAACGTTCCTTTGTCCGTTACGTCAAAGAATAGTGACTCATGCTAATGGTCAAAAGGCGGGCGAACGTATCACTGTCTCGTGGAGGAGGTACAACTGTCAGCTGTGCGCCCCTTCTTTCTTGGTGTTGGTGTTTTACCTCGCAGGCGTCCTCAACTGTGGCATCAGCATCACTAGCAGTTCAAGTAACAAGTGTTCATGGTGTTCATCAGTCAACTCTCTAGACTCATTCACTCAACCTAAGCAATAAAAAAAACGCGTTTTCGTGCCTGTGTATCATTAACTTACATAGTGACGAGGGTCTGTTTCTCAACAAGGCTACCAGCCTTGACCATGGTCCAGTCATGACTGACGGTCGTCAGTCCTTCGCGATGCCGGAGGTGGTTGTTCTGGAGTACTCTTTCGCTGGTGCTCATGTTCGTTGTTGTTGTAGAGTTAGAAAGGTTGTTGTAGAGGGTTGATGGTAGAACGAAAGAAAGGAATGAAAGAATGAAAGAGTGTTTGATTAAAGTGTGGTCCTTTATTTGGCTCAGCGAAGAAGAGAAAAAAGGAAAAGAAGAGAGAGAGAGAGCTTTTCGTTATGTTTTCATGTGCAGGCAGACAAGCCAAAGGCGAGCAACAAAGCGGGTTTTTTTCTTGTCCCACTCTCTCGAACAGACACCAGACATCAGCCAACCAACCGATTTCCTTCACTCACTTCCTACAGGACCTATGCCCAAATCCGCCCACTCACTCGCATCCCCTTTCAAAAATAGCACTCACACGCTCAAGAGATCAACAAGCAAGAAAACAAACAACCACAGGGATCGAGCACAACGGTCGCAAAAATAAAACAACGCACAACACTCTCCACGTCCCTATCCATGTCTTGCACTCGCAGCTCAAGGCATTCCCTCCTCAACAATCTTCAGACGCCCCATATCCAACTCCTCAACCTCCTCATCACCTGCAATCTCCGTCACCTGCGCCTTTTCCTTCTCCCTGGCCTCCTCCTCCGCCGCATAAGCCGCATAGCTGTCATCCACAGCCTCATCCTGGATTGTAATCACCGCCGTGGTCGGATCACGCTCATTCCTCGGCAGCAGCAGATCCTTGTACGTCGAGAACGTGTTATCTCGGTTCTTGCGCACGTCAAAGAACTCAAAGATAATCGGCATTCCGTCCAAGATCGCAAAATCAAACTGTTGTGTTCCCGTCTTGTAACAGTTGCATCCAGAGTGGACCCTGAACTCGACCTGACCCTTCTCCTCTTCTCCAGATTGAATAAAAGCGGCCGTGTTCTATACGTCTCACATAAAGGCATATCGAGAGAAAGCGGTCAGTCCAGGTTCAGCCAAATGGAGAGGGAGAGGTTACAGCTTCGACAAAGTCAAGAATCGAGGGTTCATTGCTTTTTGTTTTACTCCTGCCTGACTCCCACACATGGAATCAAGGAACAAAGAAATTGTGATGCGAAAACAAATGAAAATGCAAAAACATACCAAGGACCACCAGTTCTGGAACGAGAGATCAGGGTAGCTGTCAATCGAGTGTACGCCTTCAATCAGAGCAATCCCGCCGACTCGATTCTTGAACATATCGACTATAAGTAAAAGACGTTGTGGGCAGTCAGATACCATTAGGTGCCCATGGAGTTGGTATCAAATAAGTTCAAACAAGGGTGAACATCCTTACATTGCTTGTAGAGGGTGTGGAGCAAGGCGTGGGCACCGTACTTGTGTGCAATGAAGAAGAGTTTCTTTGACGCCATCTCCCTATCAACAGCAGCAAAGGGAGACCAGTTAGCATCGCCACCCAAAGACTTGTAAGTTTGGACGATTGCATTGCATCAAGGAGTCAAAAAGAGGATTCTTACGGGACAAGGGTGCTCAGCACGTAGTCAACATGCTCTTCTGGCGAATTCAACTCTATACCATTCAAAGTTATTAGGCGTTAGAATAAGGGACCGCTGGTAGTAGTTCGTTCATTGCGTTCGATGCATTCATGCACAAATGAGACTGTCGTGGTTCTTACTGGGGATCATAGGGACGTCGACTTTTGTAGGGATGTCAACCTGTTTGAAGACATATAAAGTATTGTTCCGCGTTAGCCATTCCCTCACACCCGCTCGAAGATACATCGCCGTATATTTTGACAAATAGACAGAGAGAAAAGGTTCAACGTACGGATGCTTTGCCGTCCACGAACCAGTGCGCGTTTGGGTTCAAGATGAGGACGCCGTAGCCTTCTGAGCGCGCCCGTTTGATCACCGACAGCATGGATCCAACCTATTGTGAGCACGATGAGGGTTAATTTCATTTTGGTGGCGCCAGTTCAACTGAGCTTTTTGCTCAAGAGCTACAAGTCAGGATAGTCAAAAAGTACTAGTCTAACTTACGTCCACGTTCTCATTGCACAGCAATCGGCGAGACCAAGAGCCGAGGCTATATTCAAGCCCAACAAGGTAGTGGTTAGAGTGCGTTCTTACACATGCTATCCACACGTCTGGAGAGCAAAGATGACAGGTAAGTATTACATCTCCATCGTGTTGGGGATCAGGACCAGCACGCGGTCGCAAGTCTTGAGGTCGGTTCTATTCAATTGCAATGAGGAAACGATAGTGGCGTTAGATACTAAGTAAGAACCAGTCCTGCCTTTCAAATGACAGACAATCTGATAGCTAAGCTCTTGGTTCACCTACGACATGAGGATACTCGCTTGTGGGGATGTGCTGTCATCGTCCTTGATCCAGAAAGGCACCTTTTGGCGGACGATATCGCACTCCTTCTCATACTGCTCGATAATGACCTCCATGGCCACCTCTGTTTTTGTTCACAGAAAACGAAGGAAACGAAGGGGTGTCAATTTGGTGGCAAAATCAAGCTCATTCCAGTTTCTTGATGGGTGACGAAAAAGAGTCTGTGTGATAGATCCCGATGGCGCAAGTGTCGATGTGGATAATTTACCTGTCAAGGCACGTCCATGTGCTTCATGGTAGGTCCTGTTCTTAGCCTTCAAGTCAAACGTGTAAGGCTTGCCTGTGATAAACAAAACATAATAAAAGGGTGAAAATAGAATGACTTGTTAGGTGTCTATTGTTTCGCGACAGCACTTGAACACGTCAACACCGCGATTGAACAGAAAGTAGTGTATGCCAACAACGAGAGAAATGAAAAGGTCGTTTAGGTGTGCAGAGTACGAGTTGTCGAGGTAATAAGGATAATAAAAGGGGTTTGACGCATGATAAGTAATATGTAGAAACGGTTGTGTTGTGGTGGTAGCGCCATGTAACTCTCTTTTGCTTTACCATCGGCGTCGATGAGCTTGCGATGCTCGTTGATGGTGTACCCCATTGCTTCGAGGGTGTCGCCAAAGACGGGGGAGGGTGTCTTTTTAACTCTGTGTCTGTACATGCTTGGTGCTTGTTGAATGAATGGAAGGGATCCTGATTCTGTTAGATGTGTGTTGTTGCTTTGTGTGTGTAAATGTGATTTGGAGGGAGATGTGGATGTGAAAATAAAAGGTTTCCCTGTATGTCGCTATGAGAGTCTAAAAGAAAAAGGGACAAAGGGGCAGGATGGCACAAGTCGCTGGAAACAATTGACTCTGCATGGCCGTCACACGGGAGAACGAAAGGATGTTCCTTCGCGTGAGCGTGAGCGATATATCTTGTATGCAATGCATCTATGTCCACCAATCCCGCTCACTCAAAGGGCTTATTCATATTCACTCGCCCAACGCCTTCTATTCTCTTCTCTTCTCTTCTCTTGTTGATTATTACCATACAATCCGCTACTCCCTGAATACATGCACTATATGATGGCCAGAAAGACGGGTATTTATTTTGAGGATGGGACAAGTATATTTGGTGGCGCATGAGTGCTTTTCTTTCTTTCCTGCCCTTCAAAAAAAGGGTCGCATGAATCCTGAAATGATACCCAATCGCCTTTGAAAATTATGTACGAGAGATGAGGAGGAAGGAGACGGTAACAGAGAGGGAGTGGCGGTAAGAGGGCGTGGAAGTAACTAGCCAGCCATGCTGCTTTGTTACATGTGCCGTCAGTGCCCTGGAATCTAGCATATCAACAAGACTGTGTGTGTTTGGATGGGTGTTAATTGTTGTGTGCATGGCTGGTTGGACACATACCATGCTGCTTCACAGTTTCGATGATGGCATGTTCTGTGTCTGTTTCTCTGTCGAAGTCTGAATGTGTGTGTGCGTGTGTGTGTTTCCCTCAATCTTTTCCCTGTTTTCCCTGTGTTGACCAATGAGCCAATGGGATCACACACACGACCCAGGGAGTGAAGGGAAGGAGGGAAGGGAATAAAGCCATGTAGATAATTTTTGTGGTGGGCATGACATGACCTAACACCTAACAAGATCTTCGACGGATGGGCGGGTAGAAACTTATTTTTCCTTTTTTTCATGGAGTCAAAGAGGGAAGAAGGAGAGGGAGAGGGCACAGATCCCACGCCCACACGAACAACTATCAAGAGTAAAGGGAAGCAAGCACCAATGGCGATTCTGGATGAGTGTTGTGTGCACTGGGTGTAAACAGAATGATTGCCAGTAACGAATGGGCCAAAGCGATGAAAGAGATATGAGGGAGTGTTGATAAAAAAGGGAAAAGAAGCTCCATCGGTTGGAGGGTGCGATTGGGTGCTGATGAAATGCGTGGCACGGTCAGGAAGTCAAATAATTCTGACCCAGGAGCTGGCAGGGTCAGGGAACAGTGCAGGGAAAGGGGAGGAAGGGGGAGAAGGGGAAGAAAGAGACGACAGAAGGTCAAGGAAGGAAGGCAGGAAGGTCAAAAGAGAGCAGAGGGAAAGGTCGGACAACAAACAGAGACAATTCAAAACAGCAGAACCAAAAAAAAAAAAAAAAAAAAAAAGCCCGCACTTGACGCATGAAATGAATTGTGTTTATGAGTGCATTCGATGCTATTCAATAGACATTAACAAACTTTATTATCTGCGGCTCGATTGCCTTTCTTTTTTCCTTCTTTCATTTTTCTGTCTCTTTTTTCCCTCTCGTCTCTCCGTTGACAATCATTGTTACTCTCCCTTTCTCTCTCTTAACTCTCTCGTTTCTCAGCCACTCTTCCTCACTGCCTTCCATTACACTCCTCTACTCGATCTCAATCTCACAAACACTCATTCACGCCAAAACAACCTTTCCTCAACCACAACACTCTTACGCCCTCGCCACCTCATTCACAAGTAGTCGACCAACAACTCCCTGCCCTTCAGGTAATTCACTCTAGCCTATTTTTCTTCCTTTCTCTCGCTCATTCATTCGCCGTTCAACATAACATACTGCTTTCCACTTTCATTCATGTCAATGAGTTCCCATCCATGAGAGAGACAGAGAGACAGGTAGAATCAGAGTCTTGGCGCCACCAGAGCCTCTTTTTTTTTTTTTTTTTTTTTTTCTTGACTCTCTCCGGCTCTTTATTATCGTTTGGGGGCAGGAATCAAAATGCGTTTGGTTCTATTATCCGACATTCAGTCATCGTTCTTCCCAAATGAGGACTGACTCCTTTTAGCTTCATTTTTATTTGTGTGTCTGATTCTTTCCAACGTTGCAGAAATGTGGCAAGCTGCTTGACATTTGTTACTCAATCAGTCAGCCATGTTCCTTCATTTTTTATTTTTGGGGGGAGACAGAAGTAAGGAAAAAAAGGGAGGAAGGCAGAACATACACACATTGGTCATCTCTTTGATGCCTATCTGTGTGTATGATGTGTGGATGTGTGGATGTGTGGATGTTGTTTTGATGCATCGTTGGCTTTCTTTTTATTTCCTTGGGGGGAGGGGAAGAAGGGAGAAGGGGAAAGGAAGGAAGAAGGGAGAAGGGGCCTAGCAGAGGGTGGTGTCCCCTTTTGAAGATTTGAAGCATTGAAAGGTCTTCTTGTAGGAAAGAAGAAGGAATGAAGAGGGAAAGAAGGCGACCAAACATTCACCATCAATCCCATCAGCAACTCTTTCAGCAAACGAACAAAGAGACGCAATTCGACACAGACAGAAGGACCAGCCATTTTTTTTTTTTTTTTTTTTTTGTTACTCTATCTCTGTCTTAGACAGCATCCATCCACTCAGTGGTCATCCAGCAAAAAGAGTCAGCCCCCCTTTTTCCCTTTATTCCTCGTCTGTTTCCGATTCCTCTTTTTTTTTTCTTGTCGTTTCCAAGAGACGACAAAACAAAACCCAAAAATATCGCTCGAACTGGGCCACGCAACATACACTATTTCTTTTCTGCCTTTTGCTCTTTTTTTTCTTCTTGCTCTCTTCATTATTCCCTCCTTTCTCTTCTCTTGTCTCTCTCACTCTTTTTTTTTTTTTTTTTTTTTATCCTTTCATCCTTTCCTTCTCTCTTTCTTTCTTTCTCTCTTTCTCTCTCCTTCCTTCCTTCCTTCCGTTCTCCTTCCCCTGCCCATCGACCAACTCACTCTCACTCACACTCTCGCTGCTACTCTTACTCACTCTTATTCATACTCTCACTCTCACTCCCACTTTCACTTTATCACTCACAGTTTATCCTCCATCATACAACCACTGCCACCACTCCATCTACTACTACAATCACCTGGAGTAACACCCCTTATTTCAAGAAACAAACCATGTATGTAGTCTCTTCATTCATCTTGCTCACCCTCTTATCTTCCAATGCGACAGTGTGTGTGTGTGTGTGTGTGTGTATGTGTGTGTGTGCCATATGTCATCTTCCTTTCCCTCCCTTCCCTCCTCATGGTCATCAATGGCGGTTTATTCTATCACCACAATTTGAGCACATGTTGTGTGTGAGTGCAAGTGAGTGGAAACAACAAAAAAAGAGGGAGACTGCAAATGGATTATTGATTACAATAATTAACAGGGACCCAAAAGAAAAAGTGAGAGAAAACAAAAAACAACAACATAAGACAAGAAGGCAGAGATATGACATCCAAGCGTACCCAGTAATAATTATTGTAATATTTTTATTACCGATTCAATACTTTCGCCCATTGAATCGATAATGTCCTGCTCCCCTTTTTCTCTCTCTTTCCTGTTCATACATCTCTCTCCTTTTATGTGTATGTGTTTGTCTTTGCTCTGAATTCCCTCGCACACTTTTTTTTTTGTCTCTCGCATCCTCCCTTCCCTTTCTTTGCTTCCCTTGTCTTCTCTCCGACTACAAAACGACAAATACGTATCGTACAAAACCCAATCCATCCAACTTTTTTTTTTCTTTGTTGATTGATGGCCAACAACAACAACAACAGTTGTTGTTGACAACCCCCTTGGCTCAATTTTTTTTTTTTACTTTTTTTTCTACTTCTTATGCCCAAGTCAGTTGGGAAAGAAGGAAAGGGGTTGTGTTGGAAGGGGAAAAAAAAGAGGAATGAATTGAATCCATGCAAGCATTCCTATTCAATAGGAGTTACAATACATGAGTGTGTGTAATGTTGACCCTTTTTTGTATCCATGCTTTTGTCTGTGTATCTGTGTCGTTGTATTCATGTCTTTCGCGCTCTTGTCCCTCTGTCATTCTCAACACAAAAATATCAGTTCCAATCTTATTGGATGCAAACAACAGACACCACCATCCCATCCCACAATCCACACACTCACACACCCCATTACCCCTCTGACAGTTGTTCACATTTCTTTGGCGTCGCTCTTTCTTCATTATCCATCATCAACCCTCGATATCTATATACTCCATACCATTGACCATTTCATTCTCTGCCTTGTGTGTGTCTGTATACCCCTTTGTCTTTACATTCATCCGTTTGTATGTCTCCCTGTTCTGTCTTTGTCACGGAATCAAAGACGAACACCACATCCACCCGCACAAACAAACAAACAAACAAACAGACAAACAAAAACCAACCACATAGGAAAATAGACCAATAATGTTTGTAAGTTCCCTTCAGTTTGACTAACGACTTTTTTTTGTTTCTTCTTTTCCCTCGCCTCTTCCTCCTTCTCACTCACTGCTCTCCAATTCTTCAATTGTCTGTCCATCCTTGTGTGTGTTTGGCTCTGTTTGATTTCGTTCTTGGCTGTTGTTATCCCCTTTTTCCCGCTCGCTCTCAGAATAGCATTTTTTGTTTTTTGTTTTGTTCGTCCGCTCTTTTTTTTTCTTCATCTTTTCCTGTTTTCTCCTTTTCCTTCTTTCTTCCTTACGCTTGATCCGCACGCACCATCGATCCCCTACTGTCCGTCTCCGTCCGCCTGCCTTTGTCCTTTCTCTTTTATCTGTCCTCCGTCCTTACAAAAACAAACAAACAAAAAGAAGCACCAATCGCATCCCTCTTGCCCATGCAGCACTACCAGTCTTTCCCTGCAGACACTATCTACGCCCCCGCCATGGATCCCCATTATCTGAACAACAACCCAAGCAACAACTACCCCCCTACCCCTGCGCAAATGGGTCCCCGGTCCACGCCCCACCACACTCTCCCACATACATCCCACGCTCGGACTCATTCAAGATCAAATTCGGGTGCCTTCCCTCCTCACAACCAGGGTCCTTTCCCTCCACAACAACCACCATCACAGATGCAACAGCAACAACCACAGCTTATCGATGCTCCCATGGGCTACCAGGGGAACCATCCTAACCAGGCACGACCCTACACACCTGGCCCACAGGGCATGAACGGATATGGATCCCCTCCACCACCTACCTACAACCCTGCATCTCAGGACCCTCACCTCCACCAGCGTGCACCCCACCACCCTCATCCTTATCATGCCCCTGCCCCTCCAATGACACACTCCCGCAGTCATTCCCGTTCCCATTCTCGCTCGCAGTCGCACTCACAGCAGCAGTTTGCCTCTTACCCTTCTATCCAATCTCCTCCCCCACCACAACCATCTCTTGCCCCTCGTCATGGTTCTCCTGCTGCCCCAGTCTCGCACCCCCACTCTCGCTATGGCCAGGAGGGATACATGGACTCTCAGATCGACCCTGTCCGGTTCCCAATGCAGGTTCCTCAGCCTCCAGCACCCCGCCACATGATGGATGAGCAGATGCACCCACAGCTGCAGCAGCAGCTTGACCGCGAGATGAGCCATGGCCCTATGGTTCCTCAAGTCCAAGAGCCCCTTGCAAGAGCCACCCCTGCTCCCGCACCCGCTCCTATCTCTACCCCCGTCCCCACATCTGCATCAGCACCCGTGGCAGCAGCAGTCGAAGAGGAGGCTTCTGATGCATCAAAGTGCCCCGACTGTGGTAAGGTCTACAAGCATGCTGCTTCTCTCTTGAAGCATCGTTGGGAGCATTCCGTCTACTGGAAGGTACGTTTAGATACATCTAATTTTTTTTGCAATAGTGTGCATGATGCATTTTGATGAATCTGAGCACCATGTCTGACCTCTATTCTCCTTTTTTTCATTCCTTTCCTTTCTTTGTCACACTTGTGTCACCTGAACCGGATATTCTCATTGATGGTTGTTTCATAATACCAACAACGGATAACACCAAAAACAGCCCGCCGCAAAGTTCCTGTTGTCCAAGCACCAGCAGGTTCAATTGATGGAGGCAGCCGCCATCCTTTTGGGTATGGACGAGTCCCGCCAGAGCGACAAGGACCCCATTGTCCGTATGATGAGCCGCCAGCGTGGTCAGTCTGCCGCTGGGACAGCCATCTCATCCCTCTCCCCCGCCACATCCACAAAGTCCCTCTCGGCCTCTCCCCCACCCATGGCCGAGCGAGCATTGGCATTGAAGCAGGAGACCGCCGGTATGATGAGCCCACCTGCCTTTGTCGGACGCGCCTCCAACACCACCCGCCACTCTGTTACATCCACCACCTCGACAGCCTCGTCCCTGTCATCGACCCCTCCATCTTTGGCTCCTGATGACAACGAGAGTGTGATTGAGGCCGAGGATGATATGATGTCTATGCCACCTTCTCTTCGCCAGCCTCACCAGCAACTCATGCAGCAGCATCACCACCAACAGCAACAACACCACCACCATATCCAGCAACAGCAGCCCCATGGTCTCCCTCACCACCAGCACCACGGTCAACAGCAGCTTCAGCAGCACTCCCACCAACAGCCACCGATGATGATGGACATGGACTTGAGACAGAAGCATTCGGAGCCTCAGTACTATCAGCATGATTCCCGATACCCCGCCTACCACCAGCAGCAACCCCCACAACAACATGCCGAGCCCTACGCCCCCTACTACCACCACTAAGTCACTCCTCGCTTCGACGTCGTCAGTGAGCACTTTCTTTTTTCTTTTTACTTTTTCGTTGTTAAAGTTCCTTTCTGTATTCCTTCCTCCAATGTCATTTCAACGTCACCATCATCAATCATGTCTTTTGTTTCCTTGCTTTTCCTTACCAGTTATGTTTGTAGCTTTTGTTAGTTACTCTTCATTTTTTAGTGCAGTGTAGTTTTTTCCTTCGTCCTTTTTTCACACCCATGTAAATATAGTCCTTCAAAATAGTTTCTTATCCTTCTTACCTTTTTTCCCAAAAAAAAAGCCTAAACAAAAAACAACATCGAATCCCAACTGTTCCTGTTCTTTTTCTCTTTTCGCCTTTGTGCCGTGCCGTGCTATGATCATGTGTACATATACTACATGCACTATTGTCTTTGTTACAGCTGGAAAAAATGTAAAAGTTTATTTTTTAACGAAGGAAAAACAAGGGGAGTCCTTTGCATGGCATGGTAACGGCAAAGGGTTGAAGGAAAAAGATGGTTTATGCCAAGAGGTCGCGGACAAAGACCTCGTAGTTGACAAGCCCGTCCTTGTCGACAAGAGCGCCGGCCATCAACTCCTCGATCTCCTCTGCGCTCAACACCTCTCCCATAGTCGTCAACACTAAATAATAATAAAAAAAAATCAACATGTTTTTGGTTAGATATATCTCCATAAGGTTGTGGTAGGGAAAGAAGACAAGAAGGTGGAGGAAAGGAAAAATGGCGTACCGTGACGGAGCTCTGAGGCGGGGATGGTGCCGTTGTCCTGGGTGTCAAAGACCTTGAAGCCTTCGATCAGCTGGTCGGGCGTGCCTGCGGGCTTGAATCCGTCGGCGCGCAGGGCGACCTTTGTGAACGAGTCGAACGACACAACTCCCGTCGCTAATATTTTTTTTTTTGTTATTTATCAAGGATAGAAAGAGAGGAAGAAAAAGGAAGAGATCATGCGGGTTAGTTGACATGTCATTCGGTAAAAGTTACCTTTTGCCAATTAAAAGAGTCATACGGGAAGGAGAAAGGGTTAGAACTTGGGAAGGGGGGGAAAACGTACAGGAGGGGTCAGCTTGGGCGACGAGCTCTTGGATCTCGGACTGGGTGGGGTTCTGGCCGATGGAGCGGAGGAGGTTTCCGAGGGAAGAGGTGGCAATGTTGCCGGAGCCCTTACGGTCAAACAGGTTGAAAGCCTCCTTGAACTCTGTTAGGTGACGTATAGAGAGAAGAGTAAGGTAGGGGTGATTAGATAAGACAGTTGGGGTTGGTCTATGACCATTGACATTTTGTCGAGTATGTTCATAAGTATGGTGGAGTGTCTCCTGTGGCAGTTTCCTCGAGCCTCGTTTTTTTCTTCAGAGTGTCGACTTGTTAAGAGGAGGGTTGGTGTGTGTTTTGTCATCTTGGCTCTTCCTGAAATTAGTTTCCTTCATCCGATGATTCCTTTTGTCTACCGCTCTTTGTCTGTGTTTCCGCGTGGTATCCTTAAGAGGTTTCGACGGACATAAAAAGAGGGCACAAAGTGTATGTGACAACGTGGAAAAAGTAAAAAAAAGATGAGCGATTCCCATTGCTCTGAACAAGTATGTTGGTTGTGCCGTACCCTTGACCTGATCGTTGTTGATGGCAGCCTATTGTGTGATGAAGGAGAGGAATAAGGAGATGTTAGCTTATTTGGTCACCACAAAAGGCAAATCGCATCAGCTCCACGCGTTCAGTCCGTTGGTTTCAGGCAGAACGGAGAGGCGAGTGTGGCCTGAAGCGCTTTTATCGATAGGAGGAGCAATTGAAAGCGTTTGAGGTTGATATGCCTGTCAACGCCTGTTGGGTTGTGTTCCTTGTCACTTGCCATTGTTGTATATATGTGAGAGTGGGGGTGGTTGGGGCTGGGTGTGTTATATGTGTGAGGATGGAAGATGATGAAAGGAAAAGAAAAAAGAAGAGGAAAAAGTACAGGGGCAGGGGCATCCCTTTAGAGTTTTCTGACCTGTCAACACGTGACATTTTCCCTTTCGCACCTTTGCCTGGCTTGACAATACGGAAGATATTGTGTAGTAATGTCGCTAAAACGGCCAACAAACATAAACGAGAGACTTTTTCTCAGCTGCCGGAGGGTGTCAAACAGGAGGGTGGATGAGCGCAAACCATTCGTATGGTGAGGTAAAGAGCAAGATAGAAGTATGCCAACGCTAGGGGCGCTTCCTTGTCAAGGAATGAACGGATGACAGGACATGTTCGGTGGTGACGAGTTAGGGGGACAAGGTAGAGACAACAGTCATCAAAACCCTTTGCTTTTGCCTCGCGTCAAGTACCTGAAAAATGACCAAAAATCAAACAATGGCATACCATGCGCTATTCAAAGACGAAGGGAGAGTGCCAAGAGCGAAGGAAGAAGGGAGAGAGGTAGTTACAAAAGTGTCGAAGTGCTAGCTGTCAGACTTGAACAAACCCGGGCCTCCATCAGTAGTTGATTGAGACGAAGGTTGCAGCTCGCAACCGTTCCTGAAAAAAAAAACGCCCCCGTTATGATTCAGTGTAAAATTAAGTCTCTCGCAATGTCCTTTCTCGCCTTCGCGTCCGGGGTTTTCCCTATCTGTGTACCTGCATCCTGGTTTACACTCCTCTCTTTTCTGCTCATGCACATCCAGGTGTACACGAACAAGCATAAAACAATATCCACAATAAGGTAACTTCAGGTGGTTTAAGTAAAGTCAGTGGGAGATGTAACTTGATGTGTGGCTCTAGTTGGACGAAACCGATCCAGTAGCGCCGCGCTGCTCGAGCAACCTACGATTCATCGCACCGAGACCAATAACATCACCGAGAACGGCACTAGAGGCGACTAGCACAGCAGGCCCAGAAGACCACACCAAATCAACAGAAACTCTTCCTAACCCATCCTTGTCCTCTACCACCCGCCAGGCACGGATCGATCCTTCGTCACTTGCCGTCACAAACTCCAATTTATTGGGCCTCCAAACAACGTCGTTAACAGCCCCTGTGAACCCCTTGATGATCGTCACACAGTCATGATCCTGCAACGGTACTGCCTCCTGATCCTGATCTGGGGATGGCAGCCTCCAGAGTCGAACACTGGTGCGGTGCGCTGTTGCTACCCACTGGCCGCAGGATGAGAACGCAAATTTGTAGCTGTACGTGTCCTGCCTCACGATATAGCGGAAATCCTGGAGTTGCTGGTCGTCGTCCCATAGTCGAATGGTTCCGTCTCCGTGGCAAGAGGCGACCTGGAGACAGCCGGGCTTATAAGCGATAGCATTCGTTCTGTGCAGACCGATATCGATCGCCTTATCTGCCTTGAGTTCGCCAGTGCCTGCCTCCCAAAGTTGGACAATTCCCTTCCAGCATACCGATGCAATCCAACGACCATCCGGAGAAAATGCAACGCTCTGTACACTTCCCTTATGGCCAATCAGAACATGAACGGCTGCTCCTGACCGGGTATCCCAAAGACGCACCGTCTTGTCAAGACCGCCTGAAGCAAGCCAGCGACCACAAGGTGAGAAGGCCACAGAACCCACGCCAGACTTGTGCCCACTAAGAACAAAGAAGGCAGCGCGGGATTCAACACTCCATAGAGTCACTTCGTTCTCTCTGCCGCCGATGGCTATCTGGAGACCGTCTGGGGAGAATGCAGCGCAGCATGTATTGTGCAGGTGTTCGGGAAAAACAAAATCGAGGTCTCCCGAATCCGCGTTGAGTCGTCGCAAGAGTGCGAATTGACTGCCGGTGATGAGCAGCTGCTGTCCGTCCGGAGAATATGTCGCGTATAATTGTGGGTATGTTGTGTCATGAGAGTCGAACCCTGCTCTAGACGAGTTCACCTCCCACAGCCGCAGAGTCTTGTCGTAGCTTGCTGAGGCGATGTACAAGCCATTGGGTGAAAACCGAACGCAGCTGACGGTTTTCACATGATTTAAAAATGACGAGACAAGTAAGCCGGAACGAGAGTCCCACAGCTTCACTGTACGATCCCGACTGCATGACGCGATCCAACGGTCGTCGGGTGAAAAGACGATGCCGTTAATTCCAGATGAGTGTGCTACCCAATTCCGTTCCGGCCTCAGGGTGGTCGCTGTTACCTCCCACAGTCGCAACCGGCCTCTGACGGAGCCTGTAGCGATTCGCTGACCGTCAAGTGAATATGTAACACAATACTGGCCAATACCCTCGCAAGGCACGAACACAAGCAACCCGGTGAGTGTGTCGAATATTCGGATCATCCCATCCTTACCGACGGAGGCAATGATGTTCCCGTTAGGTGAATAGGAAATACTGGTAACCTTGCCAGCGCTTTCGGTCCAAGTGAAAACGGAAGCACCAGTCCGAGCGTCCCAGAGTCTCACCGACCTGTCGCCACTGGCCGTTGCAACCTGCTGGCCCGTTGGTGAGAACTCTACCACTGCTAACCGGTCCGTGTGTCCCTCCAAAATGAAGTCGGTTGATCCAGTCTCGCTGTTCCAAAGCCGTGCTGTTTCGTCGTAGCTGCCAGAAAGAAGTTGTTGGCTGTTCGGTGAATAAGCCAGACTTGTAACGCGGTCTTGGTGCCCTTGAAACACTTGAATCCTTGTCCAGGTTGCAGTATCGTAGATGCTGATGTTGCCGTTGGCCAGGCCTGCCGCGAGAAACTTGCCGTCAGGAGAAAAGGCGCACGAGATGACCTTCTCCAGCTCCTCCAAGTACGGCAACTCTCCAAATTGTGTTCCATCCATGCCTGCACGGCTGAGATCGGCCTGTCGAATCCATGTCTTGGAGAGATTGACACCCGTCAAGTCGGCATCCTGTAGTTGTGCAGAGTCAAACTGCCCACCGGTAAGATCCGCTCCTGGAATGCGAATGCCTCGAAGATCAGCTCCATGAAATTGCACACCGGCTCGGACCAGGATCGTAATGGCGTTAGCCGCAGCCCGGCTCGCTTGGGCGTTCGACTTGGACAACCCGATGACTGCTAGGAAATACTCCTTGCACCTGACACTCTGTTTCACGCGATCGCTCAAGAACTGGATCACAGAGGGCTCGGCAAGTAGATTACGAGTGAACAAATGACTGTTGGTGTCGACCAACTGGTCGTCAGGCGTGCCAGGATTCATCTGGGGAGTCGATACATCGTCGCCGCCATGACTGCTTGGATCAAAGATAGCACGCGAGAAAAAATACTCAAGCATGGACCGATGAAGGAATCGGTGCAAGTTGCCGATGCGGGTCAAAGGGCTCGAATCTCGTAGGAGTCGGACTTCTGCATCTTGTCTAAAGAACTGAGCTTTCCAAGAGTTCTTGTCGTGAACATACTGGACAATCGGGTTACCCTCCTGTTGCTCAAAGATCGCCAACGCCAGCCTCGTGGAATAGTCAATACTCTTGGAAACAAATCCCATGTCCAGAAGTTCGTCGAATACAATGCGATCTGCCATTGACAACGTGTTGCTCTGAAGTCGTCGCTTATTGACATTGCTCCAGTGCTCCACAAATGTGTCGTATAGCTGAGTGCGGGTGATCCTGATAGTCGACAGATCCTGCTTGCTTTCAACGACCCCTGGCAGTGCCTCCAGCGCTAGTGAGAGCAGAAACGGATTCTTGACCAGGTCCATGAGGTTTGGGATGATCGTCAGTTTGTCCATATAGTCCTCTGTGCGCCAGGTCCTCGGCTCGAGGAGAGCATATTGCTCGACATAGTCTTTGATCTGCTCTGTCGAAAAAGGTGCGATGACGGCCTGTTGGAATAGATCGACGCTCGGGCGGTTGTAATGGCCACCTCCATTGGGCACGAACCGGTCGTGGTAGTCGTGGCCAAAGTACTGGCTCCTGCAGCTGATGACAAGCTTGACTTTCCATTGTCCAGAGGTGTTGAAGCCGTTGGAGTTGTGAATGTTGATGGTGAGCTGGCTCTCGTCGTATCCATCACAAATGACAATGAACTGTCGATGTTGCTTCAGTTCCTGGATCTGCTCCTCCGAAAAGTCGTGCCTTTTCAACTGCTCGCCCATCAGGTCCTTGGCCGGTCTCTCAAGAGCTGGAAGGTTGGTGAAGAGCGGAATAGACCCGCCGCGCTTGTACTCTGTCCAAAGTCGATGCTCGAGATATTTGTTGAAAGTCGATTTACCAACTCCAGAATCTCCCAGAATCAACATGACCTGGCGACTACTGCTCAAAAATTCCTGCATATTTTCCATGAGTGGGAAGACCTCGTTGTCCTGAGCTTGAAGACTGGCCTTGGCCATAGGAGAGATGTAGATGGACATGTTGCCATCGTTGATCCGCTGCATTTGGAGCTTGTAGAGTTCATACTCCATGTAGGGGATGCACTGGACCTTGGAAAGGATCGGAGATGACTCTGGGATTGGGAGGTGGGATCTCAATGGGTAAGGGTGCTGAGTCCTGGGAGTGTTACCCAAGTCGAGCTTCTGGAACAAGGCAACGGCACGGTTGTTGACGGATTCGTCTGATGAAGATCTCAATGTACTGAGGATAGTCAGCATCCATCCCTTGACGCTCTCGTCGCGACCCCATTCCTGATCCTCCTTGTAGAGATGACCAAGAAAGTCAATGGCTTGCTGGCGTACGGTAACCGCCCATACAGGGTCGACCGCAATCTCGCCCAGAAGCTGGCAAATACCCCACTGGAACAGGGGATCCTGGCGACAGGGTGCCTCATAGATCAGCTGTTTCAGATCCTTCAACTGGCCAGCTTGCACAAAGGCATATGCGGCGCGGATGGCAGGATACCATGGCCTCTTCTGACCAGACCCAAGCCCTTCTTTCAGACTTTCCAGAACCCCTCGACCGCTCTCGTGCAACGATCCCACTCCTTCATAAACAGTAGTGGCGATCCCAATCGCACTGACGGCCACCCCTTGCAACTTCTCCAGTTCTTCTAGAACCGACCCCAAATCCAACTTGAAGACACTTGTGACTTTGACCAAGCCATCCACAACTCCAGTCGAGTGCCTCAATACTGCCTGCAGAACAGTCTCATCATCAGGGACATACTGAAGCGCTTGGAAGGCGTAGCAGGCCTGATACATCAAGTAGGGATCAGAGCTGCCTCTCATTCCCGACAAAACAGCAGACAATGGCTCATGCTCCACGACTCGGTCCAAATCCTGCACCTTGTGGTCGGCCATGGCATCGAGGATCCTGGAGACAGCCAGTGTGAGGTGGCAAAGGTGTTCAGACGAGTGCTGGTGCGTGTCCTCCAAATGGGTCCTGAGGAGGCTGAGGACCTTGACCAAGTCGTCGGATACCAAATACCCAGGCGAGGCAGACTGGACCAGCTGGACAAGACCTTGGAGCAGGTTGACGTCCAGAATGCGAGAATCGTCAAAGTCTCGGATGAACGCAGACAGCAGCTTGCGGTAAGGCTCTCTCTGCAAAACAGGTCCAAGGGCGACAATCTCGGCAACTTTGGTCGAGTCCTTGGTAGCGTCCGCGATGAATCTCTCCACCATCTTGGTAACGAGCCATTGCATACGATCCTGCCTTATTGGGTCTCCCTTGACCTCTGTCAGCCACGTTTGTTCAGCCTTGTTGAGAGTGGGCGCCTGGGGAGCATTGGCGGGATCATCAGTCGCCTTCTTTTCTCCTGCATCTGATGACGAAGAGATGACTGAATCCTGGCGAAGAAGCATGCTGCAATAAAGCAGTTGGTCAGTCCTTTCAATGCGGTCCTGGAGGCCAGGCAATGCAGTCTTGACAGTGGGTTTGGCGACATTTTCTGGGAAGATGACTGAATGGAGCCAGTCCTCATCTGGCGCCTGTGACAAAGGTTTGTCCTGGAGGTTGTCGACCTGAGAAGCGATAGAGGGCTTAGCGGACTGCCGAGAGCGAGTCCGAAATTTCCATGATCGGGTCGGGCGTTTGGCCTTGACTTTGGATAAGGATCTGGGAATACCCAAAAAGTCGATGGACTTATCACGCTTCCTAAGAGGCGGGGCAGTGTTGGCGCTCTCCTTGCCAGGGACATTAGCATCTAGTTGGTCGAGAGGATGGTTGTGCATCGTGGTGAGTGGCCTAATAAGATGTCGAAGCAATATGGTGTCAATAACAAAATATGCATTTCTTGTGCCAGGATGGAGCAAATTAACGTCGAATAGCATAACATCATTAGTGATGCTACCTTGAACTTGTTGTGATGACTTTTACGCCTGGCGGATACAGGAAGTATTGTGGCACTCAATGAATGTCAGAGGTGAGATCGCAGGTACCTAACACAGGAAGCAAGAATTGTATAAATGTCAATTGCGGTGTGTATTTCTTGACATTGGTCACAGTAGACAAGAGGGTGTAGGCACACATTATTCAGGAACATATGTCTTACTTGGACAAGAAGGTGCTGTCGCGTGTTTTTGTACTTTTTTTTCTGAAGTGGAGGGCTGTCTATGTGAATTGGGAGGAGAAAGTGAGGTTAGCACTACCCCAAGTCTCTTGAGAGTACTTCGATAAACACACCAGTGTCTCTAAAGTGTATGAAGGAAGCTTGTCAAAGGATGCGCGCTCGTGCTGTGGATGAGTGTTGACAAAAGACACGCCTTAAGACAGTGATGGACACTTTTGTGAGCGTCTTATGCTTGTCACTTTTGTTGCTGATTAAATTGCTGTGTTATGATGGTTCGAGTGCTCTTACGTTTGATCGAGATCAAAGTGTCGGTTGATTCAAGAGTTGATTCTGAGCAAGTGAACTGCCGAGTGGTGGAGAACAATGAATGAGAAGGAGGAAGTGCCAGATGAGGGTGGTGTTGATGTGTACGATGATGCGAGGATTGGTCAAGAGAGAAAACAAGCCTTTGACCCATCCCGTGTCACGTTGTTACACGGGAAAAAAAGACAAAAATCGCTTCCTATGCACACACCATACACCATTGAACATCGGGACGCAAAATGAGAGAAGAGGAAGGAGAAGTGTTGCTGCTGTAAAACGCGAAGAAGCCGCGATGGGTTAGGTTAAATGTAGGTGCTTTTTACGCTATCATTATTTGTCTAATTTCGTCTGATTTTTACCTTCTTTATATTTTCTATTCTGCTGAGAGCTGCGAAGACATCGTGTTAAGGCAACGCATCTCAAAGACCTCCGAACAAGGAGATGTCTTTGTATGGAGAGGCCTGGCAAGAATCTTGCATGAACATGATTTGGCGATTCATCTTCAACCTGGGAGGATAGGACGGTGATCGAGAATGAGTTTGGTAAAAGCGACTCAAATGTGATGGACCGCAAGATCGACATCATGCACCAGCTGTGCTTGCAAGGTAGAAGCAAGCCAATTGAGATGATTGCTTAGGAGGCCAAGTCAGAAGCAGTTGCAGGAGAGGCTCTCCGGACCCAACTACTAAAGAATACCAGGATTAACACCTCCATTGTGAACAATATGTCGGAGTACATGGAACGGGGTATTCCAAGGCCTTCGCCAATGGTGCAGAACATTGTCGGCTCTAGAGCGTTGGTTTACACAGTGCGAAAGATTGAACCGGGAATGTTTGGTACGGGCGCCGTCGGAGAAAAGATGATGAGCTGCCCACGAACACCGATACCGATGAGATAGCCGGGTTTCTCGGAAGCATGTCTGCCTTGCTGCGAATAGGGGTAATTTGTTAACTCACCTCACTCTGTGTCTGTCTGTGTATTCCTTTTCTGTTGATGTATCCTGATCATTATTTTCTGCACCTTCCAATATCTAATTTAGCTGCACTACTCCGAGTTTGCTTGCCTCCCCAAGGAAGGATACCGAAAAGCGCTGAGTCAAGAAATCATGAGAAGATGGACCGTGAGAGCGAATGTTAGGAAGGAAGCTGAAGGGCATCGAGCGGATAGCTTCACTGTAACTGCCACAGATCGGTCATTATGTTTGACATCATTAAAGAATGAGCCTACACTCCTTTTGCGTTATTACTTTTTACTATGATACATGTAAACGCAAAAAGGAGTGTAGGTAGCCCAAGCAAGTTCCTTGGTGCTGGTAGTTCGCAGTGGATGCTATGATGAGCCCATTCGGTGACATAATTATGGCGTCCATTGTCGACCAGCAAATGCCTCCACCGACTGTGCCTCCAATCCTTCTGTGCAAGTTAAATACCCCTCACTCCTTGTACAATAAAACGGCATCTTTCCTTCGCCTCGTCCACTTATCCCTATCACTCTTGCCCTCTTCCTTCTCTTTCTCGCTCCCTTCCCTTGCTCGTTCCTTCGTTCATACTCCCTTGCTCTTACACTGCCGCACCTTCTTGTAACCACATCATCACTGCCCTCAGCATCCCCGTCACGCCCGTCACGCTCATCATCTTCATCTTTCTGACTAAGATGTCCCAGACATGTCCCCTTGATCTACCTGAGATTCGCTCCATAATTGCCAGCAATCTTGGCCTCAACGACCTCACGTCCTGTGTGCGTGTGAGCCAGGATTGGAAGGACTCGTTTACACCACCACTTTACAAGTCCGTCGTATTGTCGAAACATGGTCCCAGCATGGAAACTGTCGAGAGAAACAAGCACCTTATAAAAACCCTGAAGGTCGAGGGCTCTAAATATGGAAACTTATCGTCAACGTCTGTACAAAACAATATAGCCTCTAGCATCCTGACCAACTCAACTCTGGCTGCATTGGACTTGAGCGAAAACTCGCTCGGAAAGTACGGAACTCAGGTGCTGGCCGAGGCACTCAAGATCAACTCGACTCTGACCACTTTGAACTTGTGGTACAGCTCGATCAATGACAATGGAGCTCAGGCGCTGGCTGAGCCCTCATGATCAACTCGACTCTGACAACTTTGGACTTGAACGACAACTTTATCAGTAACAGCGGAACTCAGGCGCTGGCTAAGGCACTCAAGTTCAACTTGACTCTGACCACTTTGGACTTGTCCAACAATGCGATCGGTGACAATGAAGCTCTGGCGCTGTCTGAGGCACTCAAGGTCAACTCGACTCTGACCACTTTGAACTTGTGTTACAGCTCGATCAATGATAAGGGAGCTCTGGCGCTGTCTGAAGCACTCAAGACCAACTCGACTCTGACCGCTTTGAACTTGAAGTGCAACCCGATCGATCCTAATGGAGCTCAGGCGCCGTCTGATGCACTCAAGACCAACTCGACTCTGACTACTTTGCACTTGTCCTGGATCGGAGACAACGGAGCTCATGCACTGGCTGAGGCACTCAAGATCAACTCGACTCTGGCTGCTTTGGACTTGAGTTACAACTCGCTCGGATCTAGCGGAGCTCAGGCGCTGGCTGAGGCACGTAAGACCAACTCAACTGTATTCATTTTAGTAAACAGATGTAGCTTCAATGCTCAACCCCTTAAGCTCTGGTACTGATGTGCTGCACAATGGGCCACTATGATCTTTAACTCAGGAATGGCATTAACAACCAGATATTTCTAGATCTCAATAAACATGTATGTCATTGCTATAACTACTGGCGTAGTTGAAATAATCGTCGTATCATTCATACTAATATTTTGCTAAAAAGACCTACGAGAGCTTGCATCCGTTCAGGCATACTCCGAATCAGAATGTGGCAAACCTCCATTGGTGTTTCCTCCTCCCAGATCTCGCTTGCTTGTTTTCACAGGTCTAACATGCCTTTAGGAATGGACCCGTGCTTGTGAAGCTCTTTTTTAAATGTTGCCACAAATGCTCTATTGGCCTGAGGTCTGACGAATTGGAAGGCTTTGTGAGTAGTCTCCCTGTCGCCTCCGTTATGTTAAGTTAATGGAGGTAAATTAGGAGTTAACCGCCTTGGCGGCGTGCTTGAGATCATTGTCTTGTTGGGAGGCCTTTCAAGTCCAAATTATGACATGGTGTTTGTTGCATTCCTGCACATCTTGTTGATATCCACCGCGGCATTTAGAGGAGAGTGTATGTATGATACCAATCATGCAAATCAACCACTGTAATAGTTTTTGCGCGACTATTCTACTAAATACCATAATATTCTTTAAGCAACAAAATCTTCTTATTTTTCGCACACCAATCTCTTGAATGTGTTCGTCTACTATTAAACTGTACCCCTCACTGCAAGATTAAGGACAGTAGCTCTTGTATGTGGTCATCTAAGGCACTTGTACTCTCCACTGTATCTTTGCCGTGAAATGCAGGCGAGAGATTACATTTTAAAAAAATCATGTGCTGTCTGTTACTACTTTATCTTATGTTCTGTTGCGAACTTTGGAGAAATGTCATAGTTATAGAAGTCTACACTGCATTCCTTGGGCTTTGGGTATTTTTATATGCCTTTTTATATCCTTAGCACATGGAAAGGCCGCTTGGAAGATAAATTGCTCTGGATCGATGTTGTACCAGTCGAAAGTATTCGATAGCTCGCCTTGAAGAATGCGAATATGCATTGCCGAGTCCAGAACAATGGCACAGGGTTAACGCCACTTAATCTCCAGACCCTTCTATTGCCACTATGTTCTTCGAGAGTCTTTTGCTAACTAATCCAAGCACATTTTCTCCTAGAAAGCTCTAGCAACAACAGTGGTCAACCTGGTACCATACATATATAAACTCATAGTCAGTACCGTAGATAGTTCCAGCAGTTCATAATTAAAGTCTTTATTAAACACAACATCCCATAATTAAGTCTACGACCGCAGAAGCTTCGGGAGCGTGGGTCCGTTCCTGAAGGCATGCTTGACCTGTGGAAACGAGTGAAGGAGATTTGGGAGGAGGAGAAGCCAATGGAGGTCTGTCGCAATATGGTTCGGCAAATGCCTGAACGGATGCAAGCTGTCATCAAGGCAAAAGGAGTCAACTGACGAATTTGACATGCAAATAATAATTATGGCTATAAAACTGTACAAATGACCCATGGTAGGTCCTTCTAAAAAAAATCAGTATAAATAATACAACAATTGTTTCAACTACACAAGTTTATTGATCTGGTTGTTAATGCCATTCCTGAGTTAAAGGTTATAGTGGGCCACATTAGTGCCAGAGCTTAAGGGGTTGAGTATTGAAGCTACATCTGTTTACTAAGTCTAAAATGAACACAGTTGAGTTGGTCTTATGTGCCTCAGCCAGCACCAGAGCTCTGTCGTATCTAGAGACTAGTCGTATCTGATCCGGTTGCTGTCCAAGTTCAAAGTGGTCAGAGTCGAGTTGACTTTGAGTGCCTCAGTTAGCGCCACAGCTCCGTCGTATCCAATCCGGTTGTTGGACAAGCTCAAAGTGGTCAGAGTCGAGTTGACCTTGAGTGCCTCAGTTAGCGCCAGAGCTCCGTCGTATCCGATCCGGTTGCTGTCCAAGCTCAAAGTGACCAGAGTCGAGTTGATCTTGAGTGCCTCAGCTAGCGCCAGAATTTCGTTGTCACCGATCGAGTTGTCGGACAAGTCCAAAGTGGTCAGAGTCGAGTTGATCTTGAGTGCCTCAGCTAGCGCCAGAATTTCGTTGTCACCGATCGAGTTGTCGGCCAAGTCCAAAGTGGTCAGAGTCGAGTTGATCTTGAGTCCCTCAGCCAGCGCCAGAGCTCCGTTGGATCCGATCCGGTTGTGTCTCAAGATCAAAGTGGTCAGAGTCGAGTTAATCTTGAGTGCCTCAGCCAGCGCCTGAGCTTCATTGTCTCCGATCCGGGACAAGTGCAAAGTGGTCAGAGTCGAGTTGATCTTGAGCGCATCAGACAGCGCCTGAGCTCCCTTATCATTGATCGAGCTGTAACACAAGTTCAAAGTGGTCAGAGTCGAGTTGACCTTGAGCGCCTCAGCCAGTGCATGAACCCCGTTGTCACCGATCGAGTTGTTGGCCAAGTCCAAAGTGGTCAGAGTCGAGTTGATCTTGAGTCCCTCAGCCAGCGCCAGAGCTTCGTTGTCACCGATCGCATTGTTGGACAAGTCCAAAGTGGTTAGAGTCGAGTTGATCTTGAGTGCCTCAGCTAGCGTCTGAGATCCGTAGTCACTGATCTGATTGCTGCTCAAGTTCAAAGTGGTCAGAGTCGAGTTGGTCTTGAGTGCCTCAGACAGCGCCTGAGCTCCATTGGATCCGATCTGGTTGAGCCTCAAGTTCAAAGTGGTCAGAGTCGAATTGATCTTGAGTGCCTCAGCCAGCGCCTGAGCTCCATTGTCGTTGATCAAGCTGTACCACAAGTTCAAAGTGGTCAGAGTCGAGTTGATCTTGAGTGCCTCGGCCAGCACCTGAGTTCCGTACTTTCCGAGCGAGTTTTCGCTCAAGTCCAATGCAGCCAGAGTTGAGTTGGTCAGGATGCTAGAGGCTATATTGTTTTGTACAGACGTTGACGATAAGTTTCCATATTTAGAGCCCTCGACCTTCAGGGTTTTTATAAGGTGCTTGTTTCTCTCGACAGTTTCCATGCTGGGACCATGTTTCGACAATACGACGGACTTGTAAAGTGGTGGTGTAAACGAGTCCCTCCAATCCTGGCTCACACGCACACAGGACGTGAGGTCGTTGAGGCCAAGATTGCTGGCAATTATGGAGCGAATCTCAGGTAGATCAAGGGGACATGTCTGGGACATCTTAGTCAGAAAGATGAAGATGATGAGCGTGACGGGCGTGACGGGGATGCTGAGGGCAGTGATGATGTGGTTACAAGAAGGTGCGGCAGTGTAAGAGCAAGGGAGTATGAACGAAGGAACGAGCAAGGGAAGGGAGCGAGAAAGAGAAGGAAGAGGGCAAGAGTGATAGGGATAAGTGGACGAGGCGAAGAAGGGATGTCGTTTCATTCTTTCATTCAACAAGGAGTGGAAGGCAATGGTCGACAATGGGCGCCATAATTACGTCACCGAAGCGACTCATCATAGCATCCACTGCGCTCAACCAGTACTAAGGAACATGCTGGGCCCTTTTCCACTGATTCAGTAAAAAATGCGTTACAATGAAATGAGCAAAAAGGAGTGTATGCTATTATCCTCTCGACCCGACTTCCCACGGCGACCCCGACTTAAACTGGAGGTCGACGCTGCCCTCTTGCGTGGCCCCTTTGGTCGGTTGATAACGGCGGTGGTGTTGCTGCTGGAGGAGGCAGCGGTGGAACTTGTAGTGGGTCCAGCGCCGGCTTTGGCCATCCATGGGAGAGAGCCGTCAGCAGCTACGGAATGTAAATGCTCAGGTTGCTCTTGTTTTTCCAGATAACCTCGCACAATGCCTGCTGTATTCACGGCTGCCATAACATCGCGATGATGGTACACATGGCACTCGGGACAGTAGAAGCGGCGGAGATTGACCTGGTGACAAAGAACCCACATCGAGGACGCTTCTTTGCTGGTATAGTTTTCACCCCAAGGACCGCGCCTAATAAAAAAGAATGATGTTTGAGATGCCAGCGTATGTGTTTCAGTATTGATAGTGTTCATATTGACCAGTTTGATGAAATTAGACAAGAAGCTTGAGTCCAGGGACGAGAGTCAACTCCAAGGTGAGAACTTGGCCAGGCCTACTCCAATCAATACAGGGTTCCAAGAATCTCGAGGACGTCCAACGCTTCCGCCGACGATCCCTAGAAGACTATCAGCGATCAATTGGTGCTCGAAGTGGTGGGCTCGCTTCATGTCCCACTTGAGGCGCGCTTGTACTGTTGATCACGGCCACCATAGAACTCCAACACACGATGTTCGACCCTCTTTAGTTCTGCCATATAGTGGACGACACTCGAGCTTTGACTTTTGAGAGCGGATAGACGACCCTGCATGTCGCCGTCGAGCCACCGACGGAAACGGAATGTTGGTTGATAAACCGCCTTTTTGTCTAACCGCCATTTTGTCTAACCGCCATATTGTCAAAGACCGCCCTTGGCGGCACCATTGGCGAGTATGTTGATTGATAATCTGGGGTTGAGAATGTCGAGGATGTTGTTGACTCCACAGAAGTAGCGGTGGTTCCTTCCATGGTTGGATGTGTCCGGTTAAACTCCTTACTATTTCTGTTCTCTTGCGAGTCCTCGGGAATATCTGTAAAGGTACCAACAACACATGCTTGCCTTCCATCCAAAGTTAATGTCGTGATCTCCTCCAGTCGAACCCCTGGCCACAGTCTCGCCACATCCTCCTTGCTGGTGATGTCATTCCTGATCTCTTGGAGGTTGTAGTCGACCTTTCCAATGGTTGACGTCAATCTTGGTGGCAAGCGGCTGTCGTCCAGCCTTCAGTAACGAATATCTTGAAGCTCTCGGAGCTTGAATGCAAGAAGCTGAATGCGGAGGCCATCAGTCTTGATGGATCCTTTCAAGACGTATCCCTTCTCGGCATAGGTAACGGGGTCGAGCCATTCGTTCTTGACTCCGGATCTAATCCAAAGACAACAGTTTGACGGCGGTTCGGTATCCTGCTTTCCTCCGTTGACGACTTGTAAGACCTTGAGGGGACGGGCTCTTTTCCTAATATCCACATGTCGAAATCACTGGTAGGGGTGAAGGCCGAGTTATCATCCTTTCCTTTAAAGGTCCTCGCTTCCTGAAAACGCTGCAAGCTCGCGCTCCGAGAACGTCACGAAAGTTGCTGTGAGGATGTGATCCCCTTTCTCTCTAACAGTCAACGGTTTCACAGAACATGGTCTTCCCATGGTACCCATTGGTGATGAAATGGGAAATTTTCTTTGCTCGCACACCGCGTGCGAAAGCGCTCACCGTCATGAGTGGCCGATGCTTTAGTTGGGGATGAACAGAGCTAAAGATGGGTTTTCATGGTCACCTCCTCTAAGCGCTCGCGCCTCATTCCTAGCCCACATTTAATGTACTTTCGATCCTTTGCCCAATCCCACAGCATCGTCACACCAACGTTGCATTGTTGTCTCTGTCGTTTTTTCTTGAATTGCTATTGCTTTAAGTAAAAAGCCCATACAAACGCGAGTCGCAAGAAGAAAATCTTGATCAGGTCCGATGACCAAGAAAAAAAAACGAAGAACATGGCTAGGAATTGGCAATGCCGACTTAGTTGTTTGATCATCGAGGGAACAGTAAACCGTTTTCACGCCCAACCAAAAATATTAGAGAAACTAAAACGCTGTCTACAACCATAATGGGGAGTTGACTTGTGTGTCTTTTGCGTACTAGCATGGCACAGCCGCGCAGTTAGTAAACGACGAACAGAACGAAGACGTTTACAAATCCTTCTCTTTTTTTTTGCTTGGCCTTTTAGAATGACGGAATCACGGAGGCCATGCCCCCTTCTCCTGATGCTATGTCCTATTCTGACCGCTGTGTCTGTTTATTTCGTCTTGGAAGGGGGTTCATGATCGGAGCTGATGACACCTATCAATGGAGCGACTGGAGGCATGGAGAGAATGGATGTGGGCTGTGAGAAGTGATAAATAGTCAGCAGGTATGGAGGGGATAGAAGTGTGATTGTTACTGTAAATAGTCGATAGGAAGGACGAAAAGATCTATCGTATACTCCTCAAACAGCAATAGTAGTGCAGGAGTTGAAGATAGGGAAGAGGATGGAAGAAAGGCTAGTCGCTTTAAGACAACCGCGCACTTGAGGGACAATGCCGCATACACAAAAATCCCTCCAAATCATATGCATTGCGCGTCTTACCAATAACTAAAAAAAAGGAAAAACAATGAATATAGTTGACAACACCCCCTAGTTCAAGAAAGGCTCAGACCAAGAAAAGCGGTTTTTTTGGATTGTGATGGTGCGGGATGACGTGAGATGGTAGGAGCGTACTAAACCCATGTAAAATTAGGACGTTAACTAAAAGATGTGCGTTTTTGAGTTTGAAATTAAGAATGCGAACAAACAAGAGGATGAAAGGGAGGAGGCACCTATGATTCATACTCCAACTTTGGTCTACTTTATGGGCGTGGAGAAGGCAAAGAAGGGGAAAGAAGGAAGGGTGTAGAAGGAGAAAGACGGAAGGGTGTAGAAGGAGAAAGAAGGAAAGGAGTATAGAGTTAAATGAGAGAGAGGAGTGAACGCGTCCTTTTTTTGAAGTTAGACCCGATTAAGCGCATAGACAGATCGATCAACATGGAAAGGGATGGAAGGGACCAGCCAAAGGGCGATTATTAATCAACGCCAAAGGAGAAAAAAAAAAGTAAGGAGGGGAGGGAACCAATGAGAAGGAGAAGGGATTACCATTACCCACTGCACTGCCTTTCATTGAATCGTGGGAGTGCGAGAGACTTGGGGCAATTGGCTATTGTCATTGGTTCTTTCCTTAATTCATTCACGCTACAAATGCACACAACAGAGAGAATAAAATAACCTTCACTCTATCGCCATCTATCGTCAATCGATAGGCACAATAAAATAACAAGCAAACAACCACCCAACTTCCGAGTATAAAAAGGGTCTCCATCGCCTCGTTTTTTATTCTCCATCACAACCAACCTCAACAACCAACCCAACCAACTCTTCACTTCACAGTAAGCAAAAGCTTCTCTCCACCTTACACACAACAACAATAACAAAAATGGTCCACGCATACTTCGACCCCGCCCAGGCTGCCGCTTTCAACGCCCTCGCCACCAAGAAGGACAGTACCTTCGAGATCAAGTATTTCAACTTCCATGGCCTCGGTGGTATCGCCCGTACCCTCCTCGCCATCTCCGGCAGCAAGTTCACCTCTGTCACCCCCGAGGACTGGGCCTCCGAGAAGTCGCTTACTCCCTTTGGCGTCATGCCCATCCTCACCGAGACCTCTGCCGACGGCAAGACTACCATCCATATCGCCGAAACCGGCGCCATCGAACGCTACCTCGCCCGCAAGTTTGGACTCCTTGGCTCCGACGCCTTTGAGGAGGTCCTCGTCAACACCTTTGTCTCCAACAACCACTCCCTCCAGTGGGCCATCATCGGAAAATACTTCATGATCAAGGATCCCGAACTCAAGGCTGCCAACAAAGAGTCTCTCATCGCCAACAACATCGCCCCTTGGATCAAGTACCATGAGGAACACCTTTCCACCAACGGCGCCAACGGACACTATGTCGGCAACAAAGTTTCCTTGGCCGATGTCACGACTGATTTCTTGCTTGGGCTGATCCAGGGTGTGATCGGGGAGGAGTTGGTCTCGAAGAGTAAGACCCCTGCTATTTGGCAAGTCCGCGAGAAGTTGAACAAGATCGAGAGCTTGGCTGCTTGGAAGCAGACTGAGGAGTTCAAGGCGTTTAGCGCGAAGAACCTTGCTAGCTTTGGCTACTGCTAAAAAAGAAATTGGTCATTCTCCCCCCCCCCATTTGCCCAATATCATTTCTATTGCATCTTCACATACCAGAATAATAAAAGATCCTTTAAAGTCTTGAACAAAGTAAAATCGAAGGGATAATGATGTAGGCTGACAAAAAGGGGGCTATGGAAAGGGCAGGCTTTAACAAAGTATAAGAATAGACTCAGTCACCATGGGACTTTGTCCATCGAGGAAAAAAAAGGAGAATGAGGCAAACAAAGGATGATAGGTAGAAACAACACATTGATAAGACAAACGTACGCGTTCTTTTCGCGTTTCGATAGAAAACATAACCAGTCCTATCCACGAATACGTCCAAGCCTCGTCCAGTCTTACTTATCCCATCAACTCCAAAACGTTTTCCCTGTCAGTGGTCATTTTTTGGGGATTCATGGTAAAAAAAAAAGGGATGCTAACGTATTTTTTTTGTTTGGACTATCATATCGACGAAAAGAAGGGAAAAAAAGGGTATCACATAACGAGCCAACTCCATGACAATTGCATCAGACAACACTACTCCCTCCAGTCTGGAGAATCGCATCCAAGAACATGTGTCGCCTGCTCCGCCTCAGTATCCGTCACCACCGCAGCATCATCCTGAGCCTGCATCGCCTGCTTCTCATCAAACACCTCCTCCATCTTTGTTGCGGTTCCCTGCTGCTTGTGTTGCTTCTTGGCCTGTTTTGCCAACTTGCGCTTATCCTTCTTCGACTGTAACCTCGCCACCTTCGCCGCAGCCTCATCATTCCCAACATCCGTCGCAACGATGGTAGACTTTTCCGAGATCTCCTTCTCCCTCAAGGCAGCAGTCTTCTGGATCGACTGGCGGCGCTCAAGCATCTGTCGCGTCAGGACTTTGGGCTCATAGGGGCTCGGGTTCATCGAGTTATAATCGTCCACAACGAAGGGGGACTCCTCCTTCTCCATTTCGAGGTACATGTCCATCTCCTCGTCAATCATATGGGCCGAGGCGGCGGCGGCGGCTGCAATCTTCTCGGACCCGCCGAGGTCAAAGAAATTGTCGCGGGCATCAAAGAGGAGGTCGGTTCCGGAATGTGCGTCGTCGCTGATAGAGGCTGTCTCGGATCCAAAAGTGTAGCCTTCGGAGTAGAGGTCTCGACGGCGCATGAGTTCTTCGCGGGTGAGCATTGAAGGCGACTCCGGTGCGAGAAAGTCGCCGATACTGTCGCGGGGTGAGCCTGCACGCTGCTGCTGCTGTTGTCGGTCCGACGATCGCTGGCGGTGGTGATGGCTGTACTTGCCGCTACTGTTCAGCATGGTCAACGAGTTGGTCGATCCAGACTTGCGAGCTGCTCCAAGGCTCGAGGCCAAGGCGGAGCTGACATCATGGTAGACATCATGTTCATCGTTGGCTGAGTACTGTCCCCAGACAATCGAGTGCTCCTGTGCGGCCGTGTTATGAACATCAGGGAACCGCGCTGCTGCTACAGCCGCCGAAGACGAAGATCCAGATCCACCAATACCACTTCCAAACTGCGCCTGAAGCTGCTGCCTCTCTGACGCGTTCAAGCCCGGATGCGACCCAATCTTGGCAATCGAGTGCCCACCCGCCCCAAACGCTCCCGCATACTGGCTCGAATTCCTTCCACTCAGAGAACCCGCTGACCCAGACCCACTTCCATTCCCAGTGTGGTTCAACGCACCCTCCCTAGAGTTATTTCCACTTCTCGTAAGTGCATTCTTGATAGACCGTAAGCCGGCTCCGAAATCATAGCTGCGCGAGAGTTCCTGGAACCGGTTCTTGCCTACGGATCCCGCAGAGGGTGTAGGGCGCTTGAGTGAGTTACCGGCGGCGATGGAGGTTGGGGAGTGTTGGTGGTAGTTGCGACTGGGGCTGTCGGGATCGTGAAGGTATGTTGCTGTTGGGGGCGGGGAGTGCATGGTATTCAGGAATGTGCGGTCGAAATGAATCGGCGACCCCTTCCTTATCGGCAGATCTATCATAGCATTTCATAATAAAGTTTCGATGTTAGCACCATGCAGCAAAAGCCAAGAGATGCGCTCGGTGAAACAAATGAGAGAAATGCCATTACCTCGCTGGTGGTAGCCGTCGTTGGGATGATCATCTCGAGAATCATTCCGTCCACCTTGGTTGAAGCTGTTCTCATGGTACCGACGGTAGATCGTGAACCCAGCAATGGCACCCATGACCAACAAGATCGGAACCGCTGCCAACAAGACAGTCCCTTTGTTAGTGTGCGTATCGCCACCTGCAGCCTCTCCCGCATCCTTGTCGACAGGATGACCCTCGCTGGCTTTGCCCAAGTTCTCGACAGACTTGGCGGGATCGGCATTGTCACTAGATCCACCCTGGATCAGGACCCGCTGGCCTGGGCTGTCGCCAGAAGACTCGGAGTGACCCAAGGTCTCATGGACAAGGACCTTAGAATCATCGACCTTCTTGCCCTTGTCAGCAGCAACAGCGGCAGGCTTGGAGATGCTGAATTTGGGCTCGTCCTTGTCGATCGCATATGTACCCTGGGCAGAAGGCGTGTCGGCATGGATGGCGATCTGTGGCGCAACAACCGCCTTTGCCTCCGCCTTCTTATTCTCTTCCTTTTCCGACGAGACAGAGCTGGCATCACGCTTCTGCGCCTTGTGGTGGTGATGGTGATGATGCTTCTTAGACCCCCTTTCCCGACGACTCAAATGTCGCGTCTCCAAAGCATTCCTCACCAACACATCTCCAACCTTAGCCTCATCATCAACAGCCGGATCGTCAACCAGATCATTGACAATACGGATATTATCAATTGGTGCAGATCCAAGCCCATGGTCATCCCACGAGACGCAGTCGGGCTCCTGTACAGCAGCCGAGGCAGCCCATCGCTTGGGGTTCAATGCTGCGGGGGGGAAGAGTTGGTTCCGGATCCTTGCTATAGTGATCGATGCCTCATCGTTCTCGTCGTTGTTAGTCGATCCCTCCGCGTGCGGTTTCTGGAATGGTTCTGAGCAGATCCTCTCTACACGCTCCCTATTTCCCCCCCACCAGTGTAGTACAACGTATTATCGTGTGTTAGCATTGGCCATGTGGTTCTTGCGCGGATAAATGAAGATATTTTTTCTTTTCTCTTGGATGCCTTACCTGACGGAATGACAGACTGGGAGGACTTGTTGCGTCTGTCCTTTACACTTGGGGAACTCGACCAGACACAAAGCCTCTTGCAGGACCTGGAGACAAGACGCCTGTAAATCATTCAACTCCTTCGGCACCGCATCAATATGCTCTGCACGTAACCATTTCCATAGACAAGAAGCATTATGTTAGATATCTGTATCCAGCGGCATGCTGTTTTTTACTCACTCAATGAAAAAACTGAGGGAGAGGGTACCTTGGATACGCATTTCGGCGCGGATGGGGGATTGGATGTTGGTGAGGTACTGGATCGAGGGACAGAGAGTCGATTCTTGCTTCAGGATCCTGCATTCGCCTGATGCTTCCGTGGGAGGGGTCGTTGCAACATGCCCTCTCGCTGCTGTGTGTGTTCATATGGATGTGCAAGAAAAAGAAGAAAAAAAAAGGGAGGGAGAAAAATGGACAACGCGAGGAATTTTGGATGGATCAGGTGGATGCTCGAGATTGGAATCTTTTTGGTGCTCGTGGGGTGTGTGGGCATTAGAAATTGAGATCGCGATCAAACTGTACACTTCTACTTACCGGCACTCACAGAGAAGGCAAGGACAGACAGCGCTGCCGAAAGAGACAAAAGAACTGTCGTCTTCATTTTGTCTCTTTTTTTGCTTTGTTAGAAAGAAGTTGAGGTGTGTGTGTAAGGTCTGCTCCTTTGGTTGGCGAGTCCTTTTTTTTGCGCTTGCTGATTTGATCCGAGGGTCGTGTCGGTCGAGGGTGGATATCAGGGCAAGAGGAGTGACGGATGGGTGAATAGCAGGAGAGGAATGAATATAGGGAGGGGTAAGGATGAAAGGGCGATGCCAAGGAAAAGTAGGGTCGCCAAAGGGGTATATCGTCAAGTAAAACAAGTAAGGTACAAAAAGAAATAATTGAAGGGTATCTGGAGCAGGGTATATGAGAGGAGGTAAATCCAAGAAGTGAAAAAAGCGTAAGTCAATGGGAAAAGGGCACGACGAGGCAAAGTGGTTTCGAGAGAAAAGAAGGAAATAAAAGAGGTGAACGCGAGAAAAGAAAAGCGAAAAAGAAAGAAGAGAAAAAGAAAAGGGCACTCGGAAGACAAGGCGATGAAGAAGGCTCATTATTGTCATCGTTCATATGTCTTCATCCTCGACTTGTCCTTGATGTCCTCGCCTTTCGTTTTCTTCCTACACCAGTCAAGCAACATATGAACACCTTTGTCATCACCCATCGTCCATCCTCATATCTCCTTTTTTCCACTCTAGCAAACAATGGAATGTAATCCCTCCCTCTTTTCTCCCCGTTCTATCGCAACGAGAACAAAAAAGAAAGGGTAAAAAAGCAGTGAGGGGTGTAGACTAGGTCTTCTTTCCCGTCTCTGTGGTTTGAATGACCTCTTCCTTGCCTTCTGTCGTCTTGCTCAATTGGCTTGGATCGTGATATGGGCCAGGGGCCACCACTTCACCAAAGGTCAATGACCGAAGAAGAAATTCCAATTCGGACGTCCCCTTTCTTCACTCGCGCCCTCACCCTTGTCTTATTGCTCTTTTTTGACAACCCACCCAACCCACCAACGCCGTGTCGTCGCTCATGAAAGAATCGGAATAAGGCGCAAGCGCCATTCAAGGTAGTCTGCCCTACCGTAAAATGCGTCGTCCACCACACACCCACCCAAGAGACATACACCCGAGAGTCGACAACTGTTGAAGGCACTAGGGATGACTAGAACCCTCCTTCACTTCCTAATGGCAATGCCTATATCCTTCAATAGCAGTTTGACCAATACACCCACTCTTTTACCTTCATGGCAAGGCAAGGCCCCCCTATCCGTTAGAAACTCCCCAAAACACTCTACCGAAAGTAGAGAACACAAGGACGGCCCATAGATGTGGTTTAATTTCGGCGTCTTCTCTCCTCTTTGTTGGCCAGCATACCACAACACGCATCGCCCCTTGGCATTTTTTTTTATCTTGGGGACAGCTATCCCTGCGCCATAAATAGCAACCAGACAAAATAAAGTGCAGGGAACCAACATACTATCGGTATTGCACATAACGAAGCTTACCCTTTGTCTTCTTGTGTTCCTTTAATTGCCTGCCTGCTTCTCTCCTCTTTTCTCTCCTGTCCCACGCGAGTACTGTCAGAGCGAGGAAGCCTTTTTTTAGTGCAGAGACCGTTTGTTGTGCAGGAAGCAAGACCCTGTCCGTGTGTCCCGTTCAACAAAATCCTACTTTACTCAATCTGCTCTCACCCTTCCATCATTCTGGGACACTAACCCAAAAGCGATGACGTTTCTGTCAAACCAAACCCTACCACCCAAAATCCCCTTCAGAAATAAACAAGAGCACCGACATAAAGCCATCCAGGGTCCTTCTCAGAGAAGGAGCTAGAGCTAATTGCTTCCTTTCTCTCTTCAATACAAGCGCTTACATCCATTACGCAAGCAAAACTGGTGCATTGAACGAACAGGATTATTAGTAGTGTATTTACAACTATTTTTTTTTTGAAGCGAGAAAAGAAGAACAAATGTATGTGTGCAAGTGTAGATGATAGATATGATAGCTGAAAATGGGTAAAATGAGCGGATGAAAGGACTAGGCTAAACGAAGTAGAGAACAACAAGGAAAAGACAGAGTTTATCTACGAGCGTGGCCATATTCGTCATATCCCTGATGCTGGTACCCGCCTCCAACATTCGAGGCCGCATACCCTGCATCCTGTGCACCATATCCACCACCAACCTGTGAACCGCCATATCCACCACCACCAACCTGGGAACCACCATATCCACCACCAACCTGGGACCCACCATAATCGTGCTGCCCAGCGCCATAAGCAGTGTTATCATACCCATGATCATACCCCTGCGAATGGTCATAGCCCTGATGGTCATAAACCGCCTGCTGTGGTCCATAAGCATCATGTCCGTATCCACCCTGTGCAGTTGTATCGTTGACATATGCGGCATCATAGTACTGGTCGTCTGAGGGGAGAGAAGCGTTGGCGTTGTAGGGCGATTTGGTGGGTGCTGGTTCTGCGGGTTGATCTCCTAGGTTGCGCAGGAAGACTGTGTCGGATTCGTAGGTCCGGGGGTAGTCCTGATAGTCGTCTCCTCCAATCTTTCTCTGGAAATCTCTCGACGGCTATTGTTTGTTTGTTTGTTTGTTTGTTTATTTGGAGGTACAGGTGAGGTAATGGGTGGAGGTTAGTTTTCAAGAACAAACAACAAGAACATGATTTCATGTAACCATGTACATCACAAAAAGACTTACAGAGAGCTTCCACTTCCTAAAGACCCAGATACCAATGGCAGCAGCAACGACAACAGAGCCAACAACAATACCAGCCGTCGCAAGGTTGGTACCCGTCGACGGCTTTTCACTAGCGGGCGTCGGCGAAGGAGTAGTGGTGGTAGTGGCAGTGGCAGAGCCAGTGGTCACAATACCACCAGTTCCTGCTCCAGCCCCCCTTGAAGTTGTTTGACCTTTGGATTGGGTAGGCACTACTGCATGTGATGACGAAGTGGGTTGGGCAGATGGGTTTACTGGATTATCAGTCGAGACGGGTGGGATCGTTGGGATGACGGGTTCGGTAGTCGCACTTGATGTTGTTGATGATGGTGCGTCTGTTGTGGGTGTTGGTGCTGCGGTGGTTGCAGGGGCAGAAGTTTCGCCGCCTGTAGTAGCGGCTGGATCTCCCGGGGCAGCGGGTGAGGCGGCGGCGGGCTGGGCGGCAGGCTCGGCAGCCATGGGGACGACGTCTCCCAACGTCTGTGCTGTCACCGATGTAGCTACGAGTGCCAATACCAAGAGGACCAGCGTCGACCTTTTCAGCAGCATGTTTTTTGGTTGTGCGTATATGTATGTATGTGTGTTGGTTGGTTGTTATCTGTGTATGGTTGTCAGGTAGGGTAGTAGGAGTTGAAAGAGGGAGTAAGATATGGGAGAGAGAGCGATGAGTTAAATAAGTGTGTGTGCGAGGGGAATGGAATGGTATATTAGAGTTGTAAGGAGAGTAGAGAGTGGAGAGAAAAGAGATGAGCGTATGAAAGGGAAGGGAAGAGAAAAGAAAGAAGAGAGAGAGACGAAACGAAACGAATGGATGCAGAATGTTATTAATATCCATTTTTTGATATTGGCTGAGACACACAGGAGAAATAAAAGAGAGTCGCTCAGGAACAAGGGGATAGAACGATTGAAAACGCCTCTTTGGAACGGCGAAAGAGGGGTGCCATATGATGTGCGATATGTTTCCAACCAGGGGGGTCATAAAGCAAAGCAGGGGTTGCAATAAGACAACAGTGTTCATTTTTCAACACTCCATCCATTGTTCCCTTTCTCTCTCTCTCTTTCTCGCTATGGTTCATATCGCATTGCTTTCATGCCAACCCAACTATATGCCTTGCAGTTGCATGTTGCAACGGCCATCTCCTGGATATAACAGCGATTGAACAACTGTACAGAGACAAAGCAAGCAGACAAGCAAGCAGGCGAACCCATCTCACTTGGTTAACGCCCATGTGTATCAAAGAGGTGTATGTGGCACATAGTACACACACATTAATCAATAATGTAGATAATATATGATAATGAACCATCCTCCCTATGTCCCTTCTCTTCCCTTCAGGCAGCCATGCCCTCAGAATGAATGGATGAATGAAATAAAGTCGACAATAAAAAAAGAACAACACAAAAAAGAAAGGGAGCCCAGAACGTCCGGCTTGTAAGATTGTCGGTCGGCGGTAAGAAAAAAAAATAACAATAACAGAAATAGCCGCATTGGCACCCCACCAGACAAACACCCGCTGTGGCCAACCCACGATATCCAACATTATCGGTTGTTGTTGATGTTGCGCACATCACCATCGTCGAAGAGAGGGCAGGTGTGAGCCCTTGCAGAAGGAAGAGAAGGGCACACAAGGTTTGCAGGATTATTTTTCCGTTGTGAAAAAAATAGTTCCGTTGAATGGTTGTTGTTTGCCAATGCTGAGAGGACTTGAATGAATGTGAGCAAGAGCTCAAAGTGTGTTCGTTTTTAGATCAGGGCGCATTGTCACACACACATGGCGTGCCAACTCTGTTTTTGATTGTGTTTCCACCGCTGTGCTCCATGGTTGACCCATGGGTGTGCATTCTAGATCTGTTTTGTTGGTCGTTGTTGTTGTTTGTGTGCCGGTCGCTGTATGTGGCAGGGAAGTGTGAAGAAGAAGGAGAGAGAAGTGTCTGTACCTGGAAAGGGGAAGGGACGGTGTGTTGAGGTGGTTATGACGGTCGGTGTGCCGAGTGTGCAAGAGAGAGAGAAGCAAAGTGGGGTGTTGATGGATGAAAGTACGAGGTTTGAAGAGTGGAAAGGAGGGCGAATGAATGAGAGTGGAATGAATGAAAGAGAAAATGAAAGTGTGCGAGAAAGAGAGTAAAGAAGGGAACAGAAAGGAGAGGAAAAGGCCAATAGAGGAGCACAAGCGAGACAATGCGTCGGCCTTTGTTTTCTCTCCATCTCTTCCCCGTATTCACTGCCCTCTTGCTGTCGCCCCCTGTGCGTGTACGCCGTTGATCCTATTCGTCCGTCAAGACAAGTCCCCGCCCAACCAGCCCTCAGGAACAACAACCCTGGTGCAAGTGGCATTGGGCAATTGGGGCAGGGGCGAACAATGAAGAAAAGTGGCCTGGGTCATCCACGTCTTTTATTCGCCCCTCCTTCGTCTGCCATTCCCTGAAGTGATCAAATGGAGGAAGTGATCAAGTCATCCATTGTACCTTATCCGTCTAAGATGTGTCTCTGTCGCTGATCTCACTTGTCTGTGATTGTGCCTTCTTCTCGATCGCACTCAGGCAGAGAAGAAGAAGCATTGCCTCCCCTCTTCCCCCCCTTCTACCAACAAACCCGCCTCATCACAAAGATAAACAATGGAAACAAGAGTAACATAACGCAATTGAACAATGCCAGAAGAGAACCAAAAGAGTCCAGGCAACATATTATCTTCCTCCACCCTTTCTTTCTTCCTTTCTTCCTTTCTTCCTTTTCTTCCTATCTTTCCTTCATAGCTCAAGTTCTCCCCCCCATGCCTATCAAAAGCAACAGCGATTACCTGGAAAAAGCAAAATATCAATGGTCATAAGCAAGGTATGGGTCACTCGTGGTCCTTTTATCTGACACTTTCAAGCTCCCCCCCTAATTCTCATCGTCTGTCCAAGTCATGGTCATGTCATTCTACTTCCACGTTCAAAAATTATTTGTATTTGAGAACGTGTGCTGTGTACTGAATCTGGGTGCTTTTGTTTGCCCACATGCACAAACACCATCTTTCTTCGTACACAGACGCCCATCTTGCCTTGGCTGACATCCAAGACCTAATCTAATTTTGGCCCAATGAACAATGGGATTTTAAGTGACCCTTTTCTTTTTTTCTTTTTCTTTTGCCGATCTAGGTGAGCGAATCAACATCTTCATGTCATTCTTACTGCTGTCTCCTTGAGTGCTTGGGCTTTGAACAGTGAGGGGAACAGACAGCGAGGAAGGGAGGTCCCTTTTATTTCGCACTAGCACCACATCCACAGAGCCGAGGAGGGGAGCAAAAAAAAAAAAACTCTGGCAGGGACACCCAGGTCAAGTAGAAAGGGGGAAGCGAGATATATCTGCCCCGTCCGCTTAAACCAAATGAAAATTAATTTCGCTCTTGCAAAATGAAATCTATCAAAAAAACGTAAAAGGCAGTGCGTCGAGACCTCTCTTTACCCCTGTTTTTGTCTCTCATTGCTGCAAATGTAATCATTTTCAACTGCAGAGGGGGATACGTCCATGCCTCCGCCCTTCCATCTTCTTACGCCCTCCCCTACTTTCTTCCCCTCCCCCCCATCTTCCATAAAAAAAACAACAACATTGCAACTCATCTCCGACGAGGCAAACAGCTCCGAGTGCATCAAAAACAAACTTATCGCCCAACAGTCAGTCCCCTTCCCCCTCCTGTTCCCTGTAGCCAACAAGAAAAACAATTGTCCCAAAACTCCAAAAAAAACAAAATGTTCATCTGTCCCACACAGCCCATCAGTCAATTGCAATTGCACTCCAAAGGCGAGTGAAAATGTCCCGATCAAAATAGCAAGACAAGCAAAGACCTACGACAAAAAACAACAAAAGACAAAGCAAAGTACCTTCCGCCTGACATAGATCTCCCTTCCCCTCTCTTCCAAAACAGTTCTCGCGCCTTCAGATTTTTTTTTGCGCGGCGCGCGGGGTGGGGGGGGACATTGTTCATCAATTGACAGCAAATTAAAGACCAACCCCTACTTACCCTCCAACCATGTTCAATTGCTCATATCATGGAGCATTGGGTCCTCGCTCGCTTAATTCGACTATTTTTGTGAATTCTTGTGCCAGTGTGCACCCAACACTCACATCCCGCAAATCAACCCTTGTTTCCCCTACCTGCAAGAAGAAAAAAGGTTCATGTATGTGTATGCAATTGATGTTGCTTTAATTCAGAGCCCCTGCACCACAAATGAAAGACTAAAATACAGAATGAAAGAAAACGAAACAAAGAAAAGAGAAATCACCACCAGGAAAAGTAGGGCAGGTTCTTGGTGACAGGTTCGATGCGCTCAACAAGGACAACACGCCGCTCGCGAAGCTCACGCTCTCGCTGTCGCTGCTTCCTCAACTTGCGCTCCCTCCTCGCCGCCTGACCAAGTCCGAACCCCTCAACCGCCAACAAATGCCCATCAAAACTGAGTCCTCGTCGGAGTCGGTCGGCCCATTTCGGCCTCTCACCCAACCCATCTTCTCCTTCTCTAGATCCAGAGACAGCTCCGTAGCCACGAGTAAAGAATCCTCGGCCACGCTCAGGTTCATCAACGGCTCCTTCTCTCGAGGACGATGTTGACTCTTGAGTTCCAACCTTGAACAGTCTCGTTCGTGCCGCCTCCAAAGTGTCAGTGTCGCCTGAAGGGGATGCCACGGCCTCGAATCGGATCGTGCCCGTCTTGTCGTCCTGCTCAGTCCGACTACGACGATGGTTTCTTGGACTGCTGGCCTGCGACGCACCCACAACAGCCGCAACGGTAGACTCGTCCATCGGATGAACCAACCCCTGTGAAGGTGGTCTCAGCGTTGCCTCTTGGGGCAATGGTTGTGCTGGTGTAGGAGCAGGCCGACGACGAGGAGACCTTCCACCTTCACTCTGATGACTCTGTCGACGACGATGGTTACTTGCTCCAGCTGGACCTTCTCCGGTCTCTGCCAGTGCCATATCGATCGAGACCATACCCTCTCGAGCCGTCCTCTGCGGATCCGTCAGTTGACTACTGCTGCTCCTACTACGACGGTGTGCCGCCGGTGCCCGAAGATCTCCCGTGCTCTCAGCAAGGTCATCCGAGAACCCATCATACTCCTCATCATACGAGAACGCATCCTCGTCATCATCCTCGTCGTCATCGTAGTCGTACTCATCCTCCAGATCGTACTCACCATCACTCACAACCTGTCGGAAACTGTTATGCTTGGGCAGCTGCAACGACGACGCATTCTCCTCGATTTCAACCACCACATGCGGGACATTCTTGGCCTTCAAGCTCTCCGGATCCAAGTACGACGACGCTACTCCTTCACCAACCGCTGTCGAAGAAGTCGAAAGAGTCTTGATGTTCGACAGTCGGTCCCCCACCGAGGACCTCATGCTGCCATAACTGAGGTAGCCAGACTTGGCATCCATGGTCATGGCCTTGGGTTGTGTAGTGGTATATTTGTGGCCATATCCCATGCTACCATATCCTGTAGTGCCTTCCTGTGGTTGCGATCCTGGAGCCTGACCGTTAGCCTGGATGGGAAGGCCAAGACTTGGGATCAATCCCAGCTGAGCAGGCGAGACACCGGGCTCTAAAGTGACCTCCTCATCCCAAACGACCAAAGCAACACGACGGCAGAGGTCCATAGGTCCTTGGTCCAGGTTCTTGAGTGTCTCGACAATGTTCCAGCCCTGGCCCTTCATGACCGCCATCTGCTTGTCAAACATGCCCTGGTCAAAGTCACTGTCAATGCTGAACAGTCTCCTCAGGTCTGCAATCGTCTCACGCCACCATACAGGGGAAGACAAGAGGGGCAAAAAGTGGTCCCGGGTGGCCTTGGTGAATGGCTGAGAGATCAGGGGGCGAGGCAGGAACAGCCATCCGTAAGGGTACGAGCGCCAAGAGTCGGGGTGCTTGAAGGGAAAGGCAAGACCATTGTCGATGGCTGCGACGTGGACATGATTGGCTCCGTAGTGAGCCTCCATGACCTCTGCAGGGGTCAACTTGGTGTCTTTGGTAGTGCTAGACGTTGCAGCTGCCTCTGTCTCCAAGGATGACCGCTTGGTAGGCGATCCAGAGCGCTGCTCCTGGCTCAACAATCCTGTGCGCTCAGTGGCATTGTCGTCGTCCTGCAAAAGCTCCATGCCAGAGACAGCCCGGGAGAGGTTGGACCGCGGTGGCGTTCCAGGAGGGGTGACCAGCATGCCGTTGCGACTTGATGATCCCTCACGCAAGGAAGAGTTGGAACGAACAGACCCCCGATCTGAGTACAGACCCAACAGATCGCCGACCCTAGAGTTCCGCCTTGCTGGCTCTTGTTGGATATGACTCCTCTGAGTACCAACAGGTGCTGTCACAATCGAAATCCCTTCTTTTTCGCAATACCGAATCATCCAATTGTCCAAACCTCGGTCTATTGTTGGTTGACAAACACTTTGTTAGGTCAATTCATACAATGGCGGTAACGCATTACATGTCCGACAATTGAGAGGGGAACATGAGCGTACCTGTGTTTCGGATGAGATAGTCGAGGATGATCATCTTTTCAAACTGTTCCCGGAACTGTTGTTGGAGGGCAGGTGTCCAGTTGAATCCAGGCCTATCAGGACCGTGTCCGTGTCCGCCCGCCGCACCGCCATTCAAACTGGCTCCATCCGCTTCTTGATGGCTATGAATGCTCTCAGGTGCAGAACGTCTCCATGTCTTTCCTTTGCCGTTAGCATCGCCAACAGGAGTCTCGAGGGGCCAAGGGTGGTCACGCATAAACAGGTTGGCATCCTTGAATCCGTTCAAAAACAGCTGGAAACTTCCGACCTTGTCAGGAAGGGGCTTCGCACCCTTTTGCAGCTGAGCAGCGCGACGGTCCAAGTAGTCATAGTGGAAAGCAGACGACGACAGCCACACCACCTCTGTACTTGGCACAATATTCAATTTGAGTCGACGGTCCACCAGCGAAGTAGCCGATTCTGAAATATATCCAAGATTAGGGATCAAGCTGAGAAGGGGGAATGCAAAAAAATGTTATTAGAGCTCTGCCTCCTCATTATTTGGATATTAACAACAGCCGTTTCCTTCTTGCAAAACTTACCAGCTACGCCCAAAACAGCAAGGAAAGAGGTTTCGATGGATCCACTTGGCCCACTTGGGATTGAGCTGACCGTAGGGCTCCTCGTTTTTGGGCTTGAAGACACCAACAATCTTGCCATCCAGGTTTCGACAAAAGTAAGATCCAGAGGATCCTTGTGCGATTCTCAAAGGCTGGATACCAGAATGAATAGCCTCCTTGACAGAGTCCACAATTGCCACAAAGCGGGTGCTGTTCATAGGCTCCGCATGATCCGGTGTCAACGCTGGTGCAGGTTCAACAAGCTGTTGAAGGAAAATCAAAGCAAAAGAGAGAAAAGTCAGCTACAACTATTTTCCGATGGTAGCGAAACGATATATCTACAAGTCTTCTTCCTCCTCCTTCTCACACTTTCCTCTTTTCCATTTGTTACCCTCTTCCTTATGCCGTCTCCTTCCCGTCTCCTTCACATACCATTATGCTTTCTACACCCTTCTTTCAGGATCCTTCTCTCTCTCCCCTCTTCATTCCTTCCCATTTCTCTCCTATCCCTACCTCCTCTCTCCCTTCTCTCTCCCTGCGTCTCCCCACCCCTGTATTTTGCCACATTGTTCCAAGGTGCAGCAGAAAGTAGTTATCAAACAGGGCATCCCGGATTTCCCGCATTCAGGTCCAGCAGCGGTAAAAAAACATTCCATGTCAAGGCATTACAAGTGGCCGCTGTAAGTAGGACTTACAATGTTTCTACGGAGACACAGCCCATAAACCCAGAAAAATCTTTTTCCCTTTTCTCCATTTCCCGGTGTATGTATGCCTCCTTGATACCCATCCCCCTTCCTCTCATCGCATCATTGACCGTGTCCATGTGTCCTCTCCATATTCTTGTTTCCTTTTTCATTGTGTGTTTGCGTGTCCTTTCCCTGATCCTGTGTCAAATCACTCCTGTACTTCCCCTTTAAAATACCGTACGCAATACACAAACAAGCGAAGAACAAAGAAACGGATCACTCCTTAGAGGATGAATGTTTACCTTGCCGCCATCGACAGATGTCTCGACGGGTTTAAACACCGAGGATTGGATCACCCGCTGATCGTTCTCTCGGCCCAGTCCAGAACCCGAAGCGCGCCTCTGTCGTCGGCTGCCACCCAATCGTGGTCGGCTCCAACGAGAGGGAGTTGCATTGGCCTTGCCACCAACACCAAAACCAAGACCCAACCCATCGCCCGATCCTAGCAAGGTGCCCCTCTCGCCTTGATTACTGTTACTGCCAGTAGTGCCACTTCCAGAGCCTGTATTGCTGTCAGGACCCTGCAGGTGAGCACCAGAGACAACAGGACTAGTTGGCAATCCTGTTCCATCTCCGATGATTGGCTGGCTGTTGGTAATGGCATCGACGGTCGCCCCGCTCCTGGCCTGTTCGCGCAAGAGCTCCTCGGGCAGGTTGTGAAGATCGGGCCGAATCTCCCGCAGGACCTGTCGTCGCTGGGACTTTCGAATCCCCCGTGGGCCATCCTCGGTTGTGTATGGGTGTTGTTTGGGTCGGATGTGAAGCAGATCGGATGTCGATCCGGTCAGGTTCGGGTTGTTTTCCTTATTGTTGCCAAGAGGACCGGTTGCAAGTAACTTTGACCCGACGAGCCGTGCATATGTTGCATCCAGTGCACTACTGCTGTTGCTGCTTTCACTTTGGGAGTAGGTGGGGGCTGAGGTGGTCGAGGTGAGCCGATCCTTGAGTCCGAGAAGTGTCTTGTTCTTGGCAGCACCGAACCGCGGGAACTGGAAGGCAGGCAGAGGCGAAGACGAGGACGAAGCATCGGCTGCTGCAGAGGATGTTGCATCCGCGGTTGTTGTTGTTGGCGCAGCTGGTGCAGATGCGATCGACTGTGCCGCCGGTCTCAGCCCAGTTGTGGTTGTTGTCGTTATAGTTGTTGTAGTTGTGGTGTTGTTGCCGTTGTTTGTTGTGTTTGTGGTTGTTGTGGAACTTGACTTCTTGGCGCCTTCCAACGTAGACGTGTCACTTTCAACAAAGGGGCGACCGGGGTATGTGTAGCTTTCCATGGTGCGAGGACCAGGTGGCGTCGTTATGACGGAAGACGCCTTTGCTTCAGTAGTTGGAACAAGGGTAGAAGAGTCCTGTTGGCTCATTGTGACGGTGACATGACTGTGAGGGAGTTGCTGCTGCTGCTGGTCTGGTCTGTGCAATGAGTTGTTGTTGTTCGTGTTACTGTCGTTGTTGTCTTCGTGATCAGCAGCAGCAGAGGTGTCTTCTTGACTTAGAGGCAGGTAACCATGGTTGTTTGACATTGGTTGAGCGGAATGAGGGTGGGAATGAATGAAAGTTTGAGAAAGAGAGGTGGCAAAAGAAGTGAATGGGGCAACAAGAAGAAACAGGAAAGGAAAAAAGTCTTGGAATAAGAAAGAGAGCTAAAGAGGAGGAGGAGGAAGATATGAAACAAGTGAAGAGTGCAACGACACGGCAGTGCAACGGGGAAGGAAGGGGAGGCTGGTGTTGAAGGAGGAGTAGTGAAGGAAGAAGGAGGAGGAAGGAGCAGGAGGTGGAGAGGAAAACTAAAGAAAGGAACAGAGAATGGGAGAAAAGCAACTTGAGAAAGAAAAGGGGGTCTATGCAGTGTGGACGAATGTGGTGCAAAAGGGGGGGGCGAAGAGGAAGGCGCAGAAAGACGATAGCTTTTGCTTGGCATGTATCTTCCTTCACGCTCACTTTCTCAATCTGCTACTGATTCTACTTCATTCGCCAAGAGTGCCAGACATACAGCTCCAACGAGACTCCGGCCAGGCACCAGCCAGTCACAGCCAGCCAGTCAATCCCACAAGTCGATTTGTTGTGGGGTTACCCAGTAGTCACCATCATCATTACTAGCACATCGCAATCTAGTTGGTTCCCTCTTCCCTTCCTTCTTCCTTCCTCAGTCTTGTTTCTGGCGTTTGATAATTTACCACATCCATTGCCAGTAAAAGCATGCCCATCGCCACATGACCCCCCTACAACCCCTACTTAAATTTGCAGCTGGGACCTCGTGGTCCCCTCTTTGAGCAACTTCAGTACATCGTCATCCCGATGTCCCTCTATTACGTGGCACTCTCACCCCAACAAAAATTCGCTCCTCCGCGGTGTCCATTTTTGCCTCCCCTTTCTTTTTACTTTGGACAACATGAAGGCATGCAAATCGAAAATCAACAAAGAATAGGAGCATCATCCTTTCTTCTGTCATGCTCCCTCTTTTTATTTCTCTTCTCTCTTGCTAAGTTCCTTTTGTCTTCGCCACCTCTTCTCACCCCATCTTTTGTTCTTACCACACTCCTCCCATCTCTCCGTCATTTTCATTGCGCCCTCGGTCGGATCCACATGATGCATAGACACCACGGGCACGAATTATTTACAGGAAAGTAACATTGAGAGCATTAAGAAATAAATGGTGATTATGCTTTGCCTTCAAAGGGACAATTCGTTCTAGTCTGCGGTAGAGGGGCAGAAAGGTTTAAACTAGAAAGGGTTGACATTTGCAACAGTTTTGGAGGATATCAAGTAAAGCTAGGGGGCGAGGGACAGTGGAGCAGGGATAACAACAGACAAGTGCAGTGAATGATGATTTATGGTACAATGAAGATAGTAATATTATACAAGTGCCTTTGGTGCACGCGTTCTGTGCTATATAACTTCTAGTGTTCTTTTACTTTTTTTGTCATGAACAATTGCCTACTGGAAATCGCCTCTTGCCTTCCAGGCTTATGCTCCAGTAGTATTGCGAGGTCGTCCTATTGAGGTTGATCAGTCAAAATTCTTATATATCTACCTTCTTAATGCCTCTTATCTTAGCAAACAGACAAGGTTTGAATGGTCCCAAGCAATGAGGGCAATATGTCCATCGAGCTCGGGATCACGAATGCTCCCACACATTCCAAGAGAAACATTCCTCGCGCCTTGATCGTCAACCTCATGTAGATACCCTTGATATGAACGATTGGTATCAACGGTGCGAAGGGATTGTCAACCAGGAGAGATTTGCCAAATCGTGCAAGCCGATAGAAGTCCCAAGCATTTTTGGCGCGCTAAGTCTCCTGGCAAGATCCCGTTACTTCTCCGAGGAGAAGTTCCCGTCCATCAATCTTCGCGATGTTGTCTGGCCTGTCCGGGCGCATGCCTTGCTCTTTTTGAGTCACACACACACACACAGTGTTGGAACTTTGTAGACAGTAACTATTAAATGTTAGAGATGTAGCAACAATGGATGCTAACTTAATTTCACGAGGCAAGTGCAAGCGGGATTGTATACGTACAAGTGGATGGAGACCTTCTCGTTTGCCCCCCATATTCCTAGGAGTATTGGCGCAATGTGCGTCGCTACAAAGGTTTCCTCTGCGATCCGGCTTTCCTTGTCAAGGAACAAGTGCTCGATCCTATTTAAAGACAAAACAGAATGCAGTTGAGTTCGGGTTCAAGAGCTGCATTTCATTTAAATGAACGGGTCAACAGCTTACAATGCCTCAAACACCACGCTTATCTTCCGGCCCCTGATGTCCTCCAGCGCCTCCAAGGCCTCATCCCGCCGATCATTCACCCGGAGCTAAAACTCTAAGAACAAGTTAGTCTAACGTATAAACGAGGCAGGCAAATTCAGAAATCCGTTATACAGCAAGTCTTCAACTTGGAGTCTGACAATTGGCGCGACATTCTCCAACCTAGACTCCCAAAACAGATCGCATTGTGTCCGTTAGTGCATGTGGCGCAAATACACCGAATGTCGCACTACGATGGTAGAAGACATTGAGTGTCAAGGGATGTCAAATTAAAGCAGTGGCCAAAGGAAAGCAATAGAGGTACTTACATTGCGTCTGCCGCATCAACTTTTTTTGATTTCTTTCGCGAACAACGCCTCGATCGACATATTTTGGTATTCTTGAAAGAGGCAAGACATGCATTTTTCTTCCACAATCCACTATAAAACCAGATCATTAGCGCTCATTACTATACGCCTCGTCAACTTCAGTTGGACAGACAGCATTGTTGTAGCAGAACACTTACGTCGCATACGTTGTGTCTTGAGTGCATAACACTTGCGAGAAGATCATGTTGATTGCGTTTTGATCTTCGGAATAATATAGAGCAGGGTGAGATCAGTACGAGCTACATAAGCCCAGAGCCGAAGGATATTGTTCATGGTCGTTAAATGGCAGTCGCGAATGGAGGCCATGGCATGAACTTGAAGCAAGCAGTGCCTTCAGATTCGAGTGTGTCGCGGGCTCTTCCCTTTGAGACTCCACTATCGATTGTAGAATAGTTAAGTTTCTAAAATCAAGACACTCAGTCATTATTGCCAAAAGGCGCCAAAAGCAATACCCTCTCCGTCAATCGGTCGGATCAAATTGGAGAACACCTCGGGTAGATTGGTTTCCGACGTTGATGGCACTCCCCGGCTCTTACTGCCCGCACGAATGTCTTTAGAAGAGTCCGCTTGTGCGAGTGACGGTACGTCACATTTCATGCTCCATGAGAAAGTGGGCAATTAGTAATATTCAAAACAGATATCTCAGATCCTAGTAGACATACAAAAAGGCACTGTGCAATGGAAAGCACATGGCATACCCAATTCTTCTTGGAGCATCCGCCTCATTGTGTCGTTAACTGATGCGTCAGCCAAAGCCTGTTACTGTGACAGATGGGAGCTTGGCAGACCGTTTCCTTTTCTGAAGGGCCCAGTGCATGTCGTCCATGTGCTTGTGGGCGTTGTTGTCCCACTTTTGTTGCAGCTCCTTGCCCTCTCGATGAAGTCCTTGGTGCTTGCACTGAAGAAGGCGATCAATGGTGTCTTTCCAGTCACCGTGTGCTTGCCGCTTCACGAATCCATCATCTTTCAATAGCGGCGATACGTGTGCAGGGTTTAATATACTCCTCTGTGGGAAGCTCAGCTCTTCAATAGGCATCCATATTGCTTGAAGGATTGTCCTGAACGTAAGACATGAGTGGTGATGGTAGGTGGCGTCTAACTGACATAGCACAAAAAGAAAGCAGACATAGTGTATTAACCAGTGTAACTCATAGAGGAGAAGGAATACAAATGAAGAGTGAGCTCAAGGTCAAGAAGGCTCTTCCAGAGCGTTGATGAGTACTTCTAGGACCCCAAGCAGGCGGCCACGATTAGACTCTAGCATAGCGAGTCCTCAAAGTGGTGTTGAGCTGTTTGAAACCAGCTCAGCGTGCGTGGATGGAGCGCAACGGCCAGCCCTCGGTAATAGTAAGTCCGGGATGGTAGGATTGAGCTTCAGCATGGTTCAAGAAGGCTCTGCTCGAGCGTTAATGAATCTCCTGGGGTCACAAGCAGGCTACCACTATCGGACTCTCGCATGACGAATCCTCAAGAGGTGTTGGATGTTTAACATCCAACGCGCGTGGATGGAACAATGTAGGAGAGGTAGTCAACCCATGCACCCCGACTAGGAAGTATAATAGATGATAGTAATTGAATCTTGGATCCTGTCTCGAGTTTGGATGGCAAAGAGAAGCTGGAGTGAAGGTGAACTTGGAGCGAAGGGCAGAAGTAAGCTGCACTCCTAAGCAAGGGAGACAGTGCAGAAGTATCGTATACTTTATTTCCTTCCTATGTAGGAAATAATGGACAAATTGCTACGGAGCAACGAAATTGTCCATTCGAGGCATAGTGAAATACTGGCGTCGCGTGCTTTACTCCATTTTAAAACATGGCTGACAAAAGAACACCATATGCTTTGACGCCAACCTACAAAGAAAGAAGCGGAAGAAGGAATACAGGGTTTACTTGGCACTTGGGGTCAAAAAGTACATAGGGCACGCCACCTTTTATGGATGACTATAGCAGTGAAAAAGGGGTAAAGTCGAATTTAATGCCCAAGAAGTAGAGATATCAATTCACAAGCGATATTGAGCTGGACTCTGGTGTTACGTTATTGAACTTCTCCGAAGGTCATGGCTTCAAAGGTCGACGTCCAGTTCGTATCCACCCGTAGGCAGGAGTTGCCGTTGATTAGAAGTAAGGAGGTACATTCTGTTGGCTTACCAGGAGCGAAGGATTCACATTGGTTAATAGGGTGGTACAAACGCCCAATTGCCTTTGAATAAAAAAATGGACCGAAAGCATGCACCCTAGACCTTTCATTGACCCACACGGCCTAGATCATGCCTATTATCGTTGCAGTCCCCAGCCACTAGACCAGAGGAAAATTGGCGAAGGTCTTAACGATGCTTCTCACCGACCATCTTCAACATCATCTCTTCCCTCATCAACTTCTTGTTGAACATCCTTGCAGGCCGCCATAATCTCGCTTCCTTCTTACATTCCATTGCATCACCATTAAGCACCCAACTACAGGTAAATGGCAAAGGACAACAACAAAAACAGGGAATGCTATTTCTATATCTACTCTCTCTTCCAAGGGCCACATTTAACGCCGTTAGTAACTACCTAGGTTCAATTGCGCCTTGCCTAGTCGTCTATCCCTTCAAGGCTCGGCATTCACCTCATCGAATCAAGCAACTCAACATCCCCCCCCCCCCCCCCGAGGTGAGTAACGATCTCAATGCTCGAGAGTAATTAATTTGACGATGATTACCATCGACAATGTTACCTAACCCAATGCGTCTTTCTTGTTTGTCCCCTATAGCTCGATCATGTCCTCCTCGTCGCCACAGGGCAACCCACCACCTCCACACCCCGATTTTTCCAACTCCTCTATCGAACGCTTACCATTGAGTAATGATGGCAAGCGCAACCTCTCTCCACTCGAGCGCCAGACCAAGTTTGGACGCAGAACGTCAACGACAGGGGACATTTCTGCTGCTGTGCACGAAGTGTCATCCAGTGGCGTCATGTATCCAGAACCATCTACTTTGAGCATCCCCTCATCACCTGTTGTCTCTTCTCCGCCGCCTAACTATGTCCAGGTGATCCCAACGATCGAACAGGCTCTCTTTACCCTGAGGGCGCATAGGCTTGCCGAATACCAAGAGGATGTCTACATCGCCCCTTTGGCCAAACACAATCCCCAAGCAGCTGATGCTAATGTCTTTCCTTTGATGGATAAGGTTGGAGAGTTTCTGGCTGGCAACAGCCGCGTCATGCTGATCCTTGGCGATTCTGGGGCTGGCAAGTCGACCTTCAACAAGCACCTTGAGCATCGACTTTGGACAGAGTACAAGCGCGGCAGGCCTATTCCGCTCTTCATCAACCTCCCAGCCCTTCAGAATCCGCTCAAGGATCTGATGGGTGAGCAATTAAGGGAGCACCACCTTTCGGAGGAACAGATCCAGGAACTGAAGCAACATCGGCAGTTCATTGTCATCTGCGATGGATACGATGAGAGTCAGCTCACCATCAACATTCACAACTCCAACAACCTCAACATCCCTGGACAATGGAATGTCAAGCTTGTCATCAGTTGCAGGAGCCAGTACCTTGGCCAAGACTACCATGATCGGTTTGAGCCCAGTGGAGGCGGTCACTACAACCGCCCTGCCGTCCATCTGTTCCAAGAAGCCGTGATCGCCCCTTTTTCGACAGAGCAGATCAAAGGCTATGTCGAGCAATATGTTCCCCTCGAGCCAAGGACCTGGCGCACGGAGGACTACATGGACAAACTCACGACCATTCCAAACCTCATGGACCTAGTCAAGAATCCGTTCCTGCTCTCAATAGCACTGGAAGCACTGCCTGGCGTCATCGAGGGAAAGCAGGTTCTGTCGACTATCAATATCACTCGCGCTCAGCTCTACGACACATTTGTGGAGCACTGGTGCAATGTCAACAAACGACGACTTCAGAGCAACACGTTGTTAATGGCAGATCGCATTGTATTCAACGAACTTCTGGACATGGGATTTGTTTCCAAGAGTATTGACTATTCCACGAGGCTGGCGTTGGCGATCTTTGAGCAACAGGACGGGAACCCGATTGTCCAGTATGTTCACGACAAGAACTCTTGGAAAGCGCAGTTCTTTGGACAAGATGCAGAAGTCCGACTCCTACGAGATTCGAGCCCTTTGAGCCGCACCGGGAACCTGCACCGCTTCCTTCATCGGTCCATGCTTGAGTATTTTTTCTCGCGTGCTATCTTTGATCCAAGCAGTCATGGCGGCGACGATGAATCGACCTTCCAGACGAATCCTCTCTCGCCTGACGACCAGTTGGTCAACACCGACGGCCCTTTGTTCACGAGGGACCTTCTCACTGAGCCCTCTGTCATCCAGTTCTTGAGTGATCGCGTGAAGCAGAGTGCCAAGTTCAAACAGTATTTCTTAGAAGTCGTCGAGTTGTCCAAATCGAACGCCCAGGCGAGCCAAGCTGCGGCTAATGCCATTACGATCCTGGTCCTAGCCGGTGTGCAATTTCATGGAGCTGATCTTCGAGGCATTCGCATTCCAGGAGCGGATCTTACCTGTGGGCGGTTTGACTCTGCACGTCTACAGGATGCCGACTTGACGGGTGTGAATCTCTCCAAGGCATGGATTCGACAGGCCGATCTCAGCCGGGCATGCATGGGTGGGTCTCGATTTGGAGAGCTACCGTACTTGGAGGAGTCGGAGAAGGTCTCGTCATGCGCCTTTTCTCCGGACGGCAAGTTTCTCGCGGCAGGTCTATGGGACGGTAACATCAGCATCTATGACACTGTAACCTGGATATGGATTCAAATGTTTCAAGGGCACCAGCAAGCCGTTACAAGTCTGGCTTACTCGCCGAACAGCCAACAACTTCTCTCTGGCAGCTACGACGAAACAGCGCGCCTTTGGAACAGCGAATCTGGATCAACCGATTTCATTTTAGAGGGACACTCAGGCATGATGGAGACTGTGGCGTTCTCTCCAACAGGCCAGCAGTTCGCAACGATCAATGACGACGGCTCGGCCGTACTCTGGGACGCTCGGACCGGTGCTTCCGTTCTCGTTTTGACCGACAGCGCTGCCCTCTTTACCAGAATAGCCTATTCGCCAGACGGAAACACCATTGCCACCGGGGGGGATAAGATAATTCGAATATTCGACACACAGACCGGATTGCTTGTGTTGGAGATTTCCGACGGCGACGATAGGATTATGTGTCTGACATATTCACTCGATGGCCAACGTATCGCTACAGGCTCTTATGGTGGCCGATTGCAACTGTGGAAGGCAACAGCGACCACCCTGGAGCCCGGACGGGAATGGGCGGCACACTCGGATAACGTAACAACCATTGCCTTTTCACCCGACGACCGATGGATCGCCTCATCTAGTAGTGACCGTACAGTGAAACTGTGGGACTCTCGTTCCGGCCTACTTGTCTCGTCATTTATAAACCATGTGGGCAATGTCAATTGCGTTCGGTTTTCACCAAGTGGCCAATATATCGCATCGGCAAGTGGCGACAATACTCTGCAGCTGTGGGAGGTGAACTCTTCAAGTCTAGGACTCGACTATTACGACTTACCAGACGAACAGATATGTGCGGCATACTCTCCGGACGGACGGCAGCTTATCACTGGCAGTCGACACGCACCCCTGCGACAATTCAGCGCGGATTCGGGATACATCGACTTTGTTTTTCCTGATCACCTGTACCACGTAAATTGCATTGCATTCTCCTCGGACGGTCTTCAGATAGCCATCAGTAGGGCTGAGGAGTTGGAAGTGATTATATGGAGCGTTGAATCCCGCGCTGCTTCCTTTGTCCTTAGTGGGCACCAGTCTGCCGTGGAGTCTGTTGCCTTCTCACCTTGCGGTCGCTGGCTTGCCTCCGGAAGTAGCAAGAAGATAGTGCGGGTTTGGGATACTCGTTCAGGAGCAGCCGGTCGTGTTCTGAATGGCCATAAGGAAGATGTACAGAGCGTTGCATTTTCTCCGGATGGTGGTTGGATTGCATCGGTTGGCGGGAGAATGGTCCAACTCTGGGAGGCAGGCACAGGCGAGCTCAAGGCAAGTAGGGAGATTGATATCCGTTTCGATTTGTGCAATAGGAGTTATGTCGCTTATAAGCCCGGCTGTCTCCAGGTGGCTTCCTGCCAAGGAGATGGAATCATTCGATTGTGGGAGGATGATCAAAAACTCCAAGGTTTCCGATATATCTTGAAGCAGAACCGGTTCATAAACCGATTTGCATTCTCATCCTGCGGCCAGTGGATAGCAACAACCCACCTCACCAGTGTTCGACTCTGGAGACTGCCATCCCCGGATCAGGATCAGGAGGCGCTACCGTTGCAGGATCAAGACTGTGCGTCGGTTATTGAGGGGTTCACAGGAGATGTCTGGGACGTTGTTTGGAGACCCAACAAGTTGGAGTTTGCGACGGCAGGTGAGGAAGGATCGATTCGGGCTTGGCGGGTGGTGGAGGACAAGGATGGGTCAGGAAGAGTGTCTATTCGTCTGTTGTGGTCTTCTGGACCTGCTGTGCTCACCGCATCGGGTGCCGTGCTTAATGATACCATCGGTCTTAGTACCACCAATCACAAGCTACTCCAACAGCGCGGTGCTACTGGATCTTCCGACAGCTAGAGTCACTCAGCAAGTTGCGTCATCTCGTAGTCCTCCCCTGATTTTCTTTTCAATAAGCAACAGGAAGGTGCCTTTTTGGATGCGATTGTAATATGCTTGTCCGCATACGTTTTAGAATCTCCATGAACAGAGAAATACACAGGTTGGAAGAGACCCTGATGAAGTGAGAACTTGAATTTTCTATCTCGTCTTGTACAAAACCTTTTTCCAGATCACAACCGTTCTTTTCACGTAGCATCAGTTGCAACCCCATGGCCTTCATCAGTTCACTGACGGTACCAGATCAGTGACCGTTGGGCGAAGTAGTAAGAAAAATCGGACAACCAACCTGTCTCCATCACGGCTCCACCCATTCATAAAATTGTGGCTGTTCTATTCCCTTTCATTCTGTCTTCCGTTTGTTTAATGGTGCATGGTTTACCTTTGATTGTTTTTTTCTTTTCGTGTAACAACGTAACAGGCGATGGGATGGTGAAAGGCAATAGGGTAAAACGATTGACGTCTCCGATAGCTTGTTTTCCCTCCTAACCTCGTCACTCACACAGTTCCATCATCATCATCCCACACATCAACACCCTCATCCAATACCTTCTCTCTTTTCATTCGTTGTTCTCTGTCACTAGGCAGCTCACTTGCCCAGAATCAACTCTTGCATCAACAGACACCTTGATCTTGATCAAACGTAAGACCACTCGAGCCATCACAACACAGCAACTTAATCAGCAACACTAGCGACAAGCATAAGGCTCGAGTGTTCATGTCCTAAGGCGTGCCATTGTCAACACTCATCCATAGCATGAACAGTCATCCTTGGACAAGCTTCCTTCATACACAAGCAGCAAACTCTAAAGACTCTGTTGTGTTTAGCAAAGTACGCCAAAACTAGTAAGTGGCTGGGAACTGTGCTAACCTCACCTCCCAATTCACATAGACAACCCGCCACCTTCAAAAATACTGCCGAGCACACATAACCAAAAAAGAGAAGAAAAGACACGCGACAGCACCTTCTTGTCCAAGAGTAAGCCATATGTTCCTGGATAAGGTGTGCTTGTACGATCTTATCTATTGTAACCAATATCAAGAGATACGGCTATTGACATTTTTGCAACCCTTGTTTCCTGTGTTAGTCCCCTGCTACCTCACCTCTGACATTCATTGAGTGCCACAATACTCTTGTATTCGCCAGTTGTAAAAGATATCTCAACCAGTATAAGGTAAGAGCGCATGGGACCTTATACTACTCGCCTTCAATTTGATCCGCACTTTCACAAATCATGTGTGTTCCGTTGTTGACACCAAACAGCTTCGCCATTTTATTAGGCCACTCACCGCAATGAACAACCACCCTCTCGACCAACTGGATGCTAATGTCCCTGACAAAGACATCTCCAACACCGCTCCACCTCCTCTCAGGAAGCGCGATAAGGTTCTCAAGTTCTTTGGCATCCCCAAATCCTCGGCCAAGGTCAAGGTCAAGTCTTCGACTCAGTCGTTGGACTCTCAGGATCCCTCCCAGCAGTCAACCCAATCATTTGGTGCCTCTCAGGTCGACGACAATGAGGACAACCCTTTGCCGCAGCTGCCGGCTGAGAACTTTCTCCGCTCAGTCATCTTCCCAGAGAATATCGCCAAACCCGCGGTCAAGACTGCACTGCCAGGCCTCCAGAATCGCATTGAAAGGACTGAGCAATTGCTCTATCGCAATATGCTTCTTCGCCAGGATTCAGTCATCTCTTCTCCATTAAGTTCGGGAGAAGAGAAAACGACTGATGATCTCGCCGACGCTCCCCAGGAGCCCACCCTTGACAAGGCTGAACAAAAGTGGCTGACAAAGGTCAAGGAGGACCCAGTGGCGCAAGATCGTATGCAATGGCTCGTTACCAAGATGGTCGAGGCATTCATCGCGGACGCCACCAAGGACTCGACTAAAGTTGCTGAGATTGTCGCTCTTGGACCTGTTCTGCAGGAGGAGCCCTACCGCAAGTTGCTGTCATCGTTCATCCGTGACTTTGGCGATTCTCGCATTCTGGACGTCAGTCTGCTCCAAGGTCTTGTCCAGCTGGTCCAATCTGCCTCGCCTGGGTTTCTCGTTTCTGATGACTTGGTCAAAGTCCTCAGCCTCCTCAGGACCCATTTGGAGGACACGCACCAGCACTCATCTGAGCACCTTTGCCACCTCACACTGGCTGTCTCCAGGATCCTCGATGTCATGGCTGATCACAAGGTCCAGGACTTGAACCGAGTCGTGGAGCACGAGCCATTGTCCGCCATTCTGTCAGGACTGAGGGAAAGCTCTGATCCCTATTTGATGTATCAGGCTTGCTACGCCTTCCAAGCGCTTCAGTATGTGCCTGATGATGAGACTGTTCTGCAGGCAGTATTGAGGCACTCGACCGGAGTTGTGGATGGCTTGGTCAAGGTCACAAGTGTCCTCAAGTTGGATTTGGGGTCGGTTCTAGAAGGACTGGAGAAGTTGCAGGAGGTGGCGGTCAGTGCGATTGGAATCGCCTCTACTGTTTATGAGGGCGTGGGATCGTTGCGTGAAAGCGGTCGAGGGGTTTTGGAAAGTCTGAAGGAAGGTCTTGGATCTGGTCAGAAGAAGCCATGGTATCCTGCCGTCCGTGCTGCGCATGCCTTCGTCCAAGCCGGCCAGTTGAAGGATCTGAAGCAGCTGATCTACGAGGCACCCTGTCGCCAGGATCCCCTGTTCCAGTGGGGTATTTGCCAGCTGCTGGGTGCGATTGCAGTCGACACTGTATGGGCTATTGCCATACGCCAGCAAGCCATTGACCTTCTTGGTTATCTCTACAAGGAGGATCAGGAATGGGGCCATGATGAGAGCGTCAAGACATGGATGGTGACTATCTTCGGTACATTGGTATCCACCCCTAACGAAGCCGTCAACAAACGTGCCGTTGCCTTGTTCCAGAAACTTGACTCCAATAACACTCCCAAGACTCAGCACCCTTACCCATTGAGATCCCACCTCCCGATCCCTGACTCGTCTCCGATCCTCGCCAAGGTCCAGAAGATCCCTTACATGGAGTACGAACTCTACAAGCTCCAAATGCAGCGACTCGACGATGCCAAACTGTCCATCTACATCTCTCCTATGGCCAAGGCCAACCTTCAAGCTCAGGACAACGAGGCGTTCCCACTCATGGAAAAGATGCAGGAATTCCTGGCCAGTGACCGGCAGGTCATGTTGATTCTGGGAGACTCTGGAGCTGGCAAGTCGACTTTCAACAAGCATCTCGAGCATCGACTTTGGACAGAGTACAAGCGCGGCGGGCCTATTCCGCTCTTCATCAACCTCCCAGCCCTTCAGAATCCGCTCAAGGATCTGATGGGTGAGCAATTGAGGGAGCACAACTTTTCGGAGGAGCAGATCCAGGAACTGAAGCAACATCGACAGTTCATTGTCATCTGCGATGGATACGACGAGAGCCAGCTCACTGTCAACATTCACAACTCCAACAACCTCAACACTTCTGGACAATGGAATGTCAAGCTTGTTATCAGTTGCAGGAGCCAGTACCTTGGCCGAGACTACCGCGACCGGTTTGTACCCAATGGAGGTGGCCATTACAACCGCCCTAGCGTCGATCTGTTCCAAGAGGCCGTGATCGCCCCTTTTTCGACAGAGCAGATCAAGGACTATGTCGAGCAATATGTTCCCCTCGAGCCAAGGTCCTGGCGCGCGGAGGACTACATAGACAAGCTGACGACCATTCCAAACCTCATGGACCTAGTCAAGAATCCGTTCCTGCTCTCACTCGCGTTGGAGGCACTGCCAGGCGTCGTTGAAGGCAAGCAGGATCTGTCGACTATCAAGATCACCCGTGCTCAGCTCTACGACACATTTGTGGAGCACTGGAGCAATGTCAATAAGCGCCGACTTCAGAGCAACACCTTGTCCACTGCAGATCGTGACGTCTTTGAAGACCTTAAGGAGGCGGGGTTTACTTCGACAAGCATTGACTACTCTACACGACTAGCGCTGGCGATCTTTGAGCAGCAGGATGGGAATCCGATTGTCCAGTATGTCCACCACAAGGATAAGGATACGTGGAGAGCCGAGTTCTTTGGAAAGGACCCGGAGGCCCGACTCCTACAAGATTCGAGCCCTTTGGCCCGCACCGGCAACTTGCACCGCTTCCTTCATCGATCCATGCTTGAGTATTTTTTCTCGCGTGCTATCTTTGATCCAAGCAATCATGGCGGCGACGATGAATCGACCCTCCAGATGAATCCTATCTCGTCTGACGACCAGTTAATCGACACCAACGGCCCTTTGTTCACGAGGAACCTTCTCACTGAGCCCTCTGTGATCCAGTTTTTGAGCGATCGCGTGAAACAGAGTACCATGTTCAAGCAGTATTTCCTAGCAGTCGTCGAGTTATCCAAGTCAAACGACCAGGCGAGCCAAGCTGCGGCTAACGCCATTACTATCCTGGTCCGAGCTGGTGTGCAATTTCATGGAGCTGATCTTCGAGGCATTCGCATTCCAAGAGCGGATCTTACCGGTGGGCAGTTTGACTCTGCACAACTACAGGATGCCGACTTGACAGGTGTCAATCTCTCCAAGGCATGGATTCGACAAGCGGATCTCAGCCGTGCAGTCATGGATGGAACTCGGTTTGGAGAGTTGCCGTACTTGGAGGGGTCGGAGGAGGTCTGGTCATGCGCCTTTTCGCCAGACGGCAAGTTTCTCGCGGCAGGTCTGGGGAACGGCAACATCAGCATCTACGACACTGCAACCTGGACAAGGATTCAAGTATTTCAAGGGCACCAAGAACGCGTTACAAGTCTGGCTTATTCACCGAACAGTCAACAACTTCTTTACGGCAGCTGGGACAATACAGCACGGCTTTGGAACAGCTTAACTGGATCAACCGATTTCATTTTGGAGGGACACGCAGGCGTGGTGGGGGCTGTGGCGTTCTCACCAACGGGCCAGCAGGTCGCATCGGCTAGTTATGACGAATCGGTACGACTCTGGGATGCTCGGACCGGTGCTGCTGTTTTCGTCTTGACCGACGACACCCGCATGGCTAACGGCATTGCCTATTCACCGGACGGAAACACCATTGCCACCGGCGGGGATAAGATGATCCGAATATTCGATGCACTCACCGGATTGCTTGTTTTGGAGGTTCCCAACGGCGACGATTCAATTATGTGTCTGACATATTCACTTGATGGCCAACGTATCGCTACAGGCTCTTATCCCGGCCGATTGCAACTGTGGGAGGCAACAGCGACCCCTCTGGAGCCTGGACGGAAATGGACGGCACACTCGAATGGAGTATCAAGCATCGCCTTTTCACCCGACGACCGATGGATCGCCTCATGCAATATAGACCGTACAGTGAAGCTGTGGGAATCTCGTTCCGGCCTGCTTGTCTCGTCATTCATAAACCATGTGAAATGGGTCAACTGCGTTCGATTTTCACCAAGTGGCACGTATATCGCCTCAGCAAGTGACGACAAGACTCTGCGGCTGTGGGAGGTGAACTCTTCAAGCCTAGGACTCGACTCTTACGACTTCCCAGGCCCACAGCTATGCGCGACATACTCTCCGGACGGACGGCAGCTCATCACTAGCAGTGAACGGAGACCCATGCAACAATTCAGCACGGATTCGGGCGACATCGACTTTGTTTTTCCTGATCACCTGTACAACATATATTGCATTGCATTCTCCCCGGACGGTCTCCAAATAGCCATCGGCAGCGTTGAGAAGGAAGTGACTATATGGAGCGTTGAATCCCGCGCTACTTCCTTTGTGCTTAGTGGGCACTGGTCTTCCGTGAATTCTGTTGCCTTCTCACCTTGCGGTCGCTGGCTTGCCTCCGGAAGTAGCGACAAGACAGTGCGGGTTTGGGATACTCGCTCAGGAGCAGTCGGTCGTGTTCTGAATGGTCATAACGGAGGTGTAAGGAGTGTTGCTTTTTCTCCGGATGGTTGTTGGATTGCGTCGACATGCTATAATGGAAAGATCCGACTCTGGGAGGTCAGCACAGGCGAGCTCAAGGCGGATAAGTTGGTCGATATTGTTCATTACAGAGATAATGTTGTCGTTTATAAACCCGGCTGCCTCCAGGTGGCCTCTTGCCGCGGAGATGGAACCATTCGATTGTGGGACGACGATCAACAACTCCAAGGTTTCCGATATATCGTGAAGCAGAAGCAGTACATCCACAATTTTGCGTTCTCATCCTGCGGCCAGTGGGTAGCAACAACCCACGGCACCAGTGTTCGACTCTGGAGGCTGCCATCCCCGGATCACGATCAGGAGGCGCTACCGTTGCATGATCAGGATTGTGTGTCGGTCATTGAAGGGTTCACAGCACCTGTTAACGACGTTGTTTGGAGACCCAACAGGTTGGAGTTTGCGACGGCAAGCTCTGAAGGATCGATTCGCGCCTGGCGGGTGGTGGAGGATAATAATGGGTCAGGAAGAGTGTCCATTCGTCTGTTGTGGTCTTCTGGACCTGCTGTGCTTGCCGCATCAGGTGTCGTGCTTAATGATACCGTCGGTCTTAGTAACATCAATCACAAGCTACTCCAACAGCGCGGTGCTGTGACAACTTCAGAATAAAACCATCAAAACTATTAAACATACTATTTATTTGCATCCATGCACTTTGAAGTGTGTCTACTTGCTTTGTTGGTATTCTGAAGTATCTTTTTTTTTTCTGCTTTTGTGAAATGATAACAAAGCAAAATGCATATTAGACAAACCTGAGGTAGTGTGCATAACACAGAGTACTAAGATAAGAGTAACTAAATGACAAAACCTAAGAATGGATAGGGATGGAAGGCAGGTGGAGACGCGGTGGTGTTTTGTGGATAAGGCGATTAGTTTCTCAAGCTTCAGCCGTTCATTGCTCATCATAGGAACTCAACGATAGATCGTCTCTTTCATTCAAAAATGAGCAGACACCTTGACCATTTGTTCGTCCCCCTCTTTTATTTCGTCGTTCAGCCTCACTGGCTTGATAATCCAATTCCGCCATTGTCAGAAAAAACAATGGAGCTGCTATAAAATCAACGCGTCTGAGGGGAGGGCGAAATGTGGGTGTACGCGGTCTTTTTATGTTTTTTTTTTATATCCTTCACTCCACTTCCCGAATCCTTCCTTGGTACGATCGAACAATTGAACGAATACCAAACGGAGCAGACAAACAAAAACGTAAAAGTATATGTCGACACGGACCAAAACAATAAAAAAAGTGTGGGAGAACAAGGGAGCCAAAAACAAGATTGGATGTGGAGGAGCGAAAAATGACTGAGAAACAGTATGGTCTAGCTGGGCATTTTACCCATGATGAATGATGGACTGTGCGGGTGAACACGGCTGGCAGACATTTTTTCCGATACATGAGGGGAAGAGAGAGAGAGAGAGAGAGTTCCAGGGTCATAGTAAAAGGTAAAAAGGTGGACACACTGCGGACCCTGAAGGTGGTCGATCGGGGAAGATAGGGAGGAAGAGCAAGGCCTGGAGTTGCCCGTGGTCATCATTGTCATGATTAAAGTTTTTTTTTTACTTCACAGAACCTTATTGATGACTCTGGTTTTTGGGAGGGCAAGGGTCCCAGCAAAGACGCACAGAAAACTGGGGGTTTACTGAAGATGGTTGAAGGAACGATTAGGAACGAAGGGTAAAGAAGAAAGGATTGAGAATGGATGCTCAGAGGCGAATATTCATCCCCAACAACAAGAGTAACAAAGGACGTGATCAGTTAGCATTGACACCAACTCAGGCACGACCAGTCCGTCTCGATTGATCAGTCTCGTCGTCCGTTACATTTTTTTCTCGGAATAACTGTGCCTTTTTATTTCCTTGGAACTGTCTCCACCGTCTTTTGATCCCCCCATCTTTATTTCTTTATTCTTTGTTATCCTTCTTCTTACGCCATTCTTTTTCTTTTTTTTTTTTACTTTTTTCTTGCCTCCCCTCTCCTCTCCTTCCACGTTCAATACCCGCGCTAAAATGAACACACTGATCCGCCCGTTCCTGGTCCACCAGACCCGTCGATTCGCCACTTCCTCGTCCTCGACTATTTCTTTGCGACCGTCCTCCTCTCTTCTTTCTTCTTCCTCTTCTTCCTCTTCTTCCTCTCTTCTTCGTCCTTCTTCTTCTTCTTTCTCTTCAACTCTCTCCCGTCGTACTCTCTCGCCTCTCCTCGCCCATCACTCTTACTCCACCATGTCCCCTGCCCACAAGCTTTGCATGATCCCTGGTATGTTCCCTCCCTCCTCTCTATCCTACCATCAACTGCAACAACGATGTTGCATTCCTTCAACACAACTCGACAACAACGACACTCCTTCTCCATCCCGCTTGCTTCAGCGCTGACTTGAATTAGACTGATTCGTTCATTGCGAACACACTTGCTTCGACCTGAACGTGCCATTGAATTCCAGGCACCGAGAGAACACATAAAAGAAGCGTGTCAAGAACACCGACAATTTTTGTCCGACCAAACACAAAACAACCAAAAGCTCATCATCCCCTCTTTCTTGTCTGCACTTTTGATACAACGAAAAAGGTCCCATTGAGTTCCACGAGGATGTTCTCCAGGCCATGGCCACCCCCGCGACCTCCCACGTCGCCCCCAACTTCATCCCCGCCTTCGGCGAGTCGATCGAGCTCTTGCGCAAGGTTCTCTTCACCACTGGCCAGCCCTTCATCATTGCCGGATCTGGCACCTTGGGCTGGGATATGACCGCCTGCAACTTGGTCGAGGCCGGCGAGGATGTCCTCGTCTGCAACTCTGGTTACTTTGGTGACCGCTTCGGCGAGTGGTAAGTCCGCTTTGCCTCTCATCCTAGTAACTGTGAATTGGTGCGCAAAAGTTGATAAAAGTGCTTAACACTTCGTGTTTCTGATGGAAATAGCTTGGAGACCTACGGTGCCAAGGTCACTCACCTCCGCGTCCCCATCGGCGAGTCCCCCAAGTTGGCTGCCGTCGCCGCTGCCTTGAAGGCCAAGAAGTTCAAGGCCATCACCATCACCCACGTTGACACCTCGACCGGTGTCCTCTCCGACATTAAGGGCATTGCCGAGGTTGTCCGTACCGAGTCCCCCGAGACCCTCGTCATTGTCGACGGTGTCTGCTCTGTCGGCTCTGAGGAGATCCGTATGGATGCCTGGGGCATCGATGTTGTCGTCACCGCCTCCCAGAAGGCCCTTGGTGCCCCTCCCGGTCTCTGTATCATGGGTGTCTCTGAGCGCGCCATTGGCGTCTTCAAGGCCCGCAAGACCCCCGTCGCCAACTACTACGCCAACTGGAACCGCTGGTTGCCCATCATGAACGCCTACGAGTCCCGCAAGCCCTCGTACTTTGCCACCCCCGCCGTCCAGAACGTCTTTGCCCTCCACGTCTCTCTCAAGCAGATCGTTGAGCAGGGTGTTGAGCAGCGCTTCGTCGCCCACAAGGAGGCCTCGGCCAAAGCTAAGAAGTTCATCCACGACTTGGGTTTGACTCTTGTCCCCACCAAGGTCGAGCACGCCGCCAATGGCATGTCGGCCGTCTACTACCCCGAGGGTGTCGCTGCCACCGACTTGTTGCCCAAGCTGGCTGCCCACGGCATTGTTGCCGCCGGTGGTCTCCACGTCGAGATTGCCCCCAAGTACTTCCGTATTGGACACATGGGTATCTCAGTCACCGAGCCCGAGCGTGGTCACCTCGATGCCACCTTGAACGCCCTCAAGGCCTCCTTGGCCGAGTGCGGCTACAAGGGTGCTCTGTAAATTAGAGATTATATTCTCTCTTCTCCCAGCATTTCCTTTTCCTGTAATTTTGTATCTACCGCTCCTCTCAAAACAACTTAGAAACACTCCACGTAGTCTCATGTACATCAAATAACAACAAAAAAAAAACCATCTTTCGTGGAACTATGGTTGAGGAATGCAAAATGGTTGTTGTGAAATGATGATGCCTATTGTTGTGGGATATCTAGAAAAGAAAAAATGTGTTCCTGTAGGTACTTTACTCCTGATGAGCGCTTGAAGTACCCTTCTTGGTGCCTCTGGTGGTGCCACGTCCAGCGTTCTTGCGACCACCACGACCACCCCATCGCTGAACGGGTGCCCTCGTCTTGTTCTCCTTGACGTCCTCCTTGATCTTTCCGAGCATCATCTTGATCTGGTTGGCGAGCACAGGCTGGCCGCTAGGAGTCTTCTCGCGCATCTTCTTTGTCGCTTTCTCGCGGTTGGCGTAGTATGTGTCACGGCCCTTCTTGGCATCTGCCCTGGCACGTTGCGCGCGCTATTTTGGCATTTAAAATAAACAATTGACGGTCAGTTTTCACGCTCGGTAGTGTATATACATAATTTGATCCGCATTGTCCAGAATAACATGGACTGGGCCATCAAACTTACGTCGCGGGCATCCTGAATGGCCTTCTTCTCGGCTTCACGCTTCTCAATGGCAGCCTTGAAGGGGTTGGGCTTGGCGGCACGCTTGAACGAACCATCCTCCTGCTTGGCGTTCTTGTTGCTGGGTGCTGGTGTGTCCTTCTTGCCCTTTCCCTTCTTGGGTGCCTGCTCTTCTTCGGACTCGACTTCTTCCTCCTCCTCGGCTTCTGATCCTGATCCTTCCATGTCCTCGTCGCCTTCGCTTCCGCTCATCTCCTCATCTTCTCCATCCTTGTATGCGATAACGTTTCCTTCATCGTCGATCGTCTTCTCTCCAAAAATCTATTCATTTGAACATATCCAATGTCAGTATCTGCCGCAATCCCTATGACCATTTCACATACTCCTAAAACTTCAAAAACAATCGATACTCCTAATCTTGAAAGAGGGTCATACCTTCTTATAAAACTCGGGGGTCTCTCCAGCCTCCTGCTTCAAGACTTTGGCATACTCCTTCTTGACCTTGGCCTTATGGATCAAGTCCGCCTTCAACTTCTTGGCATGTCCCTTATAAGCATCCGAACCCATATGAGCCTTGGCCATAGGGTTGAATCCAGTCCTCTTCCTGTTCTGGGGGTTGGGAGCATCGCGCTTGAACTGGGTGTTGTAGTCGTTGTTGATACGCTTGGGAACTCGTTCGCCGTCTTCTCTGCGGTCCCTGCGGGGTGCAGGGCCGCCACGACCGCCGCGGCGTCTCTCGAGGGAGTCTCTTGGTAAGCCCATTTCCTTGACCATTGTGTGTGTGTGTATGTGGTGTATTAGGTTTGAGTGAGTTGGGAGGGCGGGTGTCGGTGTCCGAGGGTGGGGGTTGAGAAGATGAAGGGATGGAAGTGAAAAGAAAGTGTGTAATGGTTTGAATAAGTGTACAAGCTGAAGAGAAGTGACTGCTAAATGAAAAAGTAAACAATTTTTTTTTCTTTTTTTTTTGGAGCCTTTGGTTCTTTTTTTTTTTTGCAACTGCGGTCCCCTTTTTTTCAGTCTCGTCACATACTTCTTCTACGCGCAAAACTCTTTACCTCATTCCTTCGCACACAAAACATAAGACATCGGCGCAATGGACAGGAAAAAGAACAACAATGCCCAAGGAGGTCGCACAAACGGAAACAACAAATCCAAACCTACCGACAACAAGGCCCATACAGACACCACACTAGGCCTGTCAAACCTCAACCTCGGCGCCAACACAAACCCCAAACCCAAAAACAACAACTCTGGAAAGAAAACATCCAAAAAGTCAACCTCCTCCTCTCATGGCTCAACAGTAGCAGCATCATCACCCGTGTCATCCAAGAAGGCAGGGCCTATCCTCCTGGGCATGCCGGACTCACCTATGACGTCGGAGGATGATATCGACCCCTATATCACCAAGATTGGTGGCGTTCCTGTAAGCAAAACCATTTCGCAACGCTGCGGAGGATGAAAAAATTATTGGAGGAGGGGGGGCCTTTTGATTCCTCCCAGGAGAGCCGGGAAAATCAGTCCTCTGGATCTTCTCACTCACGCCTTTTTTCCAATTTGCATTTTCTACCATGATAGTTGTGGCTGTCAGAAGATCTGCCAGCACCTTCCAAGTACGGTGTCTGCGAAGTATGCGGCAAGGATATGTACCTGCTCCTTCAGGCATATGTGCCCCTCGAGAGCTCACCCTACGATCGTGTCGTTTATGTCTGGGCATGTAACCAGCGACTCTGCATGCGCAAGAAGGGAAGGTACATACTTCATTCAGGACTCCAGGGACAAAGGAACGATGCAATGTTGCAACCATTAGTGTATTATTTCAGTTGAGGTTTCAGGTACTGATGACTTTTTTGATTCCACTCGCTATTTGAAATAGTTTCCGTGTGGTCCGTGCATTGAAGTTGAACCCAGAGTACGCACAAAAGCTGGAAAAGAAGGCAAAACCTGCTGCACCTATCGCTTCCGCACCATTAGCCAACGTAAGGATCCATGGACTTCTGGAAACACTCGACTGGTTTTCTTCGCTTGAATGAATGTCAGGACGAGAGGCTAATATTGGACATTTTTCATGTTTTTTTCAACATAGCCATTCGGAGCAGCAGCACCAGGAGCATTTGACATGGGCAATGCCTTGTTTGGTGGAGCAGGAACAGGATTCAACAACCCTTTTGCACCTGTAAGTTTGTTCGAATCCTGGGGAGCGCCATGGCGATGTTCTCAAGGCAAAAAAAAAAGGAACATCAGAGCTGACTGGGACGCTTTCTACTTTCCCACTATGTAACATAGCCCTCGAGCACAGTCAACCCATTCGCCCCACCTCCAGGATTTGGGGCACCAGCCCCGGCAGCGGCACCTATTTCTTTTGCCAGTGTTACATCATCCAACATCCCCGCCAAGGAAGAGTCATCCAGTGAAGATGAAGAAGAGATTGTAGAAGGTACGATCAACTTTTCTTCTCAGGAACCAAAATTGCCACTTTGCGAGCGCAGTGAAAACGAGGGCAAAGATATTAATCATGAAAATCATGAATTATTATTCATGTTAAATTATGCAGAGTCGGAACCATGGCCAGAAAAGCCACCAGCATTTTCCCCACATTATCTATACATTGCGGAAGAAGTGCTCGAGAATTCCAAGACTGTCAGTGACGACATTGCCGAAAAATACAGTCACCTCCTCGCTCTGGAGGAGTCCAACCAGGACGATGGCGAAGATGACGAGAAGGGCGGTCCAGGAGGCGCCGGTTGGAGCGGAGAGGCGTATGAGAAGGCATCCCTCCCCAAGGGTGTTGACAAGGCGTTCAAGAAATTCACAGAACGCGTTCAGGCATGGCCTGATCAATGCGTTCGGTACCACTTCCCAGGATCGCCCCTCTTGTTCTCGTTCTCTGACCCCACAGCACGGACACTCTTGCCAGCCAACGCTTCTCAGCATTCAAAACACACTGCACCCAGTGCGCACAGGATCCCAAGATGTCCTGCCTGTAAGGGCCCCCGTGGGTTCGAGTTCCAGTTGATGCCCAACTTGCTGTCGCTCCTGGACGTGACGTCCAAGAAGTACTTGTCAGAGGAGGAGATGAAGGCCTTGAAGGAGCGGAAAGGCGCGCAGGTGTTTGATATTGGGATGGAATGGGGCACTATTTTGGTGTACAGCTGTGTGGATGATTGTTTCGGAAAGAGTGTGGCCAAGAAGGTGGCTGGTGATGTTGAAGAGGATGCTAAAGTGCCGGCGGCTGTCAGGTACTTTGAGGAGGTGGCGCTTATTCAGTTTGAGGATTAGAGAGGATATGTTAGACTGGAAGTATGTTATTAAAAAGTCGCACAAAGAATCTTCGGTTGAAAAGAAAAACACAAAGTGTGAAAATGGAGAGGCTTTAGTTGGTTTTGTACCTTGAAGGGAAAAGAAAAGTATATCGGAGTAGTGTTGTGTTCTTGGGCGCAAAAGCTGCCACAAGATCGCGATTGTATGAAAAAAAAAAAGCACAACAACGTTGTTGGAGAGCAGGCTTTTCAGCAAGGTAGAACAAATGTACTCTTTTTCGTTTACGGAAACAAACTCACAGATGCATGGACGTTTGTACTGGGTGGGTCACAGCTTATTGTGTTTACTGAACAAAAAAATGATTCGAACTTGCAGAAACAGGGGCTGACCCAACATCAATATTCTCGGTCACCTCCCGTGCAAGATCCTTCTCATCCTCCTCCGTGGGGGAAACTATGATACTGGTGGTGGGTGGAGGTTGGCCAACTTGCTATAATATGTTTGAGCTATGGATGCGAATCAGGAGGTGACTAACGACTAAAAGATCAGCTTGCTACTGACCATATACACATACATAGTGGCGAACTTTGCTCTGCCAATATTTTCATAAGGAGCAATAAGGTAGACTAAGAAAAATGAATGAATATCGAACGAGAAAAAAAAAGAGACCAACAAGTCTGTTGGCGACCACTCCTACCAATACAAAGGTTTAAGAACCAAAGGCTCAACTTCAACATCTTAAAGAACAAAAATGAAGTACAAATTCCAAAAACAATCAAGAATAAGGCCATCTCGTTCAAAAGGGATAGAATATAGAATATGTCGTTTAATTAAACAAAGTGCTCGCGATGTGAGAGAGGATGCAAAGTGGCTAGCGGTTCTAGTTGGCTGACGACGATCCAGCTGCGCCACGTTGTTCGAGCAACTTGCGACTGATGACACTAAGACCAAGGGTATCTTTAAGCACGGCACCCGATGCGGCGAGCACAGCATGTCCAGAAGACCACAACAGACGAACAGACACTCTTCCTGACCCATTACTATCCACCACCCGCCAGGCGCGAATCGATCCTTCAGAGCTTGCCGTCGCAAACTCCAACCTGTTGGGTCTCCAAACAACGTCACTGACATCTCCTGCGAACCCCTCGACGACTATCACACAATCATGATCCTGCAATGGTGGCGCCTCCTGATCCTGATCCGGGGATGGCAGCCTCCAGAGCCGAACACTAGCGCGGTGGGTTGTTGCTACCCACTGGCCGCAGGATGAGAATGCAAATTTATAGGTCCCTTGGTCCTGCTTTACGATATATTGGAAACCTTGGAGTTGCTGGTCGTCGTCCCACAATTGAATGGTTCCATCTCCGTTGCAGGAGGCAACCTGGAGACAGCCGGGCTTGTAAGTGACATAACCCCAACTGTACCAAACGGTATCAATCTCCCTACTTGCCTTGAGCTCGCCAGTGCTGACCTCCCAGAGTCGGATCTTTCCATTATAGCATGCCGACGCAATCCAACAACCATCCGGAGAAAAAGCAACACTCTTTACACCTCCGTTATGACCATTCAGAACACGACCGGCTGCCCCTGAGCGAGTATCCCAAAGGCGCACCTCCGAGCTAAAACCGCCTGAAGCAAGCCAGCGACCGCAAGGTGAGAACACCACAGAATTCACGCCACCCTCGTGTCCACGAAAAACAAAGGAGGCTGCGCGGGATTGAACGCTCCATAGAGTCACTTCCTGCCCAATGCCGATGGCTGTCTGAAGGCCGTTCGGGGAGAATGCAATGCAACGTGTATTGTGCAGGTGATCAGGAAAAACAAAGTCGATGTCTCCCGAATCCGCGCTGAATTGTCGCAGGGGTGCATGTCGACTGCCAGTGATAAGCTGCCGTCCGTCCGGAGAGTATGTCGCACATGTCTGTGGGTCTGGGAAATCGTAAGAGTCGAGTCCTAGGCTTGAGGAGTTCACCTCCCACAGCCGCAGAGTATTGTCGTCACTTGCTGAGGCGATATACGCGCCACTTGGTGAAAATCGAACGCAGTTGACCTTGTCCACATGGTTTATAAATGACGAGACAAGTAAGCCGGAACGAGAGTCCCACAGCTTCACTGTACGGTCCTCACTGGATGAGGCGATCCATCGGTCGTCGGGTGAAAAGGCAATACTGGTAATTCTATTCGTGTGTGCCGCCCATTCCCTTCCGGGCTCCAGGGTGGTCGCTGTTGCCTCCCACAGTTGCAACCGGCCTCTGACGGAGCCTGTAGCGATACGTTGGCCATCAAGTGAATATGTCAGACACATGATCCTATCGTCGCCGTTGGAAATCTCCGACACAAGCAATCCGGTGAGTGCGTCGAATATCCGGATCATCTTGTCCCAGCCGGCGGAGGCAATGGTGTTCCCGTTGGACGAAAAGGCATTGCTGAAAACGATGCCAGTGCTGTCGGTCAAATTGAAAACGGAAGCACCGGTCCGAGCGTCCCAGAGCCTCACCGATTTGTCGGTATTGGCCGTTGCGACTTGTTGGCCCGTTGGTGAAAACGCAACCGCCATCACCATGCCCGAGTGTCCCAAAATGAAATCGGTTGATCCAGTTAAGCTGTTCCAAAGCCGTGCTGTATTGTCCCTGCTGCCGGAAAGAAGCTGTTGGCTGTTCGGTGAATAAGCCAGACTTGTAACGCAGTCTTCGTGCCCTTGAAACACTTGAATCATTGTCCAGGTTGCAGTGTCATAGATGCTGATATTCCCATTCTCCAGACCTGCCGCGAGAAGCTTGCCGTCTGGCGAAAAGGCGCATGACGAGACCTTCTCCAACTCCTCCAAGTACGGTAGCTCTCCAAATCGAGACCCACCCATGCATGCCCGGCTGAGATTCGCCTGTCGAATCCATGCCTTGGAGAGATTCACACCTGTCAAGTCGGCATCCTGTAGTTGTGCTGAGTCAAACTGCCCACCGGTAAGATCCGCTCTTGGAATGCGAATGCCTCGAAGATCAGCTCCATGAAATTGCACACCGGCTAGGACCAGGATCGTAATGGCATTAGCCGCAGCTTGGCTCGCCTGGGCGTTCGATTTGGACAACTCGACGACTTCTAAGAAATACTGTTTGAACTTGGCACTCTGCTTCACGCGATCACTCAAGAACTGGATGACAGAGGGCTCAGTGAGAAGGTCCCTCGTGAACAAAGGGCCGTTGGTGTCGACCAACTGACCATCAGGCGAGACAGGATTCGTCTGGAAGGTCGATTCATCGTCGCCGCCATGACTGCTTGGATCAAAGATAGCACGCGAGAAAAAATACTCAAGCATGGACCGATGAAGGAAGCGGTGCAGGTTCCCGGTGCGGCTCAAAGGGCTCGAATCTCGTAGGAGTCGGACTTCTGCATCTTGTCCAAAGAACTGCGCTTTCCAAGAGTTCTTGTCGTGAACATACTGGACAATCGGGTTCCCTTCCTGCTGCTCAAAGATCGCCAACGCCAGCCTTGCGGAATAGTCAATGCTCTTGGAAACAAATCCCATGTCCAGAAGTTCGTCGAATACAATGCGATCTGCCATTGACAACGTGTTGCTCTGAAGTCGTCGTTTGTTGACATTGCTCCAGTGCTCCACAAATGTGTCGTAAAGCTGAGCACGGGTGATCATGATAGTCGACAGATCCTGCTTGCCTTCAACGACCCCTGGCAGTGCCTCCAACGCGAGTGAGAGCAGGAACGGATTCTTGACTAGGTCCATGAGGTTTGGAATGGTCGTCAGCTTGTCCATGTAGTCCTCCGCACGCCAGGACCTTGGCTCGAGGGGAACATATTGCTCGACATAGTCCTTGATCTGCTCTGTCGAAAAAGGGGCGATCACGGCCTCTTGGAACAGATCGACGCTAGGGCGGTTGTAATGGCCACCTCCATTGGGCACGAACTGGTCGCGGTAGTCTTGGCCAAGGTACTGGCTCCTGCAACTGATAACAAGCTTGACATTCCATTGTCCAGAAGTGTTGAAGTTGTTGGAGTTGTGAATGTTGACAGTGAGCTGGCTCTCGTCGTATCCATCGCAGATGACAATGAACTGTCGATGTTGCTTCAGTTCCTGGATCTGCTCCTCCGAAAAGTTGTGCTCCCTCAATTGCTCACCCATCAGATCCTTGAGCGGATTCTGAAGGGCTGGGAGGTTGATGAAGAGTGGAATAGGCCCGCCGCGCTTGTACTCTGTCCAAAGTCGATGCTCGAGGTGCTTGTTGAAAGTCGATTTGCCAGCTCCGGAGTCTCCCAGAATCAACATGACCTGCCGGTCACTGGCCAGGAATTCCTGCATCTTATCCATGAGTGGGAACGCCTCGTTGTCCTGAACTTGAAGGCTGGCCTTGGCCATAGGAGAGATGTAGATGGACAGTTTGGCATCGTCGAGTCGCTGCATTCGGAGCTTGTAGAGTTCGTACTCCATGTAAGGGATCTTCTGGACCTTGGCGAGGATCGGGGAGGAGTCAGGGATCGGGAGGTGGGATCTCAATGGGTAAGGGCGCTGAGTCCTGGGAGTGTTAACCAAGTCAAGTTTCTGGAACAAGGCAATGGCACGGTTGTTGACGGCTTCGTTAGGAGTGGATACCAGCGTGACGAAGATAGTCACCATCCATGTCTTGACGCTCTCATCATGGCCCCATTCCTGATCCTCCTTGTAGAGATGACCAAGAAAGTCAATGGCTTGCTGGCGTATGGCAATAGCCCATGCAGTGTCGACCGCAATCTCACCCAGCAGCTGGCAAATACCCCACTGGAACAGGGGATCCTGGCGACAGGGTGCCTCATAGATCAGTTGTTTCAGATCCTTCAACTGGCCAGCTTGCACAAAGGTATAAGCGGCGCGGATGGCAGGATACCATGGCTTCTTGTGTCCAGACCCAAGACCTTCTTTCAGACTTTCCATAACCCCTCGTCCGCTCTCGCGCAGCGATCCCACTCCTTCATATACAGTAGCGGCGATTCCAATCGCACTGACGGCTACCCCTTGCAACTTCTCCAGTCCTTCTAGAACCGACCCCAAATCCAACTTGAGTACACTTGTGATCTTGACCAAGCCATCCACAACTCCGGTCGAGTACCTCAATACTGCCTGCAGAACAGTCTCATCATCAGGCACATACTGAAGCGCTTGGAAGGCGTAGCAAGCCTGATACATCAAATAGGGATCAGAGCTGTCCCTCAGTCCTGACAGAATGGCGGACAATGGCTCGTGCTCCACGACTCGGTTCAAATCCTGGACCTTGTGATCAGCCATGACATCGAGGATCCTGGAGACAGCCAGTGTGAGGTGGCAAAGGTGCTCAGATGAGTGCTGGTGCGTGTCCTCCAAATGGGTCCTGAGGAGGCTGAGGACCTTGACCAAGTCATCAGAAACGAGAAACCCAGGCGAGGCAGATTGGACCAGCTGGACAAGACCTTGGAGCAGGTTGACGTCTAGAATGCGAGAATCGTCAAAGTCACAGATGAACGATGACAACAACTTGCGGTAGGGCTCTCTATGCAAAACAGGTCCAAGAGCGACAACCTCGGCAACCTTGGTCGAGTCCTTAGTGGCGTCCGTGATGAACGCCTCGACCATCTTGGTAACGAGCCATTGCATACGATGCTGCCTCATTGGGTCCCCATTGACCTCTGTCAGCCACGTTTGTTCACCCTTGTCGAGAGTGGACGCCTGCGGAGCATTGGCGGGATCATCAGTCGCCTTCTTTTCTCCTGCATCAGATGACGAAGAGATGACTGAATCCTGGCGAAGCAACATGTTGCAGTAGAGCAATTGGTCAGACCTTTCAATGCGCTCCTGGAGACCTGGCAATGAAGTCTTGACAGCGGGTTTGGCGATATTCTCCGGGAAGGTATCCATGTGGAGCCAATCCTCATCTGGCGCCAATGGCAAAGGGCTATCCTGATTGTCGTCAACCTGAGAGGCACCAAATGATTGGGTTGACTGCTGGGAGGGATCTTGAGAGTCCAACGACTGAGTCGAAGACTTGGCCTTGGCCTTGGCCAAGGATTTGGGGATGCCGAAAAACTTGCGAAACTTATCGCGCTTCTTGAGAGGAGTTTGAATGGTGTCGGAGCTGTCTTTGTTAGGGACATGAGCATCCTGTCGATCGAGAGGATGGTTGTTCATTGTGGTGAGTGGCCTAATAAAATGGCGAAGCTGTTTGGTGTCAACAACGGCACATACGTGTTTTGTGAAAGGGCGGATCAAATTGAAGGCGAGCAGTACAAGGTCCCATGCGCTCTTACCTTATACTGGTTATGATGTCTTTTACACCCGGCGAATACAGGAAGTATTGTGGCACTCAATGAATGTCAGACGTTGAGGTCGCAGGGGACTAACACAGGTAGCAAAGGTTGCAAAAATGACAATGGCCGTGAGTATCTCTTGTCATTGGTTACGGTAGACAACATCGTACAAGCACAAATTATCCAGGAACATATGGCTTACTCTTGGACAAGAAGGTGCTGTCGCGTGTCTTTTCTTCTCTTTTTTGGTTATGTGTGCTCGGCAGTATTTTTGAAGGTGGCGGGTTGTCTATGTGAATTGGGAGGTGAGGTTAGCACAGTTCCCAGCCACTTACTAGTTTTGGCGTACTTTGCTAAACACAACAGAGTCTTTAGAGTTTGCTGCTTGTGTATGAAGGAAGCTTGTCAAAGGATGACTGTTCATGCTGTGGATGAGTGTTGACAATGGCACGCCTTAGGACATGAACACTCGAGCCTTATGCTTGTCGCTAGTGTTGCTGATTAAGTTGCTGTGTTGTGATGGCTCGAGTGGTCTTACGTTTGATCAAGATCAAGGTGTCTGTTGATGCAAGAATTGATTCCGAGCAAGTGAACTGCCTAGTGGCAGAGAACAACGAATGATCGGGTGTGAGGGTGGTGTTGATGTGTGCGATGATGAAGACGATGGATGTATGTGCGAGGAGTGGTCAAAAGAGAAAACAAGCCTTTATCCCACCATCCCATCGCATGCTACGTTGTTACACGAAAAGAAATAGTAAAAAAATCATGCAAAGGAAGGAAAGGAAGAGTTGCTGTCGTGAAAAGCAATCGAGCCATGATGGTTCTCAAAATAACTACTCCTGCCCGGATGGATCCTGGATGGACGATATCACTACGAAAATTATCACTGACGTGTACCTGAAAAGCCGTGGTGATGAACTACAGATCTAGATCCACGGGGAAACAAAGTTTTGGCCATTATGAGTAAACGAATTTCGGCGCCTCGCAAACACCAGCGGCAGACGGAACAATAACAATAGCCGCAACGAAACGACCAAACGGGTGACAAGAAAGACGAGCAACAGCAAAAAGTGTCAGTTAGGACGACCCGGAACACAATCGAGGTGGCACAATGTCTGTTGTTTAGGAACAAGCACGTTTTGCTTCGGATGACAGAGTCAAACACAACAGCAACTCGGTACTACCCATTGGAATGACTACAAGAATAAAGACAAAAGAAACCTTGTTCCTGCAGGATATTCTTCGTTCTTTGTGGAATCAATGGCATGGTTCTTGTTGGTTGCCTTTGTCGCCCCTTTACTGATCTGGTCTCGTTGCTCGGATTGTCTAAATTTGCCGAGACGTGCTGAGCGAAAGCATCTGGAATGATGTCACGTGCGAAAGGATCGCTCTCAAGCGTGTTTGGAAGTTTGACTGTCAAGTGTCATGTTCAAACCATATGCGTTTTCTTACCTTTCCACCCAGGTTCAACTAGAGTGGAGAGCATCCAAGACGAGCCGCGACCACCACACTCATCATCCCAATGTCGTCGCCCCCATCAGCTACTTCAAGGATGGAATGATTCCCCGTTTGATGATGGAACTGTGCTCCAACAAAGTAGGAGAGAATGATTAGAATCCATCTGCGATTGCCATGTACACATTGACGAGGATAGCACACTGACACTTATGTCCTTTTAAATACTCTTACCTATCTAGACACTAGACACATTGTTTAAGACCAGAAGAACTCTTCAGGAATATAAAGTCCGTTATTTCGGACAGCAGCTAGTGACCAGCGTGGCTCATTTGCACAGTTTGAGCCTGGTTCACCATGACCTGAAGCCTCTCAATCTTCTGCTGATAGAGGAATTGGTGTTGAAGGTCGGTGATTTCGATCAGACGCAGGATCCGAGAGATGGCAAGGAGTTCCGGTAAGTTGATATGATTATGATATGTACGATTAAATGTTCTCTTCAATTCAAACATGGACATGTTGCTAACAGAACTGTACGGTTGTTTGCTCATATTAGCGGTGTGCTTGGTAGTCCGGGCTTCCAGCCCCCCCCCCCCCCCCCCCGAGGTTCTCAAGGAAGAGGTGTTCACCTACGCTCTGAATATCTTCACAATCGGAGCAATCCTCTCCAGGACGTTGCTTGGTGTCACCTACAAGCTCCTTGACGAGACGGCGGCTGAGAAGAAGAAGCCTGTCAAAATTAACGGGAGCATGAGTCCCGATGCCATGGACTTGCTTCAGACAACCTTCGAGAGCAATCCTAAGAGCCGGATCACGATAGCCGATCTGCTCGCTCACCCCTTCCTGACCGATGGACATATCCCACACAGTCTCTCCTGGGACATCCTGAACAAGGCTGCTCCACTGTCATCGGAGGGCAATGTATTAGATACTGATGGCGATTGTCAGATTGAAGTTTATCAAGTCACAGGAAGAGGAGGCAAATAGGACGCTGGAAGAGCCGACCGGTTCTCTTGACGATGCCGTGGAGGAGGAGGTGGGGGCCAGCGCCCAGAACGTCGTCGGAGGCCAGTTGGATGTCGCTCAGGCCAAGTTGGAGGCCGCTCAGACCCAGGAGGAGACCGAACCCTCAGAGCCAGATGTCGATCTTGGCGATGTTGATCTTGGCGATATCTTTGCAGAGGTCGAGAAGGTGAAGCTGGCAAAGGCCATCCTCGCGGAAGGAGCCTAGAAACAGAAGGGGAACAAGGAGGTCGCCGTCCGCGGAGGCAAGGTATGGGAGGACGATTCCGACGACGACGATGAGGAAGGGGCTAAGGGCCACAAGAAAGTCAAGGTCATGCAGAAGGATGGCCCCCGGATGATAAGCTTGAGCCTTCATATCTTCGGCTCCGCTGAACATGACGTGCTCCAATACCCTGACAAGGAATGCCGCAACGCTAGCATATTGTTGGCCTCCGCTTTGATAACCAGTGACAGTAAAGAAGGGTTCCATTAAGGAATTTTTTACGGAATAGGTTAAATAGGCACAAAAAAAAACTAAATAGGTGTCGGTTGTAGGTGAGGGGTGAATCTACAAAGCATAACTAAATAGGTTTGGGGATAGCTAGACTGATGTATGAGGGGACGTGTCTACAAAGTACAACTAAACAGGTGTGGAGGCAGCACGATTGCAGTATGGGGGATGCGCCTCACAAGGCGCTGGCTTAACTGACTTATTTGCTTTGTCCAAATATGTTGTAATCGTAGCTTTGCCAATGAGGTTTTCAGCAGGGGAATATGTGCCGCCAACGCATGTTTTGACGCGGTCCAACACTGCGTTGCCTAAACAACTCAGAGAAATGTTCATATGCGTTGCCGTGCTACCACAGTTGTACTCCAAATTGGTTGATCCATACCAAACGCCATCGTTAATGACAGATGCCATCGATTGTGCCGTTTGGTTCGAGCTGTACGTCGTGAACGATTCATAGTTGATCTCATAACCCGTACTGTATACACAGTTACAACCTGGAACAGACATGTCAGAACTTCTAGCGGGTCTCGACGAGGTACACATCGTATGGTCCCCAGAAATGACTCCTCAAGCAATTGTTCGCGGATTCCTTGCTGAAGACGGTTGCGGTTTTCCAGTACTTGGCCACAACTGGAGCATAGGTCACAATTGCAGTCCCACAGGCACTCACAAGGTCTCTTTTCTCCAAGTGAACTGACAACGTACTGTTAGGCAGGGCAGCACCACTGCAGAGTGCAAGCACACATGCCTACAGAAGATATAATTGCCTAAACATCATCTGAAGACCAAAATAATGAAAATTTGAAAAGTACGTAAAATTAAAATTGATTAGTGTCGGAGAAGCAGTTCCACGTAGAAATAAGTAAAGTTGAGAAACTTAAGAAGTTATGGAGTTGATGTCTTGTGGATTGAAGCGTATTTGGAAAGGTATGGACCTGATGGGAAAAACTGGGGTAGGGCTATAGCAATTTATAATAAATTGATGCGGATCAGTGGCGCCCTTACCAATACGATCGAATCTTTGAGGCCGTCTCTCCATGCTCCGAAGGTCAAAATAAACAATAGCCCAAGGAGGGACTCACAATGTTGACTCTCTGACCTGGCTTCAAGGTTTCCAAGGGAACTATCGTTCCTAGGACTACCGTCGTGTCTGCATGAAAGAGGGAGCAAGTTCACATTGCTTTTGCGTCTACAAAAAGCGGCTCACTATGGTTACTTGGACTACCTTCATTGAAGGTTTGCAAGGGTACTGGTCGCTACTAGGATTCCCGTGGTCTTTGCGTCTCGCCAGCAGAATCGGCTATTACATCTATAGCCGTTACATAGGCTTCCTGAGAGAAATGTCCTGAGCCTCGTTCAAAGGCACTTTTCCTACCAAAAAAAAGAGGGAAATTGATATTATTGGTTAGGCAGCCGCCTAAAAAGGGTTGCCTAGAAAATCAGCAGCCAATGGGGCATGGTGATCAGTGCTGGGTGGACCTTTTTTTTCGTCGAAAAGAGTAAAAAAAAACTGCCCAAACGCTATGGTCTCTTTGTTTTTCTTTCTCTCTTTGTTCGGCTCTTTTTTTTTTTAGGAAAACCATTTAGATGCCTTTGAACGAAACCCTGATTCAAGTTCTCGGTAAATCGACTAGCACAACAAGAACAGCGACCATTTTCCTTTTATGTTATACTTTGAGGTGTACATTGTGCATAATACTCCATGCGTATTTGATTGCGACATTTTTACGAGTGTGCACAATCCTTCCATGGGGAGACATCCTCCTCGGCTCTTGGAATCCGCGGTACCCACCAATGGAGACTCAATCAACACAAGCTCAAAGAGCGACTGTTCTCGGTGAACCTTATATAGTTTGTACTCATGCATGTTTGTTTGCGGGATTTTAAGTGGGTGAACAGCAGTAGAACCTTTGTTAGTGCATGTTTGTTTGCAGGATTTTATGAGAGAGAAGACTCATTTCACATGAACCCACGCTGACAACCGTCTTGCACTGTACTACCACAGGAATACACCTGTATCCGCCGTTTAGAAAGATATGCCGATTGGTAGAAACTCAATCGACACTATCACATAGCTCAACCTCCACAAGAACAAGACACTAACCTATCTACTCCGTCAAAGCATCCACGACGCTTCCTCGAATGATACTGAAGGAAGAAAGAGCCGATATCGAAAGATCAAAAGCAACGTCGCTATGAGCGCTTGGCTGCCACAAGACAGTTAGAGGTTATGACCAAAGCTTGGTGGGAGTGCATAAACACGAACGGTCAGGGCGCATAACATGTAGAAGTGAGGGTACAGTGCTTTGATTGGTGAAGTGAATGATTGCATTGTCCAACATCTAAACTGGACGTTGTTGGAAGGATTCGTGCAACGAGGCATGCGTGGATAAAGAAGCAAGGGAGAATAAATACAAGTCGACCGTTTTTCTTCCTGATGAACCACCTCTCCCCTGCCCACACACGTACAGTCCCCATTATCGGGGTCTCTGTGCTTGGCAGTATCGTTTGATTTAATAATCAATTGAAGAGAAAGCAGTAAAGGCCTGGATCTTTTAGAATGGGTGGGTTTATGGGATAGGCTTATTTACAATGGCGAGCGGTGTAAACAAATGAGGGGTTTATTGATAATGGCGAGGGGTGGGAACAAAGGGGGACTCAAGAGAAATAGATAGTAAATACTTACCTTGATGGTCAGATACTTCTGTCACTCACCAACAGTCCATGTCTCAAGCTCTAAGCAACACAAGTGAAGCCATAAAAAACCCCTACCGTATCAAGTGTTAAGCAGGCCATGCGAGCATCAAGGTGTCTGTCAACTTCCGCCAGGTCTACCTTCAAGCCAGTTAGCCACCTTTTTTTTCGTTATCCTTTGTTTCAAAATCATTGCACACAACCAAGATGTGCAGAGTCATCAAAACATGTTGCTGTTTCTGCGATGCCACTGAAGATATCACAATTCCCTGCAAAAGTAATCCTGCCTGCCCCAAAGATATTAGACTCATTGTCATAGGCTGTATAGATTGCTTGAAGTCCAGATTTAAGAAGGAAGATTTTTTAAAAAAATACGAAGTGTTTTTTGCGTGATCTATTAAAAATCAACCGTCCTTCTCTTTCACCTTCATGTCTAACATCTGAACTTGAAACTATGTATTATACTGCTAGATGACTGCTCGACTTGTCCTATTTCCATCATATCATCCATCATCAGCAGAGCGCCCATATCCCGCCGATTTTTCATCTCCAGCCGATTTTTCAGTAGAAGGTGAAGGCTAACGCTCCCGATTCATTCTAGATCATGTTAGAATTTATCAGGAGCCTCCAGAACAAGACTATCTGTGTGGGATCTAGTCTAGACAAATGGACCGCGAGCTAGGACTGTATCCGTGAGGATGAAAAGGAAGGGGACCAAGGAGTTCACATGTGTGAGATCGATAGAATAAACAAAATAGAAATAAAAAGGGGGGAGGGAGAATAAAGGGATGGAGTGCTAACGGTGAAGTAGACCCCTGGGCACCGGATATCCCATGATATAGGTTGACAGTTGCACCGCAGTCTGCCGTTAGACGATAGATCGGCCAGTACCAATGCTTGTAGGCGGATCGATAGCTGGCGGAAACGTGGGCAGGGCGAAAAGTGGACCTCTATGAGATCAGGGGTGGCGCAAGCGGTGTCAAGGATAGGATGGACAAGCCGGTCGGCAGAGGACTTCCTTGTGCTACCCAGTGCGCATTGTGTTCATTGTTGACAATGCGCAGGGGTGGCAGAGAGATCCTGCTTTCAATGCTGACTGAGAAGGGATCGAGTGATAAAATAAAGGGTTAATTTTTATTTGACGAAGAATTCTCTATAAATTAGTGTGCTCAATAAACGGGTCAACGGCCACCTTCTTTCTCGTCTTCAGTTTTCCTTCATAATTTGACTCGAGCACATGGCTAGGATACGCCCATCATGGCAATACCTGTCGAAAGGTGGTCGAGTGGTCCTTGCTGGTCAGAATAACAATAACAATCAAAAGAGTGGATCAAAAAGAATAAGAGAAAAGAGGCGCCCCGAACTAACTGCTCGGTTCCGAATTGTTTTATTATCATTTTCCACACTACGAAACGGTGGTCACAAGAACGCCACCAAAATATCACTCAAAAGGCAGATCCGGAGAACAAGGAGGAAGGTTATGGTGGCGACCAGAATGGTTCACCATCCCTCCCACCTCATTTGCCTCTGAGTGCCTTCGGAAGCTTGAGGCAGGGGAGGGTAGCGGAACGCCCGTGTAGGGTGTGTAGAGTGGCTGGTGAAATGCCCTTCTTCCAACTTTCTTCTCCGCTCGCTGTATGATAACCGTTTTCACTTGTATAATAATAAAATTATGTCATATTTTGTTTTGACTGTTATGCTTGAGCTTGATGCTTTCTCCACTTCATATGCAAGGATTCCATATAGTCCTTCATAAACAAGTTTAAGTTGCGAAGGCGCTTAATGATGGACAAGCATGGTACCAATACAATCTTGGAGGATGTAGGCACCACCTTTGTTTTACGAACAACTGTAAACGGTCCTTCATATCTAGGAGAAAAGGAGTCTCTTTTGACAGGATCGACCGCCATCACTTTGGTTCCGACTGGAAACTCGCAGAGCGTGAGTCTTCTGTTGAACCTCACAATCATTTTCGGCAGAGTGAAGTTTACCTTGCACTCAATTGCGGAGAACACGACCGTAGTCATTACCTCGAGTCTCTTCAGTAAATCTTCATGGGACATAACCGTGCTTTGTTTATCGGTGTAATGTAATTATAATGTCCGTTTTCTTTATGTGCGAACAAAAGAGAGAAAAGGGAAAACTCGCGTAAACTCGCAATGTTTACATTCAGACCGAATTGTGCCATTGGGGCGTGTAGATCCATTCGTGTTTCTTGCCTTTAGTATCCTTACGAAATATTTCTTTCGCCGTTTTAACCCGGTTTTCGGCTAGTCCGTTGCCTCTTGTGTAATAAGGTGCGACAAAACGGTGATGTATACCCAGTTTATCCATCAAGAGCTTAGTGACCTGATGGGAGAATTATTTTCCTTTATCAGATTGAAGAACTCGAGGAAATCCAACCAATGATAGAATGTCAATAAGAGTACAGTATGTTGATGGCATTGATGAGGGTGTCTTGATCAAGACAGGATCCAGGATCCAGAACGGATCACACTATACGCGATCCTCTTTCTTCCTTGATTCTAGTACCCACATGCAGAATAATTGGACCTTTTGTTGGGAACGCAAACTAATTTTCCTAGGCGAGGATAAATCTTGGATGAGAAATCGACTTCTCGTTCGTCCCGGCTCTGTAGACCTTTATCCTTGCATGTCGCTTGATACATCAATGTCTGCGTCTCGTTCTCATTCCACATGCTACATTCTCTGTGCTACTCATCCCGGTGTTGGTGATGCGCCGGTGCCCGATACCAGTGATGGCAAACTGAGATCCAATACCATGCACCTTGCAGTCTCAATTACTCACACATCTATAAAAGGATGCGTCCACTCATCTTTTTCCCCCTCGATTCTTCAGTACAATTCAACAAACACCAGCTTGCGTTGTTCTTATATCTAATCGAACTTCAACTGAAAAATGCACTCTACTTCCAACTTATAACAACAACTCCTCTAACAAACTGCACCACTTCCAAATGACTAACACCGCGTCCAGCTTGCTTCTGCTGATCTCTGTAGCCCTCGCCGTCGCCGCCCCGTAAGGCAAGTCCTTTATTCCCTCTAATTCTTTTTAAAACCTTGATTTGCTTCTAAAGGAAAGTATCATACTAAAGATTTACAATGGCAAAACCAATTCATTCTAGGATAGAAGCCGTGCGGGCGCTAAAGATATAATACCAGTACCTTGGACTGTAATGTTACAATAGTTCTTTGAGTTTCGATTCGACCATGTTCAGTCGTATTCTAATCCTTTGGGAGGTAGCTGTACTTGAAGACGGATCCGCGTTGCTAGAGCTCATGCAGTCTTGATCGGGAAAAATGCTTGCGATTGGCACCTAGGAATCGGGGTTGAACACATTTCTTGGAGAGTTCTCGTGGATTGGCGGTTTCAGGAGTGGCAGGACAGACCTTCAACCATCGTCGAGCATTGTCTCTTGCCTAGAGACGTGCAGCTGTGACTTTTGGATAGGCGTCGCATTGACTGCCTCGAGGTACTCGTTCAATCCACTTAACCAGTTTTAAACGCTTTCTTGGAGAGCCCTTGAAGGTGGACAAGAGAATGTTCTTGAAAAAGTTATTCTCGAAGACTTTGGCCATAGCATTAGGGGATTTGAGTTGGTTTAACTTGAACTTGGTACTTCACTTGCGGAAGGAACTTCTTTTACTACCTTGTAACGTGGTCAAGCGGTCGGAGACCAGATTGTGGGATGTTGTGTTTAATAAAGTCTTGAATTATGAACTGCTGGAACTATCTACGGTACAGACTAAATATTTATATGTGTATGGGTACCAGGTTGGCTACTGTTGTTGCTAGAGCTTTCTAGGAGAATACGTGCTTGGATTAGCCACCAGAAGCGTCTCAAAGAATGTAGTGGCAATAGAAGGGTCTGGAAATTAAGTGGCGTTAGCCATGTGCCATCGTTCTGGACTCGGCAATGTATATTCGCATTCTTCAAAACGAGCTATTGAATACCATCAACTGGTACAATATCAATCCACGGCAATTTATCTTCCAACAAGACAATGATCTCAAGCACACTGCCAAGGCAGTCAACTTCTACTTTGCCTCCATTGGGTTGCCAGAGGCGACAGGGAGACTACTCACATGGCGTTCCAATTAGCGGACCTCAGTCCTATAGAGCATTTGTGGCAACACTTAAAAAGACTTCGCGAGCGTGGGTCCATTCCTGAAGGCATGCTTGACCTGTGGAAATGAGTGAGCGAGATCAGGGAGGAGGAGACGCCAATGGGGTCTGCCGCAATTTGGTTCGGAGTACGCCTGAACGGATGTAAGCTGTCATTAAAGCAAGAAAGCAACATACAATTTTGATATGTAAATAAAAATCACGGTTACAAGTTACAACACAATACAAATGACCCATGGTAGGTGTTCTAAATTAATCAGTACAAATGACACTTCAATTATTTCAATTGCACCGATAGATATAGTGATGGCACACAAGTTTACTGAGATCTAGAAAGATCTGGATACTAATGAGCGAAAGGTCATGGGAGACAGCGGTTCAAAATACTTGTATAGTTTTGTGGCTCACTGTACAGTACATCAGTGTTATGGTTTAAGGGTGTTGTATATTGAGGCAACATCAGTCTTCTAAAATGAACACAGTTTGGTTGGTCTTGAATGCCTTAGCCAGCGCCTGAGCTCCGTTGTCTCCGATCTGATTGTTTCTTAGGTCCAAAATAGTTACGGTCGAGTTGGTCTTGAGAGCTTCAGCCAGCGCCTGAGCTCCGTTGTGTCCGATATGGTTCCTGCTTAGGTCCAAAGTAGTTACGGTCGAGTTGGTCGTGAGAGCTTCAGCCAGCGCCTGAGCTCCGTTGTCTCCGATCAGGTTCCTGCTTAGGTCCAAAGTATTTAGGGTCGAGTTGATCTTGAGAGCTTCAGCCAGCGCCTGAGCTCCGTCGTCTCTGATCTGGTTGTAGCCCAAGTCCAAAGCAGTCAGAGTCGAGTTGGTCTTGAGAGCTTCAGCCAGCGCCTGAGCTTCGTCGTCTCTGATCTGATTGTAGCCCAAGTCCAAAGCAGTCAGAGTCAAGTTGGTCTTGAGTGCCTCGGCCAGCGCCTGAGCTCCGTTGTCTCCGATCTGGTTCCTGCTTAGGTCCAAAGTAGTTAAGGTCGAGTTGGTCTTGAGAGCTTCAGCCAGCGCCTGCACCCCATCTCTGATCTGATTGTAGCCCAAGTCCAAAGTAGTCAGAGTCGAGTTGGTCTTGAGTGCCTCAGCCAGTGCCTGAGCTCCGTTTTCTCTGATTGAGGTGTCGTTCAAGTTTAAAGTGGTTAGGGCCGAGTTGGTCTTGAGTGCGTCCGCCAGTGCATGAGCTCCGTTTTCTCCGATACAGTTGCGGCACAAGTCCAAAGCAGTCAGAGTCGAGTTGGTCTTGAGTGCCTCAGCCAGCACTAGAGCTCCGTTATCTCCGATCGGGTTTTCGCTCAAGTCCAAAGCAGTCAGAGTCGAGTTGGTCTTGAGTACCTCAGCAAGCGCCTGCGCTCCTTTGTCTCCGATCCAGTTGAGCCACAAGTTCAAAGTGGTCAGAGTCGAGTTGGTCTTGAGTGTCTCAGCCAGCGCATGAACTCCATCGTCTCTGATTAGGTTGCAGCCCAAGTCCAAAGTGGTCAGAATCGAGTTGGTCATGATGCTAGAAACTAAAGTGTTTTCTACATATGTCGACGATTGGTTTTCATAATTAGGGCCCTGAACCTTGAGGATTTTTATATAGCGCCTATTTCTCTCGACTGTTTCCATGCTGGGACCATGTTTCGACAACACGACAGACTTGTAGAGTTGTGGTGTAAATGAGTCCTTCCAATCCTGACTCACACGCACACAGGACATGAGGTCTTTGAGGTTAAGATTGCTGGCAATTATTGAGCGGATCTCAGGTAGATCGAGGGGACATGTCTTGGACATCATTGTCAGAAAGATGAAGAGCGTGACAGGGGATGTTGAATGCAGTGATGATGTGGTCACAAGAAGGTGCGATTATGTAAGAGCAAGAGAATATGAACGAAGGGACGAGAAAGGGAAGGGAGAAAGAGTGCTTGGGCTAAGTGGACGAGGCGAAGAAAAGATGCAGTGGAGGCAAAGCAGACAATGGGCGCCATAGTTACGTCACCGAAGCGACTCATCATCGTATCCACTGCGCTCTACCAGCACTAATCCACGCTTATGAACATGCTGAGGTTAGCTAGTCTAAGTTCTAAACGCCCTTTAAGCCGCTCTCCATCCACACTCGTGGTAGCCGCCGTCCTCTTGCCGTGACTTTCAGCTCTGTTGGTGGCACTTGGGGAGGCAGTAGATAAGGTGGCGGCACTGCTAGAGCTGGAGTTGGAGCTTAAGCAGGGTCCATCACCATGTTTGGTTTTCCAGGGAAGGAAACCGTTACTAGCGACTGACTGCAGATAATATGAGCGTTCCTGGTTGAAAGATAGCCCTGAATAATGTTCGCCATATTCTCCGCATCCATAACGTCACGGGGTGGTGTGAGTTTCCTCATTTTCATTACTTCCTCTTCAACAGTACCTTGGCCGCTTGGAGGAAGACTAATAGTCGTAGGACCTTCGTTTGGAAAGCTAAAAAACAAAGTTCTTCGCGGTCTTGGGAACGTCCTGCTTCAAATAGGCCCACAATAACGTTTTGGAAGAACAAAGGAAAGAAGCGAATGGTTGTCTTGTGTGGAGATAACTGAAAAGCAAACAGCAAAGTCAAAAATTAATAATAACACACCCAGAGATGGATCGAGTTTCGGTTGGCGGTGCTAATTGCGAGCTGTTGGTCGGTAGGCGAATATGTCAATATTGATGCCTCCACACCTTCCGAGCTTATTGTCTTCAGGAGGGTTCGTGTTTGTGTTGGGAATTTGGCTTATTCTGAGGATAGAGAAGTCATGAGGAGGGAAGGATGGGTTGTAAGGGTCCTAGTCTGGTTTTCTATTACAGCAGAACCAGACCAGAAGTGCTTATTACGACTATCTGGTCTTATGAATAAAAAAAATGGAGGGGTGGATGCTCCACTGCAATGGCACCGTCGCTGTGAGCGAAGGTATTCAGTCTATGCGTTTGAATAATGAAATTTATTTACTATTGTTTTCTTTTTTTATCCGAGTAGACAAAAGGTCCAACTGGTAGGTGATGATCACAACTAACCTACCAGAATACCCCTGCTGCCCAACATTGGACAAACTCGAAGCCAAGTCCCTAAAGTCGCACCGTGCCGTCTCGACTCCCTGAAACGACTTGCAAACCATCCGGCGAAAACAAAACAACGTCGATGTCATGGCTATGACCGGACAGGACGGAAAATCGTGCGCCATTTTTTTTGCATCCCAGACCCTTACTGTGTTGTCAGTGCTAGACGTGGGGACCCATTGGGAATTGGAAGAGAAAGCAATGCCCAATATATCGCCGGTGTGAGCTTGTAAGCCTAGGGTTGGCGATCCAGAAGTGATATCCCGAAGCTGTACAACCCCTCCTCGATGACCGGCAGCAATGCGCAGTCATCTGGCGAAAAAGCAAGACACTTGACCTCTCCAGGACCAAACGCCCACGGCATTCTTGGCTCTCCTGTCTGCACATCCCAAAACTGAATTGTCCCATCTTCACTGTCTGACACCAAATGTTGTCCATCTGCCGTGAACTTAATACTACCAACAGCCTCGTCATAGCCCTGAAATAAACAGCATCTCTCCAGTGTCCAAACTTCACAGCCTTACTGTCTTATCGTCGCTGGCAGAAGCGACGTATTTGCCACAGGGAGAAACAGCAACCGAGTTCACTTTGGCAATGTGCCCCTCCAAGACCAACAGAGTCTCACCGCTTTTACAATCCTACACTCGGACCACAACATCATCCTCTGCAGACGCCAGGCGCTGACTGTCGGGAGGAAACACCAAATTGTTGGCTTCGCCTCTGTGACCCTTCAGCTCCATGATTCTCGCCCAAGATAAGGCATTGTACAATGTGATCCCACCACTATCGCTTCCAACAGAAAATAACAGCACATTAGGCGAGTAACTGCAACTCCTGACAGCATCATACTCCTCTAGGTGTGGCAGCTCTCCGAATCGAACATCCTCCATCCGTGCGCGGCTAAAATTTGCCTGGCGTAGTCAACCCCTCTCGAGATGACGCCCGTGAGGTCAGCGTCTTGGAACTGTACAGAACCAAACTGTCCCCAAGTATGATCCGCCCTTGGAACTGGAATACTTCGAAGACCGGCTCCGGACAAACTCGCCGACGTGCTCCTTGATCTGTTCGACGGAGATGGAAGCATCGGCTGAATTCTGAAAGAGGCCTCAGGTGACGCTATCGAGTCCATTTACACCCTGTTGCTCGTTTGAATGGTCAGACATGATAGATGCACTATTTGTCGCAACGATAATGGAAAGGAGCTAGAGTCACAAGTGCTGTGAAAGGAGGCGTGAACATGTCGGCCGGTATTGGAGTTTGTAACGTTGCCTTGTTCGTTTTAGTGAAAGGTAACTGCAGCAGGGGAGAGGGAAAGTGGGTAATACAAGATGTTAGGTTGGTGAAAGTCAATGCTACAAAAAAAGTTTTTGCATGAAGTAAAATCAGTCTCCGCAGATTCATAGTTTGGCTTTCTGATCAAAGAAATAAAGAAGGGAGGCGTGCGAACAGCGTGCGAACAGTGTGCAAATGGAGGCGTGCAAATGGAAGGGTTGTGCTAGAGATAGGCTGTAAGACGAGGAAGGGTCAAGAAAAGGGATAGGTGATCTACGCATATGTGATATTCCTGTGTTGTCATTTTATTGTGTGCCTTAGAGGTAGTGAGAGTGGACTTATCTCTGCAAACGAAGCGGCGTTGTTTTTTCATTCTTTTTTCACAAGGGGTTAATTCCTGATGGTAAATGATTATGAATGCTTAGTGCGCGAGGAAGGGAAAAAAATGAGTGTCGGATTTTGATGTTGAAGAAAGGAAAGGAGAGTGAGAGTGAGTTAAGTTGTGACAAAAGAAAGAAAAGGAGAAAGAGGAAAGGAAAATTTAAAAGTGAAAGTCAACAAACAAAATTAGGAGCATGCAAATCCATTCTCGGAATTTTGGGTTGGTTGTTCGTTGGGCTGTCATCATTTGATATGTAGTGAGCACGGTAGGCCTACTGCACTATCTTTTTATTCCTTCGCCAAACCATCTTACTAATCAACCCACTTGCCATCTTTTTTGCGCCGTCTTTGTTCTTGCTTTGCCATATGTACTTCCTTCGATTTGAAGAGACGATAAAGGAAAAGGAGAGAGAAACAGAAAAGTCTCAAAGAAAAGTATTAGATACTTCCACACTCGTCCCTTTCGTTGCGCCTTTACCTTCACCTTTCGATTAACACTGATAAAATATTTCAGGTACCAGGTCATGATCATCCGACTCCTCTCACCGTCTGACACTCACAAACAAAACTCACCGCAAGCAGGTACTCCGAGGTCAATACCCTCAAACATGCCAATAGAACTCAAGCGCTCCCTGGACTCCTCATCCTTCAATTTTATCCAAACCAAAAAAAAAAAAAAAGAAACACTTTCCACAAGTTCTCTGTCTTCTTAGTCTTGGTCAAGTAGGGTTCAAGAATTTGAGCTGAGCACCGTAAAGTACGAAATGAATCTACGAATTTCTTCTCATTTTTTTACCTGGGAACAGAACAATCCGCGTGGTGAAACAACCACATAGGCGTAAACAAACAGATGTGAACATGCACTCCTGACATAATCAGACAAATAGTGAACATGTTACACTTCCCTCGCGTCAAATGGCATCACCACACGTCTGCCACTTCCCCTTCCACCCCTCTTAAACGCCTGCTCGTTCATATCACTTCGTCCAGCTTTATTTCTATTTGTTTCCTCTTTTGTGTGCCTGTCTAGTATTCACTCATCGGGGAAGGTTTCTGGTCAAAGATAGATTGTCAACGCCAGAGAGCACATTATCCTTTACTTTTGTCCCAGAGGAGAAAAAAACCAATAAGTAAGACTGACTTAACAAGCAACTGAGTGAATGAGTGTCAGGCTAAGAAAGCATGTAAATGGTGTTGTTGATTCAAAACAAGAAAGTATGAAACCCTTCCTTGCACTACTTCCTCACCTCCGTTTGTTGTCCCTTCCCACCTATCGCGAAACACACGAAATTCAGCTTCAACAGTCAAATGAGACTGCTTTTTCTGCCTTCTCTCCGATTCTCGCTACTCAACCACTCATTGTTTGTCTTCCTTCGCGTTCTTGTCGTTCCTTCTTCACTCCACTTTACTCACTTCAGCCTTTTGCTCAGCGCTTGCAACTTCCTACTTCTGCTGCATCTCTACTCTCTACTCTCCATTCTTCTGCCTCACTCATTTCATTGCAATGCATTGCATTCCTTTGCATTCCCCGCCCTTCTTTACTCATTCTAACAACCCTTGTTGACTCAAGTTACCTTCTTCTCTCCTCACTCTCCTCACTACTTCGTCTTCTCCTTTTTGTCCTTGCTCTTTCCCCTTCTCTCTTCGCTACTTTGCTCTTGTACTCTTGCAGACAGAACCTCTATACTCCTTCTACACTCCTACACATACGCCAATATGACAGTCCTGCATCACAACAGTCCACCGTGTCCTTCAAACCGCTCCCACGCCACCATAACTCCCTCCTCAAGACCTGAGGCGTCTTCGACTTCCCTTTCTGGCCTTGCTGTTACTTCTGCTACTACTTCGTGCCGTAACGTTATGAACCAGGCCAAGAAACACGTCCTTCTCCCCTCCCACCGCGTCCACCACCAGCACGACGACCAGGGCAACAACGGAGTCGAGCCAGCGACAGAGTACAACGGCAACAACGACAACGACCGCCGCTACAACACCTTTGTCAATGACCTCGTCGACGCCCCCGCCCTCACAGACGACAAGGACGACCGCTCAGTGGCAAAGGAGTACCGATTCCGCCAAAAGGTGCAAGTGCTGAACTTTGCCGCCGACATGGCCTGTCACATCCTCTATCACAGTCACAATAACGCAAAGCTCGTTATGCCCACGCCAGAGTTCAGAGACTTTTGCGTCAAGGTCGTCGCACAGTTCACGACCATTTCTCCCCCCGTCGTCTTCCTGGCGCTCAAGTACCTCGCTCGGATGGTGGAGAGTCTCAAGTGCAAGAACCAGAGGCCAAGCAGCAATCCGGGCACTGACGAGTCAATGTTCACTGCGACTCTGGTTCTTGCATGCAACTACCTCGAGGAGTACGACAGCAACTTAACCCGACCCCGCATCTGGGCCAGAGTCACCCAAATCCACAAGAAGGAGATCGAGTCCAGTCGGAAGATGCTGCTCGAGCTATTAGACTACCGTCTGGTCACCACCCCCGCCGAGTATGCTGACTGGATGGCATACCTCGTCGATCATACCATGAAGCACATGGCCGAGCACCAGTTTGTCCCCCTCGAGCACCAGTCTCTCGCAGAGCTCGCACCTATTAACGACCTTTACTCGACTTCGGACATTGGATACATTCCACCTGTCCTCAAGACTTACATGGGCGATCTCATTCATCTTAAACCACCGCCCAAGATACAAGAAGCTGGATCGAGCAAGGAGTCAGAGTGTGACGCTGCTGCGGTCTCTTCTTCCCACCCACAAGGTCAGGCTCAAGGAAAACCTCGAGGTGAAGCAGGAGCAGGATTTTCAGCAGAATATATTGGCGATTTTGCCGCGCATATGGCGTGCTGCATCCTGTATGGTTACAGGGGCTCCGTCGTCGCTGCCAACGCCAAGTCGGACATCGTTGAACCCAGACCAAGCTTCCGGAAGTTCTGCTGTAGCATCATCGACATCTCCGGGCTCACACACACTGTCGTCATGCTCGCGCTCAAGTACATGCAGAAGCTGGTTTGGAGTCTCAACTCGTACAACATGTACCCCGAGGACGACCAGAAGACGGAGAACCAAATCTTCGCAGCCGCCATCATGGCCGCCCAGAAGTATGCCGACGAGTACGACCAGATCCTGACCAGCGGAGCATGGGCCCGCATCATCGGTGTCTCTGTCGCCTCGGTGAACTTGATCGAGAAGATGTTCCTTGAGGGCGTCGATTATTACCTTTTCACCAGCACGGACGAGTACAACCTGTGGCTCGGTTACCTCACCCACCTGACAGAGACTGTAATGCCCTCGCAGCGTTCAGCCATCCTCGCCCTTCGCCATCACACCACCGTCTCGCCCATGCCTCTTTCGGATCTTGCTTTGGCATCGGAGCCTGCTTCGCCTGCACCCAAGTCTGTCGCTACTGGTACCAAACATACTTATCCAGACGGTAGACGTCGTGAGCAAGTCCGAAACGTCGAGCGAGCCACCTATCCTTCAGAGACTACGGCGCCATCATCGTTCGGTGGAGCCGGAGCAGGAGAGAGAGCTGGGGGAGGGGTGACAGCAGAGGTAACCGTTGGAGCAACAGGCGAATCGATCGTCCCTCCATCCCCAGAGTCGGAACCCTCCTCTGCACCCTACCGTCAGCAGCCTCACAGCCTGAAGCGTCCATCCCAGGCTGCTCGCGCAAATCGACCAATCCCTCTCACCGCCGAGGGTCTGTCATCGTCAATGTGGAACCCCTCATCTCTTAAGACCTCGGCACCGATTCGCAGACGTCCCGCTGAGGGGCTGTCATCGTCAATGTGGAACCCCTCATCTCTTAAGACCTCGGCACCGATTCGCAGACGTCCCGCTGAGGGGCTGTCATCGTCAATGTGGAACCCCTCATCTCTTAAGACCTCGGCACCGATTCGCAGACGTCCCGCTGAGGGGCTGTCATCGTCAATGTGGAACCCCTCATCTCTTAAGACCTCGGCACCGATTCACAGACGCCCCGCTTCACGTCACATGGACTTTTATTTTTAAACTAGATCACATCTTGGCCTCAGCATTCTCAACACCCCCGCCTCAGGGCCCCATCCCCTTTTTCTTCTTTCCATTTTTCGTTTTCTTTTTATCCTTTCGAGTGAGAATCTCTTTCCAGTACCATCTTTCCTTTCGATACTTTCATTGTTTTGCTTTTTCTTGGTCGTCCTTCGCATTACCATTCTTTTCTATTTGCTTTCTGTCATCTCTCTTATCTCTTTGTACTACACTAAAAAAACCAAAAAAACAACAACTCATGTAGCATATCTTACTGTACTCCACACAACGACGACCCATCCTCCACACATTTCTTGTACTTCTAGTTTTCTTTCATTTTCTTCCAAAGTATTTTCTGTACCCATATCAACAAACATCTCCCATATTCTAAAAAAACCTTTCCTCTCCGGAACAAAACCAAACTGTAATGAACTGCCACGATGACTGGCAGGACGTTGTTCGCAAAAACATTGGTGTTTTTCTCCATTGCGGTGCGCCTGATGGCCATGACCCTACTGCAACGCCTTTTCTGAATGTATTTTTTTCGTCCGCATACATTTGTTTTTAGCAGTACGAAACGACTAAGGTATAAAAAAATACTTACCCCTTCAGAAACGCGACAGCAATAGCTTATCAGCAACTAGAAAGGATCAAATTCAGACGTAGGAGGTAGCGGCGGCATATAATTGATATTCTCATCCCGCGTCGCAAGCGGGCTGGTATTCCTGGAACCACCACTGCTCCCGGGAGCAGCAGCACTCGCGAGCAAGTTGGGGCTCGGTGTGGGTCTTGGGGGGAGAGATGCCAAACTAGTAGTACACTGTACTATGAACATTGTCGGAACCGCCTAATGTGCTTATTTTTCTGTACTGAGAATTATTGGTATTGCTCTATCGTAACCTCGAAGTATAAACATGATTATTTCACGAATGATTTTTTTCTACGCTGGTCCTTTGCAAAATCATTCACAATGCAACTGACCTGACTGCATTTTTTTGTATGTTTCACCCCAACGTCCCGAGCTTACAAGGGACGATGAGTGTCTCGGCTCATGCGGCGAGATCGCGGGGTGCGGAGCCCAGCGAAGACAGGAGGCGGAGGGCTATGTGGCTTCCGTGGCATTGCTGATTTAAGGGTAGAGACGAGGTTCTGGAAGGTCCTGTCAACAAGAAGCCAACCTCGGACATCTTCCTCGAACCCAGCCAACACATCAGATATAGTGTACGCAATCTTGATTTTGGCTATCTCCACCGCAACACACACAGTCCCCGACCGTCTCATGGCGTAGAAAGTACATTTCTTTCCGATGACCTGAAAGAACAACACCTGGGCCTCCTCAGTGATCTCCATCCTGGTCACGAGTTCATCCAAGATTCGCTTGGACCACAAGGCAACACGACACAAGTCTCCGATGTCTTTTTGTGCACAAGGATCCAGGGAAACCTCCGCCACGCCAACATCGGTGCTCTCTCGGTAACGAACAAGCAAATCCGGATGTTTTGGTGCAGATTCAAGGTTTTTACACAGTCGGACAAACATGCTGCCCGATGTGGCGGTGGTCGCGGTAGTATGGTGAAGATACAAGAAATTCAAAGACATTCTTAGAATAAAATCAGACTTGTACGACAAGTACAGGCATACAAAACATCTGCAAACTTACTGTGCGAGACGACTACAATCGGGTCGGTCAAAAAGTGGGCGCAGCATACCGAGAACGAATGAACTTGTCTGGTCCGCCTCGCTAACCGGTTGGCAATTCTTGGGTAATTTAGCGGCGTACTCGTAAAGATCCTTCAAGGGTGAGTCCTCTTCCTGCGCTATGCGCTGCTTGAGCAGCTTGCGGGCTTGATCCGAGCCAACGTTGCGCTCAGCCTTCCGAAAGGTCTAATGACGATAGATCCGGAGTAAGTATACCAAGGACCCGCAACACGTATATATCATTGTCTCCGCATGATCTCCATCTACCAAGGCACATACATTCCGCGCGGCCTGGCAGAATTCGACTGCCTGATCTTCTTGGTTTGCCAGCATATCCTTGTCCTTATTGGGCTCAATCCCCAAGATCACAGCCTTATGCAACCTCTCGAAATCTTCCCCGAAGTGCTGCTCCTGCAAGCGTGTGGGCTTACCTCCTAGAAAGAGGATCCCTCCTGTTGCGCTACAGATGCACGGCAACAGTAAATACATCGCGTTAGCTTATCAGCGAAGAGTAACATCATGCACACATAAAAAACCGATCGCGATCAACACATCTTACAGAAAGTCCTCGAAGCTGTGGTAGTCGTAAGGCAGTGCCACTGCTTCCAAGTAGTAGTCCGTGAACCGCCTTGAAACATCCTGCTCGCCCACGACACAGGCGAAGGAGAATCGTTGGCAGTCGAAGACCATGTTGAGCGGGTGGTGGGAGCGCTTTTGAACCAAAGTTACGGCATCCTCATCTTTTTCGTCCACGAGGCTACCGCCGTCCAGAGAATCCTTTATCCGTTAAAAAAAAGACGGGGAGAGGCGTGACATTAGCAGTCTACGTAAATTGCAAAAGTTACAACGGTCGAACGGCCTCGCTAAGCGGCAAGTGCTTACCTCCTCGAATAGGCTGATCGCGCTCTTCTTGTAAGTCGGACTATTGACGGAGCCGTCCTCTTTCGCTAATAGTAATTTCAAAATTGGATCGACAGAAACATTGGTAAGGAGTACCGGCGTCGAAAACACCAAACCAACGCAAAAGTATTCACAGACTACTCACCCTGTACTTCCGTTTCCACCTCTCGCCCTCTCTTCCTCAAAAGAGGTATCGTGTGGACTGGTTCATGCTGTACCAGGGCCTTTGCCTATTGTCAAAGAAATGGTCAACATAGGTTAGCAACCGCGCAAAACGAGGACGATTAAGTACAATAACTAAGATATTTATAACATCAATAAAAATAACAGTTAACATACAGTCGCCTCGCGTAGATGGCCGCGGAGACGTTGTTGTGCCAAGAGACGCTCCTCCTCGACAATGATGCCGCTAGTGACGCTGGTTTTGGTCTCCGCCGCGAATGCTTCCAAACGCAGCTTGCCCAAGTCACCTTCCATAAACTTGAACCACGAAGTGGCGTAGTTCCGGATCGCTTTGTCCACTGAATGGCGTCTTCTGATCTTGTCGAGGCCCGCAATGAACGGAGTGGAGTCGCTGTGATTCTTGAGAAAATCACGAACTGACCATTGACGGACAGGAGTGTCAAAAAAGTAATCGTCTGCCGCCTGGTCATGAGACTCGTCGGAAGACGTTTTCCTACAAAGCATCTCCTTATTGAGCTGAGTTGTGTCACCAAAGTATCGGGGCTGGTCCTTTAAAAGTTGAATTTTGTCAGCCATTGCTCGGTATCGCGATAAAAACGTGTTGGATGGGTGCTGTAGATGGAGAGACCAAGCAAGAGGAAAGGATGTGAGTGTCTTTGTGATGCCTTGGATGGGTGCTGCAGATGGAGCGCAGAGTTGTGGAGTTAACAAGCGCCTACTTTCCTCGCTGCCTTGTCCGAAACTCTGTGTGGAAATAAGCAGAAACGACGATTGACAATAGGCGTTCCGGATTAATTCTCTGTGTCCCTTTACTCCTTTGACCTCTTAACTCGCTCTGCTCTCCGTGTCTATCGATGTAAGGCGTTGTCATTTGTCACCCTCAACGTACTCCTGTCGGCTTTTAGCGGGGAGGAATGCTGTCTAATCGATATGTGCGACCAGCCAGGGCGGCCCGCTACATAGAGGTGCTGCATTCAGCGCGAGGCTGTTGACACTGTGTTTTGTGCGATGGTGCTCAGTGTAGATGCGAGCGTTGCTATTGCGCATGTTCTATGCGGCACGCCGATCCACATACTTGCCTGTCGGCTGTTGCGGGGCAAGATGCTCATCTTGATGCACTGTCGGCTATTGGCGGGTGCAAGTTCGTTGTGATTTTTTGTCATCCAGTCGAGTGCACTCCTGTCGGCTTTTGGCGGGGAGGAATTCTGTCTAATCGATATGTGCGACCAGCCAGGACGGCCAGCTACATAGAGGTGCTGCATTCAGCGCGAGGCTGTTGACACTGTGTTTTGTGCGATGGTGATTTGCGCATGTTCTATGCGGTACGCCCATCAAGGAATGGATTCAGCCTCACCGTTTATATTTTTTTTCTTTTATCTGTCCATCTAGGATTGATTTACCGCCACAATCGAGCCTTGACTACCATTGCCGACTACGGTTGGTGTCGCTGCACTAACAGAATCGTTGACAGGAAGGCTTCTACTGCTCTACAGTCACCAGCATCGGCCGCAAAGCAACAACTATCACTAGAATCACCAGCAACTACCTCCATAGCCAGCAATGGCAGTGTCGCATCATCCCCGGAAGCAGCCTCTACAGCAAGCAGCGAGCGACACTACTATCTTCTCTAGGAGCACCCTATTTCATTATCGCCTTCAGCATCTCCTTTCGACTACCAGCAGCAACAGCATCTCCTCCCCCTCCTCCTCTTCCACTACCAACAACAGCACAATGCCATCTACAAAACGTCAGCCTATTTCAACAAGCGGCAGCAACACAAGCACAAATATCAGCAGGAGCAGCTGCAGCTCAAAGGAACAACTTGCTCAAACAGCAACTGCGATCAAGATGAACCTACACCAGAAGCAAGCGAGGCCAGACCCCGGTCGGGACAGTCCATGGCCGGTCCTAGTGTGAACTCTGAAGGCTGCAAGCGGATTCAGTTTCCTCGATAGGGTGACATTTATTTATATAGTTCATTAAAGCAATAAAAACAACACCACGGAATTTGTTTATTTATGTTCGGAGTAGTGAAAGAAATTCTAGGGCTAATGAATGATGTGCCATGAAGATGGAAATGCGAAAACTTGAAAAGGCCAAACCCTGAATAGACACCAGTTTATTTATCTGGTAACGGTGTGAGCACACAGAGGAGTAGCTGCAACTCGAAGGGGATTAGTGGTTAAGATGAGGGATGGCGTCTAATCCTAAAGACTGCTGCTGTGGGCAGTTCAATCTGCACGCCAAAAGAAAACGACAGCGACTGAGCTAAGCTGGATAAAGAGGGAGCACACCTGAAGATGAATGTGTGGTCGCCTAGACGCAGGTCGCGGACCGCCTTTTCATACATATCTCTGTCCTTGAAGCTGCAACGTCGAAAGATTGGGGAAATGACTGCGATCCTCCGAACCTCGACCTCGCCTAAAGCGACACTCGATCGCTCATAGATCGTCAACGTCTCGAGATTGGTTAGACGCCGGAGGGCAATGAGTCCCATCCTGAGCGAGAGCGCATGGATGGCCTCTGGCTTTAAAATTGCAACAGGAGAAGACAAGAAGGGGTGGAGGGGAGTGTGAAGAGGGAAAGAAGCAAGAGTGAGGCAATGAATATATTACTATGATATAGCTATTATACAAATGTCGATTACGAACATAGTAGGCGGAAGTTTTTCAGACTTGCGCTCTTTGGCCGACTTGAGCGTTGTCACAAGGCTGTCAAACGTCCGGCAGACAAGCAACCAATCCCGGGCATCATCCTCAAAGTCGGTCAGAACGTTCGAAACGGTGTAGGCATCTTGAGTCTGGCAAATTTCATTGCAATGCAGACAGGTCTGCAGTTTGACCTGCTCGATATTCTCAAACCTCGTGACGATCTCATCCAGAACGCGCTTCGACCACAGCGCAGTGCGGCATTAGTCTCCTATATCTTTCTGCGCCGAAGCACTAAACGAGACTTCTGCGACCCCAATATCGAGGCACTCCTCGAATCAGACGAGGAAGTTCGGATTCTTAGTACTATGTGGAGATACCAGAAGTCAAGAAGTAGTGTTTGAAATATAAAAAAAACGGGCATATGATAAACACAGACGTACAAAGTGTCTGCCAACTTACTGTGCGAGGCGACTAAAGTCTGGACAATTGAAAATAAGCCGCAGCGTACCAATATGAACGAACTAATTTGATCCGCTTCGATCACAGGCTCGCATTCCATAGGTAGCCTGAACGCGTGCTCATATAGCTCCTTCAGCGGCGAGTCTTTCCTTTTTTGACCCATTTCTTGAGCTGCTTGCGTGTAAACTCGGATTCACCTTTGCTCTCAACTTTCCGAAACACCTAACACAAAAAATAATAGACCTAGGATAAGTACACAGATGCCCGGCAGCATGTGCATATCATATCGACCGCATGAACTTCCAACTACCAAGGCACATACATTGCGGGCTGTCTGGCAAAAGGCCACCGCACCATCTTCCTCGTCCGCTGTGGCTTGTTCGTCGTCCTTATTGGGCAGGATCATCTCGATAATGACCTTGCGCAACTTCTCAAAGTGCTCACCAAAATGTTGGAGCTGCATATTTGTGGACTCGTTGCCGAGGAACAGAATTCCAGCTGAGGCCCTGCAGGTGAACAGCAATACTAACTTCATCGCGTTAGTTTATCAGCGAAGAGCACCATTTACGCAATGAAATCAGTCATGGTCAACGCAGCGTAAAGTCTTGGAGGGTGTTGTGATCATATGGCACGACGATCGCCTCCTCATAACAGTCGTTGAATGAGGCTGAGATGTCGTAGTGTTCAATGAAGCAACCAAAGTCGAACGCTTCATAGTGGAATACGACGTTCAGCGGTGGTCTTGCTCCTGGACAAGTGTCACCGCGTCCACCTCGTCTTCATCCTCTTAGTACTCATCATGACTTGCCTTCACTCGTTTAAGAATACAGAGAAGAGGGTGCATAAGTTATCTAGTCAAATCGAAGAGCCATGACGGTCGAACGGACTTGCAAAAAGGTCAAGCGCTTATGGTACCAAACAACGCAAAGATGGTCGCGGTCAGACGCACCATTTTCTTCCGCATCCTGATCTCGGTCTCGCTTTCCTAGAATTGTTCCAGGTTGCTTAGTGGATGGCTCATCCCGATGCAATGAATTAGTGAAAACGAATGAATGAAATGAACGATCAGGTCACAAACGTAATTGTATGGTCGCATGATGGCCAACGAAGTCCATTTGTTGAGTACGCGACACGGTATGAATGCCCTTTAGTACAAATCTTGTTGGCTTCAATGTTTTTCGGCAACCAGTCCAGCTATCAGGTACACATCGGCCTTACCGCGTCCAAGGAACGAGCGTTTACGAACTGAACGTGGATAGCATTTTGTATTATTCCGGGGTATTTATCCTTTCTCTATTCAAATACTATGCCGTAAGGAAAATCGATGTCCAACTTTGTGCCGAAACTGTACTGGAAGACGGTGCTACTTATCTGTATGGTTCTGAGATCGTCTATGGTTGAGGGGAATGAGTGCGTAGTCAATACTAAACAAGTGTATGGTATGGCACTACTAACAGAGGCGGTCGACGATGCGATATATCTCACCCCGCCAAAAGCCGACGGGTGAGTGTGGGGACTCGTCGCCACTAAGCTCCATCGTAAAGAACGACGAAATTCATCAACAGCAAACAGCCGAAAGGAGTATGTGTGGAGTCATCTCTTACCATGGGTCATTTCTTATCACGGGTGCATCCGCCAACTGGCCGCAATGCAATGGGGATATGGAGTTAAAGTGGGAGAGCTGGCTCAAAGCACTCTTTAATATTTCCGGTGACGTAATTTATGCGCCCATCCTCCAACACATATGTACGCGATTTCCTTCGACTAGCCTAACTCGCTTCCGCTCATCACCGCAACTACCCCCAACACCTTGACCTTGTTACTCACCTGAACGACCACCCATAGTTCTCTGTCAACCAATACTTCATTAAAACCGCTGTCAAGACATGGACACTTTCGCATTTTCTTTGGTCGCATCATAACCATGACATTTTCCTGCAAGATCTTTTGACTGTTTCCAAGTTCAAGACCGCCGACTATGTGGTTCGATGGTACGCTATGGCTTGCGCCTCTCACTACGGCGGCGAGCTGGGTCAGTTGCGAATCCGAAAGGCGCGCGAGGAGACCACCAACTATATCAAGACTGACATGTTGTCATGTACGAAACGATCATCTGCCCAAGCTGTAGCAGAAGAGACCGTGGAGTGCGAACTGGTGTGTCACCTTTGATGACCACCATCCGTCACTGACTTTTGGGCGTAGAAAATTAGATACTAATGCTAACCTACACCGTTCCTCCCTCTCATGCCAATAGCATGGGACGCATAGATCGAAGGATACCAAGAAAGACACCAAGAGGCATCTGGAACTTGACCAAAGCACAGACCAGCGTGAGTAACCTGGGTCATATACAGCTTTCACACATGCCTGCATCTCAGGCCTTTTCTATTTTACTGACGGATTGATTTTTACCTCAATCCTCTGGCTGCATTAATAAGGGGTTTCAAGCTTTGACATGCCCGCATTCAAATCGCAGCGTATTTCGAAATACATCGGCCCTCGAGGAAACGTATTTCCTTGGCGGATTTCCTTGACGACCCATTTGGTTACACGCCGTCAAATGTCAAGGTTTGCAACCCCCCAATAGCGCCGAAGAGGGTGCATTCACGCCACTCGCCAACACCAGATTTTCAAGATTCTTCACACACACACAGCACCCTTGCCGAAGCGTCACTGTTCGATGCGGATGTAGGAATCCGATATGGTACAACGGGTCCCTCGTGGTTACCTGCCTGGCTAAAGCACTGACAAATGAATTCCCTTTCTTTTTCTTGCATCCGTCCTATTTCTCTTTTGTTCGGTTTCTCGATCAAGGCTGCAACGGACAGCGGCATTGAGGAGGACCCTGTTGCCATGGCAGAGCTGAATTCGCATCGGCGGCTCGGCATTGTCTTTGACTCTGACGACAATTTCAAGTTTGAGTGCAAAGTGGCGACTTGAACATGTCTGAGCGGTTCAACAAGCATTACGAGGAGTCGATCGCCAAGACCTATGATCCCGATAACTTTCAAGATTTTCTGTATGTATTCCCGCCAATGGTCATTGCGTTGAATGCAATATGCTTGCTTCCAGATGGCTGACACCTGCCTTTTGTCATCCTCTGTTTGTTGATCACCTGTAGAGCCACTGGCGATGTGCTGTTTTTAGATGATGCGCCAACCGCGGACCAGCGCGTCGCCTTCCACGAGGATTACAGTATCATGCTGAATACGATCGGCAGCGGCATCCAATGGGCGAGCGAACGCGACGAGCAGGACGCAACCACACTTTTTCAAAGGACCAGACAAGTATATGTGAGCTGTGATTTATATTCCTTGGCTCCAGAACTTTGAACTGCTATGGCCTTTCTCCAATTTTTTCATTAGGCCCATCGCGAGGAGATGCGTCGGGGAGATGCCGAGAGCGCTCGACGGGTAATTCAGAAGTCGATCCGAGAAGCAGAGGAGTTGCCACTTACCGAGCTCTTGCACTGTGCGTCTAGACTTGGAAATAACTGGAAACCAACCTCTGAGGGATCAAACATCTGGATTCATCTTGCGGATGCTCAAGCCCTTTTTCAATCGTCTGGACCAACCCGACTCGCGCAGTAAGTTGGCTCAGCTGTGTGTCGTCGATTTCTTTTTTTGATGGATCAATGTCCACTCACACTGATGCTGTGCCATTCAATCATCTACATCATAGTTCTGCCACCACCCATCGTTTGGTTCGCTATTTATCCGACTCTGCGCCAACTTTGACGCCAAGTCCAAGCCACCAGATTTCTAGTGCGTCATGAGGAGAAGCGGGACATCGGTGTAAACGAAGTTTCTCTGGAAAGAGGGTTCGCCAAAGATCGAGGAGATCTATGTCGGACTGCCTTACTTGCCAAGCGGATGCTGGACCAGCTCGTCACAACATTCTTCGGCCTCTACCAAGCGAGAATCATCTTCTTCCAGGTTATTCAGCCGACGTGCGAGTTCTACCAGATGACGCGATGCGGAACTGTCTGTGTGGCAAATCGTATCGGATGCCTCACCATTGCCTACACTCTCGGCGATGTGCTCAAGGGATTCGAGGATGACTGTAGGACCTGGATAACAGTCTGCAATGTTTTCGATTCGCTCATTGCCAGTCTTACAGCAGCTAGACTACGAGCGGATGGCGAGCCAGGGCCACCGGGCTTTCTCGGTCTCGCAACGCCAAGATTTCGCCACATGAAGAAGGACACGAAGCGTCAGTACTGGAGGTCGTCAAAGAAATTCAGGACGGAGCCATGGACTCGTCGACATGTCAGTCTCATTGAGCGCGATCCTTGGCCAAGTAAGAGGAATGGAATGCGAGCTAAACTCGTCATTTCAAGTCGTCTGATCTATTTGACACTCTCAAAAAAGAAACGCCTTCATTCAAATAGATGTCGCGACATTATTGGCGAGGATCATTTTTGAAGAGATGTATGGCTGCAAGGATTATCTAGGATACTGATGCGACCACGACAAAGACTCCCCTTTTGAGAAAACAAACAAAAGGACTGCTCGGGATCTAAGGCTCAAGACTTTCAGCGTGGCCTTTTGCACTCCGCGACTATCAGACCTTCACAGATCGAGTACCTCTCCTACCGTCATCGATCGAGGGAGAGAATAATTTTTGTGTAGCGAGAGCAATAGACAAACGGAGAGGAAGAACTACGTCGTGAAGAACTCCGATTCGACCTTGATCCTTAGTATGAGGTGCTGACAGTGGCCAAGCATCCGAGCCTTCGCATGTTCACTATATTCATGGACTCGGATGCATATCGATAATTCAGGTCGGTTGCCTCAGGTTTATATATGTAGCAGGATGCTGCTGGCACGGAAAGAACGTCCTGGTGAGCATGTGGATGGAAGGAAGGAAGGGGAAGCGAACACAGGAAGGGGACGTTGGTTGCGAGAGGGAGAAGGGGAAAAGATGGTTTTTTATTCCTAGGACAGCCAATCCACAAATTATTATTAGACACGTTCTAGTGCGAATTAGCCAATATCGAATGAACGGGTTCTCGTATTTTATCTTCCTACATACCCTTGAAAATCATTTCGATCCGATCTCTGTTGATCGGATCGCAGCTCCCTTTCGTTCTCTATCAGTTCCCCCCGTCTTATTTTGCTGAGACCTGAGCTAAAGCATGCGGACGATGTCATTCACATTGGTAGCCCGTTGCACAAGGTGGGACAACCTGGTCCTTCGTTTTTGCTTTTTTACCCCGTTACATCACGTGCACTTTCCTTTTCCTTGAGTTCCCAAGGCAATATTGTCTCAGTGTGAATGGCTTCTCCACAAACCTTGGCCTTTTGTTTCTTCTTTCTTTTTTCCAAAACCTACTCGTCTTTTTTTTTTTTTTCTTTTTGTTCCTGCCTCTTCTTCTTTCCCTTTCACACTTCACACTTCACACACTCGTTCATCCCATTCCGCTCTTCCTTCTTTTTGTCACTCACCCCCACTCTCTCTTATTGCTCACACCTTCTTCAACTTTCTCACGCCTTACTCACAAACACGCCTTTAACGCCATGGCCGACAACAATTTCAACAACACCAAGGGCATCGACAACGACATCAAGGACACCGAGAAAAAGTCACTGAGAGACCTGCCAGCAGAGGTTCTGATCCATATCGGCTTGGCTCTGCCCTCCCGCGAGTTTGGTCGCTTCCTCCAGACAAACAAGACCATCCACTCCTGCCTCGACTCCCACTACGTCTGGCACCTACGCTTCACCACCCGCTTTGGCCAAACCATCCTCGAAGACAAACTCAACCCATCCCTTCCCAACAACAGCGACTCCGCCAGATTGTCTCCACCCCTGACCCCATCCTCACCCAGACTCCCTTCACCCAACAGTCAGACTTTTCATAGCAGCAGCAACATCAACAGCAACAATAATAGTGCTAACACAAGTCCGATTCTGCAACAGCAACAACAATTCAACAACCATTTGGACCCTGTCTCGGCTGCTTCATCTCTGTTGCCCTCTGCTGCCTCCTCGCCCCGACTCACACCTTCTGCAGCACCACAGACCCCTCCCTCCGACTCATCTTCTAATGAGGGCAGCGGCAGTGATGGCAGTGGCAATGGTGGGGAGGGGTCATCTTCAAGCTCCGCCAAGAGGCCGCCGGGTAAAGCACGCCGAATCGACCTCCAAAGGACCAACATGGCCTCCAAGGAAATGTTGATTAACATATACAAGCAACTTTGTAAGTAAGCTTTCTCTTCCTTTTCCATTTCGCATACTATGTTACTCTTCATTCGTTCCTAGTGTTCACTTCATCGTCATCCTCTTTCCCCCTCCCATTGAGTTATGACGTTCTCCTCCCTGTTAACAACATGTGGATACTTTCCCAGGTATACCGAGCAAAACGAAAAAGAAAAAAAGTTGGTGCATATGGGGTGCATGCATCAGTTGTTGTACGAAGAGTACCCCCACTCATGATCATGATGGGCTCTCGCATTGTTGTTTGTCTATAACTTTTTCCTTCCCCGCAAAATCGAAAGGCAATTATGGTTGCAAACAAGTGCCCATCCTAATATACTCTCCTGTTCTCTTGTTCTCCTCTGTTTCCCAAACAAACAAACACATCAACAACAAATAGCACGAATGACGCTGCCAGCCGAGGATATGATGATCGCCCATATGGGAAACCAATTCTGGAGGATGATTACCAGCAGCGAGAGCAAGTATGGCAAACTGGCAGAGCTGGCCTCGGTCTGGTGGATGGACGTGATCGCTGTCTTCTATGGTGTCCCGCCAGGACGATACAAGGTCCAATGGCGAGTCAAGGTCACATCCGATGGGCCTGTCGTCAACACCGAGTTCAGAGCCGTCCTCTTTGGCAAGCATGAGGTATGATTACACATTCCTGCAAGACTTCAAAGAAGAAGCGAGAAAAAGGAAAGGGGAAGGACAAACCCTCGCATGCGTGCACGCATAAATGCGAGGTGGTTACTCTTCTTCCTCAACAAGAGGACGTTCGACCTTCGAGATGACAGCAATTGCCTCGTCCCTCACTTTGAGTAATTGCTGGCAGTAACTAGAAGCGTTCTCGCCTGTCATGCCAAAAGAGAGGAGGATCCTCTGATACACCTACACCTATCCCTTTTTTCACTTCTTGATCTAAGGTCCGTAATCGCGTTACCGCGAATACTCACACTGCCACCCCATCCTCGTTTTTTTTTTCTTTTCTTGGCCATTCTAGGATCCTAATACAGTAGGAGAGAGGCCGAATGCATTGACCTTCCGGCCAACGAGCAAACAGGAGTTTGTCCAACATACAGACAGTCAAGGGAGCAAAGTCAACAAAAAGCCCTTCTCGAACTTGTTCAAGGGTTTTACTATCCTGGAACTGCCTGGAGAACTGCTTGTTGAGGATGACTATCGGGGCGTCTTTCTCCAAATTCGCAACCATGATGAGTAAGTTATCGTACTGTAGTCCTCTGAAGTCGCATGTACAACCCCGATGGTGCGATTGTACCTTTCCTCATTTTTGTTTTGATTTGGTTTTTATTTGTTCTCCGCACATTTACTTTCACTAACCTATGTTATGCCCGCATGCCCTACCCTCCTTGCTAATTCTGCATGACAAACATATAGTTGGAAGTCTGGACTTTACATCGACTATGTGCGACTGGTGAACCTGGATGACCCAGAGCAGAGCCAGGAGAGTTTGGCCAATGGCCTTCATGGACAGAGGGTCGCTGCCGGGAAGGAGCCCGTGGATGACAAAGGGGAGGAGTACTACCCAACATCATCATCATCGTCAGGACCACTGCCGTGGTTCCAGCAAGCGCTTGGTATCAACCCAACAGCAGGAATTGATCCTCGAAATCGCCTCCGATCCCGTTCTGCTCGTCAAGTCCATCCTGTTCATCCTTCTGCCTTGCTGGATGTTGGAGCGCGGTCTGTGCCTATCTCAACCAGCGCGCCAGGTGGTGAATCTTCATCGTCGAGTCGGAACAGGAATAGCGAGCTTGATGAGAATGAAGAGCCTATGGAGCGAGCGGATTCATGGTATAGATTCTTAATGTTCTTATTCATCTACTGCCTTTACGTATGCTTCTGGAACTAGCTCAAGCAACGACAATTGAGTACTAATGTACTCTTTTCTCGTTCTTCTGATGTGTGATAGCCTTGCTCTGTAATTCTCCTCAAGCATACTTGAACATGTCTTTCTTCGCATCATCGTTATCACTGACATTGCATTAGTACCTTCATTCATTCATTCATTCACTATACATGCCATGAAGGAGCACGTTGAACAAAATGATGATAAATGATTTATTTTAGTGCAAAAGGTGGAGAAAGGATAGCGGTAGTTGTTGTTTCCAAATCCTTCCTCTCACTGTTGTGTTCTTTCTACTCCTGCAATTCCCGATCTGTTGCTGCTACACTGTTCTTGCTCCATGCTGTCGTTCCAAAAAAAACAACCCAGTTAAGCCTTGACCTCCAACTCGCTGACACGAAGAAGAGTATGCAAAGGCTTGATATGGTACCGTCTCTGGAAATGCTTTCTCCTCTTCTTCTTGAAAGTCTCGACAATCTTGCCCTTGGGCTGTTCAATCACTGTGGCCTTGATCGAATAATACTCGGACGAGACATAGGGCGCTCCCTGGATCGCGTAATCCTTTGAACCGAGCTCCTTGATTTGGTTGAGTTCGATGACATCGCCGAGTTGGACGTCCTTGAGACGGTCGAGGACGATGATGTCGTTCTTTGTAATGAGGTAAGGGCGGTTCTTGATCTCAGCCACGGCGTAGTATTTGAGTTGGTTGCGGAGGAGGGAGATTTCTGAGTCGGAAGAGGAAGATGTTGATGGTGATGCTGTAGATGATGTTGGTGTTGCTACTGAGATAGATTGGTGAATGTTGAAGAAAGTGAGGGAAGGAAGTGTTGGTTAATGAAGGTCTCTTTTAAAAACGAACCGTATATTACAGTGCGATCTGGTGCATATGTGGGCTGGTAAGCGAGGTCAACTGTTCCCGATTTGCTGCTGTGTTGAGACGTCCTGAAAGATCAATTACCTTGGGAGGCGGTAGATGTGGCAGAGAAGAGGCGAACAGCCGAGGTGGCGACAGCTACATTAAGTTATGATTCAGTTCATACGAAAGAGAAGTAACGGAGGTTAGTTTCACTGTTTCCGTTGTCGTTGCTCAAGCAGTATTGGTTGCAACGCCGTTTGCAGCCGAATAGGTTGTTGTGCGAGTCGAGATACGGCCTGTTCTATGTCCAGATACCATGTTCTTCTCTTCAAAGGAAACCTCGTTTCGTTCCTGAAGAGAGCATGAACAGCATAAGCCGCCTGTCCCCGGTGTTCCTGGTTTCCCCTCCTGTCATCGTTTGTCGTGTTCATGTCCGTTTCCGTTATTCCTGTCTGTTCGGGCGTCGAAAGTGCCTCCTATGTGTCGACAGTAGGTAGGTGCATTTACCCGAGTTAGTGCGCTGGGCGGCGCCGACCATGCGACTCGTGAATGACCGAAGCATGGCTTGATGTGTTGGTGAGTTGTGTGTCCGGAGAAAAGATGCGAGGTTGCAATGGGACAAGTCTCCCCAGGCACCCAACACACGACCGGGCAACAAGCAGTCGCAGGAGTTGGGAGATGTGAAAGTGGGAGAGAATTGTTTACACTTGGTTGGAATTAATGGTATTTGAGACTGTTAATTCGGTAAGGTGTTATTTCCAGAGTCAGAAGGAAAGGCGCCACTAACTCTATTTTGCCGCGTATCGGATGGTAGCATGTTGTACCAATAGCCCCTCTTGGTTTACAGCAGCATCTTCTTTTGAAAGTCTGGCCACTCTCAAATCTCAACCATGCCCTTCACGATTGATATAATCTGACCCTTCCGCTCCTCATAGTCAATCTTTCCCACGTCCACCTCCTCCCTCCCAAAGCTCTAAGCGGTATGATATATTTTAACGTAACATCGCGGCATTGAATAAGTAGCCCAAAGAGGGCTGTGGTTTGAACAAGCAAGCAAGGAAGGAAAGGGGGACAAAAAGACGTATGACAACTGCCCATGGTTTCGTAGTCCGTTTCTGGAAGTTATCATCACCAGACCAACAGGTGCCATTCGCCGCTGCAGGAGAAGGATTGTGTTGCAACCATTGAGGGATTCTCTGGAGAAGTTGCAAGTATTGTTTGGAGACCAACAAGTTGGAGTTCGCGACTGCTTGCCATGATGGGTCCATCCGTGCCTTGCAGGAGGTGGGGGATAACAATGGGTTAAGAAGAGTGTCTGTTCATCTGTTGTAATCTTCTGGACCTGTTTTGATTGCCGCCTCAGGCGTCTTACTCCACGATGCCGTCGGTTTCAGCATGATGAATCGCAAGTTGCACTTGCAGCGCGGCGCTACTGGATCTTCAGCCGGCTAAACACACTCATGTTACATCTTCTGCTTTTTTTATTCAACAGTCTGAAGTTATGTTCTTGTATGAGATTGTACTATGCTTTTCTGCGTCCAGTTTTGAATGCCCACCCACGAGCGGAAAAGAAAAAGAAATGTTGACAAGGAGGCAGGCACACTGGTGGGGAAGAGACCCTGGCATGAAGGCAAGAGAACTAACGATTTACGCGAATTTTGCTTCTTGTCTAGATCAAAACCTTGTTTCCGTAGAACTACTATCACGACGTTGTTTTTTTCAGGCACCATCGGGTGGGCTGGCTCAAAGTCTTCTTACAACCATCTCTCTCCCTCCTCCTTCGCCACTTCCTCCCTTCGCATGAAAACGCCTGGTATGATTTTCCTTTTCGTTTGCTTCTTGTGTAACAGCGTGACATGGTGGAGGTTTGGGCAGAAAAAGAAGGATTAAGAACACTGTCGACTCGTCCTGCCCATTTTCCTTCTTGCCCGCTTCTCACACACCTCCATCATCGTCTTCATCGCAGGCAAACAACATCTCTCTCATCCTACACTTTCTCCCTTCTCGTTCCTTACTCTCCATTGCCCATCAACTCTCCTTCTTAAATTCATCGTTTAAATCAACAAACACCTTGATCCCGACCAAATGTAAGAGCAACGCAACATCGTTAGGAAAGAAAAGAACGAGCATAGACACTATTAAATGCCTTCGTCACCTCATCAATAGCACGAACACGCATCCTTTCACAAGATTTTTTTCATATATAAACGGCGCACTCTAAAGACAAAGGGTATCGTAGCAATGTACGTCCAAAGTCTATTACCTGACCGCAAACTGTGCTAACCTGATTTTTTCTTCTCAGTTCACAAAGACGGTCCGTCATCAAAGGATACGATACTTTCAGCACTCAAAACCAAAAAACAACAACAAAAAAACGAGCGTGAGCATCTCTTTTTTCAAGAAGTAAGTCAAATGTTTCTGAACGAGTGTGTTCCATGGCCTTTATAACGTTAACCAAAGCTGCAAAAAAATACATATGACAATTGACATATTTGCTATCTTTGTCTCCTGTGTTAGTCTTCCGCCACCTCGACCCTGACATTCACATATTGTCGCCATACTTCTTACCTCCATCAAGCGAAAAAGCACGTCAGCTAGTACAAGGTAACAGCACAAATGGCCTTATGCCACTCGCCTTCAATTTGTTTCGCACTTTTACAAAGCATGTATGGTCCGTTGTTTACACCCAACTACTGCGCCATTTTATTAGACCTTTCACCACGATGAACAGCCACTCTCTCTACCAACTGGATGATCATGTTCCTGGCAAGGAGAGCACCAACACCGCCCGGCGCACGGCCCAATCATTGAAACACCAGGCGCTCTCTGGGCAGTCCAATCAGTCCTGTGTCGCCTCTCATGAGGATTGGCTCCGCATGGATGCCTTTCCGGAGAATGTTGCCAACCCCGCTGTTAAAACTGTGTTGCCAGGTCTGCAGGAGCGGATTGAAAGAACTGCCCAGTTGCTCTACTGCAACATGTTGCTTCTCCAGGATTCAGACGTCTCTTCGTTATTTGACGCAGGAAAAACGAATACGGCTGATGATCTCGCGAATGCTCCCCAGGCGCACACTCTCGACAAGGCTGAACAAAAGTGGCTGACAGAGGTCAAGGGGGACCCGATTGAGCTGGATCGTATGCAATGGCTCGTTATCAAGATGGTCGAGGAGTTCATCGCGGACAGCACCAAGGACTCGACCAAAGTTGCCGAGATTGTCGCCCTTGGACCTGCTTTGCAGAGGGAGCCTTACCGCAAGCTGCTGTCTGCGTTCATCCGAGACTTTGACGATTCTCGCATTCTGGACGTCAACCTGCTCCAAGGTCTTGTCCAGCTGGTCCAGTCTGCCTCGCCTGGGTATTTGGTATCCGACGACTTGATCAAGGTCCTCAGCCTCCTCAGGACCCATTTGGAGGACACGCACCAGCACTCGTCTGAGCACCTTTGCCACCTCACACTGGCTGTCTCCATGATCTTCGATATCATGGCTGACCACAAGGTGAAGGATTTGGACCGAGTCATAGAGCACGAGCCATTGTCTGCCGTTCTGTCAGGACTGAGGGACAGCTCTGATCCCTACTTGATGTATCAGGCTTGTTACGCCTTCCAAGCGCTTCAGTATGTACCTGATGATGAGACTGTTCTGCAGGCAGTATTGAGGCACTCGACCGGAGTTGTGGATGGCTTGGTCAAAGTCACAGGTGTCTTCAAGTTGGATTTGGGGTCGGTTCTGGAAGGATTGGAAAAGTTGCAAGAGGTGGCCGTCAGTGCGATTGGGGTGGCCGCTACTGTTTATGATGGCGTGAGATCATTGCGTGAAAGCGGTCGAGGGGTTTTGGAAAGTCTGAAGGAAGGGTTTGGGTCTGGTCAGAAGAGGCCATGGTATCCTGCCATCCGCGCCGCATATGCCTTTGTGCAAGCCGGCCAGTTGAAGGATCTGAAGCAGCTGATCTATGAGGCACCCTGTCGCCAGGATCCTTTGTTCCAGTGGGGTATTTGCCAACTGCTGGGCGAGATTACAGTCGACACTGTATGGTCTATTGCCATACACCAGCAAGCCATTGACCTTCTTGGTCATCTCTACAAGGAGGATCAGGAATGGGGTCATGACGAGAGTGTCAAGACATGGATGGTGACTATCCTTGGCACGTTAGGATCTTCTTCCGACGAATCCATCAGTAAATCCGCCAATGATCTGCTGCAGGAGTTCGACTTGGACAACACCCCCAGGACTCAGCGGCCTTACCCATTGAGATCCCATCTCCCTATCCCAGACTCGTCTCCGATCCTTGCCAAGGTCCAGAGCATCCCTTACATGGATCTTTTCCAAGAGGCCGTGATCGCCCCATTTTCGACAGAGCAGATCAAGGACTATGTCGAGCAATATGTTCCCCTCGAGCCAAAGACCTGGCGCACAGAGGACTACATGGACAAGCTGACGACCATTCCAAACCTCATGGACCTGGTTAGGAATCCGTTCCTGCTCTCACTCGCACTGGAAGCACTACCAGGTGTCATCGAGGGAAAGCAGGATCTGTCGACTATCAAAATCACTCGCGTTCAGCTATACGACACTTTCGTGGAGCACTGGAGCAATGTCAATAAGCGACGACTTCAGAGCAACACGTTGTCAATGGCAGATCGCATTGTGTTCGACGAACTTCTGGACATGGGATTTGTTTCCAAGAGCATTGAATATTCCACGAGGCTGGCGTTGGCGATCTTCGAGAAGCAGGACGGGAACCCGATTGTCCAGTATGTTCACGACAAGAACTCCTGGAAAGCGCAATTCTTTGGACAAGATGCAGAAGTCCGGATCCTACGAGATTCGAGCCCTTTGACCCGCACCGGCAACCTGCACCGATTCCTTCATCGGTCCATGCTCGAGTACTTTCTGTCGCGCGCCATCTTTGACCCCAGTAAGCGGCAAGACCACGGTGAATCAACTCAGCAGACGGATTCTGCTTTGTCGGACGACCAGTTGATCGATACCGACGGCCCTTTGTTCACGAGGAACCTTCTCATTGAGCCCTCTGTGGTCCAGTTCCTGAGCGATCGCGTAAAGCAGGTCACCTGGTTTAAGCGACATCTCCTGGCAGTCGTCGAGTTGTCCAAGTCGGACGCCCAAGCGAGCCAAGCTGCTGCTAACGCCATTACGATTCTGATCCGAGCCGGTGTACGATTCAATGGCGTCGATCTTCGAGGCGTTCGTATTCCTGGAGCGGATCTGTCCGGTGGTCAGTTTGACTCGGCACAACTACAGCATGCCGACTTGGCAGGTGTCAATCTCTCCAAGGCATGGATTCGACAGGCCGATCTCAGCCGTGCATTCATGGATGGGACTCGATTTGGAGAGTTGCCGTATTTAGAGGCGTTGAAGAAGGTCTGGTCATGTGCCTTTTCGCCAGACGCCAAGTTTCTCGCGGCAGGTCTGGGCAACGGCAACATCAACATCTACGACACTGCAACCTGGACAAGGATTCAAGTGTTTCAAGGGCACAAAGACCGCGTTACAAGTCTCGCCTACTCGCCGAACAGCCAATAACTTCTCTCTGGCAGCTGGGACAAGACGGCACGGCTTTGGAACAGCGAGACTGGTTCAACCGATTTCATTTTGGAGGGACACTCGGACAGGGTGACGGCGGTGGCGTTCTCACCAACGGGCCAGCAGGTCGCGTCGGCTAGTGATGATAAGTCGGTTAGGCTCTGGGACGCTCGAACCGGTGCTGCTGTTTTCGTTTTGACCAACAGCGCTGGCAGGGTTACCAGCATTGCCTATTCGCCCAACGGAATCACCATTGCCACCAGCTGGAATAAGATGATCCGAATCTTCGACACACTCTCCGGATTGCTTGTGCTGGAGACTTGCAAGGGCGGCGATCGGATTATGTGTCTGACATATTCACTTGATGACCAGCGAATCGCTACAGGCTCCTTAAAAGGTCAATTGCAACTGTGGGAGGCAGCAGCGACCACCCTGGGGCCCAAACGGACATGGACTGCACACATGGAAGAAATTGCCAGCATCGCCTTTTCACCCGACGACCGATGGATCGCGTCATGCAGTCGAGATCGTACAGTGAAGCTGTGGGAATCCCATTCTGGCGCACTTATCTCATCATTTGTCAACCATACGGGCTTTGTCAACTGCATTCGGTTTTCACCAAGTGGCTGGTATATCGCCTCAGCAAGTGACGACAAGACTCTGCGACTGTGGGAGTTGAACTCTTTAAGCCTAGGACTTGACTCTTACGACTTACCAGATCCACAGGGATGTGCAACATACTCTTTGGACGGACGGCAGCTCATCACTGGCAGTCAACAGAAACCCATGCGACAACTCAACGCGGATTCGGGAGACGTCGACTTTGTTTTTCCTGATCACCTGCACAACGTAAACTGCATTGCATTCTCCCCGGACGGCCTCCAGATAGCCATTGGTGGTGTTGCGCAGGAAGTGACTCTATGGAGCGTTGAATCCCGCGCTGTCTCTTTTGTTCTTCGTGGGCACAAGTCCCGTGTGAATACTGTGGACTTCTCACCTTGCGGTCGCTGGCTTGCTTCAGGCAGTGAGGGCTCGGAGGTGCGGCTTTGGAATACTCGTTCAGGAGCAGGCGGTCGTGTTTTGATTGGCCACTCGGGATGGGTACAGAGTGTTGCTTTTTCTCCGGATGGTTGTTGGATTGCATCAGCATGTATGGAGGGAAAGGTCCTACTCTGGGAGGCAGGCACTGGCGAACTCAAGGCAGATAAAGCGATCGATATCGGTTGTCTCAGACGGAATTATGTCGCTTATATGCCCGGCTGCCTCCAGGTCGCCTCCTGCCACGGAGACGGAGCCATTCGATTATGGGACGACGAGCAGCAACTTCAAGGCTTCCGATATATTTTGAAGCAGGACCAGGAGTGCTACAAATTTGCGTTCTCATCCTGCGGCCAGTGGGTAGCAACAACCCACAGCACCAGTGTTCGACTCTGGCGACTGCTATCCTCGTATCAGGATCGGGAGGCGCTACCATTGCAGGATCAGGATTGTATGTCAACCATTGAAGGGTTCACAGAAGCTGTTAACGACATTGTTTGGAGACCCAACAAGTTGGAGTTTGCGACGACAAGTGCTGAAGGGTCGATTCGTGCCTGGCGGGTGGTGGAGGACAGTAATGGGTCAGGAAGAGTGTCTATTCGTCTGTTGTGGTCTTCTGGACCTGCTGTGCTAGTCGCTTCTGGTGTCATCCTCAATGATGTTATTGGTCTCGGTGCGATGAATCGTATGTTGCTCGTACAGCGCAGCGCTACTGGACCGGCTTCATCCGACTAGAGCCACTCACCAAGTTGCGATCTCTTACTGTCTTTATACTAAACAACGAAGTTACCTTATTGTTGATATTGTATTATGCTTGTCCGTGTACATTTGAATCTGCATGAGTAGAGAAAGGAGTAGGAGGCAGGCATACAGGTGGGAGTGAGACCCTGGCACGAAGGCAAGAGAACAAAAGATTTTTGTGAAAACCAGAATTTTCTATCTCTTCTCGATCAAACCCATTTTCTGTAGATTTGAAGATCACAGCCGTTCCTTTCATTAATTCACTGATGGTGCCAGATCAGTGATCGTTGGGCGAAGTTATAAGAAAAGTCGGACGACCAACCTATCTCCATCACGGCTCCACCCAATCATAGAATTGTGCCTGTTCTACTCCCTGTCTCTTCCGTTTTTTCATAGTGCATGGTGTACCTTTGCATGATTTTTCTTTTTCTTTTCGTGTAACAACGTAGCATGCGATGGGAGGTTGAAAGGCGATGGGGCAAAACGGTTGGCTTGTTTTCCCACTCTTGACCTCGTCACTCATACAGTCCCATCGTCTTCATCATCCCACACGTCAACACCCTCATCCAATACCTTCTCCATTTTCATTCATTGATCTCCGCCACAAAGCAGTTCACTTGATCAGAATCAACTCTTGAATCAACAGACACCTTGATCTTGATCAAACGTAAGAGACTCGAACCATCACAACACAGCAACTTAATCTGCAACAAAAAGCGACAAGCATAAGACATTCAAAGTGTCCGTCACTGTCTTAAGGAGTGCCTCTGTCAACACTCATCCACAGCACTAACTGGCATCCTTTGACAGGATTCCTCACAAACGGCGCACTCTAAAGACGCCTAAACTCTATTAAGAGATCTAACCTCACTTTCTCCTCCAATTCACATGGACAGCCCGCCACCTTCAAAAAGAAAAGGAAAAAGTAAAAAAACACGCGTGTGCCATATGTTCCTGGAAAATATGTGCTTGTACGACCTTACTGTAACCAATGTCAAGAAATACTCACGGCTATTGTCATCTTTGCAACCTTTGCTACCTGTGTTAGTCCCCTGCGACCTCAACTCTGACATTCATTGAGTGCCACAATATTCCTGTATTCGCCAGGTGTAAAAGATATCACAACCTGAACAAGGTAAGAGCGCATGGGATCTTTTACTACTCGACTGCAATTTGATCCGCACTTTCATAAAACTTATATATTCCGTTGTTGACACCAAACAGCCTCGCCATTTTATTAGGCCACTCACCAGATGAACAACCACCCTCTCGACCAACTGGATGCCCATGTCCCTGACAATGACAGCTCCAACACCACTCAACCTCCTCTCAGGAAGCGCGATAAATTTCGCAAGTTCTTTGGCATCCCCAAATCCTTGGCCAAGGTCAAGACCAAGTCGTCGACTCAGTCGTTGGACTCTCAGGATCCCTCCCATCAGTCAACTCGATCATTTGGTGCCTCTCAGGTCGACGACAGTTGGGACAACCTTTTGCCAATTGCGCAGACTGAGGACCTTCTCCGCTCAGTCATCTTCCCGGAGAACGTCGCCAAACCTGCTGTCAAGACTTCATTGCCAGGTCTCCAGGAGCGCATCGAAAGGACTGAGCAATTGCTCTATTGCAACATTCTGCTTCACCAAGATTCGGTCATCTCTTCGTCATCTGTAACAAGAGAAAAGAAGGCGACTGTTGATCCCGCCAATGCTCCTCAGGCGCCCACTCTCAACAAGGCTGAACAAAAGTGGCTGACAAAGGTCAAGGAAGACCCAGTGGCACAAGATCGCTTACTGTGGCTCGTCACCCGGATGGCCGAGACATTGTCAGGGACAGCACCAAGGACTCGACCAAGGTTGCTGAGATCGTCGCTCTCGGACCTATTCTGCAGAGGGAGCCCTATCGCAAGCTGCTGTCGTCATTCATCGCCGACTTTGACGATTCTCTCATTTTGGACGTCAACCTGCTCCAAGGTCTTGTCCAGCTGGTCCAGTCTGCCTCGCCTGGGTATTTGGTATCCGACGACTTGATCAAGGTCCTCAGCCTCCTCAGGACCCATTTGGAGGACACGCACCAGCACTCGTCTGAGCACCTTTGCCACCTCACACTGGCTGTCTCCATGATCTTCGATATCATGGCTGACCACAAGGTGAAGGATTTGGACCGAGTCATAGAGCACGAGCCATTGTCTGCCGTTCTGTCAGGACTGAGGGACAGCTCTGATCCCTATTTGATGTATCAGGCTTGCTACGCCTTCCAAGCGCTTCAGTATGTCCCTGATGATGAAACTGTTCTGCAGGCAGTATTGAGGCATTCGACCGGAGTTGTGGATGGCTTGATCAAGATCATAAGTGTCCTCAAGTTGGATTTGGGGTCGGTTCTGGAAGGATTGGAAAAGTTGCAAGAGGTGGCCGTCAGTGCGATTGGGGTGGCCGCTACTGTTTATGATGGCGTGAGATCATTGCGTGAAAGCGGTCGAGGGGTTTTGGAAAGTCTGAAGGAAGGGTTTGGGTCTGGTCAGAAGAGGCCATGGTATCCTGCCATCCGCGCCGCGTATGCCTTTGTGCAAGCCGGTCAGTTGAAGGATCTGAAACAGCTGATCTATGAGGCACCCTGTCGCCAGGATCCTTTGTTCCAGTGGGGCATCTGCCAACTGCTGGGCGAGATTGCGGTCGACACTGTATGGGCTGTTGCCATACGCCAGCAAGCCATTGACCTTCTTGGTCATCTCTACAAGGAGGATCAGGAATGGGGTCATGATAAGAACGTCAAAGCATGGATGCTGACCATTGTCGGCACGTTGGGATCCTCACCCGACGAAGCCGTCAACAACCGTGCCGTTGCTTTGTTCCAGAAACTCGACTTGGACAACACTCCCAGGACTCAGCGGCCTTACCCATTGAGATCCCATCTCCCTATCCCGGAATCGTCTCTGATCCTTGACAAGGTCCAGAAGATCCCCTACTTGGAGTATGAACTCTACAAACTCCGAATGAGGCGACTCGACGATGCCAAACTGTCCATCTATATCTCTCCAATGGCCAAGGCCAACCTTCAAGCCCAGGACAACGAGGTCTTCCCGCTCATGGAAAAGATGCAGGAATTCTTGACCAGTGGCCGCCAAGTTATGTTGATCCTGGGAGATTCTGGGGCTGGCAAATCGACCTTCAACAAACATCTCGAGCATCGACTTTGGACAGAGTACAAGCGCGGCGGGCCTATTCCGCTCTTCATCAACCTCCCAGCTCTCGAGAGACCGGTCAAGGATCTGATGGGTGAGCAATTGAGGGAGCACAATTTCTCAGAGGAGCAGATCCAAGAGCTGAAGCAACATCGGCAGTTCATTGTTATTTGCGATGGGTACGACGAGAGCCAGCTCACCGTCAACATCCACAACTCCAACAGCTTCAACACCTCTGGACAATGGAGTGTCAAACTTGTCATCAGTTGCAGGAGCCAATACCTTGGCCAAGACTACTGCGACCGGTTTCTACCCCATGGAGGTGGTCACTACAACCGCCCTGGCGTCAATCTTTTCCAAGAGGCCGTGATCACCCCTTTTTCGGCAGAGCAGATCAAGGACTATGTCGAGCAATATGTTCCCCTCGAGCCAAGGACCTGGCGCACAGAGGACTACATGAACAAGCTGACGACCATCCCTAACCTCATAGACCTGGTCAAGAACCCATTTCTACTCTCACTCGCGTTGGAGGCACTGCCTGGGGTCGTTGAGGACAAGCAGGATCTGTCGACTATCAAAATCACCCGTGCTCAGCTCTACGACACTTTCGTGGAGCACTGGAGCAATGTCAATAAGCGACGACTTCAGAGCAACACGTTGTCAATGGCAGATCGCATTATATTCGACGAACTTCTGGACATGGGATTTGTTTCCAAGAGCATTGAATATTCCACGAGGCTGGCGCTGGCGATCTTCGAGAAGCAGGAAGGGAACCCGATTGTCCAGTATGTTCACGAAAAGACCTCGTGGAAAGCTCGGTTCTTTGGACAGGATGCAGAAGCCCGGATCCTACGAGATTCGAGCCCTTTGACCCGCACCGGCAACCTGCACCGATTCCTTCATCGGTCCATGCTCGAGTACTTTCTGTCGCGCGCCATCTTTGACCCCAGTAAGCGGCAAGACCACGATGAATCAACTCAGCAGACGGATTCTGCTTTGTCGGACGACCAGTTGATCGATACCGACGGCCCTTTGTTCACTAGGAACCTTCTCATTGAGCCCTCTGTGGTCCAGTTCCTGAGCGATCGCGTAAAGCAAGTCACCTGGTTTAAGCGACATCTCCTGGCAGTCGTCGAGTTGTCCAAGTCGGACGCCCAAGCGAGCCAAGCTGCTGCTAACGCCATTACGATTCTGATCCGAGCCGGTGTACGATTCAATGGCGTCGATCTTCGAGGCATTCGCATTCCAGGGGCGGATCTTACCGGTGGGCAGTTTGGCTCTGCACAACTACAGGATGCCGACTTGACATGTGTCAATCTCTCCAAGGCATGGATTCGACAGGCAGATCTCAGCCGTGCACGCATGGATGGGACTCGATTTGGAGAACTGCCGTACTTGGAGGATCTGGAAGAGGTCCAGTCATGTGCCTTTTCGCCAGACGGCAAGTTTCTCGCGGCAGGTCTGGGCAACGGCAACATCAGCATCTACAATACTGCAACCTGGACAAGGATTCAAGTGTTTCAAGGGCACAAAGACCGCGTGACAAGTCTGGCTTACTCGCCGAACAGCCAACAACTTCTTTCTGGCAGTTGGGACAGAACAGCACGGCTTTGGAACAGTGAGACTGGATCAACAGATTTCATTTTGCAGGGACACTCAAACACGGTAGATGCAGTGGCGTTCTCTTCAACAGGCCAGCAGGTTGCAACGGCCAGTCCCGACAAGTCAATGAGGCTCTGGGACGCTCGAACCGGTGCTGCTGTTTTCGTTTTGACCAACAGCGCTGGCAGGGTTACCAGCATTGCCTATTCGCCGGATGGAAACACCATTGCCGCCGGCTGGGATGAGATGATCCGAATTTTCGACACACTCACTGGATTGCTTGTGTTGGAGTCTTGCAAGGGCGCCGATCGGATTATGTGTCTGGCATATTCACATGACGGTCAGCGAATCGCTACGGGCTCTTTTAATGGCCGTTTGCAATTGTGGGAGTCAGCAGCGATCACCCCGAGGCCCGGATGGACATGGACGGCACACGCGTATTTCATCACAAGTATCGCCTTTTCACCCGACGACCGTTGGATCGCCTCATCCAGTCGGGACCATACAGTAAAGCTGTGGGACTCTCGTTCCGGCTTACTCATCTCATCATTTGTCAGTCATATGGATTGTGTCAACTGCGTTCGGTTTTCACCAAGTGGCCCGTATATCGCCTCAGCAAGTGACGACAAGACTCTGCGTCTGTGGGACGTGAACTCTTCAAGCCTAGGACTCGACTCTCACGATTTGCTAGACGAACAGTTATGTGCGACCTACTCTCCGGACGGACGGCAGCTCATCACTGGCAGTCGACAGAGACCCATGCGACAATTCAACGTGGATTCTGGAAACGTCGACTTTGTTTTTCCTGATCACCTGCACAATACAGACTGCATTGCATTCTCCCCAGATGGTCTCCAGATAGCCATCGGCGGCTTTGCGCAGGAAGTGACTCTATGGAGCGTTGAATCCCGCGCTGTCTCCTTTGTTCTTCGTGGGCACACGTCCCACGTGCGGTCTGCGGCCTTCTCACCTTGCGGTCGCTGGCTTGCTTCTGGTGGTGACGACTGCTCGGTGCGTCTTTGGAATACTCGTTCAGGAGAAGCCGGTCGTGTATTGATTAGCCACTCGGGATGGGTACAGAGTGTTGTGTTTTCCCCGGATGGTTGCCGGATTGTGTCGGGATGCGGATTTGGACATATCCAACTCTGGGATGTCAGCGCTGGCGAACTCAAGGCAGATAAGACGGTCCGTTATGGTTACCGTATGAATGTTGTTGCTTATAAACCCAACTGTTTCCAGGTCGCCTCCTGCCATGGAGACGGAACCATTATATTATGGGACGACGACCAGCAACTCCAAGGTTTCCGATATATCGTGGAGCAGGACCAGGAGTGCTACAAATTTGCGTTCTCATCCTGCGGCCAGTGGGTAGCAACAACCCACGACACCAGTGTTCGACTCTGGAGGCTGCCATCCCCGGATCAGGATCAGAAAACGCTACCGTTGCAGGATCAGGAAGCGCTACCGTTGCAGGATCAGGATTGTGTGTCGGTCTTCGAGGGGTTCACAGGAGATGTCAGGGACATTGTTTGGAGACCCAACAAATTAGAGTTTGCGACGGCAAGTGAGGAAGGATCGATTCGCGCCTGGCGGGTGGTGGAGGATAGTAATGGGCCAGGAAGAGTGTCTATTCGTCTGTTGTGGTCTTCTGGACCAGCTGTCCTCGCCGCATCGGGTGCCGTGCTTAATGATACCATCGGTCTTAGTGCCATCAATCGCAAGCTGCTCGAACAACGCGGAGCAACTGGATCGTCATTAGCCAACTAGATCGCGAACCAGTTCAACTTCCATACGCGTCGCCCACATCCTTCTTGTCCTTAGAATACACTTTTTTGAAGGACCATTTGTTCAGTGCAGGGATATTTTTTTGCGAGTATATGTAGTTTATTGTTTTTGTGTCAGGAAAAAAGTGAGATTGAATAGCAAAGCTTTCCTTTCTTTTCGGATGGCGAAGTGGATGATGAGTAAGAATAAAAATGGAAGCATGGGCCAGCACTCACATGCACTTACACGGATCGATCCAACGACCATTCAGAAAAGTCAACGCGTTTCAACAGCCAAGGCCTGACTCTTCCACATATATTTTTTGCATCCCCCACCGCTCCGTTATCCATACCAGGTCCGAAAGCCCACCCGCTTCCGAAAGACAAAACTTCTACAGCTCAATCTCCCTCAGCTCAGGGAGAGAATCTCCTTGCAGTCCAAACCCAGAATCTTGCGAAAAGTCAGGTCCTCGCTTGATGGACTCGCGCTGCTTGTTCACTGACGCCTGAACAACGGTTGTGTCAAGGAGAAGGAATCCTGAAACCGCGGTCCAAAGCTGATCTCGGCAACATTCCTTAATCGCGCCAATATCGCATGGACCCGGGCTTGGATCGAACGTGAGACTTCCTGTTGTACCCACGCCGTTACCTCCTCAAAAAAATACCCTTTGTGCGCGTGGATCTGCCAGCTCATTGAATCCGGGTCCAAACCCGAGAACACATCCGAACCACATCATCCAACAAGTCTACGCAGGACCGCCATTGATGAGGCCATCTGACAGAACCAAATGGACGTCTCTAGGCACTTCTTTAGCCATCTTTCTACTCGTGGTAAAGGGAATAACAGGTCAAGAGAGACTTTAGGTCGAGAAAGAAGCTGGTCTGGTACAGGATTTCTGGCAGGAGTGAATCCATGGCTCGTTGTAGGTCAGGAGAGTTGTGCAGATGTATTAACCTGGGTGGGTAGCATAGGAGCAGAGGCAAAGAACAAAGGTGCTGGGAAAAAGTGTGTATATATCTGAGCGAAAGACTAAGTGTGAAGTATGGGTGAGAGCACAGAGGATGAAGAGGATGTGTAGGCAGTAGTGTGAACAAGGTAGGAGTGTAAGGAAAGAGGTAAACAGACCTCGAAAAGAAATGAAAAAAATCGCGTTCCTGTAGTGACGATGAACTTGTGGAATCAGGACAGATGTTCTATTTTCTTACTGTACATTTTTTATTCGACACTCGTACTACAACCCACTTCCTAGAAGCCCTTCTTGACAAGGAGCTGGTTGATACACGCCAAGATCGTCCACTTGCGGTTCTCGGCTTCCTGGAAGACATGCGAACGAGGCGAATAGAAAACATCATCGGTGACCTCTTCCTGCTTGCGAGGGAGACAGTGCAAGAACTTCCAGTCGGCATTGGCGCCACTCTGTTCGATCAGATCGGTCGTCAATTGGTATCCTGCGAACGATGCGACGCGCTGCTTCTTTTCTTCCTCCTGTCCCATACTGATCCTATTAAGTTGCAAGTTGATAAAAGTGATATAAGGTCAGTTGGTGTGCATGATTGTGGTAAACAATTGAACAGCTCAGTGAATGCACAGAAAAGAGACGGAAAATGTACCAGGTGTCGGTAACGATGATATCGGCATTACGAAGCGCATCCTTAGGATCATGATAAATCTCCAAATCCGTGCCATGAACCTTGGCATTCTTCTGTGCCTGCTTCAAGATCTCGGCATTAGGCTCATACCCCTTGGGTGTCGCCATGGTGATATGCATTCCGACCTTGGGCAACTGCAACATCAACGAGTGCAGGATGTTGTTCCCGTCTCCGACCCAGGCCAGACGCAAGTTCTTGAGAGTTGATGTGGGGGTGGTGGTGTGGGGGTCGGATCCTGAGGGAGTGTAGAGTTCGTGGAGGGTCATGAGGTCTGCGAGGATTTGGGTTGGGTGGTACAGGTCTGAGAGGGCGTTAATGATCGGCACCGTGGAGTACTTTGCCAGCGTCTATCATTGGATCAAGGGGATGAGGGGTTGGGGGTGAGAAAAAGGAAGTTACAAGTCACACAGGCCATCTTTTTTGCTCAGATCCAATTGTTACCTCGATTTCGGAGTGGGCTCCGACGCGGGCCATAATGCCGTCGACCATGCTCGAGACAACCTTGGAGGTATCCAGCAGCGACTCGTTCACGCCCAATTGAATATCCTGGGACCCCAAAAACATCGCATGTCCACCTATCATTCATCATTCACCACACAAGATCAATACAATGTTAGCCCAACTGTTCAAAGACAAATCAACACATACAAACATCAACATCGGTCAACATGACATACCAAGATAAGCGACGGCGGTCTCGGTGGCGACACGAGTACGAGTCGATCGTTTAGAGAACATCAACGCCATAGTCTTCCCCGCCAAAGGTGCACCACTAGGCTGTCCCAGAACCTTTGCCTGATGTTTGAACAGGCAGGCACTTTGGATGATATCCGACAATTGCTTTGGAGAAAGATCGTTATCGGTCAAGAGATGGGGTACTCCCGAGACGGCGGGGACATCTGCAGTCGAGTAGATCTTATTGTTCTGTTTGCTTGACTGAGGGGAGGTGTGGAAGGATCGGGCAGCGGCGGCTGTTGCTGCTGCTGCTGAGGGAGCGGTGGTGTGGGCAGCGACGACGGATGTGAGGCGGATAGTTGACTTGAGCATTTTTTAGGAAGGGTGTGTGTGGTGTATCTTGTAGAGATGGGTATGTATATGTATAAGGTACAAGAAGGCCTGAATGCGATCAAAGGGTGCAGAAGAGTGAAGGTGAAGAAGTGAAGTGAAGAAGAAAAGGAAAAAAAGCGATGATCCACGCCCTTTTTATATGTGTCCAGCGAGACACCGTTGGACTCGAAATTGATCGAAAACTCAAATGCAGAGTCACCACGCATCCTAATGACAAAAGCCGTCACAATTATCTCTTCTGTCTGTCCTCTCGGAGAAATGAACAGGGAAAAAAGGTATCCGCATTTCATGTGCAACAACAACAACCACCAAATGCCTTCCCTACGAAAAACTACGAAAAGACCGTTTACTGGAGCATCTTGACGCCAAGCGCGTCAAGACGACCCCGGAGGTCGTGCCTATCCTCAATCGCCTGCAACTTATCCCGTCCACCAATCGACTCGCCCGCGAAGAAAATGGAAGGAAACGTCGAGTGTCCATGCGTAATCTTTGTCAAAATCTTCTTGATATCATCTCCCTTTGCTATTGTTTTCGTTATTAGAGAGAAAACGGTTATGTCATTGTCAGCAATTGAAAGACGAGAGGACATGGCAGTTGGAGGAGAAAGAGGCAAAAGGGATGAATGGCGTACGTTCGAGGTCGACTTCTAGTAGTCCAAAGTCGTTGGTATATGTCTTGAGCAGCTTCTTTGCAGCAGCAGAGAATCTATTCCACATATTCACACGCAAAGTTGTTTTCGTCAGTAAAAACATGCATTATTGGACAACATGCATACACAAATCCCAATGCTCAAACTATATCATCAAACACTCACGGGCAGTAGGTCTTGGAAAAGACCATGACACGGTTCTGATCAATCAACCCTTGGATACGATGCTCAAGAGTCACAATCGGCGTCTCCGGCACATCTTGGTCATCATCCACCATCATAGGCTCCCCCTCTCCGTCGACAACGGCGTGTCCCGAATGTCCCTGTTGCGTTAACGATTTCCCCCCTCCTGTTAATAATCCGGTGCTATCAGCTCCTGAGCGGTAGATTGTAGCGATGTAAAAGACACAGTAGAATGCTAAGGCGACGAGGGTCAGGACTCGGAACCGTCGTGATCGGACGATGGTTGTGATGACGTTCTTGGTTTTTGGTTTCGTTGACAGGGCCTCCATGATAGTGTTTTGTTGTGTAATTCCTGAGCTGTGCGATGTGAGCGTGTTGTTGGTATAGGTGTGTGTGTGTGTGTGTGTGTGTGTGTGTGTAGGTGAGGAGAAGAAGGAAAAGAGAAAGAAAAGAGAAAAGAGAAAAGAGATGAGCAAGAGTGATGTGCAAAAAGAAAAAAGAAAGTGAGGAAGAACGCTTGCCTGTGCTTCCCCCTCGCCCTCTCTAGACCCACAAAGCCCACTTCTTGGCTCACAAGAACAAGACAAAACGCTATTTCATTTCGCTTTCATAACCGCTTGCTTGTCTTGTAACGATGATGTCCTTTTATTATTGTTATCCTTTGCCTCTTGGGCTTGTTGTCTCTCCCTCTGTCTCTGTTGCACCGAGCTTATTCACGGTCCATTCATGCATCCAAATAAAGGATGCCTCAGACTAATAAGTAGGAAGCGCAATAGTCAAACAAGCCAGCCCCATCTCCCGATCCTCCCAACTCCCACCAGCAAAATCCATCGATACCCCTGTCGTCCTCCCATACCCAACCCAACAGTTCCCCTTCCTCCCTCCACCTTGCTTTTCCTCCGGCTCGCCCAACAGCTCCACCACCTCGTGGCCCTTCTTCTCCATATCCATCTCCACCAACTCTCTTGGCTCTGTTGTGGAGGTAGAGGCTGACTTCTTGGGGATGACGAAGGATAGAGGAAAAGTCTCGAATTTATCAGCGGGGCCTCGGTAGAGATGAATGGCGACCAGTGTAAGGAGGGACGAGTCTGGTGTGGAGTTGGTGTATGCGGACGGGATCAATGGTTGTGAGGGTTCATAGTTGAACGAGATCCCGAAGGTAGGATATGAATAGTACACCGCATCCTTGTATATCTTGACTGTTGGTTTCGGTACTGGATACGTAGTTACTGTGGTTGTGCTGTTTTTCTTCTTGTGAAAAGCCGCTGCTGCCCCTGCAAGAAGTGCATCCACTTCAGGTGAGCCTGGATGTCGACCAAGTAACGAATGGAGCTCCATGGCCGGTTCTTGATTGTCGTGTAGAACAAAGTGGAGAGAGATCAGTTTTCCCTGTAGAAGTGGGTGTGACATTTTTCAGTTTTTTATTTTTTCGCTCTTTTGTGTTGCTAATTTTCAATTTCAGATAACGCCCGTCTGCATGTGTGTCTTGTCTCCTAATTTGAAGTGTTTGGACAAGTGGACAAGTCCGACGACTGTCTCGAACAACAGCCAACATCCGCTACTTAGCGGTGGTGGCGTTCCCGAGAAAAGCTGCTCAAAAAGCTGGACACGTTGGCACGTGTACCAGCAAACATCTCACGATCACGTCCGCCACGAGGATGAGGAGCCTCAAAGGAATGCTCGCCATCGTTGGGTCCACCACGCTCGCCAGGGGGGCCCTTGACTACCAAGCCATGGTTCATCATCTGCATACGAAGAACCAACGCCTTGGCCTCGCGCTCATAGTCCTGACCCATCGCTGTCGACCGGTCAAAGATCGCAGAACGCTTGTTCGTCTGCTTGGCCCACAGAATCTTTTGCTGAGAATCAATCCTGGCTTCAATCTGTCCTCCAATGATCAACGACACCAACTCCTTCTCTAACGCAGGAACTGCCGTCGAAAAGCTCTTGGCCATCTTGGTCAAATCGACCGTTAAGAATGGGCTCGAGAACTGAATCAGTGCCTTCTTGCGAATGTTCGTGTACAAAGCCTCAATATGCGAGTGCAAATGCAAATCCAGCAAGTAATCGTTCTATTTAGTGCGATGATGACAAGAGTATATATGTTAGACAAGACCAATTGTTAGATAATTACGTCCGCAATATGAAACATAAATGAAAAGCTTACCTTCCACTTGTCCATGATGTCGAGGCAGAGGGCATAGTTGGAGTTGTAGAATCCTTGGATGAGATCACGGATGTGGGGCTCTAGCTCGAGGTACTGGCGAAATCCAACATTATCAATGACCAGACGCTTAAGCTCTGTTCTGTTGAAACTGGCCAAAGCACAGAGTCCTCCATAGACGGCAATGTCGTTGGCGGAGATCACATCACCGTACTGGTTGCCGACCAGCTCCTCCCCAATCGACAAGAAATCGCGTGCAGCAGCGGGGTATTTGCTGAGATCCAGGTTGGCGAGTCCAGAGGCGGCCTTGAGTTTGGCCTTGGTCACCTCCTTGTCCTGGGCGACCTCGGGAGTTGACTCGGCCTTGACGACATAGGTCAACACGTGGGGAAAGTTACCGAGCTCGATGCTTGCCTTGATGACGTTCATGCACAACTCGATGATGTGCTTTGAGGTCGTGCAGTAGTCGCGTGTGCGCGAGTACGAACGGTGAGCGCTGGTCAAGTCTCCGCATGCATAATAGTGATTTCCCAATTCGATATTTCCCATCTATTATATACGATTATTTAGTAAAGAGGTTGGTTAGAGTTATTTAGTTCAAAAGCCAAAGAGAGCAACCCGGCATTGATTTTTTTCTATCACTCAAGCAATCCGATATTAACAAGAGACTTACGCGGATGCTCTCTTTGATAGAGTTGCGCTTGTAGTTCTTGAGCTCACCCTCCAAGAGATCAGTCTGCTGCTTGGCCTTCAGCATCTGGTTGTCTGCCCAAGCCTTGTCGACAGTCAGCAGGTCGCTGCTGACAGACCCGCTGCCGGGTGCGCCAAACTTGACCGCCTCGTTCAATTTCCTGACCAGGTTGATGTATCGCGAGACATGCAATGTATTCGTGATTCTGAGCTCCGTGATTGCCAGCTTGAGCGCGTCGACCTGGAGCGAGGGGCAGCGGTCCGCGATAAACTCCAAGCGGTTCACCTTCGTGTGTCCTATTACATTTGTTGAAACCAAAGGTGAAATCGTTAGAAAGAGAGTCGAAAATGAGTCCGTTTGTCTCTGCGGTAGTTCCCATTGCCACCAATGACACAGTGTGTAAGAAAGTAGAGAAACAACAAGTCGCTTTTCATTTCATCCGTTATAATTCCCGTTGCCATCGCCACAATCTGTTGAACAACGTCTACACTCCTGCCTCCGTTTCCTTGATTTGCTCCTCCTTTGCCACCAATACTCATATCGTAAGAGTGAGAGCAAAAAGTCGCTGTCGTTCCACGTATTTCCAGTATGGTTCTCATTGCTACAACCGCCCTCATGGTTCCTATACACCCTTCTCCTTCCTCGTAAATATTCCAATATCAAAACAAAAGGCAGCCTTGATTCCAGCCCAAACCAATGGCAAAAAAAAGTACAGCGTCACTCCGTGTGCGCATGTTAATTCCAATTACCTTTGTAGGTAGCAATGTAGGCGTCAAGGTCCAAGTTATTGGGAGCATCGACCTCAACAACTTTGACAAACCGTTTACGCTTCGAGTTGCCCGCCTGGTCCGCTCCACCACTGCCACCAGGACCATCCGCAGTCAAGGGGACGTTGGACAGGGACGATGGCGTGCCCACGGCGGCGGGTTGAGAGTCGGTGTACATGTCACTGTCCATATTGGCTGTGTGGTTGTCGGCAGAGGTGTCCATGGTGTTGTTGTTAGCGGGGGTGTAGCCTGGGGTGGGGTCGAGTGAGGTTGGGTCTGGGGAGAGACGAGGGTCCATATGTGTGTGTCTTGTGGAGAGAGATTCCTTGTTCCTTATGCTGAAGTGGCGACGCGTGTGTGTGTTTCGAGGGCGCTTATGTTTTCTTGGTTCGGTTGATGGGTGGAATCGAGAATAAGAGCGGGTTCCTTGTCGGTCTTTGTCCTGCTCCTTGTACTTCCTTGTGCTGATGATAGGTTGGGCGGTGGCAAGTAGGGAGGAGAACGTGTGCGTTTGCAAGAAGGAAAGGAAAGGAAGAAGGAGTCGAAAAGTACAAAAAAGCCAAAGAAAAAATGGCGCAGGCGAGGTGTAAGTGTGTGCGTGGATGGGGCAAGACACTTCTACGCCCCCATGTCGAGGGTGAGCACACCCTGCCAGTGTCAGTCGCTTGACTCCCGCCGTCACAAAAATTGAATCTCGCGCCGTGTGCCTACAGACAAGTCAAAGCCACACTCACGAACACGCTCATTGAAACTTCTCTCAAACTGATCAAACGCGTCGCCTCCACTCCTTGGCTGTACCATTGGAACGTTTCCTGAAGGGCGGCACTGAGCACAGAAAAAATGCTAGCCACAACATTATATGCTAACACTACTAAACCAGCATCCACTTGGCTGACCTGAAATACTTTTTTTCAGGAACGAAGCGAAATAGAATGTCAATTCCCTTGTAGTCCCATCCTTCACCTTCTCCTCAACTTTCTTCACAAGTTCCAGGTCGTCCTGTGTCCTGACTATTCCCTTCCCGTTGCCACCATACGCACTATGACGAGAAAAATAACAAGGGCGAGATTCTTACTCCTTACCTTAATATCGGTCCGGCAGTTCTCTACTATGCATTTGCGTCCATCGGTCGGTACTGAACGGTCTTGAACGCTACCGACTATTACTATCGCCCATAAAACGATTGCTAACCGTCTCATTCAAACGAAGCATATAAAAAGGGAGGAACGATTTCCCCCCGCTCTCTCTCTCTCTAACACATCTCTCTTTCGTCTTGTCAACTCTCCTCGTCGCTTTCTTACCACATATCCACTCAACCAACATACAATGATCGGCATCAAATCAGCACTAGGCTTAATGTGCCTACTTCTGGGAGCCACAACACCATCCACCACCCTCGCAGCACCCGTCATCGGCTCTGATACCACCACCAGCATCTCCCTCGACAGCAACACTCAACTCGCAAAACGCTCCTTCAACCCGCGTCAAAAGTGGCAAAGCGACGAGCTCAACTGTGTGCAAATCTTAAACCCCTCCCCCGGTGCGACCTACCACCCAGGATACTTTGTCCGTCTCAACTATGGTGCTGGACAATGTGATGCTACCGCTGCAGGACCTTGGACAATTCATTTGTATAACAACCTTGATATCCAAGGCGGGAAAGTTAGTTATGACTACCATGAGGTCATTGCCTCTGGGGTAAGTTCTCTTTTTTTTTAATCCCTTTCGTACCCCTAGTTATTTGTGCATACTTGATTCAATAGTTAACATAGCTTTCTGTTTCATTCGAACTTATAGGTAAACGAGTACAAGACGCAGTACATGTGGACGATCCCAAACAACCAGAATAGCAAGACTAAGAACGTCAAAAAGACGAACGAGTATTATGTCCGCATCGAGACACACTCCCAGGAAGGCGTCAAACTCGTCGGAAACGCAGGACCCTTTGCCATCTCCCCTCAGCACGACTCGGGCAACGGTGGATTGAGAACCCTGGCTGAGGACGTTGCTCATCCTTTGGAGGAACTCAGGCGTCGCGGGGATGCTCCTGCTGCTTTTGCTACGGAGCCTGAAGGCAATTTTCTTGCAGAGTTTGCACTTCGTCCTCAGAGACCCTTTCCCGTGAACGAGGTTATTTTCACTCCTCCTACACCCTCGGTTATAGTCGCCCCTGCCGCTGCCACTGTCACCAAGGAGTCTGTTGCACCTGGTCCTGCTATTCCTGCTCCCGTTGCACCCGCTGCTGTATCTGCCCCTGTTGCATCCGTCGTTGCACCCAAGGAACCAGTTACTGTTGCTGCAGGAACAAAGACGACAGATGCCAACGTCCCTACCGACATTGACGTGACAACCGACTCGAATGGTTCCAAGGTCCAGCTGAACGACCCCAAGGCTGCAGTCGCCGTCGATACCCAGGACAAGAACCTCGTTGACATCAATGCCCCCGACGTGACCCTCTCAGAATCTGGAATCGCCGCTATCGTCGCACCTACAATCAAAGACCCCGTTGCAGCTGCCGTTACAACCGATGGTAGTAGTGTCATCGCCGAGATTCCAGCCATCACCGAGATCCCCGAGCCTCTCAATACAGCCCCCACCGATGAGATCCACCCTCCAGTGACCGAGATTGCGCATACAAGTTTCGTCCCTGGCAAACTCCTTGTTGCGGGTGCCGTTGCAGGAGGTGCGATTGGCGCCGGTATTTTGGGCGCCAGTTTCTTTGGACAGGTGGGCGGTATTATTGGAGCTGTTGTTGGAGGTGTCATTGGTAGTGTTGCTGTGCTTTTGAACTTCATTGGTGTCCCTGTTTAAGGACGCGTTTCTTGTCATGACCCTTTGTATCTAACGAAAAAATAAGGCCTTTGAGTCTCTTGTCGACTCTGTATACCCGCTTTTGCCTTGCAATAAACCATTTATGAGACGTGCTATCCATGCGTTGCTCCTTGTTTGTTGAACTGAACTGAGTTCGGAGCGTCGGATTTTTTTCTCGTTCGGACATACGCCACGCTTCTCCACTCTCTCACTGCTCTCACTTTTTTGTCCCTCATGTCACTGCCTCGCCTTCTTCGGCTTTGGAAATCATCTCCGAGATCAATCCCTCATTCACTCTCCTTCATCAAGCAACACCACCACCCTTCTTCATTCATCACTACCACCTCACCAACAACAACAACAAAACTCTTCTCCACCGCCTTTCCCCCCACAATGACAGACAACACCAAACCACACCCACTCGAGTTCTTGATAGGCACATGGGCTGGGCGCGGAAAGGGCTTTTATCCCACGATCCCCTCCTTCGAATTCTTTGAAGAGCTGACGTTCACCAAGGACCCTGCCGGTCGACCCGTCGTCGCCTATTCTCAAAAGACACGCCGAGCTGTTCCTGGAAGTGACGGAGCGGGAGAAACGGTCCCGGTTCCGGGGCCTCCTCTTCATGCAGAGGCCGGGTTTATTCGCTTGCCCAATTGGTCGAATGAGAAGTGTGAACTTGTCCTCAGTCAGCCCACAGGTGCCGTAGAAGAGAGATTTGTTAGGCGCTTCTTATTGATGTAGGAGATCAAGTATTCATTTTCATATTCACCTCTTTATCTCGTTGGATGTATGTAAATATATATATATATAGGTGTCGCGAGCATTGAGGTGGGCGCTATCAAGGGAACCACGATCGACTGGGAAACCACCAGCATTATCCGCTCCCCCAGTGCCAAGGTAAGTTACCAATGTCATCTGCATCAGATATAAGCACAATGCACCATCCAGCGAACGTGTTAACTGACCAGGCACCTTCTCTCTCTCTCTCGCCTAATTCTTCCATAGGCGCCTCATACAACCCATTTTACAAGGTGTGTAAGACGACATGGACCTTGGCATCATTGAAATAACTACAAGTGAATCTGACCCACATCTTTTGAATTCTTCCACTGATAGGAAATGGATAATCAACCCAGAGGAAAGGACGTTCTCGTACGAATTCTCGATGGCGACTGAGAACACGCCCCTGACGCGCCACCTCGAAGTCCATCTTCTCAAGGTCTAGAACCTCTATCCAGTAACTCATAGTACTCCTCCAGCAATAAAATAAAGACAAGATCAAGGAAGGCGTAGCTGTTATTCTTGATCTTTTTCTTTTTTGTTCTAATTGTTTCTTTCGCCGTTCTGTCACATCGAACGAAGAGAAGAGTGGGCGCCGGGTTTCGTTCGATAAGCTGGTTTGTGCAAACGCAAGGTAAAGGGATCCATCACATGACCAATGGGACTCGAAAAGAGTCATTTCACCCGCACCCTTTTCTCGCTCGTTGGAGGTGTGGGATAACATCTTCGACGTGGATCGAATTTACTTTTTTTTTTTTTCTCGTCCAGAAAAAGAAACTCCTTTCAAACCCTTCCATTGCATTCCATTCCATTCCCTACACCTACTCTTTTTCTTCTTCAACACATAAAAAGGGTATATTCAACCCCACTTTCTCCTCTCCTCTCACTCACAACAACAACAACAACAACAACAACAACAACAACAACAGCCTTCCTCAATTGCTATCACAACCACCCAACTACCAACGAAATGACACTCAAATTAAACCTCGAGTTGGACTCCCTTCCCTACACAATCCACCGCCTCCCACCGACCACCCCCGCATCCGCCTATCTCCCCCTCCTCGACAACCAAGCCTGGTACAGCATCACCAAGACAGCCGAAGAAATCTCCCTCGTCATCTCTCACGCCTACCCTTCCTCCTCCACCCTCCTCCCGAACGACGAGCACAAAATCTCCCCTTCCTGGAGATGCTTCAAGGTTGCCGGACCCTTGGATTTCAGTCTGGTCGGGATTATGGCCAACTTGTCCGGTGCTTTGGCGGAAGAGAAGATTTCGGTGTTTGTTGTTAGTACTTATGATACGGATTACATTCTTGTCAAGGAGGATAAGGCTCTGGAGGCGAAACGTGTCTTTGAAAGCATTGGTCATTCCGTTGCAGTCCTTTGAGTAACAGGAACACACAGACAAATAAATACGAATGCATTTCGAACCAAGTAAAGTATGTACGAGATCGAGCCACATGGGAACAATGTCAAATGCTTTGTATATTTGAAAAGTGACAAGATTGAATGCAGAAAAAGAAAAAGAAAAAGAAAAAAAATAAGATTGTATGCACCAGATGGGAAACAAAAATGCTAAGAAGAAGGAGGGGGTCCGTAGCGGGCTTTGACGACGACAAAGTGCAACCACTTCGACCGGTCCAACCACCAAAGACCCTTGGCAAGCGCCGAATAAGTCCACTTGACACCTGGCCCAACCATCCCTCCAAACCGGCTGGTTTGGTTCTCGATATGAGTTGCCAGTCCCGAAAAGACCCTCTCCTCAATACACTCAATCTCGATATCCACAAACCCAGCATCGACCAAATCCTGACGGTATTCGTCCATCATTTTCATATTAACAGGAGGTACTTCCATAGCACCAAAGACCGTCTTGAAGATCGACAGGCCGAACCCAGAGGTGGGCGCGGGTTTTGCGAGGATCATGTCGGCGAGGGCGAGACGACCGGTGTTGGGTGCAAGGACTTGGGCAGCATTTTTAAGGAACGCGGCGCGGGTGTTGTAGTGGTATGCTGAATCGATGGAGATGACATGCGAGAAGAAACGGTCGCTGGAGGGAGTAGTGGAGGCAAAGAGGTTGGGAGTGGATTCGAGGAATTGGGGCAGCTTGGAGGCGTCGGCGACATAGAGGTTGATGTCTGTTCCGGGAGTAGGTGTACGCTTGACTAAGTCTTGAGCTGCGTGGTGTTGGATCGGTTCTATGGTGATGCCTGTGATCCTTGCTGGCTTGTGAACTTGCGCCATATACACATCCTGGTCTCCACATCCAAAGCCGACATCTATTTTACATGATTGGTATCTGGATTAGTTAATTGTCTGTGAATTAACTCTGCAGACCAAAGACCATTTGAGAATACAATTACAATCGTACCGAGGATATGACTGGAACTGGTGATATCAAGGTGAGATGTCACCTTGTCAACAAGGGCCTTGCAAGCATCCTGGAACCGCATCGCGGGCACTTTATCCTTATCCCAAAGACCCATATTGAACCACCAACCGGTCACTTCCAAGTTTAGGAACGCGTGCTGCAGACCGTACATGACCCTCTGATCCAATTGCTTCTTTGCCGTCTTTCCTTCCCCTTTTTCAGAAGCATGGATGACATCGAGACCGACCTTGTCGGGGTGTCGGGAGGTGAGGCCGCACAGTTCTTGGATGGGGCTGGCGAGGGATGTTTCTGCAACGACAAGTCCGAGAAGAAGGCCAAGGAGGAGTGAAGGAAGGGATGTGAGGACGGGGGAGTAGACTGTGTGGAGGGAGAGGGCCGCGACCACTACCGCGAACACTGCCAGGCGGTTTGACATTGAATGAAAGTGAAGACAAGGAAGAGTGAGTGCGGTAAGGGAATGAAGAAGAGGAATGAAGAATGTCGTAGGAAAGTCGAATGTCAAAGAGAGAAGCGGGATTGTCGTTGTTGGCGTAAACGCGATGCGGTCGTTTATCCAAAAGAAAGGAAGGACAGGAACCGTTGCGGAAACTCAAAAAACGTGAGACTAATAAACGATGATCCATCGATCAGAGGCCAATGCATCGCCCTTAATCTCTCGCTTGTCTTGTCTTGGGAAGAAGCCAAAAGGTCTACAAGAACGAAAAGGTGGAACTTTCTTTTCTTTGCCTCTTCTCATCTTTTCCACCACCTTCCTTGTACTTTTACTTCACCAGCCTTGCCTTGCCTCCCTCCCTTTATACACACACACACACACACACACACGACCACACATTGACCATGTACAACACAAACTCAAGGCAGAGGTACAAACACACTCACAACCAACCGAAAAGAACGAACAACAACTACATCTACTGTTAATAAGGAATAAACTGACACGTCATCTCTGTACTTACATCCAAAAGGCAGCCAAACAACAACTACAGCAACAACACTTGGCAGAGGAATCAGCTCCTCAACAGCGAAACCCCATCCTCATCAGGCAGAAGCACTCCCTATGACCCCTCTCGCATGACCGACCGAGACATGCTCTCGCTCGAGAGCCAGAACGACGAGGAGCTCTCCGGCCTTCACTCCAAAGTTGCTATGCTCAAGAAGGTACAGCCAGGTTGGATGTATTATCAACAAGAGATAAAAGGCTGCCAACTGAACAACATTTAACAATTGCCTTTACTTCCAATGTGACAGATTACAATGGATATTGGACATGAGGTGCGAGAGTCAACAGTGTTCTTGGGCGATTTGGATCAAGACTTTGGACGGACAGGAGGACTGCTCAACACCACCTACACCCGCCTCAAAGTCATGGCCTCCACCCAGAACGGACGCTACATGTGCTACATGGTCTCCTTCTGCGTCTTCGTCTTCCTCTTTGCCTACTTTTTCATCTACCGGCGATAAACTCGACACATCGGGTAATTGCGCCACGGCCTGCGTGCGGGAGACTGCGACGTCCATCATAGACATGGCAGTCGCCATGATGATCCACGGCTGCTTTACTACTTTCTTTTTTGAAGGGCTTAGAGCAAGAGGAAGCACGACTTGGATCTACCATGGAGATATGCGGGGATCGAACAACAGATGGATCTCTGGAAGAATTGAAGTCACCGCGCTGGCACTGTAACAGACAAGGAGCCAAGAGCATCACACCTTCAGCGGTGTCTCGGTTGGTCGTGATCTGTTTGTTCAACGTGGCGCCTTCATCTTTCTGAGCCACTCCTTCCCTCTCTTCTTTCCTACAGTTCTTTCCATTCACATCTTGATTCATGCTATATTCAGCCCCTCTCTCCCTCCTCCTCCTTCTCCACAGACAACAACCGCAAGCAAGCCAGCACAACTGTCTTTTTCCTTTCGCCCCTCCCTTCTGTCCCTCCTCTCTTCTTCCCGCTCTTCTATAGTTCCATTAATAGCGCCTTCCCACAATACAGCCCAAGTACCATGTACCACTTTTCTATGCTCTTTTTGGTTCTATCTCTGGGCGGGTCCGTGGCACATCGTGAAAGAAGAATCAAGCCAATCATTGTTCGTGATGTGTCTTTCTCAAAAATGAACATTAATCTCGGGGTGTTTCAAACAAGTAAAAGGTATATTAACGATACATAGTAAAACAGGGTCTAGATAAAACAGAAAAGGCTGTGGGACAAAAGACACTCTCTAGATGGCGTATGAGGCAAGGCCGCTGAGGAGAACAACAGCAGCCCAAACAGCTCCTTGAGTAGTCACCTTTAACACATTCGACGAGTTGAGAAGGGCATCATCTTCGCCGCCATTCGAGTTTGTGGGCTTTGCAGACTTGACCTGCGCCTGACAGATCGTCTTGCCACGGGCACTGGCCTTGACTTTACTCAATGTCGAGCAATCAAAGTCCTTGCTGCTCGACAGGACCGACATCCCGCCCTGGACTGACGAGACTTTGGGGAAGGATACGTTTGAAAAATCGCCGCGCATGTTCAGGACGCCTGAGATGTCCTTGAGTTGCCCGAACCCGTTGACGGAGGTGAGGAGGGTGTTGTTGGCGATCAGGAGGGCGCCGCCGATGGAGGTCAGTTCTGAGAAGGAGATGTTGCTGAGGTTGTTGTTTGATACGATACTGAGGGTTTGACCGACGGTCTTAAGGTGCGGTGCTTGGATCAGTTGGAGGTTTGTCTCGTCAAAGGATAAACTTGAGCTGACGCTGGTCAAGGAGGGGAGTTGGATGTCGGTGAGGTGGCGAAGGGTGCAGTTCGAGACTGTGGTCAGGTTCGAGAGGTGCAGACTGGCGCCCTCGCCTTTCCCCTCCAGCAACCCGTTGGCAGCGACGATCAACTTGCCCGAGATGGTGTTCAACCCGGGGATATCGATCGCCTTCAAGAACTTGTTGTTACTAATCCCAATATCCGTTGCCTTCTGGAACGAGCTCCAGGGCACAATCCCCGAGTTATCCAATCCCGTATCCTCGACCTTGAAAGAATTGATGATCTGTACATTGGCAAGAGACAACTGTCGAAGACTGGGGGCGGTAACGATTTCGAGGGAATTGAGGGTCTTGAGTTGAGGGACATTGACGACAGAGAGGAGGGTGTTGTTGTAGAGGGTGATGGTTCCTGTGCTGCTCTGGAGGTTGTCGAGGGATAAGGATGTGAGGTGGGGGTTGGAAGCGATTTTGATGGTGCCGGTGAGGGATTGGAGGGCCGGGAGGGCGATGGAGTTAATGGCAGAGAGGCCCAAAACGGTGAGGGAGCCGGTGAATGTCGAGCATCCTGCCAATGCGGCGATATCTGCCGCTGATGATGCGGTGATTTGGTTCCCGCACGCTTCTAGTTATTGAAAAATAGGAGAGAAAATCCTGGGCATTAGCTTATGTCCTTAGGAAGCAAATGAAAAGAATTAGAGTGAACAAAGGACTTGCCTTGCTGCGCAGTAACAGCGAGGGCTGTGGAGATCAGCAGAAGCAAGCTGGGCGCGATGCGAGTCATTTGGAAGTGGTGATGTTTGTTAGAGGAGTTGTTGTTATAAAAGTCGTTGGGAGTTGAGCGTGTTTTATAGTTGAAGGTTGATTAGATGTAAGAACGAAGCGAGCTGGTGTTTGTTGAATTGTACTGAAGAATGGAGTGGAGAAAAAAAGAAGAGCGAACGCATCCTTTTATACATGTATGAGTAATTGCGACTGCAACGTGCATGATAATAGATCTCTGTTTGCCACCATCGGTATCAGGCACCAGCACAGCACCGACACCGGGATGAGTAGCACTGAGCTTGTAGCATGTGGAATGAGAACGGGACGCAGACATTGATATATCCCGCGACATGCCAGGATATAGGTCTACAGAACCGGGGTGAACGAGAAGTCGATTCTTCATCCAAGATCCCATCCTCGCCTAAGAAAATTAAAATTATTTCGCGTTCCCAACAAAGGGTCCGTTCATTCTGCATGTGGATACTAGAATCAGGGAGGAAAGAGGATCGTGCATAGTGCCGTGATCCGTTCTGGCTCCTTGTTCCTGTCTTGACCAAGACACCCTCGTCAATGTTATCAGCAAACTCCAAGTCATGAAACAGGTTCACAATACCAAGCTTCCTTGTGCAACAACAACAACAACAACAACAACAACAACAACAACAATGTCTTCTTCCCTTCTTTTCCATCTGTCCCTGCAACTGCAACCTGCAACTTTCTTTGATATTAAACACATATACTATACACATCCACAGGGCATCTACTGGGCGATAGTAGTGACTAGTTGAAAGATAACATGAAAACGCCGCGTTTTCGGCCCGTTGCCTTTTTTTGGGGGTCCAGACAATCAAGATGTGTATATGTACGCAATGCTGCCTTCATGTCCATGATACCAGGATTACAGAATTACCTGTTGACGCGTCATTGGGAGTTTTTTTTTCATGTTGAAAAAGATGTTGGCATACCAGCTGATGTACGGTATATGATACTAAGAGGCGAATTCTGGTACTTTCTTTGGTTTTGGTGTCGTGGATTTAAAAAAAGCAGGGGTGAATGAGTGAGGGGAGAAAGGATTGAAAGAGGGAATGAAGATCAGGTAGGAGATCAAACAAAAAGAAAAAGGCAATAGGGCAGGGACGCAAAGACGGTTGAAAACCGGATGAGGAATATGAAAATAGAAAAAAAGAGAAAAAAAGAGAAAGAAAGATAAAATAAGAGAAAATAACGGGCGTGACCAGAGGGAGGGAGAGAGGGAGGAAAGGAAATACAAAGAAAGAGGGGGTTGTTGGCTAAGAGAGGTGAAAGAGAGGCAATGGTGGTAGAGAACAAGAGTGACAGAACGGAGCGAGGGCAAGGGAAAAGGCAATGCCATTTGAACGATATGGAGCAGCAAAAGATAATCTCCCAGAACACAAAAAAATGGTTCTCAGGGAAGGGTACAATATCACTATTGTCTTTTTCACTTTTCACTTTTCACTTTTCACTTTTCACTTTTCATTCTTCTTCCTTTCTCTTCCCTCCCTTTCTCTTCCCTCCCTTTCCTTCCCACTCAACACAATCCAATTCCATCCTACTCCATCCTTATCATTGTCATGATCTTTAGCGAGCCTGTCACCCTCGCTATTGATGCCATCGCTGTCGGATTAATATCCGCGCAAGAGTACATCCCTCTTGTCACCAAGAAGGGTACATGGTAATACGCTACACACCATCAACGTATTGACCTTACTCTTTTATTACTTCTTTGTCTATGGCAATACTGGCAGTGAGTAGATTGTTATGGCCTTAATGGCACCATACGAAAAAGACGGCATTCAATCGATAGCCTTTGTTTTTCAGTTGTCCGCATAAGGCATTCATCCAAGACTTTATTATGATGCAGGACGTTCCCAAGACCGCGAAGAACTTTGTTGAGCTCGCCAAACAACGGTCCTACGACTATACAATCTTCCTCCGAGTGGCCAAGGTACCATTGAAGAGGAAGTAATGAAAATGAGGAAAACTCACACCACCCCCGCAACGTTATGGCTGCCGAGAATATGGCGAACATTATTCAAGGTCATCATCTCAACCAGGAACGCCCAGATTGTCTGTAGCCCGTTGTCGGTAAAGGTTCCCTACCCTAAAAAGAAAACTCAATGATGAACCCACCTCCAGTCCTAGCTTCAGCAGCGCCGCCACCATTGCCACCTTATCTACTGATTCCCCAAGTACCACCAGCAGAATTAAAAGGAACGGCAAGAGGACGGCGACTGCCACGAGTGCGGATATAGAGCGGTGTAGAAAGGCGTTCAGGACGTAGACTAGTTAACCTCAGCATGTTTGAAAGCATGTATTAGTGTTGGTAGAGCGTAGTGGATGCAATGATGACTTGCTTCGGTGACGTAATTATGGCGCCCATTGTCGACCAGTTCTGGATTTTGCTCTGCTAACTGCGCCTCCAATCTTTCTGTGCAAGTTGAATACCTTCACTCCTTGTACATCTTTTTCTTTGCCTTGTCCCCTTATCCTTAGCACTCTTGCCCTCTCTCTTCTCTTTCTTGCTCCCCTCCCTGGCTCGTTCCTTCGTTCATACTCTCTTGCTCTGTTGCTATTACATTATTGCACCCTCTCTTGTGACCACATCATTTCGGCCCATCATCCCGTCACGCCTGTCACGCCTGTCACGCCCTTCATCTCTCTGACAAAGATGGCCCAAACATGTCCCCTTGATCTACCTGAGATTCGCTCAGTAATTGCCACCAATCTTGACCTCAAAGACCTCACGTCCTGTGTGCGTGTGAGTCAGGATTGGAAGGACTCATTTACACCACAACTCTACAAGTCTGTCATGATGTCGAAACATGGTCCCAGCATGGAAACTGTCGAGAGAAACACGCGCCATATAAAAAGCCTGAAGGTTCGGAGCTCTATCATTAGAGAGCAGGCGTTGACATATGCAATAAACACTATAGTTTCTAGCATCATAACCAACTCGACTCTGACCACTTTGGACTTGCGGCGCAACCACATCGGAGACACCGAAGCTCTGGTGCTGGCTGAGGCGCTCAAGACCAACTCGACTCTGACTGCTTTAGCCTTGAGAGCGAACGACATTGGACCCAACGGAGCTCAGGCGCTGGCTGAGACACTCAAGACCAACTCGACTCTGACCACTTTGGACTTGGGCTACAACCATATCGGAGAAAACGGAGCTCAGGCACTGGCTGAGGCACTCAAGACCAACTCGACTCTGACCACTTTGGACTTGAGCTTCAACCACCTCGGAGACTACGGAGACTACGGAGCTCAGGCGCTGGTGGAGGCGCTCAAGACCAACTCGACTCTGACCACTTTGGACTTGAGCTACAACCAGATTGGGAAAAACGGAGTTCAGGCGCTGGCGGAGGTACTCAAACTCAACTCGACTCTGACCACTTTGGCCTTGGTGTAAGAAGGCGAGGGCGGACGAGAGGAAGAACGAGGGAGACGAGGGAACGAAGGGAACGAGGAAATCGCTACATTGTGATATCTTGTTTAATAAAAGTGAGTTAATAACTAAGGAACTAAACTGGGTACAGACTATGACTATTTATGTATACGTGAAGAAACCGGAACGGCTTCTAGGAGTTTCTAGAACCCCTAATTAGTCATCCGTTGATTATTCAGCAAGGAAGCAAGGAAAGGACCTCGAAACTGGTTGGTCAAGGTGGGATTCGATCCATGACCTGTGTGTGGCCATCACATGACATTCATATCAGAGTGGATACTCTGACACTTGGGCACCAACCACATAAACCCAACGGAGCTCAGGCGCTGGCGAAGACACTCAAGACCAACTCAACTCTAACGACATTGAGTTGTGGCAGCAACCAGATCGGAGACTACGGAGCTCAGGCGCTAGCTGAGACACTTAAGACCAACTCGGCTCTGACCACTTTGGACTTGTGGTACAACTCGATCGGAGAGAACGGAGCTCAGGCGCTGGCTGAGGCACTCAAGACCAACTTGACTCTGACCGCTTTGGACTTGAACAGCAACCAGATCGAACCCAACGGAGCTCAGGCGCTGGCGGAGGCACTCAAGACCAACTCGACTCTGACCACTTTGGATTTGAGCGACAACCAGATCTGAGAAAACGGAGCTCGGGCGCTGGCTAAGGCCACTCGACCCTGACCAAGTTGGACTTGTCTCAACTCTATCAGAGAAAATGGAGCTAGGGCACTGGCTGGGGCTATCAAAACCAACTCAACTGTGATCAATTTAGAAAACTGATGTTGCTTCAATACACAGCACCCTTAAGCCATAACACTGATGTGCTTGTACAGCGGACCACAAAACTGTACAAGTATTTTGAACCGCTGTCTTCCATGACCTTTAACTCATTAACGTCCAGATCTTTCTAGATCTCAGTAAACTTGTATGCCATTGCTGTATCTACCGGCGCAATTGAAATCATTATTGTGTGATTCGTACTGATTATTTTAGAAACACCTACCATAGGTAAGCATGATTTTTATGTGCATATCAAAATCGTATATTCCCTCCTTTTGCCTTGATGACAGCTTACATCCGCTCAGACATACTCCGAGCCAGATCGCATCAGACCCCATTTGTGTCTCCTCCTCCCAGATCTGGCTCATTCATTTCCACAGATGAAGCATGCCTTCAGGGACGGTCCCACGCTCGCGAAGTTTATTTTTAAGTGTTGCCACAAATGTCTATAGGACTGAGGTCTGATGAAATGGAACGCCATGTAGTCTTCCTGTTGCCTCTGTCAACCCAATGGAGGCAAAGTAGGAGTTGACTGCCTTGGCAGTGTGTTTGAGATCGTTGTCTTGTTGAAAGATAAATTGCTCTGGAACGATGTTGCACTAGTCGATGGTATTCAATAGCTCGTTTTGAAGTATGCGAATATACATTGCCGAGTCCAGAACGATGGCACATGGCTAACGCTACGTAATTTCCACACCCTTCTATTGCCACTAAATTCTTTGAGAGGCTTTTGCTGACTAATCCAAGCACGTCTTCTCCTAGAAAGCTCTAGCAACAACAGTAGCCAACCTGGTACCCATACACATATAAATATTTAGTCTGTACCGTAGATAGCTCCAGCAGTTCACAACTCAAGACCTTATTAAACACAACATCCCACAATCTGATTTCCGACTGCCTGACCGCGCTACAAGTTAGCAAAAGAAGTTCCTTCCACAGGTCCAGTAACAAGTTCAAGTTAAACCAAGTCTAGTCTCCTAACACCATGGCCAAAGTCTTTGAGAATGACTTTTCCAAGAACATCCCCTTGTCTACCTTCAAGGGGCTACCCCAAAGAAAACGTCCAAGGCTGGTTAGTGAATTGGACGAGTACCTCAAGGCAGTTAATGCAACGCCTGTCCAAAAACTCACAGCCGCACGTCTCCTGACAAGAAACAATGCTCGACGATGGTTAAAGATCTGTCCTGCCACTCCTGAAACCGCCAACCCCTGATAACTCTTCAAGAAATGTGTCCAACCCCGATTTCAAGGTGCCAATCGCAAGTATTTTCCTCGATCAAGGCTTTATGAGCTCTGGCAACGCGGATCCGTCCTTGGACCCGTGATGTTATAGTAGCTTTCGAGTTTTGATTCGACCATGTTCAGTCGTACTCTATTCCATAGTACCTTTTGGGAAGTGACTGTACTAATTGAAGGGTCCGCATTGCTTGAGCTCATACAGTCTTGATCTGGGGAAATATTTGTGATTGGCACCTAGAAATCGGACTTGGACACGTTTCTTTGAAGAGTTCTCAGGGATTGACGGTTTCAGGAGTGGCAGGACAGACCTTTAACCAACGTCGAGCATTGTCTCTTATCAGGAGACGTGCGGCTGTGACTTTTTGGACAGGCGTTGTTTTGACTACCTCGAGGCACTCGTCCAATCCACTTAACGAGTCTTAAACGTTTTCTTTGGGGAGTCCCTAGAAGGTGGACAAAAGGATGTTCTTGAAAAAGCCATTCTCGAAGACTTTATCCATGGTGATAGGATACCTGACTTGGATTAACAGGGACTGGATATTTGGATTAACTTGATCTATGTACTTGGCCTGTGAAAGGGACCTTCTTTGCTACCATGTAACATTATTATGGATCTGCGCCTTTAACTTTCGCTGCGCTTGAAAGCGCTCTGTAATTGGTCAGATCGGGGAGGGGGGGAGCTTCGTGATTTTTTCAGTTTGCTCTTTGCACCATCACCAATGCGAAAGCTCCTCATGATGGCTTAACAAGCAACAACTCTTTGAAAGAAGAAGTTCGACCCCTATGTACATCACACAAATGCAAACGCAATAAACATCTGCTTTATTCCCGTAAGCTGGATTCTGCTCATTCTCCTTTAAACTCAATGTAGAGAAGCTAACTGATGGAACTTTGTCGTCGCGCATGGCGATGTCCTCGGTCTGGATCAATCACGCCCGCCATTTCCTTGTAATTATAAAAGCAAAGAGATAAAAAACAGCTCGTTAGAAAACCATACCTCAAACAAAATAAAACACGTAATTAAAATCAATGACTGAACGGATATGTTAACCTACCAAAAGGTCGCGGTCGATGTCTTGTTCGCCATCCTTGCTACGGAGGTGAACAGTCGCGCGACGGTTGGCCTCACGCTGCTCAAAGTCCCAGTCCTTTTGCTGTCGCGCTTTGGCCTCGGGTCCACCCAGTCCCCAAACCTCACACTCGACAATCTCAAAATCAACCTCGAATCCAGACCGTCGAGCGCCTCCTGCACTCATGTACACGTTGCCGCCTGCGAAATCCTGTCTGTAGTTGCCGTACCGCAGGTTGTCATCCATGTAGAGCATGCAGCTCTCGGATTCCCGCCCACCGAAACCGACACCTGCGTTTTTAAGAAAGTGGATGTAATCCCGGTTGCCGAGTACTGGTGATGCTCCACTACCAATTGTTGGACTGGTGCGCGTTGTTCGACCACCCGGCATTGAAGGCGCTGTACATGGTGCACCCGTTGTAGTCGATCCTGAGCTTGACGACTTTTTCGCAGGAAAGACCTCGAAACACGGCGAGAGTTCGAAAAGTGCAAACGAGGCGTTGCCCCATCCTGACTTGGACACCTTCCAGGTCTCGGTCACGTAGGCGCCCAGGATCATCCTCTCCTTGTGAGCCTTCCTGGGCGTGACTTTGGTCGGGCTCGTTTCAGTGTCGTCCCCTTGGGCGTTTAGTGCTGCCTCTGCTGACGGCTCGTCCAGGATGGTGTTGAGAGTGCTTCCTGCAGAAAGTGGCGTGGTAGGGGAGCGACCCGCCAGTTTATCGAATGAAGACCTGCGACCGCTCGACTCCCATAGCGAGTTGTAGGGAGGAGAATTGTTGCTGATAGAATTGCGCTGTCGGGAGGAAGAGGTTCCAAACGAGATGGACTGTCGCCTGGTCATTGTTGGGGTGGCTGATATCTGTCGCTCGACTAGTAAGAGAAGCAGCGTCGGGGCTGGGTACTTGCAGACGTGAACCTCAAACTGGTTCATGCTGAATCCATGTGTGCTTCCATTGTACAGACACGTCAGGGTAGGCGACGCTGTCTTGAAGGGTACAAACCATGAGATAAGGGCGATGTTTTCTGGAGTGAGGATATCGGATGTGGTGTTGAGAGTGGGGATCGGGGAGGCTCCTGGCAGGACCAGTTTTCCGACTGTTGTGGCGGTGGGTGTTGCTGCACGGTTGAGGGTGTTGCCGATCAAAAAGATGCTGTAAAAGTATGGCGACAGGACATCAAAGATATGGGGCGCGTTGCGAGTAGTGAACTTTGAGAACATGTTAAAGTCGATCGTCTCTGTTCTAATGTCGATGGGTTCGTGGAGGTCGGTCAAAGTTCGACTGTATTGAATAATTTGTTCCACAATTTGAGCAGCTCGCTGTCGATTGGATCGCCTGGTCGCCTCTGTGTGTGGTGCAGTCTTTCCGGATGGATCTTGGAGGAGTCGTTGGATGAGCCAGAAGAGTCCAACCAGGACTTCCACCAGATCGGTCGCCTTGATTGGGGGCCCCTGTTCGATACTGAAATCCTCGTCTGGGTTCCATTCAAAGTTGGACTGGAGAGTCAAGTCCTTGAGGGAATCCTCCATAGTCTTTGATTTTTTTAGCGATCCCCGTCCTTCTCGCGGTAGTGTGTTTTCTTTATCGGTGCTGTTGATGTGGTGGTTATCGGCAGCAGGTTCTGAAGGCTGATGGTCCTTGGGAGCCGCCTCGGCGAACGATTCGAAGATGGCCTTGAGTGGCTTGACATCGTGGAGGATGTTTTGGTCGATTTTATTGCAGTAGAGGGCCAATGGTTTGATGAAGTCACGAAGAACGAGGTTGTGTGGTGTTTCACGCGAGGGGAACGAGTCTGGACTGTCGGGGTGGACGGCGAGGTTGTAGAATGAGCGGAAGAAGAGATGTCCTGCACGGCAATGGTCTTCTGGGAACCCTAGATATTCCTGGGAAGGATGGGAAGCATGGGAAGGAGAAGAAGGAGAAGAAAGAAAAGGAAATGACCGTGAGACAAATACGAAATCAGCAGAGTTATTAATGCACTATGGTTTGTTTAACATATGAGGAGAGGTAGCAAAAAGGTTTGGCGCATATAACATAATGCCAAGCCCGTCATCATGCGCAACAAAGAACAAACAACGGAAAGTCGACAGTAATCGGTTGTCCGTTTTCAATTGATTGATACACCACACAGAAGCAAACACTCACCACAAACGTTGCCTCTGTGATTCCAGCCACCTTTCGATTTTTCTGATGCTGCTGTTGCTGTGTCTCTGAGGAACTGGTGTCGGGCTGGTTGGCCTTATCAAGCTTGTCCTGTTTGTCCTGTGTAGCCTTGAGCTGGACAAGGAGCTGACGAAGGGATAGCATTTCAATCTCGGAGAATTTGGCGGCCATATCCCGTTGTAGCCTGTTGCTGGCCCATGACAGTTTGAGTGGTTCGGCAGAGGGACGACTATTGTTTGTGTCTGTCTGTGTCGGGGCATCCTGGCCGAGAAGCGACTGTACTGCGCCCATCCTGAACGCTCTTTTTTTATGTTTGGTGAGGTGTGTGCTGGGGGTGAATAGGAGAAGGAAGGTGGTTGAACACTTTTTTTTAGTATTGTTTTTGGGTTTGTGGTTGTGGAGGGGTGATGCAGTAGTCGTTTTGTTCAAAGGAGCGAGGTGACAATGTGAGAATGAAGAAGAGTGAGAAACGATTGTTGGGTGTATGGGTGTAAATATGTATGCTGTGTGTGTGTGTGGGGGGGGGGGCGTGTGTGTTGTGTATGTGGGGTGAGAGTGTCAAGTAGGAAGGAAAGAGTGTCAGTCGAAAAATAATGAAGGGAAAAAAATTGTCTGATCTCAAGGCTTTCGTGTTGTTCGAGATAGGGAGGGTTACTTCATTTTACTTTACAGAGGGGTGTGAACCAGGGCAATCAATCAATCAATCAATGTTCTGGACTTTTGGCCCATCACTCCTTCCCTGTGTTCTTTTTATTCTTTTATTCAAAGTAGACATACACGCCCAACGTCTCTCCTCTTGGTTATTTCTAATCTTCCTTCCCTCCTCAGCCCCCATCTCTCTCTCTCTCTTCTTCCTTCCTTTCTTCCTTCCTTCCTTCCCTCCTTAGTCATCCTCACCACCCAACCACTCTCTTCTCTCCTCTCCTTGCTGATCATCCTCTCTTCTCTCCCATTCAGATCCCACTCCTCGACCAAAACTCAAATACATTCTCACACATGACCACTCACAGTCAGTCCCACACAAACACTCGACACAGGAGGCCGCACCTTCTTACTTTCCTCTTATTCCTTTCAACAACCAACCGCTACAACTATTACGCCCATGCTCAGACCAGCTCAGGTCCCGCCCCCGTCTCCGGGCCTGCCTTTGCCAGGACGTCCACCCGTCTCTACGTCCTCGGCGGCAACCCCCTCGACGGCAACAACGGACCCCCTCTTTCCCAATTCTACTCCCTCGATCTCACCTCCCCCTGGAACACCACCACCCCAGCCTGGACTGAACTCGCCTCTGGTCCAGCCCAGGCCATCTTCCCCGCCGCCTTCTCTCAAGACCAAACCAAAATGATCGTCTTCCACCTCACAGCTGCACCAAACGCCTCTCGCTACGATATCAATACCAATGCCTGGACTCGTTCCAGTGCTATTCTTCCAGGAAGCGACTTTCAAGGAATCGGCGCTGTCACCGATACCAACACGGGTGTTGTCTACATGACTGCCGGCTACACCACTCGGTTGCGCGATTCGCTGGACGTCTACAAGTTTTCCGCGGACTCTGCCACCAAAACATATATGCCTGGTCCCGATATAGTTCTCCCAGCAAGAGCTTACTATGGCAACGTGTGGTCCAAATACAGGAAAAGCATTCTTTATTTTGGCGGATACAATATCCTAAGTCAACCTATTGTCGGCGGCAACATTGTCACCGAACTGGTCACTGCGACCCAGACCTGGAACACCCTGGTAATTGATCGTCCCCTTTTACGTTTTTTTTAATGCTGTTGGTTTTACCGCTTCGTTTCAACGGATGAATAGGGATGAAGAGGAGGAGATAGGATCTCGACGACTTTGCATGGAAAAATGATTAAAAGGGCGAGAACGAGGAGAAAAAGGAGAAAGGAGACAGAAGACAACAATAGAAAAAGAAAAAAAGAACGAATTGAGTCAATTGCTCAACAATCAACCAACAACAATGAAGCGGAGGAATGAGACGGGGCTGCAAATAGCAAGTATGAAGAAAGGAATACAAGGGGGACTGGACAAGTCAACGATACATGAATTAAGCATAGCTCAACTTAGTACAAGCCAAGAAATGACGCGGGAAAAAAATACAAGGAACTGAATAAGTCCACCTGATACTTTGTAAGAGAAGAGAGGAAGGAACCCACGAGAGAGAGAGAGAGAGAGAGAGAGAGAGAGATGAAGAAGCATGGCTCAACTTCCAACACTAGGTCGTTGGCTGAAGGAAAGAGACAAGAATGTATACGGGAGAAGAATCATGGACTGACCTTGTCTGCACGTATTTATTTTTATCCAGACCACCTCGGGTCCTGCCCCTCCCATGAGAGCCGACCATTGTATGACAACCAGTAAGTCGACTTCATTGAGCGCGCTTCTTTCGTCTTCGTCTTCCGTCTCTTCATGGCCCATGAAACATTTTCCCCCTATGACGCTAAAAGATGCTATCTTTGAACTATTTAGACGAGGACGGGACTATGATGGTCGTATTTGGCGGAAGACCCACGGACCCAGGACAAAATGGACAAAATCTCCCCTACCTCGGCGACGTTTACATCCTCAACACCATCACCCTCACCTGGACTCAGGGCAACCCAGGAGAACCCAGGATATACGCCGCATGTACCGTCTCCAACAGCCAATTGATCGTCTGGGGCGGAACTGACAGCAACAATCTTGTTGCTCCAGCAAAGGCGCTGGTTTACAACCTCACCAGCGCAAGCTGGATCTCGAGCTTCACGCCAAAGACGACCGTATCAGAGACAGCGACTGACGACTCGCACGTCAATGCTGGAGCAATTGCTGGAGGTGTTGTCGCCAGTGTTGCGGTGATCTGCGCCTGTGTTCTCTTTTACGTCTTTCGACGACGACGCCATGCCAGAACCCTTGTCCGGACCACCAGCGACAACGAAGACTCGAACGACAACCAACCTAAACCTGCCGCTTCACCAAAAACGCGCGAGGACGATGAGCTTCAGAGACTGCGAGTTCAATTGCAGAATCAGCAAGAGCAACTGGATCTTCAGCGACGACTCTTGGCGCTGCAGCAACAGCAGCAACATCTTCAGACACCATTGCAACAGTCGCACGTGTCGACTCCATCACAGCAACCACAATTGTACCACGACCCAAGCTCAGGATACCAACAGCCCATCTATTATTCTCTCGCACCAATGACTTCTCAGGCTTATTCGGGAGAGAGTGATCTCAACCAGAGTTATATTGGATCAAATCCACAGGCTTTGGTCAACCATTTGACGCCCATGCCCACGCCTCCCATAGGCTTGACATCATTGTCCACTCCTGCTACTGTCGTCGCCACAAAGCCAACTGTTACAGCGGTACCCGCCTCGAAACCGATACTTGCTCCACTAGGAATGCGGCACGATAGCAACTACTGGGAGGAGCGGCCACCTGGCAATCCTCATGCCATCATTACGCCCTAAACGACTAATATAACGTTGTCGCTTCCACTATACCATAATCTTTTTTATCAAATAAAAACAGTGCATAGAGATAAGTATTATTTCCTTGTGTTCTTTCCTGCGTGTTGCAGTCGACCGACGGTGTACCACTTTTCACTTTTCCCCCGCCCACCCCCGCATGTACCAATTCCCTTTGACTCCTCTCCCTATCTTGATGCACTTAAGATATTCTAGAATATGAATGGGGCAATTTTTCTGAGTTGTTGTTGTGGTTCTCCCCCTTGAAAGATTCTGCGTTTTGTTTGTTCCGGCGAGCTTCACTTGCTCACTTGCTCACTTGCTCACTCACTAAACGTGGAAATGCTCAAGATAACAAATGTCACTTCTTTTTTCTTGGTTCGTTGCATATGGCTGCGGGAAAGACAGCCATAGCTTTTTCCTTTTGTAAATCTGCAAAGAGGGCCAGTAACGGTACGACGATCATGGCGAAGCAGAGTGGGGGTAGAGCCAACAGCCTGAACGACAAGAAGAAATGGGCTTTTGTTCGTTACTTCTTGTTCTTGTTCTTTTCATTCTTTTGTGTACCTCCTTGTCGTGTATATGTGTCCACTAATGATATCAACGTCCGGCGTGAGTACAAAACTACAAACAGGTAATGGTACATTGCATGTCTTGGATGCCAGGCACACACTCGCTCTCACACTCTCACACGCCCGACACCGGGTAACTCTGTGTTCGTCGTCTCAAACCTAACTCGCTCATAACTCTTATCTGCTTCTTTTCCTTTCCTTCAGTTCCCTTCACCTCCACTCTCTCCTTCCCGCTCTCTTTGTACCCTCTTCTCTCTTCTCCCTGCTTTTCCTCCATCGACATCACTTACTCCCTTCCCCTCTTCTGAATCGTGGACATCATCGCCATCTTTTTTTTTTCTCCCTCGACCTGCACACCGAATACAGAAAATCAGCACCTGATTCTTCCACTTTTTCTCAGGTCCTCCCACTACTTTCTTTCACTCTAATCCCAGTTCGCGATGGCTCATGTCCCACCGGAACAAAACGAATATCAATCCCATTCTACCCTGCGCCAGCAACAACAACAACAACAACAACAACAACAACAACAACCAACACCTACTCATACCACCACCGGAACAACTCATCCCGCAGAAAGAAGAAACCTCGCAAACATCAACGACCTCCACATCACAATCCCTCAACCACCCATCATCACTACAATTGCAACACCTACAGCTCCCCTGATCACCAACTCACCCACCCCATTCACACACTCCGATGTCGCCACTGATCCAGAAAAACAACAACCGCAGGACAGACCGACTCCTGCAAGATCAATGTCCAGACCGCTGTTTGAGCCTTTGAGAAACAGACCTCAGGCGAGGCAGACCTTTGCAGAGGGCATGAACCATGGCATCCAGTCTCTCCGTAGAACCGTCTTCAACAGGGCGCACTCTACCAGGAACGATGGGTACCGTATAATAAAACAACAACACTCCAATTGCGTTCAATTGCTGTTTCTCGCCCATACTTGCATCTTACTTTCAATTGACACTCAAATATCATTTCAAAATGTGCGAAATAGCAATGAGGATGAAGAGACAGGATCGGCTGCAACAGCAACAGCAGCAACATCGTCTACCAACAAAGCTCCAGCCCGTCCGGTGATGCCGCGCTCCCGCCCCAGTATGACACAGTTCAAGGTTAGGGAACAACCAGCCAAGATGATCATCCCCCCACCCTATGGGCAGGAGAAGGTGCAGGAGGCGGCCAAGGCTATTGCGGCTGGTATTCCAGATGGGATCCCTCATGGAGGGGGATCACATCTCCCTCCCCTGACAAAGTAAGAATATAATTGTTATGAATTGATTCTCTCCTGCAGCTTCCCCCGCCGTTGGAATAAGAAGAGTTGTGATTTTGGGATGGAATCTTACTGGCTAACTAATCAAATATGTAATACGCCTTAATTGGTGGCGTTTCATTTTCTCATTGATAGGGTCATGTCCCCTGACTCGGAGACATCCGACGATGAGCCAGAAGTCCGCGTTCACTTTGGTAAAACATATTAGACAAGAGGCTTACTTACAAGTTCTTAAAAAAGGAGTGAGAGTACTAACAGGACACTGTTACTCTCTTCATTTGCTCGAACAGAGATTCATCTTCAGGAGGATGCTGATAGTGAACCGATCTGTCCGTTGAGCGAGCAGAACGTCAACACCCTGGCAACCGAACTCCAACTGACAGCTCAGGAACGATCTGAAGTCCAGGCTATTCAGAATAAGGATGATCTCACCGCCTATTTCGCAAAACTCCCACGCGACTATGATGTCCAGATCATCGTATCCGATGGGGTCCCAGACTGTAAGTTTTCTGCTCCATAGACATGGGTGGTTTCTTTGTGCTTTATTGTGTCGTATGTCCCCTACTCATATGTCTACCTTCTCTTAAATCCTTTTTCCCTATAGCACCGGAAGTGAGGTTTGCACAGCATGATTATGTGATGAACGGGGAGACGATTGCAGTTGTCAGGCGAGAGTCGATCTCGTCGTTCGCTAAGGAGAAGAGGAGCGGGCGCCGAAAACAACGATACAGGTACATCAGTCTTTCAGCAAGGAAAACGCTTTTACTCTTTACGGAGATTCGTCAGCCAGTATTGATACTTACCGTTCTGTTTATCATTGTAGACGCCCAACGACAGATCTATCAATGATGCCGGTTGAAGAACCAAAAGCAAGTTGGCTCGGTAAGTCTGGCAGGAATATGATCTGCATGTTTACTCTGTCGTCAGGAGCGGCTCTTTACCCTTGCTAACGAGGATTTTTCTTTATGTTTTCCTTCCTGTTTGTGTAGAACTGTTCTACGATCTATTGTTCGTCGCCAACTTGACAGAGTTCACTCACAGCCACCCCATTACCAGTCACCGTATGTTTTACGATGAGCTAGTGCCTAGCTTTCATGCGCGCAAAATATTTCAATGGTACTGACATATAACCATTGTCGTCCTCAATAGTTGCTCTGGCGCATTACATCGGATGGTTCATTATCATGTGGTGGGCTGTAAGTAACATTTCTTGATGGCATGGCAAACACTGACTTTCTCCCTCAACGCACATTGGTATGCTCGAACTAACTTCCTCCTATCTCTCTTCCTTTTTGTCGTGATAGTGGGCCGGTCAGACGTTCTGGGCGGCTAGATTTGACATGGATGATCTGTTTACAAAGGTGTGCAAGCTGATCGAGTTCTGTGCGTTGATTACGTTTGGCGCCTTCTCCTCTGACCATCTGGACCGGACGTCAACTGGATTCATCGGGAGCTATATTGTCCTCAAAGGCGTCCTCGCCATCGAATACGGCAACGGTGAGTATGAGTAGCTCTTGCTTTTCCATGGATTCTGCGTTCTTTAAATGGTACTCCTCGGATTCTCATTCGACTCTTTCTATTATCTCCTTCTAGTGCTGTTCTGGGCGATTCGAAACAGGTCGAAAAAGTCGTTGACGCCACTGCTGTTGCATATAGGTAGCAACCTGCTGGCGATGATTGTGTGGGGTCTGTCGATCTTGTCGCACAACACGACCGTGCGGTATATTATGTGGTTTTCGACCATTATCATTGAGGTCGCAGTCTTGGTCTCTTTTGGACGGAGAACCTCGGTTACTTTTGCGGGAAGTCACCTCCCTGAACGGTTTGCCCTGTTCACCATTATCGTTCTCGGAGAGGTAAACAACTCATCATGTGCTTTAGGGATCAGAGGGATCAGGAACTTGTATTAACCAAAACCACGTATAGTTTTCAGCTTCAAACGTTGCTAACGCTTCTTGATTGAACATTTTTATTATGTAGAATATCATTGGACTGATCGGATTGAGTGCGGGTGCCAGTACATGGACAGAAGGACTGGATCTCTTCATGTATGTATCTGGAAGCTCCTTACTTTCTTCGCCGCACCGACTTTTGCGCCTGATGCGATACTAATCTCTTCTTGTTTCTTGTTGCTTTGAAATAGGATCCTGTTTGTTCTGGTAACCATTATCCTGTACGCTCTCTGGTGGCTCTACTTTGACGACTTTTCCGAAGATGTAAGTTTATAGGCTGCAGACATAATAATCATGTACCACACAAGGTTGCACCAGATATTACATTGGTGTACTGACTGAATGAACATATCTATGACGTTGCGATAGATCTTCCACAAGACGACGACGCTGTCGCAGCTTTGGGCATACTTGCATCTACCACTCCATATATGTCTTGTACTTGTCGGTACAGGAGCATTGGATTTGATCCGCCTGTACAAGCTGGAACACCACATTAATGAACTCACGACCGAGGCGGCGCATATGACCAATGGCGACTTCGATCCCCTGACAGCCTCAGCACTGTCGGCTCTCAGTTTTACGACCCCAACGTTACCGAGTGGATTTGAGATTCCGATCGAGCGCAAGTCTGCGGCGGCGGCTGGAGCAGCAGCTTTGTCAGGACGCGATACCGACTACGACCTGACAAAGCAGTACTTCCTCGTCGTCTGCAGTCTGGTATTTCTCTGCAACTCGCTCCTCAAATGGATCAATCTTCGATCCTACGACAAGTTCCAAAAGATCGTCTACCTCTCCCGATTCCTCAACGCCATCTTCATCCTCTGTCTCTTGGCCATCCCGTTGAAGAAGATGACGCCCTTTGCGCTGTTGGGCTCGATGGCGTTCTTTTGTGTCCTCCAAGTAGCTGTGGACCTGGCGGTGATTTATTTTGGCGCATATGGATTTGTGGACGATTTGGAAGCCTGGGCCAGGAGTGCGAGGTCGAGTATTGATTTGGGCAGCTTCTTGCCATCCCCGCTTGCTGGTCGGTCGCGTGCCAATTCGAGGGTTCAGTCGAGAGCTGGCTCAACTGTTAACCTAGGCTTGCATAACCATAAAGGGGGCACTATGAAGCACCATCTTCATCGGAGTAATAGCAGTGCTTCTGCTTCTAGTCTTGCCATCACCATTCCTTTTGGACCTGGCTCACCACATAGCCCGAACCGCGACCACCACAACCACAATCACGACCAGCAGTTCCAGCAGTACCAGAACCAACTCTCACTACAACAGCAAAGCCCAACCCTTAGTCAACAACAGCAACAGGCCCTGTACAACATGCACGTGAACGCCAACAGTTTGGGAGCCTCGGGAGCATATGGAAACTTGGTCCAGGCACTTGCAGAGATCAAACGACGCGAACATCTGAGCCATCATTCGACAGGACCTAATGGGATCTCGTATCCGTACAGGCAGATCTCGTTGAGCGCTGGTGGTGCTGAGCACGGGTCAGGACCGACACAACTGCTTCCGAGGCGATCGGTGGGTGATGGCCGGATGTATATCCAACAGAACTCTGTATCGCTTAAGCGGCCTGGGACCAATGGGACACCACGGTCTTCGATAACGAGCACGCCGCAGCATGGCCAGGGGTCTAGTCTGGACTCTAATGGTAGTGGGTCAGCACCTACCCTGAATCTTGGTGGAAGCGTGAGCCGTAAAGGAGATTTGACATCGAACTCTGCGACTGCAGGACCAGGAAGGAACGCGTTGGGATTGGTTAATCTGTTCAACCCGCCGTCTCACCCTGGCAACAGTCCTCCTCCTTCCTCTCCTTGAATGGCCAAGTAATCATTCCTCTCCTTCTTCACGTCGAAGTAGCTGCAAACCCCTCTATCCTCTTCATATTATTATTATCAACCCTTTTTACACCAACTAGAGACATCTTACATACCAACTAATATACACATGCTTAGCATATGCATATTGACCAGTGGCTGTTAAAAGAAATGAGATTGTTTTTATTGCTTTTAGTGTTATTTTATGTATATGCGATAGGGGAAAGGGTATGAGTACAAATGAGAAAAGGTGTTCATGCTAGAGGATAGTGGAGAGAAAAAGGTATAAAGAGTGGGGGGGCCGATGTGAGGCATTAGACCATGCAAAGAATATGGAGTTAATGTGGCAAACAAGAAGAAGGAAAAAAAAAAAAAAAAAAAAAAAAAAACGCGTGTAAAATAGGAAATGTACAATAAGGATTGAAGGGAAAAGAAAGAAGGAAGGAAGGAAGGAAAAATGACAAATAAAAAGAACCGAAAAAGATTAAGCAAAGTTGAGATCGAGCAAGGAGAGCAACATGTCCTGGAGAATATGGACCATGACGAGGACAAAGGCGACAATGAGCTCCGGGTACTCTTTAAAGTCCTTCAATGCCTCCTTGGTGACATGGTGGCCAAGGTACTTTTTACAGATCATGCGGTTGATAAAGTTGGAGATCAGCTCGCTGGTCCAGATGCCGACCGAGGCATAGACGGTAACATCGTGGTTGTACTCGACGTTCAGGTCCTCAAACTTGAAGTACGTGTAGATCTTGGCGTTGGGGCCGTAGTAGAGAATGTTGACCCAGAGAAGGAAAGCCAGCATGGTGACATTTTCGGCCAAGTTGCGGAGGAACAGACTGCGACCGACTTGGCGCTTGTACTCCTCGTAGGTCCTCGAGATTCCAAAGAGGTAGACAAGAGTCTTGTAGACGGTGTGGGTCATGCAGATCGGATGGAAGATGCAGACCCAGAACGACGAAGCCAGTTGGATGACCAGGAACTGTTCGTACGACCGCAGACGGACAAACAGGTTGCGGTAAAAGATAAAGTAGATCATAAAGTAGTACAGCTTGAAAATCGACGACAGAGGGTAGGACCGAACTCGTGTCTCGACAATATAGTCCGTGATGGCGTCGAGGATGTAGATGGTGCCGACCCAGGTGTAGACATAAAAGAGGCCCTCGATGGTCGTATGGGCACTGCTGCGTGATGTCTGGATGTACTGGTCCGCGTAGAGTTCTCCTGTGACGATGGTGCTCAGTACGATGGCGAGGGCGACACAGAACCATAGGAATCGGGTGTACGAGGCCGGGATGCGCGATTCGATCGATGAAGCCGAGAGGAAGGTCTTTTGTGCGACAGTGAGCGAATGTCGGTAGACGTTCCTGTTTTCGGATCGGATGACCAAAAAGGCGACAAAGAGCGGGATCGTCATTGTACAGAAGGTCAAGAACACCCAGGTCAGCCGATAGACCTCCAGACCGGTGAAGTAATACACCAGGATTCCCATCAGCTGTGTCGAGAGCCAGAAGATGAAGTACGACGTGAGCCCGCCGAGTCTCTTGGGCCACCAATTGAGCGAGTAGATGTTGAAGATCTTTGTGATGAGCAGCAGGGCGACGGCGTTGTAGAAGCCATAGTAGAACCAGAGGAACCACCAAAAGTTGATCACCACCGACGGATGTTTGGGTGCTGTCGGGAGAAAGTTGGCGTCGATCCCGGTCAGGTTCCCTGACGATCCTGCTACTCCTGTTCCTGGTAGTATAGATGTAGCAGAGTTGTTGGAGGGGGTCCAGGGGAAGCCATCCCATGGCCAGGTTGTATTGGATCCCCCTCCGCCGTCCTCGGGCTCATCGGGATATGTCCGCAATGGTACGGAACACCACATGATGACCTGTGTTCAGTAGATGCATATGAAGCGAGAAAGACGGGAAAAAAGAGAGATGAAAAGAAAAGAGAGAGAGAGATAGAGATCGAGGGTCGTTAGTCGGAAAAGTGACGAATGCAGGAAACAAAAAGGGAGATATGCACGACGCACGCACGCACACACGGAGGAAATAGTCGCAGGTACAGATTTCAACTCCCACTCTCCTTTCCCACTGGCTGCTCCCGCTCAGTGCCTGCAGTGCACATACACAGGGGAGCGCACACGGACAATACAACAATCAACTTCCGTCATTGCCCAAGAGAAAAAACATAGATCTATGAAACTCAGTACAATAATAACACCGATTGCACCACACGAACGAAAAAAAAGGCGAAAAGAAGGAAAGCGAAGGACGAGGAACAGGGGCAAGACCAGAGCAGTAGCGGTCTCGATCCGATTAGATCCCTTTCCCGACAGAGAGAAAGAGCGCCCAATGGTTCAGAAGAGGCAAAGGGTAGGGAGAGAGGGAGGGGTCGGTGACAATGCGATCACCGACAACTGACTCAAGGAAGAAGGGATGTATTTGCTGTTCAACGTAATAGGGAGTAGGTGCAGTGTGCTTACGATAGAGACGGGGAGGACGAGGAGGACAGCCTGACGCTTCCATATGCTGTTGGTCCATTGTGAAATCTGCCGCCGCGTCGGGATGAGGCCACTAGACAGCAGCGGAGAGGATTCGTCACTGTCGTCGTAGATGGTCACCGCCCTGGAGGCGAGTGAGGTGGACGAGCGGTTGTTCCTGCTCTGTCCGGGTATAAAACGCAACACTTCTATGTCATTCGTATGACCGTAATATTGCAATGGTGGTGTCGGCGGTGTTCGTGGTGTCCGGATAAAAAGATAGAGGGAGAAGGGACAAGAGAAATAAAAACGCACGCGTGGTTAGTTTTGTGTTCATGTTTGTTGGTTCCTCTTTTGCTTGGCGCCCGTTCTCTGCTCCTTGGTAGCATCGATTTTTTTCTTTTCACTTTTTTTCCCCCTTCTTTATGAGAAGAGCAAATTTGCTCTTATTTAGTGAGAAAGAGGAAAGGGTGTACTTGCCATTCCAACGAGGTTCGTCTATCTCCTCGTTCCCCTGTACCATAGAGTGGTACATTCTGGTGTGATCAGTATAGAGTGAGTGAGTGGGTGAAGTGAGTGAGTGAGTAGGCTATTGTAGGTGATGAAGTGTGGTCGTGTCAAGAGCTGATCAGGCGGATCGAGTGGAGAAGTAGAAAGGAGTAAGTGCAATGAGTGAGAGCGAGAGAGAGAGTGAAAGAGTGAGGGTGCGAGAGAGTGAATGGAGATTAGTGAAAGAGGATGATGAATGGCGAAAGCAAAGAGAATAAGAGCGGGAGTGAGAGTGAAGGAAAGAAGAAGGAAGAAGATAACGAGGAGAAGAAAAAGAAGAAGAAAAAAGAGGGAAAGGAGGGAGCTGCGACTCTGAGGTATTCTACAGTACAGCTTTGCCTCATACTGAACCACTCCTAAACACACGCATACATCGGCAATATCAATATGCAGATGCCCACGCCCATGCTCATGTACCTATCCCCCAAGCTGCTGCTATTGTCCCTTGCTTGCTTGTCTTTCTCTTCCTGCCTCTTCTTCATTTCTCTTTCTACAATAATCATTCTCACTCTCAATCGCTTCCAGACCCTTATCAAAACAGCTCTCTTTATCACAACTCCAGCATGTAAGAGAGAGGCCCATGGGTACAAATGTGGACAGGCGGCCAACAGGGTGTTTGGACTGACCCTGTGACAAACCATCCGTACCTCCTCTCTCTCTTCAGTCTGCCTTGCACCTGGGAATAAAATACTATCACGCTCTGTTCTGCCCGCTGTTCCTTTTTTTTTTTGTTTTCAGTCGACATCATCCCCAAAGAAAAAGGGGTTGACTGGATAAAGGCAAGGCAAGGCAAGTGGAACGCTGACACACAGAATCAGGATGCTGTGGAAGAACAAGTTATTTTTTTTTGCGTCATGGATGGATGAGAGCGAGAAGAAGAGGAGACCCTTTTTTGAACAAAACAAGGCATCCCCCCTACTTCAAATGCCACGAGACCATAAACAAAAAATAACAATACAGCAACAACAACGACAAAGTTGGAGCAAGGAGGTGTTTCTGTTTTTTTTCCATGCGTCCGTTCTCCACATGCCGATGCAAGAACGAGTCATCACCTATGGTCCTACCTGGCGTCCATCCCTTCTTCTTCCTTCTTGTACTAGTGACAAGGTTTTTCTTTCTGCTTCTTTTCCTCCTCCTTCTTCCTTCCATTCTACCCCGACAAAGTTCACAGACAATGCTGACGGAGTAAGAGAGAGTAAGAGAGAAAGAAAGAGAACAAGAAAGGGCACAAGGCTAGCCTCTTGGCTGAGGAGACGAACAACAAAGTATTTTTTTGCTAGTGATGGTACCTGAAAAAGAAAAAAGAAAAAAGGCTCTGTAAGACAAGTGACGCACACCCAGGGCGATCAAGGCATCCCACCATTGGCTGCAGATTGCACAACTGCAACGACTGCAAAGACCTTGTCCCGGATAAGGTTCTTTTTCTCTATCTTTTCTCACACACACATACACACATACACACATACACACATACACACATACACACATACACACATACACACATACACACATACACACATACATACACACATGCACGCATACTCTGAGTCCGACGATGACCACATGCACCTGGCTACCCGCATCCATTCCTTTTTTTCATGGCACCCTTCCCTCCCTCCGCCACGGCTTGCCTTTTCAATATACTCCTCTCTTTTCTTCTCCACAATCCGGTTTAGTCATCCATACATATCCTCTTTCAACTCAGTCCCACGGCAATTGGCAATGGCTATTGTATATAGACACACGATAGAAAAGAAAGGAGAACAATGACCCCTCCCCATTAGGCCACCATTCCTCGGACTGTTTCGAAGCAGTCGGGAAGAGCGAGACTTGCATTCGGAGGATCGTGACACGCGATATCTCCTTGGGTGTTCTCCCAGTGTATTTTGTCAGTTCTCCATAACTCACAGGACATAAAAGCACACGAGTATCGGACAAAGAACTGAACATGGCATGTGCACTCTTGCACCCTTCCTACGTTCTGGTCTTCCCAGTCCGCCTGTATATGTGTGCTGGATGCTCAAACAAACAAACAAACAAACAAACAAGCAAACAAACAAACAGACAACATACGTCGTATTTATGAAGCAAGAAACGCGACGCTGGTTTGCAAGAGGGAACAAACAACGTGATTGTTGAGTGGAACTACTATTTAGCAGTGGTGTACAAAAAAGAACAAAAGAGTCTTCCATCCACTAACCCACGTACCCCACTCACTCACCTTACTCAAAACACAGAGAGCGTCCGTTGTGTGCATGTTTCCCTTTCCCTCTCTCCTCTCTCTCCCTCTCTCATCTGCTCTCACTGACCTCGACTTACTCTTTTGCTGAGAAGAGAAGGGAAAGCGACAACAATGAACTGTGCGGAATACAACAACCGTGAAAAGGAGACGTCCACTCTCTTCCATCCATCTCTTTCTCCTTCCTTTCCTTTGTCATCAGCATCCTGATGCTCCTTTTTTTTCTTTTCCCATTCCCCCCTCGTCTTCTCTTAATACTCTCTTAATAACACCGCATACCCATATTCGACTCGCATACCCTCTCCTAACAACGCATTCATACTCCTCCCTTCACACTGCCAGCACACCGTCTCCTACCTTGCCCTTACTACGTTGGCTTTTCTTGTGTCTTCATAGCCCCAAACGGTCTCCACCCTGCTTTTTTTTTCTTATCCACCCCTCTATGTTCATAACTCTTTGTTAACTCTTTCAACCTTCACCCCTCGCTCGCTATCGGTAATACGTGCTGAATTACTCCGATTGTGCGCATTACTGAATTTCACATCAGCCTTTTTTGCTGACCTCCACACGACCTTCTCTTTGTTGAATAGAGAAATAACGACTGCCTACCACAATGGACACACAGGAGCAGAACAAAGAGGCACACACTAACAACAATAACGGAGTTTCCTCAAGACCGACCGTCGTTGCAGTAGACTCCCCTGCAATGACCACAAATCCCCATGAAAGCGCACTACGGTCAAGCAAAGCTGCGAGTGTTGAAGGTGTTGCAACCTTACCTGCAGAGTCTCCCTCGTTAACAGCGGCAATTGATGTGTCGACCCAACAGTCCAGACCATTGGAAGGTCAAGCCGAAGAAGAAACGAGTCAAGCACCCACACAATCAGCTGTCCTTGTTCGCCCTTCACTGATTTCTCCCAATTCCCCTCTTTCTCCTTCAACTCCTCAGCTCTCTCTCCCTCCAGAGGGTTACACCAATCTCCCAATCGACCACCCAATCGTGAGAGTAAACAACCCCTCACCATCCCCAATCCCTGATACAACACCAACCACTCCTGCTTCTCTGTCTCCTGGATCGACATTGAGATCACGGTTGCGGCCCCTCTCGGTGACCATTGATCTCACGTCTAGTCCAGCCGGTCCCTCAGAGCCACCAGCTTATGTAGAACAATACCAACTACAGACGATGACTCCATCATCATATGAGACCAGGCCTAGTTCTTCGTTGTCGATTCGCCAACAACTCCAGCATCAACATCAGCACCGAGGGTCGTTGTCTTTTACTCCAGAGCCCATTGTGACCTCCATAGCAGGAACTTCGGGACTTGGAGCGGGAACAGGTGCCGAGTCTCAGCTGTCGCCCTCAACACCCATCCCAGTTTCGGCCTCAATCAACTTGTCTTTATCAGGCTATCGACGACCCTTTCTGGAAGAGGATGAGTTGCCGGATTACATCTCACTCACCGAGTCCAACCTGCCATTCACGCTTCCAAGCGCTCGGAGTATCACCTACAAGGTTTCTGTCACTCAGGGTCCTGCAGAGTTTCAACCGCCGCAGCAGGGAGGACAACAGGATGTCTCCTCTTCACCTTTGAGCCCAACACCCCATCAGCCAACTCTTGGTCATCAAAGGAGCACCAGCGAGGCTGGCCCGAGCACTGCAGTAGTAGTTCAGGATGTCGCCATTCTCAATACCCCCGGCAATGAAGCTGAACCGAATCACATCCAAGGCGGTATGGATCAGGAAGACTCAAGACGACCAGGAGCATGGACGATGGAGTACTGGGTGGGCGACACGATCCTGTACTTGTGCTATCTTATGGACCCAAAGATGTCTGCTATCACGGAGTTGATTCCCAGAAGCAGAACCGCTAACACGACAACCCCAGCACGGATATCGAATCCATTCACCCTTGCCGGTTCCAGCAGACCCTTTGCGGCAACTAACACCAATGCTGACCCTATCACAGCCATGACTTCTCAGGATGTTGAACAGCCTCCAATCGCGGTGTCTGTCGATATTCCCCAGACAATCGCACAGGATAGCAGCGCAGCTGGAACAGGGACAGGAACGGGGAGCAATGATGACGATGATAGCGAGAACGAGGAGATGGAACGAGTACCGACAGGGCATATCCGCGGCGGACCCCCACCCATCAGCAGGACGCGGTATAACACGACTCGATCGTTTGTAACTCCTCAGCTGGCTGCCAGCAGCTTGACTGTTATTACGCGTCGCAGCACCATGCCGATTCCACCACTTAACCCAGTAGCACCGGCGTCGACAGTAGTACATAATGCCGCAACTACAGAAGAACATGCAACTACAGAAGGACAAGGAGCAAGTGGATCAACAAGTGGGAGCGCTGCTGGAGCCGAAGCCAGTGGTCCACAGGAGGCGGTTTTATCAGTAACAACACCTGCCTCAAGCGATGTCGCGGATCAATCAGCACCAGCACAGGATGCAAACGTCGACGCGAACGAACCTGTGGCAGAATCATCGACGACAGCGGCTGGACCCCTTCCTGCTGTTCGACATATCCGTATTAATGACGGCTACCCTGGCGAGGAGGCAGACGCGATCCTAGCGCATTCGATGGCACGGATGGGCGTCCCAGGCGACCGAAGCGATAGCCAGGGCCACGCATACAACAGCGCGCTGACGTCCGAGTTCTACAAGGTGCCGTCGTTTGCGTTTGTGTCTGCCGAGGACCCTCAGACCTGGGTGTGGTGGTCGACCCACCACGAGAACAATCTCCAGAGGTGTCGACAGGAAGGGCCCAATGAAGAGGTGATGATGTGGTGGCGAACGCGTTTTGATGACGATGCGATGGAGAGCAAGGAGCGGCGGAAACAGAACAAGAAAGAGAGGCGGATGGGTCTCAGACCGTCGGAGAAGAAGACCCTCAAGGAAAGGTGGCGTCGGTTCTGGTCGCTCAAGTCGTCGGTTCCTTACCGTGAGTCGATGGAGGTTACGATGAGGGTTCGGGGGCTGTATTATGCGTGGAGGGAAGAGTCGTACACGGGCGACGAAGAGATGAACGATATCCAGATCTTGACCTCGAGTCCGCCACGCTTCTTTAGGTTGGTGAGGGATGACTCGTTGGTGATGGGACAGAGGGTCAAGGGAGGGCCTGTGGCCGAGATTGTGATCCATGGCAGCAGTAATGATGGGTCGTTGGCTGCTGCTGCAGGTAGGGGCGATACATTGGGTGGTGGCACTCCTTCACTTTTTGTTGGAGGAGAATCGACACACATGACTGAGACCCTGGACGCACCGCCCTATGGGCCAATCCCTTCGATCAGATCCGACGGATCGTCGATTACCTCCAACAACGGCAACACTTTCATGACCCAGGTCTCTGCTGCCACTGGTGGTCCTGTCCGATCCACTGTGGCCAGCACATACATACAACGCATCTCGCACGGCCGTCGGTCGGGTGCATCCTCGATGCGATACCACTTCTCTGATCCAGAGACTCCAGCACCTACTATTGGTGACGAACGGCGACATTCACTTGCTCCCTCCGAACCAGCCTCCTCCAGATTCTCTCCATTAGCCTCATCGCCGGATGCCGACCCTGACCAACCCTCTTCGTTCAGTTTCAGTCTCCGGAAACGCACCTGCACAATCCGAATCCTGGAGGGGATCAACTCTGAGGTAGAGACATTCGCGTTATCAACAGGACCTCGACTGCCCGAGTTGTTTGATCTGTTCACGGACGAGTCTGTCCCGGGCCCGTCGCGTGCGACGTTCATTTTTTCGATTGTCATCTTTAGCCTAGGCTTTCTGGTTGTCTTTCTCTCCATTGCCCTCACCAGCAAGCACTAGTAAGAAAATGGACGAAACCTATAATAAAAGGACGCGTTTTTTCGCGTCTCTCTCTGCCCATCGGGACTTTGGACAGCTCAGTGGCTTGTCGCTGTTGCAACATCCGAAACAACATCCGAAACAACAGACAGTAGCGGCGAGCTGTTCCCGGGTTCGTCGCACACAAAGCACTTATCGTCCGCGAGAGAGCAGAGGACCAGTAAAGGGCGAGATTTTGTCCCAGCGCCTCTGCAGAAAAGATTGGAATATGACGCCCTAATTGGTCAACGTCGAAATATATTTCGAAAGGGTGACGTTTACACTCTATAACTTGCATGATGTAGTGTTGTGTCACGGACAGCGCAGGATGTGATGTCAGGGCAACGTTCGGGGGTTGTTTGCTCATTGATTGTCCAACAGACCTAGCTGCCTGTGATATAATCACGCCCAAGGATCATCCCACGATATGGCAGTGAGGACAGGGTATAAAAGACCCTGTCCGACCTGAAATAAAGACCCCACTCTTGTTCTCATTCTCCCCTGCCTGCATTTACTTTACTGCCTCTTAACTAATCATTCGCATCTCTTAACAGCTCCATTTCGCCCCCTGCAATCGAAAACTGTTCGGGAACTTCTCTGCCTGCGAACATGAGTTTCTTCACTCGCAAGACGCACACGACTGCACAGCCGGCCGTCAATACTACCGCCGCGAATGGCCACCACGATATATACTCTATGCAGACTCGGCCGAAGTTTGGACAGTGGCTCAAATGGACATGGCTCGATATTCTAACCATGGCAGCCATGGGTGCTCTTGGCCTCGGAGTAAGTCAATGTTGGAATATTGAATTAAGATTTTTGGAGATAAAGGAGCCATGGAGCCGGTACTGATGTTTCGTTCTCCAGATCTACATGGCACATCCTGCCCCTTCTCGATCTTTCGCCGTCACCTTCTCAGATGGCGAGATAGTCTACCCCGAGTTTGCCTACCCTTTGCGCAAAGAGATTGTCCCCATTTGGCTCGCCGCCTTCCTGGCCGCCATCATACCCATTTTGGGTATCCTGATCATGCAAGTTCGCGTCCGCTCCTTCTGGGATGTTAACAACGGAATTATAGGCCTATTGTACTCGCTCATCAGCGCCGCTGTTTTCCAGGTCTTTGTTAAGTGGCTCATCGGGGGGCTGCGTCCTCATTTTCTCGATGTCTGCAAGCCTGATACCAGCCTGGCCACAGACACCGGGTATAACAGGAAGGGATTCCAACAGCTCTACTTCACAAGGGAGATCTGCACTGGAGATGTTAATCAGATTGACGACAGTCTCGAGTCATTTCCCAGCGGACATTCGACTGCAGCCTTCGCCGGATTCGTTTTTCTCTACCTATACCTGAATGCGAAGCTCAAGGTCTTTTCTAACTACCACCCGGCCATGTGGAAGCTCATTGTCATATACGCGCCTGTACTCGGAGCTGTCCTGATTGCCGGCGCCCTGACAATCGACAAATTCCACAACTGGTACGATGTCGTGGCCGGAGCCGTGATCGGATCTGTCATGGCCTTCTCATCTTACCGCATGACGTACGCGGCCATTTGGGACTGGAGGTACAACCACATCCCTTTGAACCGCAATGCGCCGTTCCCCTACCTTCCAGAGAGTGGCGAGTTGGCGGGCCCTGTATTTACGAGAAAGGCTGGTTGGGGAGATGCTGCGGGGGTACTCGGACGAGGAAACGACCAGAGTTACCATGGCGATACGCATAATGCGAATCAAGATGGGTACCAAGCCAGTTCAGCAATCCCGCCAGGGACTGTAGGCGGGGGACATGCACAGCCTGAGAACATAGTTTAATAGAGCGCACAATATGGTACATAAAGTGCTCCAAAAAAGTGATCCATCTTTTTCTGAATTCATCCCTTTTTTGAAATGCTCATCATCCTTCTTTGCAATCAGCCCCGGGATGCCTCTCCATGATTGTGTTCATGCTTCTATCAGAGCTATCCCACCGAGTGATACTGATTCTGGAACAGATCTGTTCCACATTTTTTTTGGGAACTAATCACGTGTCACTCTATATGTTAACAGTACGAAAAAAGGGTGACTTTAAGAAGGTCCCAGGGACCAGGTACTGGGTCTAGAGACGGGGGGGGGAGGGGTTATATTGTTCATTATATACACTTGTATCTTGCATTATTGTCAAAGAGGGATAGAAGATTGGAGAGTTTTGGGTAGTGAGCTATGGAATACCATGATACTCGTTGGAACAATTTCGCTGTGCAGAAAGACATAAAGGCACCTTGCAGTAGGTACAACTCCAATAGGTTGGGGTCTTGAACTTGAAGTTCTCGTCCTTCAAATTAGTGGCCTTGTAGCGACAAAAGATACAGCTTGGGCGCCTCTTGTCTGTCTGCCCCGCGTGTGGGTAGTGCATGCCCTTATCGAGGAGTCGAATGGCGGGCAGATCAGACATGTTTTGGGTAACATACACAGTGCTCTTGGACGCTTCATGATCATCCTGCTTCTGGTGGTGTTGACTAGTTGCCTTGGGTTTCTGGGAGTCATTTGTGTTGCCTTCGGATGCCAGAGTCCAGGCCAATTCAACACGAAAATCTCGGTGAGAGAGAGTGCCAGTTCGTGAAGAGAGGGGGAACTGGGCGAAGTTTACTGCGATGATAGAGGCGCGATGAATTGCTGATGACTATGTGAGAGAGACAAGAGGGACTCCTATCACGTTTAATTGATATTGATAAAAAAAATTCTCCAGAATCAATCCAAGGGATAACGCCGTTGTTAATATATCGGTCTATAGTCGGCTACCATTGGGCGCATTGAGTTCGGATGGGCTGTAACGCGAGGTAAGCGATGGATCTATGGTTGATAGTCGATCGAGGTATAAAGGCCCGAGAGCATGGTCTCGGGTGTCGTTGATCCTGGCTTTCAATGATTCTCACAATGAGGGAAACATAAAGTCATTAGATCGGAATAATAGGAAGAAGAAAGCTGTCGTTCAGCTTTATTACTTCGATTCATTTTATTCTCATTCCACTAACACCAGAGGACCCTAAAACGCCACTAAACTACACCTAAACACTAACAGCCAGGTACTTTTTTTTTTTTTTTACTTGCACACGCGCTTCTTTTGTTCCTCTACCTTGGTACTTCTCGATCCTCTCAAACGTTTGGAAATAGGTTGAGATAGCACGGTAGTCTCGCTCACAGACCTTGTCCATCTGTCTCTTTGCTGAACAACATTGTTTGTTCGTCTGTGCCTTGTCAGCGGTTCCTCTTCCTCCTCTTCCTCCTGCCGCTATTGCAACATGAACTTTAGCTAAGTGTGCTATCCATGTCATATCAAGTTAGCCCAAGACGTAAGAGTGAATTGGCCACTGTGGTTATATCAAATTGGCCGCCACTTTTTTTTTTTGGGTTACATGCGCTAGAACGCAGACGGCGGAAATTTTTGTGTTAAATTGAAATGGGGATTGTTCTTGGTCCGATAGACTTAGGCTACACTTTTGGTTGTGTTATCGTCTGTCATTGTGTCAGCAGTCAAAACAGCAGACAGCAATAGGAAGCTGTTCCAGAGTTCGTCTCACAAAAAACTCCCATGGTCCGCGACAGAGTGGAGAACTAGAGCGCGGATTGTATTGGTTGTGAACTCAGTGCATTTCTAAAAAACGCAACGTGTGTAGACATCCAGCAACACCTGCTATTTGCTGTCGTGGCAATCAAACTAAGCGCAGTGCCCCTGATTTAGTGTATGGTGTCTGCCAGGCCGCCTGTGAAGAAGTCGAAGTTTAGTTTTTGATGTGGGTCTAGCCTGTTAGTTTAGAAGACGAGATACGACTTGCTGCTCCACAGCGATCCAGAGTCACCGTTTGGATGGTGCGAGTTTTTAAAAGATGTGCCACACGAGCGGTTCTCTGGAATCCACACTGCAAGAATATTTGGGTTGTCCTTAAGATCTGGAACGACCCCCATCCTTGAAAAAGCAGCAAAATAAAAATAACTATCTAGCAAGCTTGGACATCCTCGCGTTCTTCGCCCTGTAGGATTCGGTTACAAACAAAAAAGAAACGCGAGCAAAAATGAAACCACTGATTGCTCGAGGAGCGGATACAATGATTTAGAGCGGAAGCTCCTTTAATGAACTACGCAGGGGTCGAACCTGCAATCTCCTGATTCGTAGTCAGACGCCTTTCCATTGGGCCAGCAGTCCATTTTGATGATAGATATATCTGAAAATATATGTATCAAACTTACAATAATCATTAAGACATACGATCATCATCATTCTATCACGTGAAGGAAGAGTTGGTGGCGTGTTTGCCTTTTCCAAGGTACTTTTTCCGCGCCTGGACTCACACGCGTTGTCGCTGACAGTGAGGACTTTTAGTTGGATAAAATTGATGTGTCGTCACGGACGGGCACCTTTACCTTGAAAAAAAAAAAATGCTCTATTTTACCGCGTTTTTTTCTTCTTCTGTTAGTTCCATCATCCTTTCTTCCTTTGCACTCAACAAACACATGCTGCCATTCATTCAACACTGCAGAACCCAGCCCTCGCTCGCTATACCAGGTGGATTGCAGCTACCGCCAGAGGTCCTTGACATCATCCTCGCCCATCTCACACGACGCGATCTTCTCTCCACTTCCCAGGTCTGCAAGGCTTGGCGTCCCTTGGCTTCCCACCACCTCTGGAAAAACATCGACAGCCTCCCTCTCAACAATGACTTTATGATACTCGTCCCTACACATGGGCACCTAATCCAGCGACTCGACCTTATCCTTCATTCAAGGTCTGAACTCGAGGGAGCGCCCGGCGTCCTACTCGCCCAAATCCTTCAGGATACACCTCGCCTGCACCACCTGTCCATCCAGCTCTTGGAGTATAACTCCAACGACATTGTGCCACCAGTGCTGAAAGCCATCAAGGACTATGCCAGTGGGCAGCTGACCAGCTTCGGGCTCAAGGGCGTGTCCTGCCATATAGAGATCGAGGATGTTAAAGCCTCACTCCCTTCCCTCACACAGCTGACGCGGCTCGAGATGGACGGATTGACTACGGGGAATTTGCTCCTAATGTTGCCCTCTCTTCCACTTCTGACAGCCATCGCCCTCAGAGGAGATAGGAATAGAACCCGAGGAGCGGGAACGATGAGTAGGGAAGTTTTTCAAAACGTCGGTATCGTCGCCATCGGGACCCTATTACCGCTCCTAAAGGATCTTACCGTCCACTTTAACAACAATATTCTCGCTGTCGGGCTAGAACACTTTTCCGAGTCTTGCACGCGGTTGACCCGAGTCGACTTGCGCGGATGCCAAGGAATTTTGTCTGATGGACTGACCTCCTTTTTGGGATCCCAGCCGCATCTGACACATGTTTGCTTGGCAGATACCCTTCTCCAGGACAGTGGTCTCCTCATCCTTGCCACGCCTGCCAGAGCTTCTCAATTGCGGGTCCTGAACATCCGGAAATGTCGCCTGGTGAAAGCGCATGGTGTCGGTCAAGTGGTCAGGGCGTGCGCTAATCTTCGGGAACTCAACTTTTCACTCTGCCCCGCTGTCTGGATGGATGTTTTCGCGGGCACCTGGGCATGTCTTGGGCTTGTCCGACTGAACTTTGGAGGCATACATGGACGTGCCCCGATTCAGGGTAGTTCTGATGCGTATGTGTCTCGAGTTGTCCAGGAGGGAGAGCTGGAACAAATGTACGCCCAGCTCGGTCGACTTCACTTATTACAGGAGCTCACGTTGGTGCCGCTGCCATTTTACCTACGTCTTTTTGAGCTGGGTCGTACGTCGGTCGAGAATATGACGCGATTGGAACACATCTCGCTGGTGGATGCTGAGTCTGGATTGGAGGATCGAGATATAATCTGGTTGGCGACGCGGCTGCCCAGTTTGAGGACCCTAGACCTGGACAAACGCATGATACGACGCAATTTGCTGCGGGATCTCGGGGACATTAACCGGTCGCTGAAGATCAATCTTCTCTACTCGCGGGATCTCTATGGCGACCGGAACCCCGACTTGGAGGCCACCGATGCGGAGCACTACGATACGGCGGACAGAGATGATTCCGGTTCCGATTCTGATTCAGACTCTAATTCAGACCCTGATTCAGACTCTGTTTCAGACTCTGATTTAGACTCTGATTCACACTCTGATCCCGAAGGAGACAACATCCATTATTTCAGTACCGGTGGCGACGACAACGACGAAGACGACAACGACGACCCTTACTACAGTCCTGGCGAGGAGCCCTACCGACCAGCACACCTTGATCTTTCCGATTCCGATTCTGACGACGACGACGACGACGACGCCAACATTTTTCCTTATGCGATCCCATCCAGCGACAGCGACGACTATGATTCCTACGACGGCTATCATGAAGGCGATAGCGATGGCGATTTCTTCTGGCACTATCACACCTTTTACGACCCTACTTCGAATACACTTATGCCTTTCCCGTACCACATGGACCCTCAGGACGACTCCGATGAGGGGTCGGAGGAGGATTCGTCGGAAGATAACAATACAGGATCGGACGGTTCGGGCAACGGCACCAGCTCTGGCAGTGAGGACAGTGGAAGAGGCAGTCAGTCGGAGCAGTCGTCCGTGGCAGAGTCTGATACTGAGGAGGACAATTCAGGATCGAATGATTCGGGTGACGGCACCAGTTCTGGCGATGAGGATAGTGGCAAAGGCAGTCAGTCTGAGCAGTCGTCCGAGGCAGAGTCCGATACCGAGGGGGATGGCATAGTGTATGAATCGGGTGCCTCTTCCGAAGTTGGCAGCGTTGGTAATATCAGCGATGACGATCGAAGCCAGAATGGAGGCGAGCACAGTGACGAGTTTTCTTCTGGCGATGATGATGGTTCCGAAGATGCTTCATCTGCGGGGGACGACAAAATTGAGCAGGAAGACAACAAGGACGAGGAGGACGAGGAAGAAGTAATACAGTGACGAGCAGGACGTGGATGGAGATGAATCATACTCGGACGACCATTACGACGGGGATGACGGCAGTGGATGCGATGCGTGCGATGTGGACGTGGGACACAACGACAAGTATAGTGGTTACGAGGATTGCGGGGACGATTACGACGACGATGCTGACCCTAACGATGTTAACGGCGGAGGATACAATTCGAACGACTACTAGAAAGCTTCATCTCTTCAAGAATTTAATCCGCATCATTTTCCTTCTTCGGGTGCTTGACAGGAATTAAAAAAAAATTATGTCAAAAAAACAAGGATAAGATGAATGTGCGATGGGGCTGTTATTGGATAATGAGGATGTCCTTCTATTTCTGTTTGTCTCCAAGGATACAGTGGCTCGATTGCTGGTCTAACAAGTAGCGGAGAGCCACATCCTTGATATCTGCGCTCGTCACCTTGAGCAACTGCTCGCGGCGGCTATTGTTTTCAAGAATTGGTGTGGTTGAAGCAAGTTAGTTGGTATGTTGCCGCGATAGAAGGAACGTTCTAGCAAAGTCAACACATTTCAACCAATACAAAGTCGAAAGAAAGATAAGACTTACGTTTGGCGCATCTCGTCGGTGATACCTTCAGTGAACACAACCATACCCTCCTCAGCCGCACTGACGGGAGCATCCATACGCTGGAAGATCGACAACTTGGCCTCTGCCAACTCCTGTTCTGTGAATTCCGAGCGGTCGAGGACCCAACGAACAGAGTCTTCGTATGTCGAAAGAGTCTTTTGAGGGCTGGGGTCGCGGTAGGAGTAGAAAGAGAAGAGACCGCCGGTGGGGGCATATCCTGCTCCACCACCGTAAGCGCCGTTCTTTTCGCGGATCTCTCTGTGCAAGTACAGGTTTGACATCAGTGACGCCAGGATCTACATTCAAGAACACCATTGGGTTTGAGAATGCGGTTAGAATACAAGTGTCTTCAAAGTGTCGGTCTTGATCGTCTGGACGAGGATAGCTGTATGGGACATACCTGGAGCTTGGCGCCATCCTCGTGGGTGTATGGGACGCCGCGGAGACACTTGGAGGTGAAGTTAATGCCGTAAGGGAGTTCGAAGAACGAGTTCTCGAACGAAGGCGTGAAAGCCGTCTACGGGGGGAACAAGAGCCATAATTAAAATCCAACCATCAAAGTCATGAAGCAATGTCAGGTCCGTGCATAATTGAGAGTTGGCCTTCCAACAGTGCAAAACTTAAAAAGTACCTGGGCAATGGCATCGGCGGGTGTGACATCCAAGCGAGAAATAAACTGCTGGACGACCTTCTCGTTGCTCGACATCTGGTCGTCTCCACAGGTGAGCGCAAGTCTTAGACTCGATCTCTTGATCGCCAAGGCGGCAATCTCCTTCAACCGCTGCGAGACCTCGGACAAATCCTCCTTTTGCGAAAGCACATTCATGAACTGTACTTGAGACATGCCTCCATACAACTCCGATGCCTGACCAGCAGGGGTCAAATGTGAGCCAGCATTAGTCCTGGCAAAGACATGTCCCGAGTCAGCGACAGAGTTTGACAATGCCGATGCGTTTCCTTGAATGAGAGTGCGGAGCTTGTCGACGTTATCAAAGTTAGTCTCACGGACGAGGGAGCCCAAAAGGTCGTACATGCGGTCCTGGTTGCGGTCCAAGCAGTATGAGCTAAAGGAGACTCCCTCCTCGGTTCTGTCGATCGATGAGTGGCTGGTGGAGAGGAAGGGTGAAACGCGGATCCCGCCGGTGTACAAGCGGATCTCGTCGTCGATCTCGCTCATCGCACGATTCTGCGTTCCCAATGACGTCAACGACTATTTCCATGATTATATGCAACAGAGACGAAGTAAGTTAGAAAATGAATGTCGGAAATGTACACTGGGCCGGTTCTTGAAAAATTCATAAGACAGATAACTTACGTCGGTGAAGAGGGGGAGGTACTGCTTCTGTTCGGGGGTCAATCCTGGAATGACGCTGATACCCCGGAAGTACGTGATTCCATTTGTCGAAGTAGGTCGCCACTGAACAGGAACACTGCCGACCGCGCTATGCTCCAACGAAAAGGTCTTTGCCTTCTTGGAGATATCGTCCACCTTCAATGTAGGGAGGCAAGAGACATCCTCGACCTTCTCCTGGTTCTTCAACAGTGCCTGTCCCTGCTGATAGATCGCCTCTTTGTCGGCGTTAGTCAGGACGCTGGTCTTGCCCATGAGACGTGTCGTCTCATTTGCTGCGACCTCAGCGCCATAGTCGGGGCTGGGGGTCATGGTAAAGACAAGTTTGTGGGGGTTGTTGAGCAGGTATTTCGAGATCAAGTTCTGGAAGAAGGGTCCTGCCGCAATCTCTGTCTTCAAGCGCTCAATGTTCTATTTCATGTCGAAGGAGGGGGATCAGGAATTAGAAGTCTGACGAGCACATCACAGCTTGGAAGTGAAGGATCAAACATCCTTGCGGTTCATACCTTGTTGAGTTCCAAGAGGTCAACGGGGTTGCAGCCGTTGAACCATCCTGATGACAATCCCTGCATTAAACTCATTCCGAAAAACGAAGTTTTCTATATAATCAAATAAAAAAGATGTCAGTTCATAGCCACGTCTTTTAAAACTGTCCCATAATACGACACACACAAATCCACCGAGCAAAACTTATTCTTACATGCTTCTGTCCAAGTTCCATCTGATGGACAATAGCTTCGATACGCTTGGGATCCACACCCTCCTGCTGAACCTTCTTGAGAACGTTGGTGATGGTTTCCTCGACCTTGGCAATATCCTCAGTTTTCATTCCCTGAACTCCAATGGCGAGGGAGCTGACCATGGTCGAGCTGTCGTATCCAGTGTTGGCCGAGTATTCTGATCCCAAGTTGGACTCGATTAATGCCTGGTACATGGGCGAGGCATGTCCATCTGTCAGCAAATCTGAGAGGATCCTCAGCCCGAATCCTTCGAATGTGTCCTAATGAGACAAGATCGAATTATGGTTAGACATGATTGTACGATTGTGGATCGTGTACAGGTTCCGTGAATAGCAATGTGCAGTTTGTCTACTTACGGTGGCCTTGTTGGTCAAGAAGGAGACAGACATCTTGGTCTGCTTGTCAGCCGAGGACACTAGTACCGAGGAAGCAGTAGGCAGCATGTAAGTATCCATTCTTGAAAGGCGAAGTGTTCATGCGATAGTTGAATTATCTCCCACGACTCGACAAACATGCTTACTGGGGTCGATGGGGCAGGTCAAGGCGACACGGCGAGGGCTCTCAAAGGGCTTGACTATTTTCTCCGCTGAGGGAGGGGTGATGGGTGAGAACTCCTGAAGCTTCGAATTGATGGTCTCCAATGACTCCTCCAAGGGGAAGTTGCCGTAGGTATAGAACCTGGCATTGCTGGGGTGGTAGTGTGTCTTGTGGAAGTGAACTAATTCGGCGTGAGTCAAGTCGGTAATGTTGGCGGGGTCTCCTCCGCTGTTGTGGGCATAGGTAGTTCCTGGGAACATATACTGCTGCATCTTTGAGTAGAAGAGGTATCCTGCGTCAGCCATCTGACCCTTCATCTCGTTGTAGACGATTCCCTTGAACACAATCGGCGATTCCTTGTCTATATGTTTAAAACCAAATCAAAGTTGTCAGTATGTTCCTAGGTGTCCGGTTGTACGTTGTAAGAGTGTCGATTCATAGGTGACGGTATCATACCACTGGGGTTTTCGTGCTCCAGCCTCCAGCCCTCCTGCTTAAAGTCGAGCTCACGAAGGTGAGGAAAGAACGCTGCATCCATGTAAACATTCCTCAAGTTCTTGTAGTCAACGGGGTTGGTGGTCGAGAATGGATACAATGTATAATCGCTTGCTATAATGTTGAAGGCAATTATGCCAGTGTTAATTCATTTTTTCAAGGCAACATTAAAGGCGTACATACAACAAAAGGGTATTGCTCGCACCTGTGTATGCGTTCATGAAAGTGGCCATGCTGCGGTTCAGCATCTTGAAGAATGGGTCTCTGACGGGGTATGACCGACTTCCGCAGAGGGTTGTGTGTTCCAGGATATGAGGCACACCTGCACTGTTTTCAGGAGGAGTAGCAAATCCGACGCCAAACACATTGTTAGAATCATCGCGTGCAATGTGAAGATGTTCTGCTCCTGTTTTGTCGTGCTTCAGTCTAATTGCATCCAGCTCTAGCTCCTTGATATGGCGAGACTATAGAAGTATAATGTCAATGCGGATAAGAGTGTGAGTTGTTTGTAGAGAGGGTGAAAGAGAAAAAGGCGCATGGTGGTTGCGACTACCATACCTCGACGACGGTGTATCCATGAACGGACTTGCCAGGCTTCCAAGAATCTAGAATATTCACCGATCAAGGATTGCAGTTGAACCATTGTTAATGCTCAGGGTGTTTACAGCTTTGCCCTGAGGAAACACCGCAACGTTCCGTTGACTGATGTCCTTCTTCTTCCCCTACCTGTGGTTGCGGTAGCGAGGAATGCTCTTTGGCTGTGACGGAATGAGTGTGCGGAGTGTCCGAGAGAAGCCCTCTGGGCGGCTATCCTTGCGGCTGCGAGCATTTGTGCTTAGAATGAATGAGCGCGAGTGTACCGATGAGGTCGGTGAGGATGGGTTGAATGTAAAGAAGGAGGAAGGAAAGAAGGGGAAGTGCGAGATGTCGGGTGCTTCGCAGATCAACCTTTCTGAAGGGGAAGGAAACTCGTTTTTTCCTTTCTTGGACGCAGTCACGATAGGACAGAAGGACAGAACGGACAGAGCGCCCGCTTCCAGGCACACGGGCCCGCCCGCTAGTTGTTACACTCTAGCAGGAGGTCATTCCTGGTGCCCAGCCTTTCTCTGTTCACCGAGCAGCGTGCAAGGGATGGCAATCTGATAACTCTTGTCATATCGTCACATCGTCATGAACAGGGAAGACGCAGCCTTTGTGACCCTGATGAAGCAGTCGATTTGGATTTGGTGGCAACGAATTTCGCTGTGTTCTCAGTTCTCCGTACTTTGCGCGTGAAGAAAAGACATGGCGTGGCACTTTGTTTTCTGAGGGGGTTAATCATATCTACTGATGAGGGCGCAGTCCTTTGAACACGAGCATGGATCAGCTTTGATATGCCCATCCGTATCAACACTGATCAATGGCCCTGCATCAGCCTCCCTTGCCGCAAAACGTATTTTATTTTAATTTTTCTTCCTTCCTCTGCTTTCTTTCTTCCTCTCTCTCTTTTCTTCAGCCACACCAAAAGAACGACAGAAGGCAGGCACAGCAGGAAAGGACAGCGACTGATGAACATCCTCCAGCACAAGAGGTACCCGACACGCCCACCACAGCTGCACATGGTCCAATTACAAAAAATAGCAATCTAACATTCACCTCTTCAAATGTGTCATGCATCTCAACTCTATTGACACTATTTCGTTTTTATTTGCTTCTCATTCATAGTTGGCATGTCTATAGCCAAAAGAACCAGGACCGAGTCAAGAGAGACGAGGCCAAGGCTGAAGCTGAGGAGAAGCAAACCCAGGAACGAGCCATCGCTGCAGTACGTTAAACGCCTCTCGCAACAGTATTGCAGTAGGCTCCATATATAATGCTTCGACCTTGCCCGGATGATGGCTAACGATAGTTCATTACCTCCAACAATAGGATCGGGAGCATCGATTGGTGGTACTGAGGCAAAGGGCGGCGAGACGATACACTAATGAACCTGTACCAGGCGAACAGGAGGAAGATGATGACACGATACCAGGGCCATTAGCACCAATACCCAACGATACAGTAGCCGTAACCAAGATAAAGTCCAAAGGAGAGCATGTCAACTTTTGGGCCGATCTGGAAAAGCAGGTTCGGACCAGCGCGCCTCGCAGACAGTTGCTTCTTACTGTTACAACAAGGCAATGACTATCCAGGACACGCCATTGACGCGCTCTACGTTCGTACTCTTATTTGGTCATATACAATAGGACACTACCAGCAAGAAAGGCAACCCAGAATACGAGGCAGAGGTCAAGGCAAAGGAAAAAAAGTGGGAACGCACCATCGCTATGCATCTGGATTCTGCTGTCAAAGGTAAGAATTCAAATGCCTTGATTTTTTTTTGTTACTATTGGTTTTTCGAATGAATTTGCAATTAATTATCTACATCGTTCTTGTTCCTCGCGTAGGTCCAACCCCTTGGTATACAACTCCGCAGGCCGGGTCAATGACTACATCCAGAAACAAGTACGTCCTTCAAACAACCCTCCTCCAGGAAACGCCGTTTGCTCCATTGAGACGGACTTATTCTAAGCTCTGACCTTTCTCTTTGACTTTTTGTGTCATTTAGGAACGATGACCACGACTTTGTAAAAGTCCGAGAGGACCCATTACAGAATATGAGGTCTATGCTGGATAAGCGAAAGGTTGCACAGGAAGCAAAAGGCGAGCGAGAGAGGAGCAGGTCGCCCTCATCACGGAAGCATATACGGACATCAAGACAGTCTCAGCCAGCCATCAATGATACTCCAGTACGTTTAATTCTCATGGGTCCTATGACTTCATAGCTTTTTATTTCAATGTTGAAAAGCCAACACCTTTGTTCCGCATTCGTTCTGACTAATAGGAGTCTAACACGTTGGCAAAGCTGAGGATGGAACGACTACTCAGAGAGCAGGCGGAGAAGACAAAGGCGATGGCGCTCCTAAACCCAGACTACATTGATCCTACCGTGCACCACCAGCCTGCAGGACGATACAACCAACAGTTTAACCCCCAGGCGACCACCCACGCACAGTCCACGTTTCGTTCACACCGCGGGGACAAAGATGGACAGAATGACCATCGGAGGGAGTCTCGGGTCTCAAGAAGTCCTGAAGATCGAGGAAGCCACGAGAACCGATACAGGAGTCACCGCGATGACCGACACCGAAGAGATAGAGACTCAAGTAGCCGTGAGGAAGATCGATACAGAATTGGCCATGAAGACAAGCATCGGAGAAGCAGAGGCTCAAGCAACCATGAGAACCGGGGTGGTTATAACGAGGATCGGCACACAAGAAGCGAGGGTAGTCGTAGGCGGGACCGGGACCGGGACCGGGACCAAATTCTTGGCGGGCCATCAAGAAGCCACCACCAATAGCCATAACAGGTGGGGCCAACATTAATGCACAAAACAGCGCTCTCGATTCAAATTAAAAGAATGAAGTTTATTCTTGAAATATGCAATTGCTTTTATTACCAGTCGAGCCCAGAATCAACGGGGCATGCGTTGAGGGTTTCGTCTGGGTGAGCGATACACTGTCCATTCTTGGCGAGGTCGAAGCCCCAGTAATGGACTCCACATCGAAGAGTGTTGTTGTCTCTCAGGACACCCTATTGGTATGGACATGAACACAAGTGGTTTGTTCAGTTAGGCGATTGGTGGCATGGCGCACAGGATCAAAATACAATCATGAAGAGGCCATTTTTATCTCTCCTTTAGCAAACTTTGTGTGCGAGCATTGGAAAAACAAGGGGGTTCTATTGCACAACAAATCGGAAAACTTACCCATTTCAACATGTCGGCATTGGCGTGGGGACAGTACCGGTCAAGGTCAAAGGTCTTGGACGAGGTCTGGATACGAAGGCGTTTGGGTGAGTTGATGTGGATATAGAACCCAGGGCGGTGGGTACTCTTCAACCCCTGGGCCCGCAACTTTGCTTCCTCGGGGCTTAGATCTTCCTTGGGCTCCTCATCCGCGACAATTGTTGTAGCTGCAGTTTCAATGCTGGTGGTTGTGTTTGTGGTGGAGGAGCGACTAGTGACGGTGAGGGTGGAGAAAGAGTCGGTAACAGAGGCGGTATCATCGGGGTTACCGGCTATTGTTGCTGTTGTCTTTGTCGCCTGTGGGGTGAGTGAGGATGATGTGCTGGTATTGTTTGCTTGTTCTGTTGAGGTAGCTGTTGTTGTATCAGTTGCTCCTGTTGGTGCCGGAGAGGGGGAAGGAGAGCGAGAGTGAGTCTTGGAGTATGGCTCAATGTTGATCATGCTGTTGTTGTTTTTTGGCTGTTGAGTGTAGGGTTGAAGAAGAGTATAATCGTAGAGGGTGACTGAAAGTGTGCAAGTGGATGGGTTGGAGGCGGAATGCAATGCAAACGAAAAGAGAAGTTGATCGAAAAAGTTGATGAGGCGGAAGGAAGATGAGAGAAAAGAGACTGAGAAGGGAAAAAAAGGCCGAAAAGGAGGGGCGAACTCGGTGTTATTACTGTTGCCAAGATGGCTTTGATGGCTCCAGCTGGCCAAAGAGAGTTGATCCCCCGCAAATGTATCGGTCCTTTCAGGTACGATCCGCAGTGTACCTCATACTAAACAGGTGGGGCAAACAAACAAATTGTCCCACGGTCAATCCGCATTGACAACCGTGGGAGCTCTCTCTTTTCTACTTAGACTAATATTATCCTAGGGCTTAGGGCCTATGATTCGTGCATAGCCCATATGGACTACTCAAGGGAATGGCAAGTGGTGTGGATTGACCAGATCGAGGATATCGCCATACAAGACGTTAGAGCCTTCTGTAATTCTCTTCCCCACTCGCAATACCTCTTTTTCGGCTTTGGGATGGTGGAGTGACCGACTGTCCGCTTGTGACAATATTGGTGCTTAAACTAACAAAAAAAAACATCAGCCAAGTGTTATGTATACTCTCTCCTCATTGTGGTTACCCCTCATTGTGGTTACCCATACCCGCCGGTCGATAAAGTGAGGTTCCGAAAGAGGAAACACGATGGTAGGTAGGTGGTAGGTAGGTGGTAGCGGGGAGGGGGAGGGGGGTTGTTGTTGTTGTTGTTGTCCAGCCATTCTGTGTATCCTCGTTCACCAGTCGTTAAGTAATGTTGTTGAGGGCACGGGAGGGGTCAAGTCGACGGTAGACATGCATCAGCACACCCTGTAGACATCCCGTCTCTCCGTCTGTCCTTTCTAATGACAAGTCGAGACTACGTGTTTGTGCAAAAAAAAAAAAGATGAACGCGGAGGACGAGGGTATGGTCAAGACGGGAGAGAGGAGGAGGAGGAAGAAGAGGAGGTCCCTAGGCGTTTAATCAGTTTATGTTTATTAGTCTGAGATAACTGATCCCTCACTCTACCAACTTTGTTACTTTCTCCCGCATACCAAGGTCACACTCCCCGTTTTATTACGAGTACCGGGGTTCCTGATGTCTCAATGGCGGTGACGATAGCCTGCAAAAGCATGCATATGTTGTCTGCTGTACTCAATGAAGCAAGGGATCGACATGTCTGCTTGAGGAGTGACGATGGTCAGGAAGGGAAAGCTATAACACGCTCTGTTATTTTATTTCCCTCTGTCATTTTCACGGATACCAGAAGCGTTTTACTTTTTATACTCGATTGGTCGCTGTCGTGTAATTCTTCGTCAGTATGACCAGAATGTGAGAGTAATGCTGGACTTTCTCCTCTTTGAATGCGTCTACCAATTATCTAGGAATGGGGTCAAGGAGATCAAATGCGAATGAGGGATAGGTATCTCAGGGGATGCTAATTATGAAGGCGTGACTTGAACACGCGCATTGTACACAGCCAGCCGAATTAAGCATATCCATAGTAGACCCATGTAAATAAACACTGGTTGGTGTGCGGAGGATTGATGTCGTCGTATGATGGTTACTAAGGACGAGAAGAACGAAGACAAGGGTGTTGATGCCTTGATAAGCAAATTTGTATCTGGTAGCGTGGGATATATTTTTTCTAAGCTATTACCTAGCGGCAGGATACTCTAGACTTTGCGTTCTGAATACCGAACGTCTTGAATGATCCTGATGACGACTAGGGTTAAGTGTCCCTGTGGCAGATGTGGCAGATGTGGCAGATGTACCACACAAGGGCATGTTCAGTAAAGTGACTGTTGGCCAGATGCAGACGGAGAGCCAGCCGCGGCTCGCTCGCGTTGTTTCTCCTCTTTGTGCGACGGACTCTTTTAGGATTAGAGTTTTTTCATCTTTTGATTTCCAGCTCCGAGCCGCCAACCGCACGAGCCGAGCGGTGCAATATATGTATGGAAGGGAGGAACCCTCAAGCAACAAATATTCGTTTTAAGAAAGACATTGAGGATGGTTCATGGGTACGGTTGATCTGTGTGCCGTCGACATCGATTGGATTGTGAAGTAGCCGATGGGGATGATGCCACGAGGATGCAGAGAACAGCCAGAAAGAAGGGGGATTGGGTTGATCAATTCGAGAGTGATCAATTCGAGGTGATCAATTCAAGAGTGAGAGACAAAGAGAGTTCTGATCAGGAGTGTCTTCTTTAGGATGTAGGTAGTAGGGCATCCATCCCGGGCCATGGATGTATCAGATATGAGATGCTTACATCCCCGGCTGGCTGGCGGGCTGGCTCCCATTCACATTCACATCCATCTCCATATGCTCTCAACCTGCTCGTGGGTATCCATCGTTTTCACTATTGAGTCGTACTGTTCTAGGCAATCCATTCTAATCAATAATAGTGTTCAATAAAACAAACATCATGACGACCAAAGAAGCAAAGCCCATCCATTCCCTTGTTTGCGGTGCTGGGGGATGGTCTCGTCCCCCTCTTCTCTCCCTTATCTTCACACACACACTCTCTCTCTTCCCTTCCCCCTTCCTCTTTCTTTTCCCTTCTTCTTTTCCTTCGGCCTTTGCCTTTTGTCTGGCGCCAACCGAACACCTCAAGCAAACAAGGATTTTTTCTTCTATTCTTCTCGGCTTTGGTTCACCACTTCCTTCATCGCAACCTTCACTCTCAATCTCACTCTTTCCTTCTCATTCAAACCATCCTACCCACCTTCATTCTTTCCTTCATACCCACCTCTCATTACCTTCCTTCTGCATTCCCCCTTCAGCAACCCGCATTCATTTCACATTCTCATTCACATTCAACCCAACACGCTTTTCATCGAGGTAACTATCGCTTGCTCAAAAGGAGACAAGCCATAACCTCAGAGGCAACACATAGCACGAACAACTGCGTCTCGGCAAGCCAACAATCATTTTACCAGTATAATCACCGCCGATATAGCAATTGTTACCTACTGGGGACTAAGAAAGAGGATCACGAGCTGTGAGGAGGAGGTGGGGTATTGTCCTTGAACAGTTTATTTACTAGCAATCGGTTGCTTGTGCGCCAAGTGAGCAAAGCATGTGTCTACGAGAAGAGATAAAAGAACGGATATATTTTAGAATGAGAGCAAAGGCAGTAGCAGCAAGAGGAAGCAAGCCCCACATGAGAGACAAGAAAGTAACCCGTTCCCTTGAGGGAGGGTTGGTTTGTCGGGGTCGACAGCCGTCAAGACCGAATCGAGGGACTAGTGCTGTATGTGCTATAGTAATCGGGATGGTCATGGCGTATGGGCATGGCAGAGACACGAGGCACAAGGCGAGAACAACAACGGACACGATTTCTATTGTTTCTCATATCGGTCTCTTGAGTTAGCTGTCCAAGGAGCCCGACGTATTCCCTTGGGGCAAAAAGCGAACGGAAGTAGCCCTGACACTCACCATCTCTCCTTCTCTCTTCTTTTCTTATTTCTCTTCTCTTCTTTTTCGACTTCTCATTCTCTACTCTATCACCTCGCTTATTCTTCCTCCACACACTCTTTATCCCCCCACATCCAACACAACGCAACACAACACACCTCTACCTGTCCAACTTCGTAGTCGTCCAACTCCTCCAATTGACACAACTAGCTTACCAAGAAGGACGTACAGGCACAAACACCCTCGGACCAACCCTCGCTTCCTACAAACAACGCGTCTTGGCCTTCAACAAACACCTTCCTACAAACTGCAACCACCGCCTCCATAGCAGCCGTAAAAGCACATCCATCCACCAAGCGAAGCATTTTCCCTCATCGGACTCTCCCTTATCCAATCTCTTCCACCTCCCTCGCCACTTCGCCTCTTCGCCCTCCACACACACATACATACGCCTCTGAAGATGGACCCACATTCCATCAAGAGGCCGCGGATCATGCCTCCAGAAGCAAAGTCACTGCAAATCCCTGCCAACTTCTCGCTTCCTCAACAACACGCCCCTACCCGCAAGAGTAACCCTGCACCTCTTCACCAAGTACCTGACATGTCGTTCGCCCCAAGATCAGGCATCAACACTTCAACTCTGGGCCTGAATGCATCCTCCACAGTGCTGCCCAATTTCATGTCGGGATCGTCCAACCGTTCACTCCTCAATGTCCCCGAACACCAAGGTGGTCCTACTCGTCGCAACTCTTACTCTAACCGCCACGCCAAAGACACGCTCTTCCACAAGGATACACATCATTACCCTGGGATCTCCAAGCAGCAGCAGATCCAACTGGAGCGCCAGAAAAAGTTTAACCAACAAGCACAGCTGCAGCAAGCCCATCAAGAGTTTCATCGCCAGCGAGAGCTCTATCAGATGCAACAACAGCAACAGCTTCAACAACGCTTGCCCACAGCCCCAGCTACTTCAGCATCATCACAACCTCAAGGGTCGTCACTGTCATCTAGAACGCCTCATGCCCAGCACCACCACCATCACCATCACCACCACCATTTTCATGTCCACCCTCACATGACTAACTCTTCAAACATCCAGCAGCAGCTCAACCTCACCATCTCGTCTTCAGTACACAGTCAGCGGGCCATTGCCTCTATCCCGATCTCTTCGTCAACATCATCGTCTTCATACCCAGGCGCTCCGTCATCGGATGCTTCACATCCATCTTCCTCGAACACTTCTGCGGCTTCTCCAGGCAGTGCCTCAGGCTCGCCAAGGATGTCATCTTCAAATCTTCACCATCATCATCACCACCATACGAGTCTTCACCAACATCTTCCTCCTCAACGGCCGAACCAGTTCAGTGAGTGGACGAATGTCAAGGAGAAAGAGCGGGCGCGCTTGCTATCCAACATGGCCCGTGTTCGCGAGACCCAGCCGCCTATGCCCTCCGCCGAAGCCGCCAGAGAGAACCTGAAACGACTCTCCCATCGCCTACATCAGAGGCGCACTCGTGCCCGCGAGACCATTCTCTATGATCTTCATCAAGGCGTCAAGACGGTAGAGGCACAGGTTCATAAGCAGGTCGACATGGTCCTCAGTCGGCTGAAAGATGCTCCAGGATCCAAGTATGCATTCGCATTGACTCATACATTTCTCACACAAATCCCACAAGCACTATCGAACACCATCCTCCCCTCAGCCATCTCAGCGGTCGCAGATACGGTTGCCGGTAGAACCACCAACTCTTTGACGACATTGCGAGGTCGCGCAGGATTGGATGAGTTTGATGAGGACGACGAGGATGAGGATGACGAGGATGACCTGGATGACCTGGATGATATCGAGGAGTTGAGTTACCAACAGCAACTGGCCTTGCTCAGATCGCATCAACAGCAAGATTCTGGCGTTTCTCAGCAGCTCTCGAGTGAGTTTGGCACCATTGCCTTGGCGTCCTCTTCTTCGTCGTGCTCCGGATCCTGTAGTTCTGGATCTTCATCGGCGACTGAAGCCTCTGCAGCCTCGGGTATTCATCATTCTGGTGACGAGAGTGTGACCGAGTGTTACGGCGAAGGAACCAAGTCGTCTGCGCCAGTCTCCATCTCGAGGAAGGGAGCATCAGAGTTCCTGTCTGCATCGACACACCACAACTACTCCATTTCTGCCTCGCAAGTTTTGAACGCTGCCTTGCCGTCGTTTATTCCCTCCATGGTTGCTCCCATCGTCTGCGTGTTCTCTTATCCTTCACCACCAACAACCAAACCCAGCACGCCGCAACAGTCGACACCTTTGTCACCCAGTCTCTTTAACTTGGCCAAGGACAACCACAAGGCCGCTTCCGGAACAGGATCAGACTCCTTGCATGAAATTGGAACATTACCTTTGGAACCAGAGCGCACCGCCATCAAACAGGAGCCTGTGGATGAAGATATGCGCCCTCACCATAGGATCAAGGTCGACCCGGGTATTGTTGTCGTGAACTCGAATGCTTGGACATCTGCCGAACGCGAGGCCCTCTTCCTGGCGGCTACACGTTTCCGTCTCCACGGTCAATGGTCCAAGATCCGCCAGATGATGGGTTTGCACCGGACAGACAAGGAGATCGAGGACGAGTATCAGCGCTTGTACGGAGAAGATGACGAGGGGATGCAGAGCGACGACGACGCCGACGAGGACCTTGTGCCGATCAAGCAGGAGTCTGACGTTGAGGATGATGGCGATGCAGATGACGAGGCCGAGCCAGCCGTGTTTATGAGATTCGGAGGTCAACGTCACGCCACAACCCCGCGCCAGCATTCACACACGCTTGCAGCCCAACAACGGCAGGACCACCAGTTCACCATTACCTCTGGAGGATCTGTAGTTTTAGGTATTCAGCCTCTGCCGACCGTCCCGACACCGGCCAACGCCACCGCCAGCTCGACACGACCTAGCCACCGTCATACCCACGGTCATCATGCACGATCTGACCGCGGCGGCCACGGACATGGCCATCACCGCCACCACGACCGTCTCTCGAAGTCTCTCAACGAGAAGCCTCTGCGGATCATCAAGAAGGAGGTCATGATCGACAAGCGCTTCACTCTCGAGGACATTCCTATGCGAATTTAGAACCCTTTGTTCTTTGCTCTTTATTGTTATTATTTTTCTTCTCTTTTTTGTTACATCTAATCCCACCAGGCTTCAATTACAAAGCTTGGATTGTACTTTTACTGTCACTCCACTCTCCTCCATTCTCATAAAGTATCATATATTCCTTTATTTTTATGTTTTGTATTCTGCCTAATGTTCCCACGATAAAGAAAAGCGCAAATAAACCTCATCTTCATCCTTAAAATACAACCCCCCCACGACAAGCACTTTAATTACAGTTTACGCGCAAATAAAGAGCCAACAAGAAAAATAATCCATCTTGTCTTAGATTAGCCAGAGAGGCAATTCTGTTTATTTTAGCACGTCGCGTCAGCGACATGAGCAGGAACGCGCTTGCCGGCCAAGCGGCATTCCCTCAGAACGACCAATCTCTCCGCAAGCCTCTTGGCCTCTTCTGGGCCTTTGCCCTCTAAAGTGTTTTTCCATGGCGGGTGGTCGCCTGGATAACTCAGAGGGTCAGCCGTATCATTCACTTCCGATCTGTTCTTGATAGCTTCGGTACGGCTGATGGAGGAGATAGGAGGAAGGATGGGGATACGGCCGGGGCGGAAGGCTCGGGTCATGTTGTGGTCTGCGAGGTATCGGTGGAAGACCTTGAGCTTCCCACGGGCCAACTCGCCTCCTAGGATGTATACAGGTTTGCTGTTTTATGGTATTTGTCGTGGGAAAAGTGAAAGTTATGTCAGTTTAAGGTGGTTGTTGACTGTCGGTTGTTCAAAAAAAGCGCGATTTTTTTTTTTTCAAACACAAATCAGCTCCCTGCTAAAGTCTGAACATCGCTTCAAAAGGCCTCGCTGTTGCGAATGTTTTGTTACAACTTACCCAGTTGCAAGAGCTTCGTTGGCCATGGCGACAGAGTCCGCAGTGACGACAATTTTGTCCGCCAAAGCCAACATGGCCTCATACGGATTACGGCCATCCACAAAGCCCATCGCGCCTTTAGGTCCTGGAACATTCGACCATGAAACCTGTCCTGAAGCAGCAGAATCCTGGGGCGATGTCATTGGTGTCATGGGATCATAGACAAAAATTTTGTCATCATCCTGAACTTCCTTCTGCCATTTTGCAATCGCCTGCTTGGTGTTATCGGCGGTCCGTTGCGAGAAGGTGATCATGACGCGACAGTTTTGGACATCAACCAGACGAGCGAGGCGATGGACCATCCTATCCGTGTGATGGGAGCAGTCTTCGTTGGGTCCGCCGATTAAAACTGTCACAATCGTGTCGGTCGGCATTGAACACAGGGATGACGCAGAAAGGGTGTTGTTACGGAAGAATGATTTGGGGATGAGGTTGTTGTCCAGTGCTCTTGTCCTTGCTAGCTGTAACGATTTTGAGGTGATCGAGTTGAGTGTCGAGTTTATCCTGAAGTAGTTCTTTTGGTCCTTCATCAACCCCAGTGCAGCTATCCGTCAGTGAAAAACGTGGCCATGTCAGTGTGTGATGTGCTTTCTTCACTAGTAGAATATATAGTCCGCATTTTATGAACGCCATTGGTATTACCGAGCTGAACGACGACTTCGTGTCGTTGAAGGAATACTTGATCAAAGTGGATAAATGGCAGCGCCGGGAAATGGATGTATGCTAACCGTGACAATTCAGCAAAGGGCATCACGAGATGGATGCGATTAGTCTTCGAGTATCGTGTTTACAAGGAGGACAAGGACGGTTAACACGTCTCCCAGTCACTTACAAGAAAAGGACGCTTTCCCGCTCATCCTGGAGACTTGAAGAATTCCAGGTATCGCCCTTGCACCAGCTCCGATGACATAACTTGGGTACGGTGCTGCCAATGAGTCGCCCGTCAAGAACCATGGTAGCCTGTCCGCTATTGTTTTCGAATCGGTAGTAACAAGATGGTGTCAATATAGAGGTATTACAAAGTGTACATGTCCCGCGACGGAGCAACTGATATCCTGGAGACATACTCTGCTTCCTGTTGACGACGTGGTGATAGTCCATGATCAGCTTCTTGAATGGAATCGGGAGCCATTGAAGCCCTATTTGTTGGATAAGGAATTACGAGAAGTTAATAACCAAGTTCCAATGAGAGCTGAAATGGCACGGTCTGCACTGGTTTGTCCTGCTCGTTCGTTCGTGCAGTATGTACCTTTACGCCATTGGACGCGCTTGATTTGCCAGGGGAGTGAGAGCCCCTTGGCTAGGTTGACGGCCTCCTTGTCAGCACTGACAGACCCGTCGGATATGATCCATGTCGATGCATTGGTAGGTTGGTATGTAGTCCTGGGCGCCATTCTCATCTTCCCGGCGACCTTTTCGTGTCTTGTGCCTCCTCCTCCTCCTCTTGCGGCTGTAGCATAGTGTGATTTTGATAAGTGTTGTTGAAGAGGAAGATTATGTGTCCTGGGGATGGAGGTGAGGACGGTTGCCCACTGCTTGATCCCGTAACAGTGGCGGTGGTTGATGGTGTAGATTGGTCTCCCATGAGCGGTGATCTTGATGGCGGCCTGAGCTATGCTCTCCATGTCGGCAATCTCGTTTGTTGATCGGAAATAAATAGGAAAGCGCGAAAAGTTGACTTTCGGGCGCCTTTGTGCGTGTTCTCCGAATTTTGTGCCAGGGGTCAGTGTCCTATGATGGCCGTCACACGCCCTTGTCCTTTGATTGGCTGTCATCGTCAACCTTCTCTTCCCAGGCTTCTATCCTTTTATGGCTTGCATTCTCACTCAAAAGTCAAGACCCCCTTCCCCCATAGACCTTTCATTCATTCCTCTTCTTCTCTTCCCCCATTCTTCTCTCATCAACAGCACACACTCTTACAAAATAACCATGGCCCCTATCTCTAAAGTCAACGACAAGGTCAAGGTCGTCCTCACCGGCTTCCAGGTACCACTTCACACCTTATCTTCCTCGCCCTGCACGACTTCAATTGATACTCAATTTTCTGTCTTACTTACCACGCCCCACTACTGTATTTATGTGTTTAGCCTTTTGCACACCACTTGACGAACCCTTCGTGGCTTTCGGTTCAGCCTCTCCACAACACTCTCCTCGACTTGCCTGAAGTCCCTGTTGCCAAGCAGGACCCCAAGCACCACAATGCCACCCAGGCCTACCTCGTCTGCCAGGAGCTCCCTGTCGAGTACCAAAAGGTGCCTAACCTCGTTCCTGAACTGCATGTCACCCACAGCCGAACCATCACCAAGGGCGACCAGGTTATCCAGGTCGAGATTGATGAGTCCAAGCAGGAAGAGGAGAAGGAGAAGGAGGAGTACTTGAAGACGTACTACATTCACGTTGGCGTTGGCCGTGATGGACACACTGCCATTGAGACCCAGGCACATCGCACTGGATACGGCGGACTTGACAATGCCAAGTGGACGCCTCCCAACAAGGACGAGCCTCCGGTTGTGAAGGAGGAGTGGTCTGCAGACCCAGATTTGTTGACGACAACGGTCGACACCGCGGCATTGGCGGAGTACCTGAAGACGGAGAAGGGATGGATCTGCCAGCAGAGTTTGGATGCGGGGCATTACCTGTGCGAGTACACGTTCTATTTGAGCATGGCTGAGCGCCAGAGACGAATTACAGCTGGGGAGGAGGGAGAAGGAGAGAGGACGTGTCTGTTTGTGCACCTGCCCTCAGTTGGCAACCCGTACACGCTTGAGGAGCTCCAGCGGTTTGTCAAGGACATGATTGTCGCGGTTGTTACTCAGAACTAAATTCCTCATACCACAATACTAATAAAAGTCATGTGACCTTGCATGTTATGCTGCGGTGTATCTCTTCTTAAGGGTTCCATTTCCGCAGTCATGAATACCCCGAGGATTGTTTACAAAAGACAATAAAAAAGAAAAAAAAGTGCCTGGGGCTGAAAAAGAAAAGAGAAAAGAAGCTTAGAAAGGTGTTCTTTCCTTCCACCCTGCAAGTTGACTAATTGCATCCTTCTCCTCTCTCTCTCGATTTGTCAGTCGGTGTCAATCTCTTTTTCTCTTCTTCTCATCCTTCCTCTTCTCTCCCTTCTTCACTCTTCCCCTTCCCTTCCACCCGTAAAGTTCATATCTGCCAGCCATGGAGTACCGCCCAGAACTCACCACACAGCAAATGTAACCACCCTTCCTCCTATCTACTCTAATATCCCAAGTGTTCATTGACTGCGGCAGCTCACAGGATAGCAACAACAAAACCATTCAGCAGAGTACACTGACAACTAACATCCTTTTGACACGCCTTACTTTGATACCCCTACTAGTCTCTGCTGCTCATGTGGAACCACAATCCCCCCAAACCCCACCAACATGTGTATCAACTGTATTCGCAACCAGGTCGATATCACAGAGGGCATCCCCAAACACGCTACCATCTGCTTCTGCCGTAACTGTGAGCGTTACCTCCAGCCCCCCATGCTCTGGGTTGCCTGCCAGCTCGAGTCCAGAGAGCTCCTTGCCCTCTGCCTAAAGAAGCTCAAGGGTCTCAATAAGGTCCGCTTGGTCGACGCAGGATTCATCTGGACAGAGCCTCATTCAAAGCGCATCAAGCTCAAGCTGACGATCCAGAAGGAGGTCTTCACTTCGACCATTCTTCAGCAGATCTTTGAGGTCGAGTTTGTGATCTCGCACCAGCAGTGCGACGACTGTGCCAAGGTCATGGCCCAGAACACATGGAAGGCAATGGTCCAGGTCCGCCAGAAGGTTGACCACAAGCGTACCTTCTTGTATCTCGAGCAGTTGATCATTAAGCACAGCGCTCACAAGGACACCATTAACATCAAGGAGTGCAAGGACGGACTCGACTTTTACTATGCCTCCCGCTCCCACGCCCTCAAGATGGTCGAGTTCTTGTCCGCCATCACTCCCCTCAAGAGCAAGGCTTCTGAGCAGCTCATCTCGACCGATATCCACTCTGGTACCTCCAACTACAAGTTCAGTTACTCGATCGAGCTGGTCCCTATCTGCAAGGACGATCTCCTTTGCTTGCCCTCCAAAATCGCAAAGACCTTGGGTAACATCAACCCCTTGGTCATCTGCTACAGGATTGGAAACTCGGTCCACGCCATGGACGTTAACACCCTGGCCGTGGCTGAAATCTCTACCCAGACTTACTGGCGCACTCCCTTCCAGGCCTTGGCCTCGGTCAAGCAGTTGACAGAGTACTATGTCCTGGACGTCGAGCCCTGCGGACCTGTTCGTGGCAAGTACGTCCTCGCTGATATCCAGGTTGCCAAGGCTCAGGATGTTGGCCGTAACGACACCACCTTCTTTGCCCGCTCCCACCTCGGTGGTATCTTGAACCCCGGCGACAGTGTGATGGGATACGATGTTGGCTCTTCCAACTTCAACAACGATGCTTTTGACAGCCTCCACCGTGGATCCCTGCCCGATGTCATCTTGATCAAGAAGGCCTACCCATCCCACCGCAAGCGCAACAAGGGCCGTAACTGGGAGCTTCGTCAGCTCAATAAGGAGGAGGAGGATATGGCACCCCGCAAGCAGGACAAGGAGCGTATCGAGCAGGATTACGAGATGTTCTTGCGTGATCTCGAGGAGGATGCCGAGCTCCGTTCCACCGTTAACCTTTACAAAGGTAATTCATCATTTCGGTTGTGCACGGACAACATAATTTCTTATAACCATTCTATTTGAGTGATAACATTTATTAACCCTTCCCATTTCTGTGTACTCTTTCTAATAGCCGATAAGCCCAAGAAGGAGGGCGACCTTGCTATGGTTGAGGACAGCGAGTCTGACTATGAGGATGAAGACTTCCCCGAGATTCAGTTGGACGAGTTGCTGGATAACCTCAAGTTGGATGACGGTCCCGACAACGAATACGATTCCGCTCAGGATGGCGATGATATGATGATGGACTAAACAAAAGAGAACAATATGAACACTTTAGCATGCAGCAGCGCTTTCTTTATTTTTATGTAAACTAGTCATTCACCCCCACCTCCCCCCAATACACATTTGCATTTTTTTCAATGATATTTTTACTATGTTTTTATTTCGTTGGATGTAGATATGAACATGATATGGAGGAACATAAAAATAATCAAACATGTTATTTTACGATCGGACAGGGACTTCGTAGAGGACATCGGCTCGAATGATGTACTTGGCGCCCTTCAAGACAGGCGAGCCCTCATGGAGGAGACTTCCCTTTGCCTCACCGTGGGGGAAGACCAGGACACTTCCAGCCCGAGGAGAGTTGGCCCTGGCATCCAAGAACCCAACATCTGCCGAGGGTGTGAAGAAGGTGGTTCCACCGCCCTCGAACTCGTCGTTCAGGTAGACCAAGAAGGTCAAGCGAGACCATCTTGTGCCGTTGTAGGCGTCATACATGTACTCGCCCGTGACAGGGTTCAGTCCACTTCCAGGCCATTGACCATCGACATGTGGACGGTAGATGGCTCCGGGAACATAGCGGTACACCCTCCACCTAGAGTTGAGTCCCACAGCTCCATGACCATCTCCGCTGGTCTCTGGGAAGTGGGGCTTGCAGCGGTCAAAGATATGTCCCAACAGCTGGTCATCAGCCATCCAGAAAAAGTTGTGTGCCAGGACCGAGATGGACTCGGAAGCAGTGCCGACCATGGGAACGTCGGGTGTGAAACCAACAGCCTCTGCGGCAGAGATCATTTGATGGCACTCCTTGCGGGTCAAGACGTCTTTAAGCAAGAATGCGCCGGGGACATGGGGCATGTTGATCCGCTCGACGGGCGGTTGTGCCAAAAGGTTGTCTTGGTAGCAAAGGCGGATGGTGCCTGGGTTGGAGAGATAGAGTGTGAAATCGTGCACATTGGGCGTCCGGCGGAGGGGGCCTTTGGTATGGGCGACGATCTTGAACGAAGACCTGTAATGCTCTCCTTCTTCTTCGGCTATAGGTTTAGAGATGGAAAGTAACATTGTCGTCTTAGCAAAATTTGGTCCTCATTTGTTACACTCAGTACTTCATAAACACCCAAGTGGGAATAGTACTTACTGAAGAGGGTGTTGTTCAGGGCAGCGTCATACTTTTGCACGTTATCCTCCAACCGAGGATAAGCCTGCCACATGGGGTGAGTACGAACAGGATGCTCATCCTCTTCTCCAGACAGCTTTTGGGGCACCATCGAGGGATCGACGGTGCGGAGCATCGAGTCCAGGACCCGAAGGACAACAGGGTCACCAAACTCTCCGTTCTTGGCCGAAGCTGCGTCGCAGTCGCGGACCCATCTCTGAAGAGCACCTAGTTTGGGCACCTGTCCTTTTGTCCGCATCTCCTCCAATGCCGTCATGGCATCGTTCCAACGACCGTCAACCAAAGCATCAGAGATACGACCGATTGGCGTTTGTCCTATTGGGGCAAGTCAAAGACGGTATGATCGAGAGTGCTTGTTATTAGATATACATTTGTCAAGGCGGTTACGAGAGGATGGTGGAAGTAAAGAGAGGTGTTGGTGGCCTTACCCGTGCCAGTGGTGGCTGTAGCGGTGTGCTGAAGCTGATGGACGACAGCACGAAGGGCCTTGCAGGACTTTGAGCGGAAGACGTCGGTGTGTTGCTCCATGGCGAGGAGGGTTCTGAGGGTGGTGGCCATATCCTCGTCCGAGACAATACCGCCAAAGGTCTTTGAGTGCTCCAAGGTATCGGCAGAAGAGTCGATATTTTCCTGGTTGTCCTTCAGGTGGTGAGCTCCGACGCTTGTAGCGGTGACTTCTGCCAAGAGGCGTCTTCGCTTGCGGTCTTTTCCTGCCTTTCCCATGGTACTCGCTTTGTTGTGTGTGTGTGAGAGAGAGAGTGTGTGTGTGTAAGGTGTCGTTCAGCGAAGAAAGAGAGAGGGAGAGAGAGATATATATATAGTAGTGATAGGGCGATAAGAGCGTCGTCAAAGGGAAGCGTGAGAATAGTGAGAAGGTCAACTGAAGCAACTGGACAGGTTGGCTATGGCGGGAACGAAAGAGAGGGAACAAAAAAAAAGAGGTGCACTGAAAAAAATGGAGGGCGATAAACAACAGTCACGTTCATTTTGTGTATGAAAGTATCACTGCCAGGGTGCCAGGACGCTTGTTGCTCACCTCCTCCTTCGCACAGGCAACATTCAGGGACAGGGACAAGTAGGACAGACTGCTGCTGCATCACCAACAATCTCATTCTATTCTTGACAAGGGCACAACAACGCACACACCTTCTCAAACAACCCGGGATTCCCTCTACCACATTACATTACATTACATCTCTCACACACGCGCCTTAACTTCAGCAGAAACCAATGGGCGAAACACGTCCGGCGCGCTCGGCCGCAAAGAAGGGCGCCTCCAAGATAAAGACCAGCGCAAAGAAACAAAGCTCAAAAAACTCGGACATCGACATGGACTCTGATAACTACGAGCCAGCACCCGACAGAGACGACGACGACTCGGACGAATATGTCGAGCCACCAGAGGACAAGGACAACCGTCATAACGACGACGAGGACGACGAGGACGTGAATATGGAGGTGGACGAGGAACTGGACGAGGATGAAGGCGTCAAGCCAAAGAGACAACGGCGGCGCAAGCAAACCAACAACTTTACAATTCCTTTGGAGGAGATGAACCGATTGTTGAGCACGCGCAACAACACCGACACACAGATCGAGGGAGGAAGCACAGTCAACGCAACAGTCGCAGGGACAGAACTCAGTCTTGAACGGATGGGCGGAAAGGACGTCGTCGGTGCCAAAGTCAGCGCAGCGGGAGATCCCAAGCCGAGAGCCCAGAGGTCGCGCCCCAACAAGCCCATGCACAAGAAGGGTGAGATGAACAGGTCGGAATTCATCCCATCCATCTGGAAGTCTTCGTATCAGGGCCCCACTCAGGCGGATATTCACCATGTCAGCATGCAACCGGAATGTCTTACGACGCCCGTCTATCCAAATATCGCTTCCAACATCAAAGACTTTCGCATCATTACGTAAGTATGCAGCATAAGTTGTACAGTTCTCTGTGTCTTTTTTCATACGCTGGATAATGACTAACCAGTGCTTTCTAATGTTGCACATTAGCGAGCCATCTGCCTTGGACGAGTATTTCCCAGTTTTGACCACCACTAGCATCCATACAAGAGAACAAGACATTGACATGCGCACCATGACCGCCAAGTACATGGGGTCGACAAAACGTAAGGGAAAGAATCGGTCATTTAGAAGTGTGGCAAGCAAGGTGCGGAGACTATGATACTGGTCTAACGAAGTCGCCGCTCGATATTCTTTCGACATAATAGAGACCGGCATCAACGACTACTATATTTTGAACGCAGGATTCTCGGTGTGGGCCATGGACTGGTGCCCTCTCTCGAGCCATGCTAATTCGCCCAAGGATAACATGGACTATGTCGCCATCGGAGGATTCCCAGATACTGCCGAGAATTGTATTGCACGCGATCAGCTATACCCACTTGGTAAACAGGATGCACATCCCAACATGATCCAAATCTGGAGCATGAACTGCAACACCAACAACCAAGGTGAGCTTCAGGGCAACCCTGAGACCTACCTATCGCTTTGTATCCTGCATGCGTACGGTGCGGTTCTCGACCTGAAATGGTGTCCGACTGGAGGCCACATGGATGCCGTAAGTGCAGGCGGTGTCGATATGCTATGAAAGAAGGGTTCGCCAGAAGAGGGAGTTATGATTAACCAGGTGTACTTTTGACATGGTTTGTTTTGTATTTTAGGGTTCTTCGAGTGGAGATTTGACCAGACTCGGTATTCTCGTAGCGGCTTTCAGCGATGGTACCATTCGGATATTCAGTGTGCCAGAGCCAAAGAGCCTGCGAGCGCACCTGAGCATTGGGACTCCCGAGGACTCATCACCTGAACCTGTTTACAGTAAGTGTCCTGGCCATGGCGGGCGAGTGAATCGGCTATTGGCGAACTTTTGATTTGCGGAATAAATGTTGCAGGTTGACCGATGACTACACTAAACCTTCCGTTGATCTTTGTATCCAATGTAGTCGAGTTTCCAGAGCCATTTGCGACCATAAGGATGGGCGATATCTGCTTCATGTGCATCAACTGGGGCACATCAGAACGGCTCGCTGCAGGACTGACCAACGGAACGATCGCTGTGTGGGACATGAAGCTCATGTTGAGCCAGACCAAGGAGACTTTGGCCGAGAAAGACTCTGGTATGTATGAAATTGTTGGCGTTCATCGCCAGTTGACCAATGTCTTTTGGATCTCGTACGTACTTACCCCCTATATGTCTCTCTTATATATGGTATATGAAATTAGAGTATCTGGATCCGATCCATGTCCCTCAGGTTCACGACGTCAGTGTACGGTGCGTAGACTGGCTAAGGAGCGTGGACCCAGCAGAGGTGCCTTGGATTCTGGCCTCTTCTGGTTACGATGGCCGCATCAGATATACGGATCTTCGCGACATCTATGTCCAGATCGACATCAAGACCATCCTCGGCGTGCCTATGGCATCCCTCTTCAACCCATGGGCAGAGGCCATCGTCTATTGCGATTTTGACTTTGGAGGCAAAATGGACCAGCTTTATCTGGAATCGCGAGGCTTTCGTCTGTTCAACGCGAAGGGGACCATTTGGGACTTTTCTTCTTCAGATTACCAACCATTTGTCGCCGCTGCCATCTCGGACGGAAGAGTCAAAATCTGCAACCCAGCCTACAAGGCTAAGCGCGGTTATGTAAGTTTATGACTGCCATTTGTATCAGTTCGTGAATCTAATTCAAAAAATGGCATCGGTGGCGTGAGCGAGAAAATCTAACCAGCGGTTGTTACACTTATAGGGCTTAATCCAAAATAATATCTATCAGGTGCAAGAGAACACAATGGATGCTGACGGGTCCTCTCAAATGGAGCCGACTTCATCGTCCAGTCAAGCAGAAGAGGAAGGAGGTGCTCAACGGTCCTCTTTTACATACAAGGAGGGCGAGGAGAGAGAATACGTCTCCAAGTCTGCAGGATACCTCTCTTTTTACGGTGCAAATGTTGCTGTTCAAAAGGTAACCTTTTAGACTGTGGTACTTGTGCTTCGTTACGCGTGTTATTTTTGAAGAATGAAGGAGACCGGCAACTAACAATTAGTATGAACCTCTAGGTGCAATGGTCAAAGTGCTTTCACTCTGCGGCATGGCTGGCGTCTGGATCGGCAGGAGGACTGGTCAGGATCGACAATACGATGCTACGGAAGGAGGAAGGAGGAGAAGGCAACAAGATCACTTACCAACCGGACGCTTACCTTCTAAAGAAGCGGGTGGCCAATGGTGGTAGTATTGGACCGGATGGGGAATATGTTCCAGCAAGAAAGGGTCGACCTCCGAAGGAAGGAGGACCTCGACGTTTGAGAAAGGGAAAGAACGTCAAGAGGGCCACTGCCAAGGCCAAGGTAACTTCTCGAAAAGGAGCCAAATCAAAATCGGCCGCCGACGATCATGATTCTGACGAAGACGAACCGGAAGCAGAGGATTCTGGGCACGACGACGAGGATAATGAGGAGGACGGTGATGCTGGCCAATCTAGCGGCACACGGGGCCTGCGCGATGAAGATGAGTTTGTGGGACGCACCAAGGACACAGGTTCATCGAATGGTGAGAAGCGGGCCACACGATTGTCGACTGGCCGACTTGCACCCATCTTTGCCAGAAAGTCGTCAAAGACTACTGCGGCTTCTGATGAGGATGAGGGTGAGGGAGACGGGGAGCAGGGGGAAGACGATAATGAAGAAGAAGGAGAGAGTGGGGAGACAGGGGCTGAGGGGGCGTCGTTGCCATCCAAAAAATCGACACGGAAACCTGCTCGCGCCGCAGTAGCAGCAAAGCCGTCGAAGAAGGATCCTCCGAAATCACCTGGCAAACCTCGAGGACGGCCTCGAAAGAATCCGCCCCTTGTCGACCCTGTCACGCCCAATCAAACTCTACTCTCAATGATGAGGATCTCGCAGCCAGAGCCTTCAGCAACGGATGAGATTGATGTCGCTTCCAAGGATACGTCGTCAGTCGATGTTGAGCTGGCTGAGGCGACGGTGGAAGAGAGAGTTATGGCCGCGGTGGCAACTGGGCCGGTTATCTCTACTGCGCCTATGCAAGCTACGGCAACTACAGCGACAGCAACTTCCAAGATGAGTGCGGCGAGCGTTGCGGCGCCCAAAAAGCCCAGAGGAAGACCACCCAAAGCACGGCCTGCTGCAATAGAGACAGCGACAACGACGGCTACTGGTGGTTCAGGTGGTGTGCCGGCTTCTGTGGTAGCGTCAAACGAGGCAGCAACAGCGCAAGGCACTGATAATGGCGCAGCTGCAGGCTCGACGACGGATAATCGAGAGGCGGATGTGCAGCGGGAGGACGATCCGCGCAGCCAGTCGAGTGAATCGGCGGTCTCATCACGTGCATCATCGGCGGCCCCGGAGGCAGCAGCAGCTGTAGCAGGCGCCAAGGCACCAGCGACTCCTGGCAAGAAAGGAGCAGCAGCACCGCGGATGGCGAGGAAGCGCAATGAGGAAGAAAAGTCCAAGGCCACGAACCGGACGCTGACCGATCTGTGGGGCAAAAAATAAGAGCAACGCCAAGGATGCAAAAGCCAAGCCTGGAAAAGAGGTTTTTTTTTTTTTTTTTTTTTGCCACCACCACCCAACACCATCCCACTCAGTTGCACGCCCATTCGCTCAATCACTCAATCCAAACCCCACTCTTTCCATTAGTCGCATTTCTCTTCTTGTTTTGAATAATACATAGTCGATCCTTCTTACTGTCGACTTTGGTATCAAGCCCATGTCGCGCTAATCTAGCAGTCTTCTTGTCTGCTCAAAGTGCAACTCCTTTTTGTTTCCCCTGGCGTAACCTGTCACTGTGCGATAGAGCGTAGTTTCATTACTGTACGAGTCGCGCTTTTGCCCTCCTTGCCTTATTTGTTTGTGGTACTATGTGAGAAATGAGGCGGGTTATCAATCTTTTGTTTTTTGTTGTTGTTTCTGGAAAGCAAGTCAGAGAGTAAGTCGACCAGGCTAAGTTGCAGCATGCGCCGTCCATCTTTGTCGTGAGAGCAGCAGGGGTATAGAGTCTCCATTCCATCTATGCTTGCGTTTTGTGTTCGACCGCTGTAGAGAAGTGAGAGAGTCGAATCAAAACGAGGCGAAAAGACAAAGGGATGCTCACACAGTTTTTTGTTCTGTTTGTGTTCTTTTGGAGGATTGGCAAAGCGGATTGTTGGGCCATGAGTGTCTAGGTGGGGGCGAAGCAAAGTAGGGTGAAGGAAGGGGAAGTGGCCTTCTTTTTCGTGGATGTTGGCACCCTTTTGGTTCCATAAGCTTTGTAGTCCAAAAGGACAAAAGCCAAGAAGTGGCTTTTGGAAGAGACGCGTCATGGGGCTGGACTCTTTTTCTCCTTTTTCATCGAACAAATCGAGAACACTAAGCTCAACCATGGAACTGCATAATAACTGGTCACTATAGCGCTTGGCAACCAAGCAACCATTGCCTTTGTTCACCTGCCTTTGCCCTTTTCTTCAAGAATCCAGCAAGTTCTGGTTATCGTTCTCCTTTGCACTTGGATACAGGCCATGATCATCAATATCACCCACCATGACGCACCAATGAAGGGAAGGGAGAAAACACAGGAGCATAAAGGAAGGAAGGACACCTTGATGTTTGTTTGTGTTCGCCGTCATTTGGCGACAAGACGTCATGGTGAGTATCTCATTTAGAATGAGGCGTAGTTAAGCAGCCAGGACCATAGGTAGGAGAAAGGACCCGGGCCATCAATGTGATCAGGTCTCTAGTTTATGATAAAAGGTAAACGTCGTGCAGAAGGATATCATTGAGTAACCAGGAGCCGTGACGACTTGTACAGTACAGTGCAGTACGGGAACGACCAAGAAGAGCAAGGGGGTGTGTCTGGTCGCTTGACGCTAGGAATATAGATAGACCATACCGGCATTAGCATGAGCATGGCGTACCTGTGTACCTATCCAGTCAGTCCACAGCGAGTCAGTCGGTTCAGATGCATTGAACCAAAGAAAAGGGACAAGGAGAGAGAGAGGGGGCAGAGAGCAGGAGCCAATCAGAGCAAGGCCACGCACATTATTAGCGCGATTCTTATATAAAGACTAAAGAGTAGTAGTGGATTGAATCAAAGTCGACGAAGGTCAGAAGACAGTCACCTGCGTCGACTGATGAAAAAAAAAAATTGCCCCCTCTAGGACAGTGACAGTCGACAGGGAAATGAGCACCTCTCTCTGCCTCTCCCTCTCTCTGTCTCTCACTCATACGGAGATATTATTATATTCTCAACGTAATAAATAATAAATAAATACCTTTGGACACGCACGTCTCCTCTTTCTTTCTCTCTTCTTTTTCTGTCATCAACAATCGTTTTCACTCGCAACACACACTCTCTCTCTCTCTCTCTGTCACTCTCACTCTTACTCTTACTCTCTTCCTCTCCTCGGACTTCTCTCTATTCTCCCTCCCTCCAACCAACCAACAACTTCGCCCACACTTCGCCCTCGACTCCGCTTCTCTTCCTTCTCTTCCTCCTCTTCTCACCGCAGTTAACCCATCTCTCTCTCTCTCTCTCTCTTCCACAACCAACTTCACACAACACACAACTACACCCACATTCATATTAACCAACATGGTCCGCTCAGCTTTTCAGCAAGAACATACCTTTGGTACGCTATCTTTTCTTTTCTTTCTTTTGTCTCGTCTTTGCTGACAAAGAAAGCAGCAGCAACCAAGCAAAAGTCTCTTGGCGTTTTCTTTCAAGAGCACATCCTAACCAGTATTCCTTTTCTTTCTCAACTACAATAGAGAAGCGCAAGGCAGAAGCAGAGCGCATCCGCCAGAAGTACCCTGACCGCATTCCCGTAAGTGACCCCTTCTGTCCTCTGGACTCGAGAAAATGCCTTGGCAAAACAAGCAACCTATCCACCATGTCACCACTTGCTCATCCTATCTTCTCAAAAGCGGCATTTCTCGTGGACTAAAGGAAATCAAAGCCACTGCAGGTCACCAGATTGAATGACCATTTCGCCATCACACTAGACACATCAATCCAATTTTCCACTCAACCCCCTCTATCTGAACGAGGATCCATCCACACACACATGCATTGCATGTATACCCCATCAAAATTATCACCACCCGCCAAGAAAAAAAAACAACAACGTCCAGTGTACTACCTCACACACATATTCACATGATATGAACACCTTCTAACCACCCTACTTCTATTTTAATTGCAATAGGTCATTTGCGAGCGCATCGAAAAGTCAGACATTGCCCAGATCGACAAGAAAAAGTACCTCGTCCCCTCGGATTTGACTGTCGGCCAGTTTGTCTACGTGATTCGTAAGCGCATCAAGCTCTCCCCCGAGAAGGCCATCTTCATCTTTGTTAACGAGGTTCTCCCTCCCACAGCGGCCTTGATGTCGTCCATCTACGAGGAGCATCAGGACAAGGATGGCTTCCTCTACATCACCTACTCGGGCGAGAACACCTTTGGCGCAGATTTGGAGGCTTACGAGTCCCATTAAAGAGTGCCGAGAAGTTTGCTCTCTCTCCTGCTCTTGTTCTCTCTCCATCACTCCTTCATTGGCTTTCTCTGTCACCTTTTGTCTCTCGAGATGCTCCTGATAAAGAACAGAACAAAAAATCAAGAACATACTGCAACCAACAAAGGCATAGCGTGCTACTTGTACGTCCTTCTTTTGCATAACTTCTTTTTTCTTGCTTTCCTTTTCTTTTGTCCAACGGGTCAAAGATGCTCATCTACCTTGTCCTTTTGTAATTTCTTGTACCATTTGCTTTCTTCTTTTTTGCTTCCCTCCTGTATTATCATCCATTTGCTTCACCTTCAACCCGCCTTCACAACTAGAGCATGAAGCGCTCCTTCCCCTGCCATCGGGCCTTCTTTTTTTTTTTTTGCTTTTTCCGTAATAAAAAAACATTTAAAAAACCAAAACATTTAATAATTTCATTATGAAATATGTAATGGACGCGTTCTAAGAGAATCCACCGCTCAAGGTGCCATTTCTTGACCAAGCTTGGTCAGACCCTCTCCTTTCGCAGAAGTACCACTGGTGGAGGCATCTGCTGGTGTTGCTGTCTCCTCGCCGACGCGTTCCCCAGCCTGGATGACGGCCTCGATGTACTGATTGGCCTCCTGGGTCAAAGTCTCGACGTCTATCCTGCTCAGAGCCAAGTCGCGTGCCTCCGTGTACTCGGTGTCCGACAACAACAGTCCGTGCTCAACCTCGCGTCTCTTCCAGTACTCGACAAACTGCTTCCTCAACAGGGGATCTCTCAAAGACGCCACTCTGGCCAACTGCAGGGCACGGTGACGCTGAATCATGGCCTCTTGAGCCTGGCAGAGATCGTTCAAGATCTCGACCTCACCGCGAGGACCTGTAGACCTGCCCGAACGATAGATCAGGCCCATCAATGTCAAAGCCATGAGGGCCAAGGATCCGTGTCGCACCGCATAGGCGCCTCTTGCTCCAACAAGAATCTGATCCTGCTTGACTAGCGTCGACAGGTTGGAGGCCTCGGAGGACGAATGCAAGACCGAGTATTCCAGAAGAGCCAAGACGACCAATCCTGCCGCGCCCCAGGTCCTCTGACGGTTCAGGTGCGATGTCTGGCTGGTGGCCATACCGAGGAGGATGGCCATGCCTGCGTAAGAGGCCAGGGCACTAGGAAAGAGATACATGAGATAGTCGTTTCTCTCGGCGCAATGGTCACAGTTGATGAACGCGTCCTGGCCATAGACGATATAGACAAGCCGACTCTCCATGGACTTGAACTTCTCTCGCATCGAGTCTGGAAACTTTTGCAAAAAAGTCGGGTCGGTGGCTGTGCGTTCCTTCCAGGACTGGTGGAGGATAAAGTTGGGACAGTCGGCGGGAAGGGAGAGGGTCTTGAAGACATTGGGTTGGCTGTAGAAGGTCAACTGGGCCAGGTGGAAGACGGTCGCAGCGGAGAGGAGGAGATACATGAGCTGGTTCCATTTGTTGGGCGGTTGCTGTTGCCTGTTTGAGCTCTGCTTGTTGTTGAGTCTTTGCAGAGGAGAAGGTGGGGGTGCCTTGGCGAAGAAGGAGCGGACGGCCTTGATGATGTATGGGAATCCGATGACAAGCAGGACCTGGATGATGGACGAGTCGAGCATCATTGTTGTCACTCCTTGCGTTGCTTCGTCTTGTTGAGGTTGGTTGTTGGCAAGAGGAGCTTTGTTTCTCTGTTGGTGGTGAGGTGGCAGGCAGCGACGGGTGTTTGGTGAACGAGAGAGGAAAGAGGAGGGTGAGAAAAGAAGAGGAAGAGGAAGAGTAAGGGAGGAGAAAGAGAAGGGGGAACAAGGGATATGGTGTGAGTAGGGGGGGCGTTGTCGAGAGGAGAGAGTTGATGAGCGTCGAGGTGAAGCGACGAGAGATGAGAGCGAAAAGAACGACCGACAGACGTGGTCGAAGGTGAGCCGATTCTTATGAATGTGAAAGGGGTATGAAAGGGAAGGAGGGGGGAAAAGAGCAAGAAGAAGGGGCGTGAAAAATGGAGGAATGAAAGTGGCTTTGCATTCCCAGAGGAAGAGGAAGGATGCTGCAGCCATATATTTTCCTTCTTCTTTTCCCCCTCCATTCTTGGTCTTCTTTCATTCACTCAATTCGCAAGGACGACAAAGGACAAGGGACAAGGGGCAAGGGACAAGGCGACAGGAGACCAACACATAGAACAACACTCAAGCACATACAGGAAACACCATCATCTTCAAAGAAGTAGCAAATGCATCCTCATGGAAGACAACTGCCTGGAGTCCCTTCCATCTCCACCCACGACCTCTACCACTCCTACGACCACAACTACAACTTCAACTACATCAACAAATATTCGGCCATCGACAGCTGAACATGCCGCTACAACAAATATAGCCGCAACTGGGTATAGTCCAGAGTGCCAACAGCAGCCAGATCAACTAGCGGCTTCACCAGCCAACAAGCGCCACCATGATCCGCCTTATGATTGGCAACTCTTGTCGCAGGAGGAACTTGACCGTATCGCCTATAACTCGCGTCGACAAACAAAGGCGAGACAAAGGGTATGCATGCATTGACCGCTCAATTGCCATCCCTGTTAAATATTGTTCAATTGCAAAGCTTATACATACTGGAAACTCATGCTGTGGTGGTGTTGACTATCAACTGGAATAGGCGAACCCCCCGAAGTGTGCGCATTGTCCAGAGGCCAGGTTCACTTCTATGGCCATGCTATCGACACATTATCTTTCAAGACGACATCTCGCCCGAGTCCGAAAACAAGAGCAGACTCATGGCCTGGGGCAGGATCAGGCACGAAGTGCTGATACCGAGGAGCAAACGACACAGTCACGAGCTATATCGTCTTTGCAAGGCACCTCCATCTCCGTCGCAGCCAGCAGCCCTCATCACGATGTTGCCATAGAAGATGCTGTCGCCGCTTCCGAGAGTAACCCTACTACCCAAGAACATCCAACAAGAGCAGAGAAGACAGCCATTCAGAGGAAACGGAAACATGAGCGTGACCGGAAAAAAGCGAGAGCTCATTCGGAGAGGCAGTTGAAGCCAGGTCATGGTGTTGTAAGCCAACGCGCCCAGGGTCAGGAAAAGATGAAAGAGGATGATGAAGCGGCAGCGTCGACGAGTAAAGAGATGTTGGGGAATAAACACCATGATGACCACAAGGACGATGAAAAGGTCCCGACCGCTCCGTCTGACCCAGCAGCGCAACTCGTCCAGAGAGATGCCTCGAGTCCACTTGTGTCAGGAGGCGACATTGGAGCACCCATAGCGGTAGCAACCCCATCGATGTCCAATACCACCCACCTTCAACAGCGACTACAACAACCACAGCAACAAAGGTGGTATTGTTCGATATGCGATTCAAGCTGGCGGCAAGAAAGGGCTTGGAAGGGTCATTTGCTCAGTGCACAACACCTTCGACACACTTTGGCCACCATGCAGCAGATGGCCCCAGATATCCAGCCGTATGGGCGGGTGGACGTCATGGCCTCGATGGACCCGTTTGGATGGGGCACCGGTGTAGGGGTGGTAGAAGAAGAGGAGGAAGAATCGGAGGGTGAGGATGAGGATGACGATGACGGCAACAACGTGGAGGGCAAAGCAGGGGATGACGATAGTGACGATATGGAAATGAGCGACTGAGTGGTGAATAAATTCAAAAGTACATATTCCTGACTCAATACAAAATAAACATTAACAAAACGGCGAAAATATGACTGTGGCTCAACTCCTTAACGGCCAGCAGAGACGTCTGGGATCTTATCCCATCTTTGTTGGAGGGGAGTGGATCTCCGACATTGGTTGACAGTCATGACATGACTAGGGGTGGAGTGGGAAGAGGTAGAAAAGGGAAGAGGTGTTGAAGGAAGAAGGAGAGGGATCGTCGATGGTCATGAAATAGCATTGGGGAGGGACGATATTTTATGGTATTGACAGACAGGGCTGGTGCGTGGAAAAGTTCTCTTTTTAGTAAAAAACAACAAACAAACAAAGCAACAAACAAACAAACAAAAAAACATAAACAACGATGTCGAATGAGATGGGACAGTGAGCAACAAAAAAAAAAAGAACACTTGATGCGATCGTCTGAAACAAACCGATAATCTTTTTTTTTTTTTTTTTTCTTTCTGTTGTCGTCGTCCTTGCTTGCTTGAATGGGTGGATGGGGTATGAAAAGGATATTAACCCTACAGGAACACTCTCTTTCTTCTTCTTCTTCTTCTTCTTCTTCTTCACATCTTCTCCCACCCATCAACCATAATACCCCTTCCCTCAGCACTACCTCACGTTCACTCAAGAGGAACAACCCATCACACGCAAACATCCCTTCCACCAACCTCTCCACAACTCTCACATCAAACACAAACACATACACACACAGCAAGATGTCAGTAAGGAGGAACAGTATCGAAATGGCACCAGTGCCATCCTTAGGAAGGCTATCATCCCAATCCGCAAGATCCATACAAAAGATCGGCGGCATCGCCAAGCTGCCTACCTTCCAGTCAGACGAGCAACCCATCTTGCCTGCAGAACACGAGCTCAAGCGTGGACTCAAGGCTCGTCACCTCTCCATGATCTCCATCGCTGGAACAATCGGTACAGGCCTCTTCTTGGCCTCTGGATCGTCCATCGCTCAGGCTGGACCCCTTGGAGCATTGATCGCATACACCATGATTGGATCCATGGTTTTTTTCATGATGACCTCTCTCGGTGAGATGGCTACTCTGATCCCTACCGCTGGCTCCTTCAACACCTATGCTGCTCGCTTCGTGGACCCAGCTCTTGGATTTGGTAAGTAGGAGGGACGCTGTAAAAACAAGGAAAATGATGCCCTTGTGTAACGAAAACGGATAGGAATGTAACATTAATCCGAATGACTGTCCCAATTGCATTGCGAACATTTAGCCCTCGGAGTCAACTACTTCTTGAACTGGGCTGTCACAGTGGCGGTCGAGATTGCTGCTGCTGCCATGATCCTCCAGTTCTGGGTCTCGCCCGATTTGTTTCCAGGATGGGCTTGGAGTCTTCTCTTCCTCGTCTTCATGGTCTCCGTCAACGTCATGTCCGTCCGTGCCTACGGTGAGGCTGAGTACTGGTTCAGTGTCATCAAGGTCCTGACCGTCATCATCTTTATTGTCGTCGGAATCTTGGTCGATGCCGGTGTGGTCGGAGGCGACAAGATTGGCTTCCGCAACTGGACCATCGAAGGCGCTCCCATCAGGGATGGTTTTGGAGGAATTCTCGGTGTCTTCCTGGTCGCAGGATTCTCTTTCCAGGGAACAGAGCTCATCGGTATCGCTGCAGGAGAGAGTGAGAACCCTCGCAAGAACGTCCCCAAGGCAATCAAGCAGGTTTTCTGGCGCATCTTGCTCTTCTACATTATCTCTATCTTTATCATCGGTCTCGTCATCCCCAACACCGATCCCAACCTGCTCAACAGCGGCGGCGTCGACAAGTCTGCTATCGCCATCTCTCCCTTCACCTTGGTCCTCCAAAAGGCCTTCAAGCCCGCCTCCCATATTATGAACGCCGTCATCTTGATCACCGTTCTCTCTGCAGGAAACTCTGGAATGTATGCTTCTACACGCACGCTGATGATGTTGGCTCGTGACGGAAAGGCCCCTGCCGTCTTTGGCCGTGTCAACAGCCGTGGTATCCCTATGCAGTCCCTTGCCTTTACCACTCTGATCTCGGCTCTGTGCTTCTGCGCATCCCTTTTCGGCGCTGGTGAGGTCTACAACTGGCTGTTGAACATCTCTTCCATCTCTGGTTTCATTGCCTGGCTCGGTATTGCTCTTTCCCACTATCGCTTCCGTCGTGCCTATGTTGCCCAGGGTGGAGATGTCTCTCGTCTCCCATACAAGGCTGCCCTGTTCCCGTGGGGTCCCATTTACGCCCTCCTCCTCTGCACTGTTGTTGTCTGCGGTCAGGGATACTCTGAGTTTACCAAACCCAACCCAAGCGCGATCAACTTGGTGGCCTGCTACATTGGCCTGCCGTTCTTTATTGCCATGTATGTTGGCTACAAGCTCTTTTACAAGACCAAGCTTGTTCCTCTGATGGAGTGCGACTTTAGCGTCTCCAACCTCGAGGACGGCGACATTGACGAGTTCCACGAGCTCTATGAGCCCAGCAAGAACCAAGCCGACGAGAAGGATCAGTAGATCAAGCTTTATTTTTTATGTTGCCTTCAATAATAAATGTACAGTATTCCAACATACCCTTTGTTCTTCTTGATGGTTGTCGATCCTTTAAACAAAGTGTATGTGTCTCTGTGTGCGTGTGTGAGAGAGAGAGCGAGAGAGAGAGAGTAGCCTGGCTCCAAGGTAGTTTTTGTAATATTCTGAATCCGATTGGCAGCACCCTTGCCGCGATCTGCACTTCTGCACACTACCCCTCATATATCAACATGATATCCGTTAATGGATGCAGCTGCCACAAGTCAAAATAGAGTTCTGATCACCTCGAGTCATACTGCATCCGTATGTCTGTATGCATATGAAATCAACTACCCCTTAACCAACATCTTATCTTCCAGATCGTAGCCAGTGTATAAAAGGGACCTTGCGTGCCCTTTTTTGTCACTCTTTACCAAACCCCACCCTTCTACTCCTCCCTTTTTCCTTCAGTACTGATCGATAGCCGACCAAGTATCATCTTTACACAAGGACCCACACCGCTCGCCCTCCTCTCAATAACCACAACAACCAGCACCTTGCAACAGCAATAGCAACCACAAAAAAAGTCCCTATTTGTTCAGCCGACCAAGCAAACTTCAGCCATGTACAAGCAACTCTACACCAAGGCCGCCCCAAAGGCACTCCCCAGCAAAGGCCCCTCTTCTTTGCTCTCTGGCTCCCTCATGTCCTCAGGCCAGCGTCTCTCTGTCAAGGGCAGCAACACTAATGCTGTCCCTCTGCTCGCTACCCGAGCCATGTTGCACCACTCTGCAACCGGTTCTAGCGCTTCTGGACTCCGTACCCCCCTGTTGGCGTCCCTCTCGACTCTGCGCCAGGCGAACCAGCACAAGGGCGCTTCTCACCTCGGACAACTCGGGATGAAGTCGATGGTTGGCTCTCAAGCCCGCTGGTTCTCGATGACCCGTGCAAGCAACAAGGACCAGCAGCTGACTCCTTCTTCTCAGGCGTCTGGAAAGAAGTTGATTTCGGAGGCGATTCTTGCAGATGTGCCCCTTGTTGATGTCAAGAAGGTTCTTGTGGTTGGATCCGGAGGATTGACCATTGGCCAGGCCGGCGAGTTTGACTACTCTGGTATGATCTAAACCCAGCCATCTCTTTTTTGTTCTGCGTCGAACTGTATCAAATTGTATCCGAAGGGAAAGGAAGGGGAGCAAGAATGACACGGCAGCCAATCAAGGACAATAGAGGGACAGTCACGGCGCTGCTGTTCTATTGGATTATTTCTTTGTTTGGGCTCAATCACCATCCATCACCATCAACATCATCATCATCACTGTGACTCGCAGATCGAGAGTTGAGTATACTAACAGTTTTAATAATATTATCTCCATCTGAAATGAACAACAGGCTCGCAGGCGATCAAGGCACTCAAGGAGTCCAACATCCAGACCGTCCTCGTCAACCCAAACATCGCCACCATCCAGACCTCCCACGCCCTCGCCGACACCGTCTACTTCCTTCCCGTCACCCCAGAGTACCTCGAGTACATCATCGAGCGCGAGCGTCCCGATGGTATCCTCCTCACCTTTGGTGGCCAGACTGCTCTCAACTGTGGCATCCAGCTCGACAAAATGGGCATTTTTGACCGTCTCAACGTCAAGGTCCTCGGAACTCCCATCCGTACCCTCCTCGTCTCTGAGGATCGCGATCTCTTTGCCAAGGCCCTCAACGGTAAACATCCAATGAATCTACTTGTTCAACTCTGCACTGCTCTGGTAGTAAAAAAAAAAGAAAAAAAAGAAAAAAGAAAAAAGAAAAAGATCGGCCTGTCAACCCCTTCACTAACGAGATGACCCAAACCTTGCTTCAATGAATAGAAATTGATATTCCCGTCGCTCAATCTGTCGCCGTCGAAAACATGAAGGACGCGTTGGCTGCTGCCGAGGAGATTGGTTACCCAGTTATTATCCGATCCGCCTTCTCCCTCGGTGGTCTTGGTTCTGGATTTGCCTCAAATGCTGCCGAGCTTACCGCCCTGGGCACAAAGTCCTTGACTCTCTCGTCCCAGATCCTAGTCGAAAAGTCCATGAAGGGATGGAAGGAGGTCGAGTACGAGGTCGTCCGTGATGCCGCCAATAACTGTATCACTGTCTGCAACATGGAGAACTTTGACCCTCTTGGTACCCACACTGGTGACTCAATCGTCGTTGCCCCCTCCCAGACCCTGAGCGACGAGGAGTACCACATGCTCCGTACCGCTGCTATTAAGATTATTCGTCATCTTGGAGTTGTCGGAGAGTGCAATGTCCAGTATGCCCTCCACCCAGAGAGTCTCGAGTACAAGGTCATTGAGGTCAATGCCCGTCTCTCTCGCTCCAGGTAAGAAATCGACTGCCGGTTGGTATAGCAGCAAAGATGAAAATCAATGCGAGGACAAGCGCCTTTGAAACTCACATATCGCGTGTTGTTGTTTATTCCTTCTTGACTCTTATTAGTGCTTTGGCCTCCAAAGCGACAGGATATCCTTTGGCATTCATTGCTGCCAAGATTGCTTTGGGACACACCCTCCCCAACCTTCGCAACTCTGTCACAAAGACAACCACTGCCTGCTTCGAGCCCTCGTTGGATTACGTTGTCACCAAGATCCCTCGCTGGGATCTCGCCAAGTTCCAGCACGTCTCTCGCGACATTGGCTCGTCGATGAAGTCTGTCGGTGAGGTCATGGCTATTGGTCGTACCTTCGAGGAATCGTTCCAGAAGGCCATCCGCCAGGTCGATCCTCAGTTCAAAGGTTTCCAGGCCCTCGAGTTTGCTGATGTTGACAAGGTTCTTGCCAACCCCACTGACCGCCGCCTCTTTGCTATCGGCGATGCCATGCTGAACAAGGGATACTCTGTCGACAAGGTCCACGACATCACCAAGGTCGACAAGTGGTTCCTCCACAAGCTGTCCAACATTGTTGCCGTCCACAAGGAGCTCGGCAAGTTCAATGCCCAGAACCTTCCTTTTGAGCTCCTCCACGAGGCCAAGCGCAAGGGATTCGCCGATGCCCAGATTGCTGGTCTCCTTGGCCAAAAAGCGACCGAGGATGTCATCCGCCAGACTCGTAAGCAGATGGGCATCACCCCCTTTGTTAAGCGTATTGATACCTTGGCTGCCGAGTTCCCTGCCGACACCAACTATCTCTACACCACCTACAACGCCTCATCGCACGATGTCGATTTCACAGACAAGGGCACTATGGTCTTGGGTTCGGGAGTCTATCGTATCGGATCCTCGGTCGAGTTTGACTGGTGCGGCGTTTCCTGCATCCGTGCCCTTCGCGAGCTGGGCAAGAAGACCGTCATGGTCAACTACAACCCCGAGACCGTCTCGACCGATTTCGACGAGTGCGATCGCCTGTACTTTGAGGAGCTCTCGTACGAGCGTGTCATGGATATCTACGAGCAGGAGCACGCCCAGGGAGTTGTCGTCTCTGTCGGAGGCCAGCTCCCCCAAAACATTGCTCTCCGTCTCCACGAGAACAATGCCAAGGTTTTGGGAACTTCGCCCATCATGATTGACGCCGCCGAGGATCGTTACAAGTTCAGCAAGATCCTCGACACCATTGGCGTCGATCAGCCCGAATGGAAGGAGCTCACTTCCTTGGACCAGGCCTCGACTTTTGCCGAGCAGGTCGGTTACCCAGTTCTCATCCGTCCCTCCTATGTCCTTTCTGGCGCCGCCATGAATGTCGCCCACACCCCCGAGGCCCTTCACCGCTGCCTCACTCTTGCCGCTGACGTATCGCCCCTTCATCCCGTCGTCATCACGAAATTCATTGCTGGTGCTCAGGAGATCGATATTGACGCCGTCGCACACGAGGGCAAACTCGTTGTTCACGCCATCTCTGAGCACGTCGAGAACGCCGGTGTCCATTCAGGAGATGCCACCTTGGTCCTCCCCAGCCGCGACATCAAGGACGAGACCAAGACCAAGCTGAAGACCATTGCCGAGAAGCTCGCCAAGGCCTTCCAGATCACTGGTCCTTTCAACATGCAGATCATCCACAAGCCTGGTCAAGCCAACGAGGATCCCGTCCTCAAGGTCATCGAGTGCAACATCCGTGCCTCTCGCTCATTCCCCTTTGTCTCCAAGGTCCTCGGCCACAACTTTATCACAACCGCCACCCACGCTCTCTGTGACAAGGATGTTCCCGCCCCTCAGGATTTGATGGCCAAGGAGTACAGCTACCAGGCTGTCAAGGTCCCTCAGTTCTCCTGGACCCGTCTCGGAGGAGCTGATCCCTTCTTGGGTGTCGAGATGGCCTCGACCGGAGAGGTCGCATGCTTTGGCCGTGACAAGGAAGAGGCTTACCTGACGGCGCTCCAGAGTGTCCAGAACTTCAAGTTGCCCGCCCAGGATGCCAGCATCCTGTTGTCGTCGGACGAGCTGACTACCACGAGCGACTTGGTCAAGATTGGACAGGGACTGCAGCAGTACGGTACCACGATTGTGACAATGTCGAAGCACACCCAAAAGAACCTTCAGGAGTCTGGTGTTGCCTGCAAGTACATCGCTGCGCCCGACTCTTTGCCTCAGATGCACAAGGCCATGGCTGGCGAGAATGTGCAGATGGTGATCTCGCTGTCGCGTAACCGTGCCCAAGACATTGCCGACAAGGAGTACATGATCCGCCGTGCCGGTGTCGACTCTGGCATTTCTCTCATTAACGACGAAAAGTGCGGAGTGTTGTTTGTCAACTCGATCAACAAGAACGTGGAACGCAAGGCAGCTTTGGTCGCCGCCAACTCTGCAAGCTCTATCCCTGCCGAGGTCAAGTCCTGGGCCGAGTTTGTCGGAGGCCGTTACTAAGACAGCGTGTCGTCGCCCTTTGACACCGTTTCGTTTTTCTTTTTGTTTCCGTTGTATTTTCATCCTCTCACCCACTCTTCCATTCCTCACCATAGACATTTCCCCCCCTTGTACATCGCCCCTTGCATTGTTGGCTGTTTCCCGCCTTCACATTTTTTCTTTTTCTTTTCTTTTTTCTCTTTTATTTTTTTTGGACCCATTGGTGACACATCTTTCCTTTTCTATTCTCTTTTGATTCCATTTTCTTTTACTCCAGCAGCCGAGTAGTGGGAGGACGTGGACTGGCAGTCGTTCTTTCTTTTGGTCGGGAAGGCACGATGTCCTTTCCAGTCCAGTGTCATGTTTAATTTTTTTTCTTGGTGGCTTTCTTTTCTTTGTTCCTGTTAAGAGAGCCTTCAGTCTAACTTGGTTGTGGTCTATGACCCAACGAGGTGTATTTTCTTTTGGTCGGGAATGTGCACGCTTGTACGCCATGGGACTCTTTCTTTCAAGGTCCATTCTTTATCTATGACATTGCTCTCTTCTACTCTCTTCTTCAACACTCGTTTCCTTACACACTTTTTGTTCAATCATGTTACCATTCAAAAACCTGTCCAATTCCAGGGCATCGTTCTTCACCCTTCTCTTGTCTCTTTTGTCATCCTTTTTCCAGCTTCAAATTGTTCAGACCCTGCAGCAATTTGTCATTGCGTACAACTTCCTGTTAGCTCCCTTTTGGTCGGGGGAGCCGATGTGGATGAGACATCTTTTTTTGTTGAAAACCTAGCAAAGCCCTGACTGGACTGACGAGGTTTTCTTTTGCTCAAGAAGTGGAGGAAGATATGCAGTTGTAATCCTTTTGTATTCAATCGAGAAAAATAAACAGTTGTGATACCCATGATTCCATTTCTCTTTGTCTTCACCGTCTTCTCTCAACTCAACATTCGGATCCACTCTCGCCTCCTGACCCACATACAACAATTTAAAGACGCTTTGTTTCTCCTGACATCCTTCTCCTCACTCCTCTCTTTCCTTCCTTCCTTTCCTCCCCTTCACTTTCACTTTCAATTTCAATTTCCCTTTCCTTTTCCCTTTTCCCTAGCAGTTCCTTTTCCGATTGAACTCCTTTCTTTCACTCTTCATCCTTTCTTACTCACTGCAACTGTGCTCTCCTAACACTTTCTCCTTTCAACTGCAACAAGCAAGCAGCACTCAGCAAGCAGCAACAGCACATCAGTAAGCCAGCAGAATACAATGTCCTCCAGAACGCCAAGTATTTACAGTGACGCTCTTGAGACACCTCTTGAGAACTCACATCGGCAGGAGGAAGAACCTTCCCGTGCCCACACCTCAATTCGTCCTCAACAACGACAGCAACAACAACACCAACACCCCACCGCAACAGCACCAGCAGACCCTGACGCAGTTTCGATTGAACAGGACGTAGAAGTGGACGACCCATCAGAGGAACAGAGTGGTGATGACGAGGAAGGCTATCAAGATACTGAACCTATGGAGGAGGACGGCGGGGCAGAAGTCGAGTCCGCTCAACGCCACCAGCAATCCAGAGCAGCAGCAAGAGGAGGCGAGGCTATGGACGTGGACGATGATCACCATCAGGGGGGTTCGTCTTCGATGCAGATTGATTCGGTAACACAGAGTCAAAGTGTTGCACAGGGAAGCATCGCCACGTCTGTATCAGTAGCAACTTCTGCCCAACAAGGCCAAAACTCAGGATCAGGATCTGGAACGATAACACCCGCAGCAGCTGATCCATCAGAGGCAAGAGGTACATCGTCTTCCACCTCTGGAGCAGGAGGAACAGCGACAGCATCAGGAGCCAAGAGCTCGACGCCTGCGGTGGACGAGAAGGCTCAGAGCGAGCTGAGGCGCCAGATTATGGAGATCCAGCGAGACCCCAACATCAAGTTTTCTGACAAGGCAGGGATGATCCAGGTAAGATTATGCACTGAATACGTTACCGTTTGTATGCTAGTGCGTGTTCCACAAGGGTGACCGAGCGCATGCTGACTGGTTCTCTTTTGCAATGTCTCATGGACTAATAGAAACTAATGTCGTCAAGGTGGCAAAACTCAAAACGCTTGACTGACAAACAGAACGATGGATCTATCGAGGCCACGGAGGAGGATCTGAAAAAGACGTACTATGTAGGTTTTTTTATAGCAGAGTATTCATGCAAGAAAGGATACTAACGTGGATAGTACAAAGAGATACAGAACTAATAAGTGCATAATTTCTGATATAATAGAACATGGAGCAGAACCAGCTAGGATGTAAACATTATCGCCGAGGGTGCAAGCTAAAGGCAAACTGTTGCGGGAGGTGGTTCAACTGCCGGTTCTGTCACGACGATGACAGTGATCATACCATTGTCCGGAGCGAGACTAAGATGATGCTCTGTATGCACTGCCAGACTATCCAAGAGGCTGCCCAGAATTGCTCCTCCTGCAAGGCGCGGATGGCGGTCTACTACTGCGACACCTGCAAGCTCTGGGACGACGACCCCAAGAAACACATCTATCACTGCGACGACTGTGGGATCTGCAGAATCGGGCAGGGACTCGGACGAGACTACTTTCATTGCAAGAAGTGTAATGTCTGTATGAACATTCAGCTCCAGGACAATCACAAATGTATCGAGCGCAACCTGGAGTGCGATTGTCCCATCTGCGGAGAGTATATGTTCACCAGTACATCTACGGTTATCTTCATGGTGAGTGTCCTCGTCGTTGCATATATCCCGAAATCAATCAGGTGCTTTGTTCCGGTAAATCTTCATGCTGACTTCTTTCTGTTGTTGATACTAGCCGTGCGGACACTGCATCCATTCGAGATGCCACGAGGATTATATCAAGACGTCGTACCAATGTCCGACCTGCTGGAAGTCTCTGGGAGACATGTCCGGTTACTATTCCAAGATTGATTCATTGCTGGCCGAACAAACCATGCCCGCAGACTATGCCAATATCTTTTCGATTGTTCTCTGCAACGATTGCGAGATTAAATCTGAGGTACCCTACCACTTCCTCTACCATCGCTGCGACAAATGCCGCGGATACAACACCAAAGTCCTCGAGACCTTCAAACGCGTCGGAACGGATGGTCAAGTCCAGGTAGTCGATAATGCGATTGCTACTGGAGCAGCGGGCACTGTGCCTGAGAATAGCATTACCGGAGGCAATACCGTCATGGTAGGAGCAGTGGGGTCGTCATCGACTTCGTCGGCAGGAGTAGGAACTTCGTCGGGGGTGAACTCGTTGGTACCTGGCGGGGCTGTGGTGAGTGTGTCCATGCCTCGGTCTCCATTGATGGACGAGAATGCCTCTGGAGATATGACCATGGCTGGCATCTCTGGCAATTCTGCTCCGTAGAATTTTGCTGACCATTAAAGAAAGAGAAGAATGTATCCCAATATTGCTCCTGTGCCATGAATGAATATGCCTGCCATTAAAGATAGGATGCGACGTAAACTCCAATCAGCCAAAAACACCGCCAAATCCTGGGACAAGTTCGCCTTCATGCCTTGCATTGAGCGCTTTCCCGAAAACACTGAGGACATTGCCCTTTTGCTGATGCCGTTGTCTTGTGGATGCGTAAAACGACCATTGTTGATTTGATGTCTATGTGTTGATAATGTACAGTTGTCCTCGATGCTGCTGTCTGCTGTGTTGACATTTACTTCTTCTTGAGAGTCGAACGGCGTCCCTGACCTATTTGTACAAGCATCGACCATACCACGTTAATAATGGCTACTGAAAATACTGCAAAAAGCGCTCCGTTGACCATGACCAGATAGGCAAAACTCAGATATGAACGCAAAGTATTACCCTTCTTGGGGGGACCCTTGCCACGCTTCTTGCGCTCAGAAAGATCCTCGAGGCGGGTCTTCTCCTCCTGGTCGATCAAGTTCATCTCGGGAGCCATGCGAGTGATTTCCCGAAGCTTGACCTGCTTGACGTTAGGGTAGTATGAGTTGACGGTGGGGCCGACGAGGCGCTGACGGAGGATCTTGTTGCCGGTGCGGATTCCCTGGGGGTTGTAGACGTTCCCGAAGATGGCGCACGAGATCTTGTTGAGCAGCGTGAGCTTTGCTGCGGGTGCGGTTGACAAGGACATGGCGGTTGGAGAAGACGGATGTCGATGGGAGCGAAACAACGGAAACTGATCTGTTTGTTGCTGGGTGTGTGCTTGGGCGAATTCCGACCCGCCCAAAAAAAAATCGATAGCGTCACCGAGTCGCACATGCTGCGAATATGTGCTCAAATTCTTGAGGTTGAACGGGGCGGGTGATACCGAAGAACAAAGCGTTCACTTCATCTCATTTCTTCAACAAAACTCACCACTTCACTCGCTCACAGCACGATCAACTTATCATCCACCAGCAGGAATCAGCCCACAAGAACAGACAAGGACACCCCGCCTGCAGCCACCATTCCCTACTGTCGGCCATCATGAGCGTGACAAGCGAGGAAATCAACTACCTGATCTTTCGATACCTGCAGGAGTCAGGTATGCAGTTACTTCGACTTCACCTTCAAACAAAACCAGCATGACCAGGAGAATCGTTTTTCTTGTTTTTAAATTAAAGTCGACGAAAGAGTACTCACTGAGCTCCATGTCCATCCTTCGTATAACCTTGCAGGCTTTGTGCATACAGGATTCGCCTTCCAGAATGAGTCTCATATCCACAAGTCGGAGTTCCGAAACGCCAATGTTCAGCCAGGAGCACTCGTTAGCGTGCTGCAGAAGGGATTACTGTACATGGACCTGGAGCTTCACGTCAATGAAGTATGAATTGCCGTATGGAATACGATACGTTTGTGTCGGACATGCCGCACATACTCCAAAAAAGCCGAGCTAACATTGTCCTCTTTTTTTTATACCTGGACCATCTTTTAGGATGGTTCTGAGCGTGAATGCACAGGGCCTGTAGTGTTAATTGGACCCCACCGGTGCGACAAGCAGGCCAAGAAACCAAAACGGGAGGAAATAATTAGCAGAGGCAGTAAACGGGATCGCAAGGAAGGAAAGCGTTCTCAGAGGCAACAGCAAGAACAACAGAACCAGGACCGAGAGAAGCGAGCGAGGGTCGACCAAGAAGAAGACCGGGATGAAGACCAAATGATGGATACCGATCAAGTCGAGGACATTTCCGTCGTCGGCACGCGTGAGTCCACTTTTCATTCTTAAGGAGCAATCGAAGTCGCATTTAATGTAAGTCGACTCCAACATTGAGATGCGAGCGGCAAACTGCTGACATTAGCTCTATCAATTCTCTTCCGGCAACCTCGATAAAATAGCGGCGGAGGTGGTCGAGAACGCGGAAGTCAAAGTCATTCCGGCAAGTGATGCCATTACGCTCAAAGGACATACAGCAGACGTATTTGTCTGCTCCTGGAACCCAACGTCACCGACATTACTCGCCTCAGGGTAAGAAACACATAACCAGGGACTGTTCGCGCGCATGCCAGGCATTGCATACTGAATTTAAAGCCTAAAAAATGCTTCCTTTTCACATTGTCTAGATCGGGGGATGCAACAGCACGTATTTGGCAAATTCCAACAAATGGAGAGGAGGCACTTTCAGAGCCGATTGTGTTGAAGCATTTGCCAGCCCTAACAGACATCAATCGGGATGTCACCACCATGGATTGGAACGTAAGACCCCTTTGCTCTATACATCGCCTCGGGGTTCATGGAAATGCAGTTTGCCCGAAGGCACAGCTAACCCAGTGAATCTTTTCATCTGTATCTCTTTGCCGCAGTCGTCAGGAACACTATTGGCAACTGGATTCTATGATGGTCAGGCGCGGATTTGGACACAGCGTGGACAGCTGCGACACTTGATGAGCCAACATCGCGGGCCTATTTTTGCGTTGAAATGGAACAAGAAGGGCAACTACATCTTGACAGGCAGCTTGGACCACACCACGATTGTCTGGGACACGACCACTGGCGAGGCAAAACAACAACACGAGTTCCATAAAGGTGCAGTACTGGATGTTGATTGGCTGGACAACACGACGTTTGCCACATCATCTTCGGATGGCAAGGTCTATGTCTGCAAAGTAGGGAATGCAGAACCGCTCAAAGTCTTTGAGGGCCACAAGGATGAAGTCAATGCCATCCGCTGGGACCCTCTCGGGGAACTGCTGGCATCTTGCTCCGACGACAAAACCGCAAAGGTGACCAGTTGTACTAAAGGATCTGTTCATTGTTTCTGGACTTTTAGCCGTCGACATTATAAAACTAACGCATGTTATTCTGCCCTTTACGGTATTATAGGTGTGGAGTCTAACGCAAGATGAGTGCTTATTCGACTTGACGGCACACACAGATGCTGTGTACGACATGACTTGGGCGCCACGAGAGTCATCATCAAAGGATCCCAGAATGCTGGCCACGGCTTCCTTTGACACGTCCGTTCGACTTTGGGATGCCAACAATGGCGCCTGTCTACGTGTTCTCTCGAGGCATATTGAAGCAGTGTACACCGTCGCCTTCAACCCCACTGGAACCCACCTTGCAACAGGATCGCCGGATCATACAATTAATATCTGGAGGGTTCAGGTAATTATCGTGTTTCTGGAGGAGTCGAGGCACAACTGTTTCTGATGTTGTCGCTTATAACACCCGCTGATTTTTGGTCATAACCTGTGCTTTAACACTAGGACGGGGCGCTTGTCAAGACGTACCAAGGAGAAGGAGGAATATTTGAGGTCGACTGGAACAGCACAGGAGACAAGCTGGCTGCATGTGTGGCCAACGGAACGGTAAGGGGGTTTTGTATTCGTGCGGGTGAATCTCCGTCGTAATGGTTATTTTGTGTGGATTCAATCTTGAAAATGCTAATATACTGTACCTCATTTCGTTCCTTCTAGCTGGTTGTTGCACATATCAAATTGTAGAATAATTAAATAATGCCTGCTTGTTTCTCCTTCCCCAAGCTCATCCCGTTCTCCCTCCACTCGACCTTCGTCGCGATCGCTGCGCCATGTTTGTTTCTTGTAATGTATTCCATCTATGGTCCTTAATCGTACCTTACCTGTGGGGATATAGTTAAGGGGTTGCTGTTGACCAGTATTCTCTATTTTCCCCCGTCTCTCCTCACTTTCTCTCTGCGTCGCACAACCTTCTACCTTCTTTCCCACCACAGCTTGCTGCAAAAATGGGCGTGTTATTTTTACAAGTACTTAGCTTTCAGAATGTGCCGCGGATATACATAGCACACGGCTGACCTTTTGCACCTTTATGGGAAGATTCACACCCTGGATGTACTACAGCCGACATCAAAGGCATCTATCGATTTGATTGATGGACTCTTGAAGTATGATCCCAAACCCCGGAAGACAGCATACCAGGCACTCTTATGTACTTGGTTCGAAGACATCCTAGAGGTCGACGAAGTGCGGTTATCGGTGGATGTCCAACACTCGCCCGACAAAAGCAGGAGCATGTTTTCAGGATTGCGATCAACCTCTTTCAAAGAGTCTAGGGAAGAAAAAGACATAAAGGAAGGAAAGGATGGCATGGATGGTAAGGATGCAAAGGCAAGGGAACGCAGACTTTCAGTTACCTTGCCCAGTCTGAATAATATCGCCAGGCCCTCCTTGGCAATGGTTCTCAAGACCGACAGTGCTATATAGGGAATCCGATTCTCTACACAGGCAGTGGATCTCCATTCGGGGTCCGACCTCCCTAAGATTTTCACCAACATCACCCTTCTGGAACGACAGTCATGCCACTTCACGCTCAAATATTTGATAAGGCTTGCACAATAGTTAGTGTATCAGAAGGCAAATAACATCCGTTGGCGCAAAGTTGACAGTGGTAAGAGGAAGTTTTTAGCAGCCATTTCTTTACTCTGCCAAGAGAGTGATGCTCACCACGGTCTTCCAAAGGCTTCCTTTTTTCTATAGTTCTCCACCCTCTTCATTCTCTCTCACACTCTCTCTCTCCCGTCGCTCAAGCAAACCTCCTCTCATCCTCCTTCTTCTCCTGTCCTTCTTCCACGCCCTTTCCTCCTTTCCTTCCCTTCCCTTTTCTTCGAACTCATACTTTCTCTTACATACTGTATGCCCGCAATAGGAATCACAGTCCTCCACTTCGGACTTTGGACCATCGTCCGCAGCGCTTTAGGTCAAATAGTCTCACTCCTCTTACACATCTGATATGAATGCTTCCTTCCCTTCCTCAGCGCAGCGTGCGCATGTACTGTGAAGTTTGAAGGTAGCTAGAAAACGGTGAGGCATACTATCCTATTAAATGATTCATGCGGATTCAGGCATTTCAGTCCCGGCGTTGATCCAATGTCGGTCATGCAAAAAAATACAAGTTATGATGAATGAGGTTACGAATCAAGAGAATGAAAGGAACAGTGAATGAGCATTTCCAAAAAAAAAAAATAGTCGAAATCGCAATTTGATTTTGGAGCACATTAGCAGTGAGGGGTTAAAGCGAGAAAGTGTAAGGTTTTTGGTTATTTTGTGAAAGATGTATTGTGTAAAAGGTTTGCCTCACTATATGCCATTTGTTGTGTTTGTTTAAGAAGCGGCCTTGACAGTGCCCAGCATGTAGGGATGAATGGTGCAATGGTACGACAGAGTGGCGGCGGTTGTGAAAGTGTGAGAAAACGACTTGCCCGTGGCGATGAGGCCGGAATCGAAAGAACCAGCGTCCGCAGTAGCTGTGTGGTCTGCACTGTCATTGTTGGTCCAAGTGACCTTATCACCGGGATTTATGTTGACCACTTGAGGCACGAATTTGAAGTCCTTGATCGTGACCACATGGACGGCAGCAAAGACTTGAGCGAGAAGGATGGCAAGAATGGAGATAGCATAGAAAATGTACATGTTTGTTAAGTCGTTGGATTTGGGGATGCGATTGAAAATGCGCGAAAGAGAGGAGAGAGTAAAGAAAGGGATGATAAGGGGATAAAAGCAGTTCTCGTGATGATGCCATTGAACACCAGTCCAAGCAGACCGCGTATTCAAGCAGTGTGAAACCTGGCCGCTGGTGGTGGTTTGTGCACTGCCTAAAAACAATAGGTTAACAGTTTCAGAACATTAATGCCAGTTAAAATTCTCATTCTGAAACACGACCAATACATAGTCAGTCAATCCCTAACGCGGACTGGTCAAAGACAATAATAGACACTGCTCGTCATCAATGACTTGTTTGGGTGTCGGAGATGGCAAAGGTGATGGACAACAGAAAAAAGTGCGACCAATGCTATTATTTGTGCGATTAATGCGCGATTGGCGCCAATGGAGGTTGAGTATATTCTGAACCATTCGGGCGTAAAGGTGGTGCTGGCTCAAAAAGAGAGAAAAAAGAGTTGTAGACGATGGCCATGCATGTTGGGGAGTACAATTACGGAGCGTGATTATTGACTTCAGGGAACAGTAGAATTACTGATTTACTTTCATCTCTTCTTTCGTCTCCTGTCTTATTCAATGTATTCCGAATGAAACGCTAACAATATGCGCTTCTACACCATCACCATCCTCCCTGCCATTCTCGTTCCGGTCTTCGCTGCCGTTCATACGGTTGTGATCAAGAACTTCAGATTCATACCTCAAGTGGTCGACATAAATCCTGGTGATGAGGTCACTTGGATCAACAATGACAATACAGGCCACACAGCTACTGCGAACGCTGGCTCTTTCGATTCCGGCCTCATCGCCCCGGGCATGTCGTTTTCCCACACTTTCACAACCGCTGCTACTCTGCCGTACCATTGCAGTATTCATCCCTTCATGTTGGGAAGAATCGCGATCACTGTCAACTCGACGAGCAGTGCGGTTGTCACCACAGCCACAGCCTCAGCTACGGCCACCACAGCTACGGCCACTACAACCACCACAGCTACGGCCACTACAACCACAGCCACGGCCACCACAACCACAGCTACAGCCACGGCCACGCCCACAACCACGACCAAGCCCTCGAGTGGAAACACCTTAGACACACCCATCAAGGTTATCCTGCTCATCGGAGGGGGTGTTGCAGCCATTGCTCAGTTCCTCTAAATGACAGAGATTGACGTCAGAACACAGGCAGCCATATCCCATTTTTGGTTTTTTTTGTTTGTAAAACTATTACTTCTCGCCTACAGAAGTCACCACCATTCAAAAGATATACTTTCGAAAAAGTACAAAGGTTACATATAAACTGGGAAAAAACAGTGAACAGAAAATAAGTACGGAAAGATAAGGAAATAAAAATACAGATTAGCGATGGTTTTATTGAGAAAAGGAAGAAGAAGAATAGTGTGCAGAAGAATAGTGACAGAGAACAGGTGGAAGTGAGATCTTGCAGACTGAAGAACAAAACAGGGGGAATAGCGGGTCTATTTATGCTAGGAACCGGCTGAACAAGAAGGGGTTGAGACGCAGCCAGGAACGTTGGACTGGGAACCAGAATGGGGGAAAGGCAAAATGGCAAAATGGCAAAACGAATGGCAGGGGCAAATGGACAATGATGAAAAAGGGGGAAGATGGTAAACGGGATGGTTCTAGGCAAGTAGATCTTTACAGAAACCGACCTAGACCAAGGAGATAAAAGGATAGAAGTACAGGCAGCGAGGTACTAGGAACTGAGTCATGCCGGACTGGTAGCAAGAATCTAGTTGGTGGCGGAGGTCACGTGATGAAAAAAATGTAAGGACAAAGCCTTGAATAAACCTGGCAACCTGGGGCGAGCACGACACCTGACAACCTGGGATGAGACGCGGCACAAGGCCAAACAAAATAAATCTTAATCGCAACAAGCTCACTCAATCCAGTCAACCTAAAACAATAAGTGGAGACGTAGGACTTGTTCTCGAATCGTGAAGGAATGACGACGACAAACACTTCCACCGATCAACTAAAGCGAACAATTGTTTCGTCTGAACAGAAAGCAGACTCACGTTTTGTTCAAGAACAAAAAGGCACCGACCTTTTATCTGAGGTTTTCTAATGGTGCTATAACCTTTTCACAATCACAATCACAATCACAATATACATACAACTTTATGAGATTCCGTTTCCTCTTCCATCTTCAATTGAAGTTTATCATAAACTCATTTATAAACCATAGCTTCTCATTGACCGTTAACAAACAAGGTCAAGTTGACTCAGCACTCATCCTCGACAAAGAATGGCCAGGACACCCTTAAGTTGTAAAGATACACACCTAACTGTCAACCTCATAAGACGCCTGCCAACGACGTTCGTCAATACCATGATCACAATAGCAAAAGCGATGAATGATATCTATGTTTTATGGAGATACATAAGGTGAGGATGATAAAATACATGTTTATTTACAGGCAGTCTGTAAGAGCCACAGACGAGAGAGGAAGCAGCACAGACACCATCAGATGTCTATGGAGGAACGATCATGGCAGAGCTGGCGAGCGTGACGGGAAGAAGTTGAGGAGAAGTCATTGTGGGTGCTATCCAGTCTTTGACGCCAGAGCTCTCGTCGTCGATGCTGCCATGGCCAAGATGACCTTTCGCAGCTTGAGGATCTGCACGATGACGGCAAGAACCTGGGTTGTATCGTCTTTGTCCAACCAAGTAAGCGGGAGTGATTTTATCTCCTCCTTAGCTGCCTGATAGAATCGTCCTGGGCGCTGACGCAATGTGATGATGGAAACCGAAAGGCCCAAAATCCAAAGAGCAAATGTGACTAGTCGATAGCTCCGCCTTCTCCTGGATCATATCGTGGCCGTCCTTCATAAACTTTATGAGTTTCCTACTGTCATGAAGGCACTTGGTAGTATTCGCTCCCCCGTCCTTCTTTGCGGCCTCCATCCAGCAGATCTCCACTGGCCACTTCGAGATCACAACTACCCCATCCACCTTATGGCCTATGAATTGTCGGCTATCCCAGGATTGTTGTTTCCTGCGCCGTTGGGCCGACGACTCCGATGAAATTTCTCCGGACTTGTAGTCAAACAAAGGGTAACAGGAGAGCGCCAAGGGGAGAAAGCTCCACAAGTGGTGGTTGAACCATGCCTCCGATGGTCCCTGAGAAAAGGCATAACCATACCGCTGGTGGTTGCGGGGCACCTGAGTAATGCAGTCATGCGCAACGATCTGACACTCCTCTGACGACTTCTCCTCGCGAGCGTCGCCGACACTGCTACAGCTATGGTTGAGGAGAAACTCGTGCAAGTCCTTTGGTGGCCTGTTGTATTGTTGGAGGCTGAGATCGGCTGGTGAGGGTCCAGGTAGTCTCTCGTCTTTGCGAGTTACCATGATGTTCGTGATCTCCTCTCGGTCCTTCGCGTCGTCAAACAATCGCAGCACGGTATCACCATCTCCCACAATGAAGCTGTGTAGGGCACTCTCGTATGGCAGAGCCTCGACAACACCACGTAGACGGTCGTCTGCCGCCAAAGTTTCCCTTGAATAAGTTCTTCATTGTGCGGATCTGACCTGGTGCTATCTTGCCGCAGCTGCTGCTGCTCTCGCTGGTGCTTCCATAGCCATTGCTGTCACTGTTGCTGATGCTGTTGGAACGCGGCCAGTCTGACGGTGCCCTTGAAGCTGGCGCAGGGGAGGGGGAAGAGGAGGACGCAGCTGAGGGCGTCGGCGTCTGTGGTGGTAGTGGAGGCATTGTCGTCGCCGAAGAAAGTGCCGAACCAGATGTGGCGAACGCTGAGATTTCCTTGAACGCTGTGGCGAGTGACACAACATCAGGGGGTTCAAACCTTGGCATTTGACGGCGTGTAACCAAATGCGCCGTTAAGGAAATCCGCCAAGGAAATATGTTTCCTCGTGGGCTGATGTATTTCGAAATACGCTTTGATTTGAATGTGGGCGTACCAAAGTTTGAAACCCCCTATTGAGGAGATTCTCAATAGTCGAGAAATCCATCTTGTCGTCGCTGAAAAACTTTTTCATCCGGGCCCATTCTCGACCTGCGCTCCTCATGGAAGTCCCTGAACTGACTCTCTGCATGTAGGCCAGGTACGTGTCAAACGTGGGCGTTGAGTTTGCTTGCGACTTCAGGCTGACAGGATAGCCCACGGCACTGCTTTCGCGCGTCAAAGGACCGTCTCCGAAGATCGCACTCGCCAGTTTCGTCGTCAGGAGTGCGTCTTGGTCATCCACGTTCGTGTTTTCGACGGGCGAAGTGTCATCTGAATCCTTAGCCTGGGATCCGATGTCGGTGGGAGCACCGCCATCGTCAGGCCGTAGTAGCTTTTGTGGACGCCGTGCCTGGCGATTATACAAACGAGAACAATGAAAATGTCAATTTCAGGTAAATGTCGGCCAAAAAAAAATTCTACTATTATTCTCGAAAAGGTTATTCTACCTCGTGTGCAGGTGGCAACGAGGATCGCTTGGGAATGTTGCAGGGCTCTACCAAAGGGCAGAGTGACCGTTGCACTCTCAATTGGACGGTAAGCTGAGGATCTAATGACCAAGTTATGAGGGAGCATAGGACCTTCTCCATTTCAGCATTTTGTCAATAATTTATGCAACTAACCTTCGTCGACTTCCCAGTCAGGTTCGGGCTCATCCATGTCAAAGTCGTCTTCGTTAAAACCCTCGGGGTCCCGTGCAAAGACGATAGTACCTATTGATGTATATGATACGGACATGCATATCCGCAATGACGAGAATATGAATTAGAGAAAACATACCAAGCAAACCCCACCCCCAAAAAAAATAAAAAAAATTAAAAAAAATACAGCTTGATCATCAGTACCTATGTACAAAATACATATGCATTAAAGCAATACGCGCCTCATCCGTCCCTGTCTTGGATTAATCGGCTATGCGAAACGTACCCTGTCGTCTTCCACCATGTCCATTTGTTCATCATCGTAATCATACGACATGAAGTAACCTATATAGATAAAATGCGACAGCCATAACATTAGCTATGGGTGACGAACACAATATCACAATATGAAAGGAATATAAAAACAATCTAGCTCAAAAAAAAATGGACGCCTGGATGCCACAGCCTCCACAACAAGTGACGATGATGAAATGCTGGTCGGATATGATGGTTATAACCACCAATCAATCACGTCCTATTCGGTAAGACAACCAACTTACCTTCATCAACTTGAGTAGGGCCATCATCTCCCCAGAGTGTATTTATTTTTGTTTTCAGAGGGAGAGGAAAGAAACAGTAAAGGAAGATGAAAGGAAAAGGAAAAGGGTGATAAAGATGAAAGTGATACACGACAGCGTCGCGGGACAATGGATACCGGGAAAAAGGCCAAGGAGGGGATGAAGGAAGAATGCCTGAGGTGTCAGTGGTGCAGAGAAAAGGTAGGAGAAAAGGAGAAAAGGAGAAAAAGAGCAACAGCGTGCAGCCGACCTTCTCGCTTTCCCTGGGAAATAAAGTGAGAGTGCTGACGTCTGTCTGCACTTGTGCTTTGAAGGGGAACACCAACACTAAAGAAGGAAAAAACAATCGGCAAACAAAATTCACTACAACGAACAAAGGAAACAACGATGGCGAACAACTTTTGCTTGTGTGAGTTAGGGAAAAATAAAGAGTGAGATATGGAAGACTGATGGAGGATGGTGGGGATGAAGGCGGAGATGAGACGGATGAGGACAAACAAACTGGGTAGTGGAAGAGTGATGGTGTGTAATTATAATAAAGAAGAGAGAGAAAGAAAAAAAAAAAGGACGAAAGACAAGAGGGAAAGATGGAAAAGAAGAGGTGACGGTGGAAGAGAGAGGAAAAAGGAGAAAAGATGTGTGCTTTATGAAATGGCACAGAAGAAAGAAGAGAGATCACATTCTAAGACCTCATGGCAATGATTTATTGATCTAGAGATTTGTATATCAGTGTGAGTATTGATACAAACTAGAAATACAGCAATTAAGAAGACAAGCGATAATAAACAACAAAAGAAAAAGACAACTATGGAATAGAAGGTTGCATCTTCATTCAACCGTCAAGTTGAGCTCGTCTCCGGATAAGCAAAGTCGGCATCAGAAAAAAAAGCAAGCACAACAACCGGGAAAAGTCTGAAAAAGAAGGTGATAAGAGGAAAGGACTAGGGAGACTAAAAATGAAGAGGAGGAAGGGGATCCAATGGATCATCAATCGAAAAGCAATGGTCAGCAAAAAGTGTTGAACTGGATGGTGGACTCAATCCTGAAAGATGGCGGCGCATGCAGACAGAGGAGGTGATGTGGGCGACTAGTGCAAGCCATCCAAGAGCACCGTTTCGCCCCCTCCTGTCTCTCCGTCCCCTATCTCTCCGCCGGCTGATGATCCTGCACGAGAGGTTCGTCCTTCTTGTTGACTGAAAGGCGGTCCTGCTCGCGACACAATTTGTGTTGAAGCGAGTGCAGCACGTGTGATGCGCTTTCCTGTTCTTGCTTCAGCATCGCCGCCGACAGCAAAGAGCGACTGTTCCGTTCCTGCTATTTTTGCGTGAAGGGCTTCGTGCTTGAAAATCTCCGCATTGGTGGGGCGACCTGGAGCTCTTTTCCCCAGGATCCAGTTCAGATCGTCGTTCGTTACGACACCGAGAGGAGCACGAGTACCCATTGCACCTGCTGCGCTGGAGATCTTACCAGTCGGTCACGATCCTGTTGTGGACGACGGCGGCTGGTTCTCCTCGTTCAGATCAAAGTACTGGTCCGACTTGACGTTTATGCCGGTGTCCTGCGAACGGATCCCTGACGAGGGTAGATAAATATCCGAGTGCGCTTGTTGCGCTATGGCCGTTGAGAAAAGGTTGTCGGCTTGACGGTTCTCCATCAGATCGAGCGAGTTTGATCGCTCTCGCTCAGCACGTTTTGTCTTTTTCGTGGTAGTGTAATCCTCGGCCAGATACCGAAGTTCCTGATCAAACTCCTGCAGCTCATATGGATTATGCATGGCATCGACCTCTCCAGGGAGTGGACGCTTGCCAAGCACACCACGAGACTCCAATTGACCAGAGATAGATCCAAAGTCATTCTCATCCTCCACCACAATATGTTGCGCACGGGATGTGATGGATATGACATGGGTTTGTGTCGAACCACCCCAACTCCAGGCGTTGAATAAGAACAGAAATGGAGATTGATGACGACGACGACGGCATGCCTGATCTCGAACGGAGCGCCGCCATACGGTACGAATCAACAACCTCCTTTGGCAGCGACGTCGGTAGATGAGAATCAGCCAAGGCGTCTTGGTGTCGGGATCATTGAGAGGGATGTCGGCATTATGCGAGTATCCCACAAACTCCGTCATCTACGTGTCATCATGGTTGACAACAGCCTTTGCTTTGCCTTTGGTCGCTACCTGCGGGTGATGGTCTGGACGAGAGGAATATGTCCTCTGATGAGCGACGTTGTTGTGTGTGTTGCGAAGGAGAAGTTCTTGTGCTGGTGAAGGATCGAATAGATAGAGCATGATGGAGCAGTGATGATACATACCAACAAACAAACATACAAACAAAAAGGTCAAAGACTATTCGAATGTTATAGTAGCATGTTACGAACAGTAAATAAGGAAGATGTAAGGTACTTACAGGCACAGACGCGCGGCAAACACGTTGTTGTTCGTGATACCCGAGAGGTGGATAGGCGGATGTAGATGAAATACCGGTACGACGACCGCCGGCTTGCCCTTAAGTGACCGAAAGGAACCAAAGAGCATAATGTTGTTATGAGAGGGATATACATATCACCAACAAAATTTAGTTTTGACGTTCGGCATAGGGAACATCAATTATCACACCTGTAGGAATCCTGGGTACCATGTTCTGGACTCGAGTGACCCTTCGAGCCAACAGTTCTCGATGCGTCATTCCGGATGACCATGTCGTTGATCGAAAGGTTCCATTGACCTCGTACCTACATCCTGGTGCCTCTTGCTTTGTCCACATTCGATCAGCCAAGGTATACACAGGGTGTTGAGACGATTCAGCATTTCATGGGAGGAGAAGCTTGACGTTTTGTACATTCCTCAGGAAAGTTGTTGATCCTGGAACATATATGTTGGCTTCTATTTTGGAATCCCCAGTGGGAGTAACTGTTGTACAAGTGCACAACCCTAAACATGAAAAAAGGGCGCAATGGTCTATGAGCTGAGGAGACAAACACAACCGCACAACTCCTTTGATGCTATTAACCCACACAACGTGGTGGTCCCAGTCACCTAATGGCGAAAAAACAACCGCAGCTGGGCGAAGACTTCTGCTCACCATAGCCATCCGTCCCAAAAGAGACAGCCGGCATCGATCGCAGCACCACCACAGCCTTTTGGTTGTGGGAAGATCATAGCAAGAGACAGGCCAGCGTAAGAGCATTCGGCCAATGCATCACTCATGTACCCACGGAGCAACCAACTGCAACAGCTCGAGTCGACAGCATCACCTCAACGCAAGGACAAAGTCCTTGGGAGAGGAGAGTCATAGCAAGTGGTAGTCCAGCGTAGAAGCATTCAGCCTATAGCATCTCATGGACCCACAGGGACCCGGCTCGCATCCAACCTCGAAATCCGTGCTCAATGCCACGCCTAGCCTGATATATACACTGCCATTACCTTGTGAACATGAATATCTTGATCGAGAAAAGTCGAAGAGTGCGCAATGAAGGGATTGCCAGCACTAAATGTTGTGTGGGAAGAGACGTCATGTTGCGCTGTAGAAAGGGAATGGTGGTGTTTGAGTAGAGTGTGGGAAGCGACAGGTGAATAATAATTTCTTCGACGATACAAACAACGATTGATCTGTTGAACAAGGATTGGTTGCGTATATTTGTTGACGACTGTTGAGATATGGCGATAAACTTTCGCTTCCTCGCTTCTTAAAACGAATGTCCATTAACAAGGGTCGAAACAGTCTGAGCCGTGCTCTCTTTCCCTCTGTTTTATTCTTTTGTACAACAACAAGGCGAAGGATGGAGTTGACAACACCAAACGGGCGCAGACTTAAGATAAAGGGTCAAGTTTGTCTTCAGCACTTTGTGTCCCTTTGACTCTCACCACACCCATCCCTCTCCACTCGCTCTCATCATCATCATCATCATCATCTCCTTCACTCCACAGACACATCGGTCTCCCATTCGGCAATCAGCAGCACCTCAAACTGTGAATCGCCCACCTTACATTAACAAGGATCGTTCAACACACCGAACACACCAACCAAGCACAACCCCTTCATCCAGCACTCAGCTACCACAGCCTTGAAAAACTCCAGAACCCCCTGTTTTCTCATACACAGGCATATCTCCGACTGCAATTCATACAGGCGGGGCACCCAGGACTCTTGAGCTAACAGACGTGCTTCCACTACAAAAGTAGATACCTTCTAACAAACAACCCAGAAAAGCAAGAAAACAACAAGAACACAAAAAAACAGCAACAGCTCAACACAGGCAAAGGAGTGTGCGATGTGCTAATATGCAAGAAAGCATTAGTTTAGTCCATATTGCGACCGTACTAACCAGTCTTCCTTGTTCATGCTGTGTAGCTCCTCATTCATCCAAGACTTTGCAAGTCCTCCTTTCGTCCACCGTCATCCAACTTCCACCCCCCCCCAAACCAAGGTCCTCACCGAGTAAGTTAGAGCAAGCTCAACTCTCGGCGAGCTAAAAGACACTACGACCATGATATTTATGTATCCTATGCTACCCTACGCCGCACTGTCAATAGCACACCAAGCACCTCTAGTTACCAGCCACTAGAAAGCCAGCAAAGCCCACCAAGCGTACTGTTCGCCATTCCTCTGGTAAGTGCCTCGTATGCAAAACATATAATGCATGACCTTGTTCAAAATTTCGACCAATTAACTGACCATCGTTTCAATTGTTCTTTTACCAACTCCTCAGCCTTTTTATCAGCCTCTCTACAGTTATTTACTGTTCCAAACTTGCTACCAGTAACAGATACAGTCGTTGGTATCTTAGTAACCCTTTAACCCAGCCAAGGTAAGAAGAAAGAACCAAAATGATTGCATGTATTAATTGCTTGCTTAGTATTGTGAAAACCTGAGACTTATCAGGATGTGCATGCCCTTTCAACCCAAATAGCTCCAATGTCGTCTTCATCGCCTCAAGGCAACACGTCGTCAGAGCCAACTTTGCCAACCTTGTCTACATCTGGACATCCGGAAAGGACTACTGACGGGAAGCACTCCCTCTCTCAGCTCGAGCAGATTGCAGCCAGTGGAGGTATATCGGTCAGGACGGGCAATAACCCGACGATTTTGCAAGCCATCACCGGCGTTCAGCTCGGACATCTCAACACGCTGAGCCCTATTTGTCATCGTGCTGCAGGGCACGCAAGCGCCGGCAGCGTCAACAACTAGCTCGCGGACTCTCAGTCGACCTCATCCATGCATTCGGCGAAGTTGAGCTTCAGGAAGCGCATATTGAGAATTTTCAATGGAGGCTCCAAGACCACCGGCACCATTATTGCCATGCCAGCGTCTTCCGTACCCAATGCTCCCGCGTCTATATGTCCTACACCTAGTATCCATGCCATCGCTCCCGAAGCGGATGTCACTGATTTCTCGTTAGACAGGAGTACTCTGACCCAAACTATTCAAGGGACGACCATCGCACCTACCATTCCAACCATTCGCGTGCAACGACCTGTGATCGCTCAGGACACTCTCCGCATCGACATCTTTCAGAAGAATTTGTCCAGTCCTATCCTCAGCACCGACTTGCCCATGCCCAACGCGCGCATAGAAAAGACTAAAGTGCTCCACAAAAGTGCTCCATCTTTCTCTGAATTCATCCTTTTTTTTTTAGAAATGCTCATCATCCTTCTTTGCAATCAGTCCCGGGATGTCTCTCCACGATTCCGAGGTCTTGTGTTCATGCTTCTATAAGAGCTATACCCATGTCGGTGATGATGTCATTGTGAAATAAATTCTTAAAACCTGATTGCGAGATGGATCACTTTGCCGTGATTCAGCATCCTCTCAATCTACTTTTTTCTTCGATCTTTCTTTAGCTACCACTTCATCATCTATTCTTACATCAACTCCTCGCGCAACTAAACATCATGCCACAAACAGGAAACAAAAACGACAAAAAAGGAAAGATGATCTCGCCTTCAGACAGAGCTACAGCCATTCAGCTGTTCATTTAAGGACAATCGACTCGAGAGGTTGCAGATTCACTAGGGATTGGCATCGCAACAGCAATCAGGATCAGGAAAGACAACGAGGAAAACATACCGCCTCCAAAAATGGGCAGACCTAATAAGACCTCCTTAAAGACCAGGGGGGTTCTTGGTTGCCAGATTAATACTGGTCAGCTTATATCACTTCGGGGTGCCCAGCGATTAATTCAGGAGAGAGATGGCGAGCATGTGGATGTGGAAACAGTCCGGTCGACGATTGGAAACGTGTAATGTTCTCTGGTGAGAGCGTCATCAGTCGCGTGGGTGCTTTGGCAGGAACTACTTTTATAGTGATCGCGGTCGCAGGCGATTGTTACCTCACCAAGTTCATCCAACGCCACAAGCTGGTGGAGGGAAGATGATGGTATGGGGATACATCACTTTTTTTGGCGCAGGAGACCTTTGCCGGATCAACGACACACTCGATTCGGAGTTCTACCGCGAGGTCCTCAACGATTATGTTCTCGCCTCCTTCGAGTGGCATGGTATGGATCGAGCAACATCCATTTTTCAGCAGGACAATGCTCGAGTGCATACTCTGGGCGTTATGCAGAACTGGTTTCGGGAGCATGATGTTACAGTTCTTAAATGGCCACCCAACTCTCATAACTTCAACCCTATTGAGCACGTTTAGGCCTACATCAAACGTCGTCTCTTTCGATACAAACAGCCGCCAAAAGACATAACCCACCTTTGGAAGCGTGTAGAGAAAATTTGAAGAAGACTTCCTAGTAAACTCCTACATAACCTGTATGAAAGCATGCCCAGACGCATGATGGCACTGCTTCAATGCAGAGGAGGTGCGATAAAATATTAAAAAGTTGCGGTGTAATTTGATGATTGAGAGGATGCTGAATCACAGAGAATTTATTTCACAATGACATCATCACCGACATGGGTATAGCTCTGATAGAAGCATGAACACAAGGCCTAGGAATCATGGAGAGGCATCCTATGGCGGATTACAAAGATGGATGATGAGCATTTCAAAAAAAAAGGATGAATTCAGAGAAAGATGGAGCACATTTGTGGAGCACTTTAGATGCCCTTGAAGTTTTCCTAAGTTCCCTTGAAATCTTCGTTGTGTAACCATGATGGTGATTGTCGGTTGGTGGAGCAACAAGGGGCACACCGAGACAACAACATTGATCATGGTTGCACGACGAAAATTTCAAGGGAACTGAAGAAAACTGCGAGACTGCGAACTATTTTGTCTTAGAACTAAAGACTTTGTCTTTTAGCTTTGTTTTTTACTTTGCTTTTTGCGTTGCTTTTTCGCTTTGCCTTTTGGTTTACCTTTTTCTTTGTTTTCCGCGTCGTTTTGTCGCATGCGGCGTGAATATAATGTTGTGTCCCTATTTTATTTGACGAAGGAACAAAATCATATGTACATACTGGCTTGTGGCAGCCAAGTGTTAATAGCGACATTGCTTTTTGATCCTTCGATGCCAACTCTTTCAAACATCCCTCATTATCATTCGAGGTCGCGTCGTCAATGTTTTGATCATTACCGCTACCATGGGTGCAAGCCTTTTCTCTGTAAGGGGTTTAGGTTTGAGCTCAGTTCGAAACGTGCCTGACGGTGGTCTGTTCGCACGCGTCATGGTTTGTGGACTTCCATAGAAATCGTATTTGTAATTTAGGCCCTATGTCTTATTTTTCACTTTTGCTTGGTTGAATGCAAGTGCTGCTTTCTTTCTCGATCCCACACATTGTCGCATTGTACAGTGCAATATAAATTAGCCTGCAAGCGATCGGTCGACTCTTGGCATGATCGGCTGATTCTCCAAAGAAACTAATTTAGCACACCCACCAAAACATATATAACCCATTGTTCCTCTCATCCAGTAACCCGAATTCTTTATCCTGCTCCTTTTACCCTGCTCCCCATTTCCTATCCGACTCTGCCTAAGAAAGGTCAACCCTGCCCATTGTAGTCTAGATTCTCAACAACACATGTATCACTCTCGCTTCTGCCTTGTCCCTGTTTAATTCCTTTCCACCTTCTTTATCCCACCCATCTACAGCTCCAGGTACATATATGATAATAATTGTGAATCCCTTCTGCACGTCATCTTAATTTTAGATCGATAGCCTAGTATGCTGGGCTTAATCTGCATCACTCACACAAGAGGTTCCACCTTAATAGCAAAATATGCCTCGCCTAGGACATGACGATGGAGCACTCGAAATGCTCTTGGCTCGCTTTCGGGCAGTGGTGAAACCTCCACCCGCTGTTTTCACCAAGCAACTTCCTGCTGATGTGGAGTCGATTCCACTTTTGATCTCGTTCATCATGGTTGTATTGACGCAAATGGGATTTGTGTACACTGAGAGCATCCCTCACGAGCTTATGGTATTTTTCCATCGCGCCCTGGCCATCGAATTCATATCCGTGATGAAGATCGAGAGACCTGACGTTATCGACTCCATCCTAGAACTGTTTGTCCACCCTCTCTCTTCCTCCCAAACACATCCAAAACAGAGCACGACACAAACTCAGTTTCACCATTACATCCCAAGGTTCATTCTCAAGACGTTTGCGGACAACTTCTCGCTTAACAACAGCGAGTTCACTACGGACACCTCAAACCAAAATATCTCATGGTTCAAGCCAGGAAAGCCTAGCAAGCGCAGATGCAAAGTGCGGCCCAGATACGACATAAATGTATACCGAGTCCAGGACCACACCACGGACCCGACCAACGTCTCACGAGCGTACGGTGCCGAGGACATGTACCGGGATGTCACTGAAGCCGATTGCATGAAGTTTGAGAAGCTCCTTGCCAAACACGAGTGCACATCCGCTACGTTTATCCGACAGATTTGGAAAGAGGAAGAGGATCTTTCGTTGACCCGAACCCAACTTGGGGATATGAAGAAGTTTCTTGTTGTTATGATGTACCGCAGCGAGCACCGTAGAAGCCAGTATTTCGACCTGAGATTTGACCCTATCACCAAGATTTCTATCAAAAACCACATGGAACACAACAAGTTGTTAAACGTTCAGAAAGTCTGGTTCGAGAACCTCAAGTGGATAATCGAGGCCTCCGTCGAGGACATCGTGAGGGAGTTTCAGAAAGCTATCGTGGCGAGATTTGAGTCAGGGAGACCTACCGCGCTTGTAAGCCCATACCTGGGACCGATTCATGCTGGAGAACTGGAGGACTTTGGCTGTTTGATGACACAAACGATTGCCTGCATCTGGCAAGCGGAGACAGGGTCGGAGTTTATCCTATCCGAGGGATGCTTTGGCGCTTTTGAAGGAGACACTGGCATCTGGTTCCACAACTTTTTTATCGTCTCGCCCCGATTTGCGATCGTCCTGGTCAACCGTTTGTACTTGGCCGAGAGGATCAAGAAGAAACCTCGTTGGACCTCGATGTTCGGTGACAATCTTCATGTCTTTCCAGAGACCGACTACAAGAAGGGGCCTCCACCCAATGATTTCGACTTGGCGACTCATTCCACTCCGGACGATGTGTTTACATACAGGAGGATTGTCGTTCCCAAGGAAGAGGTTTATAAAGTCAACTCTATCTTTTTGGACGATCGACGCCAGTTTTTGACGTATAAGTCCAATATCTCCATGTACAAGTCCCTGCGTTATTACGACAAGGTCAAGGAGGATTTATTTCATACTTGTCACGATTACTCCATCCTCAGACGCAAATTGTTTTCTGACCTTAACAGGACGCATCCAGTAGACCAGTAGATTAGCCATCATTTTTTTTGGCCATAAACACAATTGTACGATTCTATCAACTCTTTTTTTTTAATGGTTGTCAACTCATCTTATTCTGTGGCAGCCCAGCGTTAAAATCGACATAGGAGGCCTTTCAAGTCCAAATTATCATCTCTGCAGGTCTTGATGATATCCACAGCGACCATTAGAGGAGAGTGTATGTATGATATCAACAATATAAAACAACCACTGTAACATTCCTCGCGTGATTATCCTATTAAACACCGACCTATTCTCCAAACAGCAAAGTCTTCTTATTTTTCGCACACCAATCTCTTGAATGTGTCCATCTACTATTAAACTGTACTCCTCACTGCGAAATTAAGGGGAGTAGTTGTTGTATGTGATCATCTAAAGCACTTGTACTCTCAGCTGTATCTTTGTCGTAAAACACAAGGGACAGATTAGGGGTCGTCAAACTACGGCCAGATCCAAAATAAATCCGCCGCTCGTTTGCGCATTTGACATTTTTCTGTCAACTGCGCAGGCCTTCTAATACGAAAATGCGAACGCACAAACCTACGACCCTTGACGTATTTCGCAAACACAAGGCAGTGGCGGCTGCAGAAATCGTCAAACGAGAAGAAAAAATAAAACCCCTTTTTTTCGTTCAGGAGAGTCAAATACCACTCCATCTACTTCTCTCACAACCAATTGGACACACCTCTTACCCTCACTCCACCTACACCATGGCTCCTATCAAGAACAACAAGAACGTCCAACCCAAACCCAGGGTTCTCACTTGTCGTGCAAAAGGCCGTCGCGTCTCCCTTGACCCCCGAGACTACCAATAAGTACAACAATTAAGACCACACAAAAGTAAGAGCAACCCCGTCCGTTTCTGTCAACCTTGTGTGTAACATTTTTTTCTTTTTTGTTCTCGTTTAGTTGACGCCATTGTCGTCGCCCTCCTCTGAGTTTGACACCACATCCCATCAGCCCTCGGTCTCTTCGCATGAGACTCCTCGTTCTCCGTCTGCGTCGTTGCCTGCTGAGGACCAGGATGGTACTCCCGCGGGACCGTCGTCTGTCCAGGCCACAGAGACCGCGTCGTCCTCTTCCTCCTCCAAAGGGAAAGGAAGACATTTCTGTGAAGAAGAAAAACGGGCAAAAAGGGGCCAAACAGTCGTCTCGTTTGACGAAATGCGTTGGCGTATTTGATTTGAGTACGTGAAAATGGATACTCGAAAGTGCGACTCCCCTTTTGCGTGTATTGAAATACGCTCAGTCCCTTTTCACGCCGTCTGACAAGGGCTTTGACGACCCCTATTACATTTTGAAAAACATGTGCTGTCTGTAGCTATTTTATTCATGTTCTATTGTCGCCTGTGGAGAAATACATGAGCTATGGAGGTCTACACTGCATTCCTTGGGCTTTGGATATTTTTTATATGCTTTCTTATATCCTTCGCACATGGAAGGGCCGCATAGCACCATGGCAATATATTTTATGTTTAAGTTCGGAAATCTGTATATCATGGTCCACGTACGCGACGTTACGATCCCCAATAACCTGACAGAGCTTGGCACAATCAGCACTCAGTTCAAGATCTGGAATGATTTGAGAGCCACGATTGAGCAGGGACTGAGTCCTGTCTTGGGCGCTGTGGTATCTGGCACAGGACGAAGGGTTGGTACTATCAGCCCTCTTGGTTCCGTGTATGCTAGGACCGAAACAACCCGTACCCCCGAGTTCAAAACCTTTCTGAGTAGGGTGTAGGAGCTTCCACAGGACTTCTGCGCATCGTTGTACTGTACGTTGGGGTGTACGGCATAGTACTGCTAGAAGTATACTCCTTTTTTTTCTTTTCTTCAGGCTGGGGGAGGGGGATCTCTGTTAAGCCGCCCATTCAAGCGCCCATCCGCGCACACACACAACCCGACCGCCAGGGGATAGGTTAAACTGTCCTCAACTTAAGCGCCTGAAAGAAAAAAAATTAAAAAAAGAAAGAGAGAGAGGAGATGTTGTTCTTCCGAACAAATCTATAGAACAATGGTTAATATCAGCAGATCGTATCACCAATACCCCGTTTAATTAAAGTCGTCTGCAATGGAATTATCTCTTCCAATATTTGAAATTAACAATAGCAGGAACCTTACATAGCCTTTCCGCTCTGCAAGATAACCCCACGTAGTATGATTCAGGATCCGAGGATCTATTCGTATTCAACTAAATCGGAAAAAGACGGATATCGTCGCGTTCTAGCACGGGTTCTGACTTAGAGGCGTTCAGCCATGGATCGAATCCCACCTTGACCAACCATTTTCGAGATCCTTCCCTTGCTGGCTAATCAAGGGCTGACCAAGAAACTTCTGGAAGCCATCCTGGCTTCTATCACACATATTTAAATAGTATAGCAATCCGTAGGTAGTCTAGTTCAGTAGTTCATAACTCACAATCTTTATTTACACACAAATTTCCAAACAAGCACACAGTTGCCTTGTTACAAACGGATGATAGCTTTGGGCCATTGCCTGCTCAGGCAGGCCCAAATACCAATTATATGAATGAACGGTTCCTCTCGTACTAAGTTCAATTACTATTGCAACAACATTTCATCAGTAGGGTAAAACTAACCTGTCTCACGACGGTCTAAACCCAGCTCACGTTCCCTATTAGTGGGTGAACAATCCAACGCTTACTGAATTCTGCTTCAGTATGATAGGAAGAGCCGACATCGAAGGATCAAAAAGCAACGTCGCTATGAACGCTTGGCTGCCACAAGCCAGTTATTATACCCTTTCTGCTACCTTTTTCAAACATTAATTCCAAAGATTGCTTTTTTGACCATGCTGTACTTGCTTGTGTGGCTTCGCTTCAGGCAAGTGGCAGTGCTCTAACCTTCTTTCTTGTTAACCTTATTGTTGCCTTATTAACCTTAATCGTCCATTGCCTGTCTGTTTTCTTTTGTTAACTTTATTCGTCTGATGGTTAAACGTTATGCGTTAAGCTTGTAACTTGTTTTTTATTTTTATAAAAGGCCATGTGGTTTTAGGGAGTGATTATCAACAATTAATATGAGTAGCATGAAGAAGAAAAATTCCATCGGCGAGGAGGAAGTTATGCAACCGGAAGTACAGGACTGAAAAGTACAGGGAAAAATGGAGACGGGAAAGAAAGGTGTCTTTATTCAGGTTGGCGAAGATAGAACCTTCTATATGGTCCTGTCAAGCCACATTTATCTCAATTCGTCAATTAAAAAGGGTTGCTGCTTAATTGCAGTACCTAACCTCAACAGGACCCGGTTCAAATGGCGGATACGGCAAGGGATGAGAACATTGAGGCTAAGATCCACAGCGCCGCCGACTGTGACAGAGTGTTTGTGCAATAGTATGGTGCCATAGGGATATGGAAAATGGTGAGAAAGAAGCTGGGGGTCTTTATTGATCCCTACGAATATTATATATATATGTGGACTGACAACTACTACCTTTAATAGAGAATGAAGAGAGTGGACGAAATAACAGGAAACAGGTCTGTGGATTTTTGGGTTCCTAGCAAATGACTACCTAAATGGCGCCAGCAGTTGCAAGGCTATCCACCTTCTCCGCATCATAATGAAGCACATCCCGCAGAATCTCCTGTGTATGCTGACCCAGCAAAGGCGGTGGCAGGCGCACACTTGGCTTGGACTCGCTGTACTTAACAGGGATGCCGATGAGCTTGAGCTTGCCGGCCTTAGGATGCTCCACCTCCAGAACCATCTTGCGCGCTACCACTTGCGGATGGGCAAACGTGTGTGCAAAGTCGTTGATGGTTGTAAAAGGGACACCCTGCCCTTCGAATGCCTTCAGCCAATGCTGGTTGTCGTGTTCCTGCAGCCGTCCCGTCATAATCTTGATCAACTCGTCACGATGCTTGACACGGTCGCTGTTAGTTCTGAACCGGATGTCCGTCGGGAGATGCTCAAGTCCCAGTATACGGCAAAGAGTCTTGAACTGGCCATCGTTGCCACCGCTAATCATAATGCGCGAGTCGCGAGTAGGGAAGGCTTGGTAGGGCACAATCGTCGGGTGCGACGCGCCCCATCGGTGAGGCTCTTGGCCGGAAATCAGATAGCTGCTCCCAATGTCGCTAAGCGTGGCAAGCTGCGACTCCAGTAGCGAGCAGTCGATATGCTGACCGCGTCCCGTCTTGGCACGCGCAAGCAATGCTGCCATGATGGCGCCATGAGCATACAAACCCGTCGTGAGGTCTAAACATTACCAAAAAGAAGTGAGGGGGGGGGGGGAAGAGGAGTAAACTTTTCAGTTCGAGACTCGTCAAAAGCCCTACTTTCTCTGTCCCATTGCGTGGGAAAAGAATGGTTACCGGTAACAGCGACACCCACGATGACAGGCGGGCCGGTGCTTTCACCCGTGATGTGCATCAGGCCAGCCTCGGCCTCAATAATGCAATCGTAACCGGGTCTAGTAGCATAGGGTCCTGTCTGACCGTAGCCCGTGATCGAGGCATATATCAGCTTGGGGTTCAGCTCCTTGACTTGCTCGTATCCTAAACCATACTTCTCCAACTTTCCGGGAACATAGTTCTCAACGAGGATGTCGCACCTCTTTACAAGGTCATGGATAATCGCCTGCCCCTCCTTGGTCCGAAAGTTGACTGTGATAGACTTTTTGTTGCGGTTCACGCTCAAAAAGTAGGCGCTCTCGCCTCGATCTGCAGGGTCGTGTTGGTTGCCAGCAAAAGGAGGGCCCCAGGCACGCGTATCGTCACCGCCTTTCGGATTCTCGACTTTGATCACCTCGGCTCTGGAATGAAAGGAAAAATGACGACACACCAATGATGAAATAGCAGCAGGGTTAATCTTAGAAAGCGGAAGCAAAGGTTGTACGTTTTCTGTGTTCTTCTTCTCCTCGTAGCCAATCTTACCCAAGGTCGCCAAGGATCTGTGTACAGTATGGCCCAGCTATTTGCGGTTGAAGGCCGGGGAGAGGAATAAGAGTGGTTAATCAGCGATTGGTTCGTTGGTAAAAATAAAGGCCATACTGCCTGAAAAGAAAAATAACAACCACTTGCGGAGGATCCCCACTGCTTACCGAGGACACGCGTTAGGTCCAAAATGCGTATTCCATCGAGCGGAAGTGACAAACCGCCTTTTGCAAACGCAGGCGCCTGCGCGTTGCTCTCTTGGCTCAACAATGGAGGAGGCGAGGTGTGAGTGGGATGTGCCTGGAGCTCTTCTTTGGGGTGCTGTCTAATGGTTGACGTAGTGGACAGCAGGCGACTCGCTGCTTGTGGACGTGCAACAGTAAGGGCGCTCTTGGAGACAAAGGAAGAGGCATCGGCTCGTGCAAACGCAGCAAGACCCTGGGCTAGTGCGCGACCAGAGTGCGCTCTCATTCCCACGCGTGCAATGGCAGAGAGAAGCATTTTTGAATGAGAGAGGCCAGAGAAAGATGCAGCGGAGTAGAGAGAAAGGTGGAGGTGGAAGTGAGGGGTAGAGAAAGAGGTAAAAGTGTAGGTAGAGTAGGGAAGTGAGAGGTGGAGAAGAAACGGGAGGACATTTGAAAACTGGAAAGTTGTTTCTTCCTCTCAAGGAAGACATTCTTACAAGTTCTCGTGATGGCACATGCACGTGATAAGCTGGAGGGTGGTAATAAATCCGCGATCAACCTCGACTTGATGCCAAGCAATTTCGTGGTGACGTTTGGTGTCTGCCAAGACGGTGAGGGAGTAAGGGCAACAAGAGCAGCTGTACTTGCGTCCTGAAGGGAAGAGGGCATAACTCCGAGGTAGATACATCGAGATGCAAAGGAGGAGGGCATTGGCAACGAGATGATGGCTTCAATTGCTGCAGAGAAACAAAGGAGGATGGCAGCCAGCACATCAATGGCAGCGGTATGCGCTCCTGCTTTCTTGTTTCCGCTGTTTCGGATTTATTTGTTGTGTCCTGTGTTCACGGCTAAAGAGGAGGCGAGGTCGAAAGGGAGAACACCTTGGAGTTCGATATCGAGAGTGGTGGTGGTGGTGTGTGCTTTTATCTACTGGTGCAGATGGACGAGAGCAAGAGGGTTAGTGTGTTCTAATGTGCATGTAGAGAGAAAGGCGATAAAGCAGGAACGAGCGTCAGAGACGATATATCCCCGGCCGGGATAGCAGCAACGAGTGTGCTCAAGGAAAGAGGACCTTGTCGTGAAGAAAGGGGAAAGAGGCAGCAAAGAGGCCTCCAGTTCTTGATGGCAACAGGAATCAATTATCGTGGACAAGGATCACGGGGAACAGAGACCCATGGCAGCAGCAGAATGTTGGAGGTGGGGAGGGCAGTAAAGAGGCGATGAGGTGAGAGGAGGTGTAAAGAGGAGTGAGGAGGTGTGGAGAGGTGTGAAGAAGTAATGGGTGTGATGAAGTGTATATTTGCGGAAACAAGCGTCGGTGACTGCTAGTTTGTTTACATCAACTGTGGCAAGCATGCCTCCGATTGTTATCGAAAGGATGCGAGATAGCATTGCAATCCACTCACCTGTAGCCCTACCACATGTACATCTTGCTCTACCTCACAAGCATGGAGCTAGTTTTATTGTCGCTTCAATCTTTTCAGGTTTGCCTGCTCGCTTTGACCTTTTTGGTAGCCTCGGGCTACTGTTCCTCTGAACGGCGCTTAAGTCGCTTCAGCGTGTCCAAAAACTCGACGTGGTGACGTGGGAAGATCTTGGGAAAGTCCTTGTCGTCGATGCCAATCGACACGCGACGTAGACCTTCAAGTTCAGGAGTGGGATCAGGGCGAACGACCTGGGTGGCCTTTCACGTCCAAATTATCATATGGTGTTTGTTACATCTCTGTAGATCTCGACGATGACTATGAGATGAAAATGTATATATGATACCAAGCATGTAAGACAACATTTTTTGTTTAACTATCCTACTAAACACCATGATATTCTTCAAACAACAAAGTCTTCTTATTTTTTGCACACCAATCTCTTGAATGACTCCATCTAATATTATACTGTACCCCTCACTGCAAGATTCAGCAGAGTAGTTCTTGTATGTGATCATCTAAAGCACTTGTACTCTCAACTGTATCTTTGGGGCGAAATAAAGGGGAGAGATTACATTTTAAAAAATCTTGTGCTGTCTATTGCTATTTTATTCTGTGTTCTGTTGCCCACTATGAGGAGATATGTCAGCTATGGAAGTCAACACTGCATTCCTTAGGCCTTGGATATTTTTTATATGCTTTTTTATATCCTCTGCACATGGAGGGGCCCCTAATTAAAAAAAAAAAAGGTGATATGGATGCGATGGATGTAATGAGAGCCATATCGGCAAAGCATGTTAAAAATAAGGAAATGGAGAAATAAGGAAAACCGAAATGCAAATGGAAGATGAGTAGAGTAGAGCCGTTGTCTTTTTTTTTCAAACAATCCTGTTTGCTTTTCCTTTTCTTTCTTTTTCTTTCTTTTTCTTCCACATCTTTCGTCTGCTACATTTTCATCACACCTGTCACTATCGCCGTGTCACTCTTACGTCCACCTCCACCTCCGATGTCTCCTTCTGCCACCTTTACAGGATACCGACAGACCAGGGCGAGCAACTCAACAAGGTTGCTCCACTGCTACCGCTCCCTCTACTTCCTCCACCCCCTACTCCCTTTTCACCAAGCGTACCAACACTTTCACCGCCAAACTCAATGCCATCACCCCTTACTGCTCCTCATTCCTCCTCTTCTTCCTCTTCTTCCTCTTCTTCCTCTTCTTCTTCATTTCCCTCATTTCCCTCTTTTCCCTCCTCTTCCTCCTCCATCAGTAGGCGTGCCAAGTATCGTGGACGTGGAAACGGTCCCCAAAGGCCGACAAGTCGTTGCTGTCCCTACTATCAAGGGAAATAAACGGCAGTATCGGGGCAAACAGATGACAATTGCTCGGATCATCGCTTATTTGCAGCGCAACTCTTATAATGGCGACAGCTGCGAAACCAATTTGGATACTATTTCAGACGAGGGTGTTTACGCTGCAGTCGCTGAAGTGGTTCAATAATTCGAGACTACAAGTCGGACAACAGTTGAATGGGAAGATGAGGGGAGTGAAAATGGGTCATCGATCAAGCGGCGAAGGCATTGGTGCCGGGAGAATGCTTCCAGCCTGAGGCCTACCATTCCGACCCATTTAGGTAACATAAGCGATAACGAAGACCTGCAGAAGGAGAACAGCCGGCTGACACAGGTTGTCCCAGTCACGCATGGTTGTAGCAGCCACACATGGTTTCAGCCTGATGCCAACCATTCCGGCCCATTTAGGTAACATGAGCGAGCTATTGCCATCGCATTGCATAATGCACCTCAGTCCTCTGCTATGAAATGTAATGCTTGCAAACAACTTCGTCACCATCGTACAACTCATCCGGATTGCCTTATGAGCAGGCAGCGCATGATCGTTGCAGAATCTCTTGCTCCTACTCCTTCCACGGTCCTTGCAGCTCCCGCTGCTCCTGTTGCCCCTGCTGCTCCTGCTGCTACTGCTGATCTAAGTGTTTTTGGAAATAGAATAGCTGTTAAGGAGCAGGACAACACAGTGTACATGATCTTGGGATCGACGAGCGTGATCTGCTCTCATTGTGGTGCTTTACATTGGACAGAGGTAACCGGCTACAATATTACTGTGCTTAGAAAAACTGATTCAATGAATCACAGTTTTTGACATTCATCAACTTTTCTCATTCTCATCCTAACCCTCTACTCCCAAGTCTCATCTCTTCTCATATACTAAAACAGAAGTCTCCATGTCACCTATCATAGACAAATTTTCTGTAATTGCATAATTGCACAACCGCGTCCGCATGTCTCCATGCTTGAAATCATGTTATCGATAAGATCACCCCTTTTTCTAACCCATCCCCTCTTTTCCTTTACAACAACAATAACAAAAAAACTGCAACAAAGAACAACAGCAAGCAATAGAGAACAACAGCAAGCAATAGAGAACAACAGCAACAAAAAAACATCCGCCAGCATGGCATGGACAGACAGGAGACATGAGGACGCTGCATGGCATGGAAACACAATAGGATGCAGACGCAGCATGGCATGGACGGACATGAGAAAGCGGCATAGCATGGACGGACATGAGGATGCAGGGCATGGACAGACATGAGGAAGCCGCTTGGCCCTTTTTTTTTTTGGAAAAAGTGCACCAGGGTCATGATGTTAACATCGAAGTGAGAACGTCACTATCAGAGTGGGTTGCATACGCATATTACCCCCTCTAAGGTGCGAAATAAAATATCCCTCTCTTTCTTCCCATTGACATATTCGACCATACACATACTTTTCAACATGGACAGACATGAAGACGCAGCTTGGCATGGACAAACACGAAGACGCGAGCACACATACCACAAGGAAGAACAAGAACAAAGAGACACCAGACACCATTCTACTGAACATGATCAGTGAACAGTAGGGTACCGGTATGTCTTGGCATAAGGAGAGCCAAAAGGTTGTGTTATTTCTTTTAGAAAAGCGTAAGCATCTCACAATTATCAGTATCAATTTTCTTTAATCCTTGACCACATTTTGACATATCTTCTACAGTCTCAAGTTTTATCCTGTTCAACATGGGCAAACCATCCACGCCTCATTATGCCCGTACCGGTACCCGTTCTTCAGCTGCTGCAAAGTAAGTCTATGTCAGTGTCTGTATGCAACTATGTTCTTTTTTTATGTTCATTTCTATTCGTCCCTGACTGTCAGACCTTCAGTACTATTTCCTACTTATCGCAGGCAACAGTCCTCTTTGAGCCCTAAGGTCTTGGTTCGGCAGCTGCAGCGCATTGTAAAGGGCGCACCACTCTCAACAATCGCAGGCGCTGCAATGCAGACGATGCGTAGAACGACAATGCAGCTATTGTGAATGTCTCTGATCCAACCCCTGATGCCCCCGTCAACGACATGACCTCTGATATCGACAGCAGAAGCTTCTTGATCTCAACGGCTCCTGTTCATGACCTTGTCCCCGACAACATTACGTATTTTGAGGATGCATATACACACCTCCGGAGTTTCAAGCCCAAGGTTGCCACTGTTGTTCCCCACCCCAACGCCAACTTCAAAGGTGAGTGGACGTCGATTAAGGGTCTTTTCAGGACCACCTCAACTCAAGATCAGAAGTAGGAGCAGGAGCAGAGGCAGAAGCGGGAGCAGGAGCAGGGGCAGAAGCAGGTTGCAAAAAACGTCTCTAGCAACAATACACCTACTGTCGCCGTCCCTGTCACTGGTCAGAACACGGACAAAGACTATGGATTCAATGACGACAATGATTTCATTGACGCCCTGAATGATTTGCTGACGAATGGCAATTTGACAATGTCTTTTCAATAGACATTCACAATGTCTACCAAAACGGCACCATCAATAGCGATCGCCCGCCCATTGTTGGGACATCCTCGGTTAAATTAGACAAGCGAGGGCGAATGATTGTTGAAGAGGAGACTGACGAGGAATCGGAAGCAGCACCATCGTCCACCACCATTACCACCAGCACCACCAGCACCACCAGCGCCACCAGCACTAGCGGTACTAATGCCAACGCCAACGTCTGCGGCTCCAACAGCATCACGAACACGCGCACGCCAGTTCCCACCTCCAGGAGCATGTGCACCAAGTGTGGGTGTGATGGCCGGAATCCTGTCGACCACCTTGACCATCTTGCCAGGTCTTTGGGACTAAGAGAGCGACCTTGGATGCCTGTGCCGAAAGGTGTAACCAAATGGAACTGACCGATAATCTCCCGACAGAGATCGACAATAGCTGGGTCGTGCCTCACAACCTTTGGCTGGCAACCAAGTTCAACACCCACCTCAATGTCGAGATATGGTCTTCCATCTCTGCCGTGAAATATTTGTACGAGCACATCCGTAAGGTATGTCTTTTGTTCATGCCCCCTTATTTCTATCAAAGCAAAAGAAACAATAGTATCGCATCACAAAAGTCAAAGCACTAATGGACATACACAAATTTCTATTTTTCATTTTTCATTTTCCCAATGGACCGAACAGAGCCAAGATCGCCCTCGAAAAAGAGAAGGGTCTTCTGTTTGCCTCCACTGATCAATCCCATCGTCGTCTTTGCATCCACCAGCACCAACACTAGCACTAGCACTAGCACCAGCACCAGCAACAGCGCCGCCACTGCCACAGCTACCGCTACAGGGTCTAACACCACCGCCACTGAAGGCTCAATCGCTGCACACCAAAAAAAAATGCAGCAAGCAAGGAGGTACTTTTTTTGGGCATTTTTTTCCCTGCATGTCTGACCATTGCAACACCTTGCTTACTATTTTTTCTCACTCTCTTTTTTTTTACTATCGTTTGTATAATAGTATCCTTCACGCATCGAGATTCGCGAATCTCGCGATATGAGATACCTCTCTTCCCATGAGAGCATATGGCGCATCCTTGGATATCCTTTGTACGGTCGTTCACCTGCTGTGCAACGTCTACAGATCCATCTCATAGGCCAGCACAACGTCACATATGCAGATCTACTTTGTGTCACCCGCCGTAACAACGACACTCAACTGATGGCCTACTTTAAGCTGAACTAAGAGGACAAGGACACACATAAATATACATACGCTGAGATTCCTAAGCATTACACCTATGACCAAAACAATCGCAAATGGGACAACAGGAATCAAAAGGACACCCTCAAGATTGCCTGGATCAACTTTGTCCAGCCTAAGGACGGTTCTATCTCCTTCTATGGCCGCCTTTCCCACTATGCCACAAGACATCAGCGACAGCATTCTCCGCTACATCCCAAAGTCCGCCTCCGACCATAGCGAAAAATCGCGTGAAGAGCTCGCCAAGCTGGCGGACTCCCACATTCAAGCCTTGAATGTCGAACAGCAGAAAATATTTGACACAATCGTCGCCTCCATCTCCATACCCGTCCTCCCCCGAAGAACCAACCTCTATTTTATTGACGGGCCAGGTGGTGCCGGCAAATCTTTTCTCTACAGCACACTGATTGAACAAATCAGTGGTGTTATGAAAAACAATGTTGTTGTCCTCGCGTCGTCCGGTATAGTAGCTCTGATCCCTCATGGTGGACGCACTGCACACTCTGTCTTCAAGGTCCCCATTCAAGTTTTCAAAGACTCGACCTGCAATACTACCCGCGAGCAACAAGTCGGATCCATTATTCATGCGGCCGACCTCATCATCTGGGACGAGGCACCCATGATGCATCGAAATGTCTTTGAGTCGGTGGACCGGATCGTTCGACATATTATGGATCGACCCTTGGTTCCTTTCGGTGGAAAGATTGTTGTGTTCGTGGCAACTTTCGACAGGTGTTTCCAATGGTTGTTCATGGATCTCAATCTCAAATCGAAGGCGCATGTCTAAAGATGTCTGGAACCATTTGGCCCAAGGTCAAGACACTCAAGCTAACTCGCAACATGCGAGTCAAGGCGGACGAGAGCAGCCCTTCTTTCGTCGATTTTTTGCTATATGTGTCACGATAGTAAATCTATAGCTCTTTACTTGGTATCGCCAATAACATACGCCTTAACCTATTCATCATACTCATTTCCTAGCCCTTGATCAAGGTTCTCTTTATCTACTTCATTCTATTGCTTGGTCTGCTTTCTTGACAATACCAAGTCAAACACATAAAGAACCCTGGATCAACCTTTTGTCTGTTTTCTATTAATATACTTCAGCGCTCCAAAAAAAAAAAAAAAAAAAGCCTTTTCCCCAACAAAACCAAACCCTATCTTCTTCAAGTTCTTTCCTCTTTTACTACCATCTTCTGTACACAACCCACTACCCTCAGAAACTACAACAACTCTTCACTTTCCGTATAAACCACAATGCTACCCGATAGTGAGATCCTTACAGCCAATGCGCGCTTCCAAGCACTGATGGACCGAGTAGCCACACTTGAACAAGTAGGTCAGACGGTCGCTCCCTTGCAAGCCAAAGTCACCAAACTCGAGGAGACTGTTCAGAAGTACCGTGATATGCTGGATTTCATTCTTTCGAACGAAGATTTCTTCACAAGCCTGACCGTCAACCTCAACCCTCGATTACTCAGCCTCGAATCCAACGTCCAGAAGATGATGTCGCGTCGTTCCCTATGATCGGTCGACCCTTGGCACGATCGGTCGACCCTTGGCACGATCAGTTGATCCTTGGGCGCAGTTGAATGAGCCCAAGACAATTAATTAGCATTGCTCACAATCACATATATATATCCCATAGTACCCCAAATAGTTTGATCCTTACCTAGTAACTTGAATAATACTTTGTCTACACCTTGAAAACCCATATCTGACTCCCTATTCCCTTTGTTCTCTTCCTCCACCTCTCTTCCTGATCCTGCCTAAGAAAAGGTCAACTCTGCCTTGTTCTAGTCTAGATTCTCGACATTACTAGGTCAAACAACTTTGACCTGTTTCTTATCCTTTCTGTTTCCCTGTTCCTATAACCCTCCCTCCTACCCTACAATGACACCCGAAGAACGACAAGCAGCCGATGAGACCTTTACCACCCTCCAGAACCGTGTTCTCGCTCTCGAGGAAACCCTTGAAAGACACAGAGAGATTCTTGATCTTTTCCTCACTCACAAGGATTTTTTTTGCCCAGCTCTCCACCCACTTGGAACCAAGATTCATTAACCTTGAAAAGTCCCTCTCGTCTCTGGAGGATGTGGTTAGACGTGATGAACTCGATCGTGCCCTGGCTACCCAGCGCGATAACATTCTTGCCAGTATAAAAGTTATGGTCGACGTTTCTCCCTCCCGCTCATCTGCCCCCTCCAAGCCCAGGTTTGAGGCCCCCACTGCCTTCTCTGGGAAAAGGGAAGACTGGAAGACTTTCCAATCGCAGTTGGAGCTATTCTTCTCAATGCCGCTCCCTTGTACCCCACCGATGCCGAAAAAATCATGTTCTCTATTTCTCGCCTCGGCGACACCGCAGCATTCAAGTATATGGAGAAACATATACCGTCCTTCAAGCTCCCCGCGGAAGAAAGACCCCTTCTCCTCAGTGACCTCAATGTGTACTTTAAGTCCATGTCCAAGACTTTTGGAGTCACCAACGCTCACGTTTTGGCCGAGTCCCAGCTCCGAGCCCTGAAACAAAGGGGTTCTGCACTGGACTACACGAACAAGTTCATCAACCTTGCCGCGGATACCAAGTGGAATGATGCTGCTATGATCTCGCAGTATCGCATCGGATTGAAAGAGTCTGTCCAGGAAACAATGGCTATACACGATGAACCCGACACATTTGCAGATTTCTCTCAACTGGCTATTGACATCGACAATCGACACTTCGGCTACTCCTTTACAAAATCTACTCAAGCTCGATCATCCACCACCCGTTCCTCAACTACATCAATCGCTCCTCCACGTACTACTTCTTCTGTCCCTCCTGCTTCAACTCCTTCCATGGCCATGGATCTTAGCCAGGCTCAACATCGACCCATTGACGCTCAAGAAAAACAACGCCGCAAAGACAACAACCTTTGCACCTACTGTGCTGCCGACGACCATTGGCTTAAGGACTGTCCTACGAAGCCCATGTTCTCCCCCCGGCCTTTCTCTAAGAATACTCAATCCGTCGCCGCTGCTCAGGCCACTTCTGATGTATCATTCGATTTGGGAAAAGACGAAGCCTAGTAAAGCACGCAGAAGTCCACCTAGGCTTACTCTATAATTTTTCTTCTGCCGACCCCAATGATTCTGACTCTGTACCTATCACCATCCCCGTCACTCTTTATTTTCAAGGATCTTCACTTCCTGTTAATGCAATGATCGACTCGGGAGCCACTATTTCTTTTATTCATCAAAACCTTGCCAAACAGTACGACCTCCCTCTTGCTCAACACCGCCTTGCCATTTCTCTTGCCGACGGATCCGTTCAGACCTCACAACATGCCACTCGCCTTGTCATGCAGTCAAGTTCGGATCACTTTGAGTTGCAATCCTTTCAATTAATTGCCTTGGGAAATTATTCAATGATCCTGGGAATGGACTGGTTGAAAAATCACAACCCCTCTATAGACTGGATCAACAGAACCGTTACCATTTCCTGCACGCCGCATCATAACTTCTCCGCCCTGCCACCGCTTGCTCGATCTACCATGCCTGCGATCATCACCAACTTCGACAATCAATCTCGTTCTTCCATGCCGCCCCCTGCTCCTACTCGCAAGGTTACGCCAACCAAGATCACCTCAAACCCCACCAAGTCTCCAGCCCATCCAAGAAACCCATCTTTGATGAATATCTCCATTATTAGCAACGCCAGCTTCCATCAAATCCTTAAGCAGAAGCAAGGTGTCGGCTATATGATGGACGTCTCCCAGATACAAGAGTTATCGACCGCAACCATTGACGATGAACTCGAACAACCAGATATTCAGCTCCCCGACAAGTATGCTGAATACTCCCAAGTATTTTCCAAGATGCAAGCCGATCGACTTCCGCCTCATCGACCCTACGATCATACAATCCCTATTGTTGAAGGAGCAACAGTTCCTTTTGGTCCCGTTTATAACCTGTCCCAGACCGAGCTTAAAGCTTTACACGAGTACATCAAGGAAAACCTTGCTAAGGCTTTTATTCGTCGGTCAGAATCCCCCGCCGGTGCCCCTATCCTATTTGTCAAGAAAAAAGACGGCTCCCTTCGTCTCTGCGTCGACTATCGCGGCCTGAA